ACACAAAGCCACAAATCTCTGCACTTGAGCCCCGCGAGTCCTCTGGCACCAATTCTCTGCAGCACACGATCGATTGATTGATAGGTTCTACCTCCTTCTCATGTACTCCTCCCAACTTGTAGTGTATATTCTAGTCAAGCAACCACTTCTCCAAGATCCTGAATCTGGCCAACCGGATTCAATCCTTACAAGCTAAGGTGATGTGGTGTAGTGGTAGCATGTGTCGTTGTGGAGGTTAAAGTCCAGCAACGCCGACCCGACGGCGGTTCGATTCCGCCCATTGCCAGGATCCGATTCTTTTTGTTTTTCCTTGATGTTTTGCTTGCGGGAGAGGAAAGGAAGGGAGTGTGTTTTCCTTGTGGCATTGGGATGGAAATGTGGTGAGTAACAAGGCAAGTTTCATGTCGAGTCTGTTGCCAAAGGGTTATTTTTGCCCATGGGACTTGAGCGTGTTTCCACAGCTACCTGACTGAGTGGCCAGTGATATATGTATATAGACATAGCGCGAGGACGGATCAAGTCTTAGAATCACTGCAAGAAACCTCAAGCCAGACCTAGAAACAAGATGTAGGATATGCAGACGATTCTTTAGGTATGAAAAATTATGACAAGAGAAAAAAGAAGAAGAAAGAATAAACAATGGGTCATGAAGACATGAATCTTTTCGGGGGAAATCCTTGCGCCTTGATAAAACACTGCGCAAATTGTTTCTCATCTTCCCTGATTCGTTGCAAAACCCGCACCTGAAACGCCTTGCATCCAATGTGTGATGAGATGGAGCTCTCCTAACAGAGAGAGTGATTTGATGACAATGCAGAACGCCCCAATGATTTGCAACGAAAAACAAGAATGAATAGCAAGGCCGTTTGAACTCCGTGTCGATGCTAGGCTCTCAAGCAGGACTGATTGATTTTGAGCCAGGAGGTGAGTGGCTGGTGCGAGGGCTTGGGCCTTGGTAGATGTAAATATCGACAGCGGTGGCAGAATCGCCATAGCCGTGGCCAGGTTCACCGGGAACCGGCAGCGAGGTTTGTGACTTTCTCTGGAAGCCCCTGGAGTGGAAAAGGTCCCAGAACATGGCTTCGCTTTCATGACGAACTTTGGTCGAGATAAGGACGACTGCTCTTGGCGAACGCTGGATGAGGCGTTCAAGTGTGTCAACCAAAGGAGGAATGCTGTCGCTGTTGTAGATGCATTCGGCGACCAAGATCAGGTCGAATGTGCGCGAGGCGACTTTTGCTGGCAATGGGGCTTCCCAGTCCAGAGCAGCAAAGTCAATGTGGGACGCCATGGCAGGATTTGCGGCTTCGATGTTGCATTCGACCAACTCGTCGACCTCGGGCAGGTCGGTAAGGAGGACATTGCAGTCGGGTACGGTCTGAGCGAGACCAATGCCGACGACACCACAGCCGCAGCCCAACTCTATTACGTTCAGCTTCTTGTATGTGGCAGAGGACAATACGCTTTCGAGCAAGGGTGCTTCGTGAACGGAGCGAAGGGCAACGACGCGGTCAAGGTAGGCAGTCAGAGACAAGCTGCCGTCCCACAGATGGCGGGCAATGCTCTCGCCAGTGTCTTCGAAAATGCTCAAGGCACGTCCTGTCAGAGGAGTGAAACGACGCTCGACCCGTCTGTGTGTCTCGAAGGTGCCCTTNGTGGGGTTCAAAGACTCGCTCCATACGGAGACGATGCCTGGGAGATGACCGTGAGAATGGTGGTCCTCGAAGCAGTCGTACGTGGCAGCACTTGTTTTTGGATGGACATGGAGTCTGACAGGCCAGTCGATCTCGGTGCGGGTCAGGTCGAGAGAGATGTTGAGGGAACGCATGTCTCCTCGCCATTGCAGGGTTCGGCGGAGGTAGATGTCGCCATCGTGGTCGGATTGGCGAAGGGTTGCGGCGAGCTGGATGTCGTGTGGGTAGAAGGTCTCGCCCAGGTCGGTAGTGAGCGTGACGACGGCGGTGAGAGTGACAGCGCCGTTTTCGACGTGCACCTTGGGCGTCTTGAGGAAGCGAACTGGGAGGAAGAGAGTGAGCAGACGGCAACAAGGACAGGCGCTGAGCAGCAGCACCGGGGTAAGCAGCAGACAGCAACAAGGGCAGGTACAGAGCAGGGACGTTATCGGATGGCCACCGGGACACAGGGGGGAGGGGTATAGGGCAGTGACGATACAGTATAGGGCGGTGATTGATAACAGGAACGTGGTGGCTTACCGTAGTGCATGCTTGTGTTGGTCGAGGCAGGAGAGGGCGCACGACAAACAGAAACAGCTGCCGGGGGACACAGTCACACAGGCAAGAGTCAGGAAGGGCGGACAAGGCGCGTGTACAGTGAGTGATTTGTGTTTTACATGTTGAATTTGTCGCTGTCAACCAGCGACTGCCGGCGTTCGCGCGAGTGCCAAAGTGGACAATCTAGGCCAGCCTTTCGAGTGCGGCACAGCCCGAGGGCGCATCTATCTGGCGTCTAGACTTTCCATGTTGTTTGCTTTTGCCTTTCGACACGCGATTATCTTATCTCATCGACCTAAGAATTTCCCCGCAGTTGCCCGACGGCCGGACGCATCCGAGCGAGCCCTGGGGCTGCTCACCACCGAACCCATCCTGACTCCCACCAAAGGTTTGAGGCGCCCAGCTGCCAAACCCTAAGGCACGCCATTGTCATCATCCCCAGCGCCCAGCGTCTTCTCCGCGTGCCGTCTCTCTTCCTACGATACATCACCCACTCGACTGATGCTCCTCGGCCGTCATGTATCGACGCAGCGACCCTCGCTTCCGCCGTACCATCAATGAGATCTCTCAGACCATCGAGAGCGCCAACGAGTCCGCCCAGGCCAACATCTTTACCTTTTCCCACAGATACCTTGGTCCCTGTTTCTCATCCGTCGGCAACTGCTTCCAGTCTTGCTCCTCCTGTCTTCCATGCTGCGACGACCGCCTACATCGAAGTCGCGCCCGTACACGCCCTCGCCCCGAGCTGAGCTTCGACTTCTATGACGACTGGGATGATGACGAAACTGCTGGTCTTCTGGCATGGGATAACGATGACTTGCAAGCATATGGCGCCCCTGCTGTAACCGACCAGCCCGCCCGTGAGCGTGCCATGAGTTATGGTGCGCGCCGAGACAAGTATGGCCGTCGCAAGAGCCAGCCAAGAGACGATCCAGAGTCGGATCCCACTCTCATTCCTGCCTCGTCCTATTTTGGCTTCCTCGGCAGATTCTCTAGTAGACTCACTGGAGCCAAAACTCTGCGCTACAAGCCCTCCGCAGCCGATTTACAAGAACACCCTGGCGCCTCGAGGCACATGCCTTCGCTTACCGAGGAGGGTGATGATTTTTCTCCTAGAAAGAGAAGCAACACCGCCGGAAGCAACGGCACCACCGACTCTTTCAGCTCGAGAGGTGACCTCTTCCCAAGTGAAGACGAGGACGATGCTCGCGAACTCGATGATGAATTTGCCATGGTCCTCGAACGTCGTACGACAGGCGCTGGACTAGAAGATGTAGACAACAACGGTAAACCTCGTCGTCCGGGGAAGCGTCCAAGCACTGGGTCTAGGTTATCGACGCGGACCATGTCAAGTAGAAGCACGCGCAGCTCGAAACGGCGGTCTCGTGCAGCTAGCGCTTCGCCATCAAGGGCAGCTACTGTCGAGCCCAAGCACATACCATCTCTCACAGAGCTCAAACATGAAGAAGACAGGTTACGAGAAGAGGAAGAATCCGCCATTGCTAGTAAGAGAGACGCTGCCCGAGGTCTTGCACTGAAGCGAGGGCTGAGTGTCAACGGATCGTCAGCCGTGACTTCGGTCTCAGCGTCCGGAGAACTCAAGCCTGCGGTGAGTCCTGATATCACCCAGGACGTGCGCAATGACTCGAATCTGGAGCAAAAGTTACCACTGACTCCCGAACCGCTCGAGAACGACAAGGTAACGAATAACGACACGGTTCCTTTCCCAAGCTTCAACCCGGAAGAGATGGCAGCGACAGAGGACGAACCCGAATTCGTGCCAGCGCAGTTACCACGGTTCACGGGCTCATGATGAAACGAACACCTCATGTTGCAGCGATGCAGCCTGGCGTCTGCAGATTGATGGACGGGGACAGAATACGATTTTCATGTGCATAACGAATCTTCTTTTATTCTTGGTGGTCTGGTGGAGTTGCTATAGTGTCATATTGCTAGAGAGCCTACCTCACGGTGTCAGCCTGCTTGTGTGGCATGTGGGTCTGGAAGTGAGAAGGAGGCTCGAAGACGGGCCGCCGCACTTAATTAACCCAACCCTGTGAAAGCTAGAAATCCACAGAAAGAATGCTTGGCTTCAGGAGTGGACGTCATTGATACAACTTTTTCCTTTCTCCATGACCGTATCTGTTGCCGTCTTTCTCTTGTAAATCGCAGCAGTTCCTCATCTAGGTGGATTGCAGCAGCAGAGACAGGCATGGCAACGTCTGAATGGAGCACAACGGGCAAGCGAGTGTCTCGGACTGGGCTTAAAGCCGGGGGTGGCTTGACGATCTCTGGTCTGCATCTGCAAAATAGAGAGTCGTGGAAATTAGGTCGTCAGATTCGGAAGCGACGTCAAGCAAGGTCGAGTGGAAAAGTTGGGAGCAAAGTCGAGCCGTGCGACAGATGTGATTGTCTCTGCGAGAGCGAAAATAGGGCTCTGCGACATGTGATTCGCTGCTTGAGATTTGGCGCGAAAGACTGGAAACATAACGGCTTCTGGCTGACGAGTCAAGCAGGGTCGATGGTGGTTAGGCGAGGAGGGTTTGCTTGATTGATGACTTGTCGAGAGCAATTTGCTGTCGACCGTCTTTCCTTGCACGCGGCCGGCGAAGACTCGACGAGCAAAAGTCAGCGATATTGAAGCGGACAAGAGAGGCCATCGTTGTTAAGGGCATCACGCCAGATACATTAAATGAAAGGCGCTAGCGTCATTGGTTCAGCAGGCTGCAGATAAGTACAAGGTAGTCTTGTTCTTGTTGTTTGGACGCAATGCAGCACCAGCATGCCGGCCATCCCACCACCACCACGTATCAGCTTCCTGCTGCCACCCTACCGACGACCCAAGGCGCCGTGAAGGCTGCACACGACCTACCCCCATCGTCCTCGCCGATTGCCAGGAGCTCGCCGCCTTTCCATCCTCTGCATGGGCAGCCACCTTTCCGTGCCAGGCCGCTAGAGAGCACTCGTCGCCTGCGTGCTTCGCAAAACCCGACCATGGTCCCGTCAGCGTCCATCACCGCTGCTCAGCGCAGCGCTCCGGCCTCGTCGACCGCCCAACGCACCGTCTCGATGGATTCGACTCTGTCCTCGCTCTCCTCGTCGACCGCTCCACAGCCCATCGTCCGCTCGCAGTCAAACATCTCGCTCGAAACAACCGACATACCCACCCTGATCGCAGCTGCTGGTTCACCCGAGGCCGCTATCGCGAAGCTGTTGCAAGAGAAACAGTCGGCCTCGACACATACAACACAACTATGGAGGCTTGTGGAAAAGCAAAGAGCCATGATCCTTGGCCTTAACAAGGACTTGGAACGCACACTCAAGGAGAAGGACAAGTATCGCAAGAGACTTAAGGATCTGCTCGGCGAGCAATCCTCTCGTCCGCCTACCATGAGGGAAAGCCTTGGTTCTGCCAGTCTTGACAGCCAGTCTCCAAATCTTCCCGCTTCTAGTCCACCACTGCCCGCGAGCACATCCTTAGACAGTCTGTCCGCAGGCTTGCAACGTCCCGGTCGTGTTCAGCCATCGGCTTCGGCGTCTTCTTTGCCTGGCCTTCCAGTACGGTCTTCTGCAAGTGGCCCGCAGACTTCCAAGATCACCAACACCCCTCAAGTGATATCGCCAAAATCCTTTTCAAGTCCGAACCAGCGACTCCGCAAGGAGAAACCTGCCCCGCTGGATCTGTCGAGCGCCCCAACCATGCTTTGCGAAGCGTCGGATTCGGACGAAGCCCCTCCACTATCCAGAGGAAGAAAGAAGACAAGAGCCGACGATGATAAACTGAGAGAGGCGCTGGCCAGCCAGAGCCAGCACAAAGAAATGACACAAGCTAGCAGCAGGAGCGCTCCTCCCNCCGCTATCGACCGACGTGTCCCTGCTCCTGCAGATCTCGACGCAGACCCAGGTCTGCTCAGCGACACGGAACAGGGCGTCCTTAGTGATGCTGAAACGATTGATTTTGGTTCTCCTCAGCTTGCCCAGGTCCAAACATTCCAGAGCATGGGCCAGATGGTATCAGCCGATGCTCCTGCCCAACCAAAACGTCATCCCGTTTCTCTGACTGTGTTGAGTCCTGGTCTGCCTATGAGTCCTCGTCCTAGCGACAGGCCTATGAATTCGCCCATGCCTAGAGCTTTCAATAAACCACTGACCTCAATACCCACCTCTCCTAGAGTAGGGGGCCAGATGCCTTTGTCACCACGCGCTCCCCGCCAACCTATCCCTATGCCACCCCAGACTCCTCTGTCGTTCGCGTCTCCTCATTTGGCTCGTGCCGAGGCCTATCAAACCTTTGCAGCAAGCTCCATGTCTGATAGGCTCTCTGTTCCTTCGCAACCACGAATGGCAGAGTCTGAACAAAATTTGAATGCACCCGCTCCAAGATCTCCTGGCGAAGTCTACCGCGGTTTCGTATCGGAGCAATACCCCGGTCTGCTTCTACCTCCAAATGCTCTTCCCTCGATATATGTAAAAGTCGACTCCTCGCGTCTGCGACCGTCTAGGCAAAGTTACATGGCACCCAAACCATCTGAGGAGAATCCCGTTATTACGCTTGCTGTTTTTGCAAGATCTGACAGAACTCAGTTATGGCGCGTGGAGAAGTCATTGACTGCTATGTCCGTCTTTGACCAACAAATCAAGGTAGCATCCAATTTTAGAACAAAGCTTCCAGATCGTTCTTTGTTCACTGGACACGCCCCTGCTCGGATGGACGCCCGCAGGAATGCCCTCGGCCTCTACTTCGACAGCATGCTTGACACTCCTATGGATGATCAAGCTGCCGTCATCATCTGTGGCTTCTTGACTGCTGACGCAATTGGTCCCGAAATGCCCGAGTACTTCCCTCAAGAAGCGACCAACCCGGTCAAGGCTCCCGCAGTCCAAGGTGGAGGTGTTCGCAAAGATGGCTACTTGACAAAACGTGGAAAGAACTTTGGTGGTTGGAAAGCCAGGTACTTTGTCTTGGACGGACCGATCTTCAAGTATTTTGAAGCTCCTGGAGGTGCGATCCTCGGCTCAATCAAGTTGCCGTATGCGCAGATTGGCAAGCAAGCACAACATACAACACGGCACGAGGATGACGATAGCGATAGCGAATATCGACACGCTTTCTTGATCCTCGAGCCCAAACGTAAGGATTCTTCGAACCATGTGCGCCATGTGCTTTGCGCTGAGAGTGACGAAGAGCGCGACGCCTGGGTTGAGGCTTTGCTGCATTATGTCGATCAGGTTGCGTCTCCCACAGTCTTGAGAAAGCAAGATTCACTGCATGCAGTGCGCAGTCCGCGTCTTCAGAAGTCCATGAATGACCTCTCATCGGCAAGCTCGAGGCAGTCCGATAGCTCTTCGATGCTGCGTAGTATTCCTTACCAAGCCACAGTGCCTGCCGAAGCGCCTGTGATTGGCCCCAACCGCGACCTTGCCACACCTTCGCCAATCAACTCTCCAGCTATTGGCGAAAGCGAGCACCACCCACAGATTTCTGGTCCAACCAATGGTGCAGTAATACAGGACGCAGGATCATGGGGCAACAAGAAAGACCCCGTTACTCAGACCAAGGATAAGAAGCGAAGTATCTTTGGGTTCAGGGGTCGGTCTTCATCTGATACAGTGCCTGGCAGTGTGCCAAAGGACTTGGTTCAGAGCGAATCACCCGTTCTTGCTCGGCCAGTCTTCGGCGCTCCCTTGGCTGAAGCCATAGAGATTGCGCCACCTATGGATGTTCCTGTCCACCTTCCTGCCGTGGTATATCGTTCCATCGAGTACTTGAGAGCCAAGAACGCTTCATCTGAAGAAGGAATATTCCGTCTTTCTGGTTCAAACGTTGTTATCAAGGCATTGAAAGAGCGATTCAACACAGAGGGTGACGTCAAACTACTCGAAGGTCCATACTACGACATCCATGCTGTTGCAAGTCTGCTAAAGCTTTATCTTCGAGAATTGCCAGCCAGTATTCTCACAAGAGAACATCATCTCGAGTTCCTCAAGGGCTTGGATGTCGATGAGAAGATCAAGGTTGAAATGTTCAATGTTCTTGTGAACAAACTGCCACGGGCCAATCGAGAATTACTCGACATCTTGAGCACATTCTTGCGCGAGATTGTAGACAAAGAGGGTGTAAACAAGATGAGCGTCCGCAATGGTAAGTCAATATGTTCCGCCTCATAGTCATCTTATGGCTTGTTAACATTAAAACCTANNGTTGGCATTGTGTTTGCACCGACACTCAACATACCGGCTCCTCTCATATCTCTCTTTGTGATGGAGAACGACAGGGTTTTTGGACCTCCGATTGACATAACCACTCCAGTAACCACTTCATATCCTGCAGACACACCACTCTCAGGGGTAACGCCTGAAAGTGTCAGGTCACCTCGACACAAACCGAGCGGTGATTTCCCAGCACATAGCTACCAACAGGCTGGCTTCTTCCCACAGGCTGCACCTTCCAGCCGCGATGGTTACGACACTGGAAACGCTTCATCTCAGATGATGAACAAGGAGAATGGACCGCCATCGTACAGCGACAGATTATCAGGACCGAACGGGAGCCGCACAACACAGCTGAGCAATCCCATGAGCAAGCAAGCCAAGCGGGAGAGCAACACATTGTTCATGAACTTCGGACCAATGAGCCAGAGAGAGTCTCCACTCAGCCGTCTCCGGGAGGCTGATAGTAATGAATAAGTGGGACAGTAAAGGGCGATGGTCAAGTTGCCGTTTACAGATGGCATCTACACGGAGTTCTGTGGCGTGGCAGAATGAAGAAGTTACGCGCAAAAGTGTCTAATTGTCACTACAACGATCTAGTATTTTTTATTACCCGAGATTCCCCTTAAGAGTAGTTTCAGCTACTGAGCATTTTCTTTGAGCAATTCTGTTAGCAAGGGCCAGTCGGCACATAGACATTGATATAGACATTAATTCATGATAATGGTTTGCACGATTCACGGCAGTTGTTGGCGAGCTTTGGACGTCTGATGGCAGATGTCATGGTGAAACAAAAGCGGTTGCGGAGGTGCACGGGCGTTGTCGGGTCGGGGCGGTGGACAATCAACAAAGCAGGTCGGTGAACAACAGCGGCTGGCATTGCATTGCATTGCTGAACAAGAGCCGTCTCTGCTGCTGCATGCCCACCCAGACTCGACCTCGCATCGACTCGACAACCAACAACCGACCCTTTCCCTGTGTTGATGGCCGTGTCGTCGCTGGCTTGACGACATCACCCCGACCAGCCGACATAGTAACGATCGCAAACGAAGTAGACGCCCATTACGAATACATTGGATCGACTCAACCTCTCCCCGAACTGGCAAAAGATATTACAAAAAGTGTACTCGGGCGGCTACACCACACAGCTGGCACAAGCAACAAGACGACCTCGACATGGCGTCCGCGTTTGGTGGAGGGGCGGTAGACCCAGAGACGCTGTATACCAAGCAGGCCTGCATTGGTGAGCACACGACTGCCCATCTAGGCTACAAGAGCGCATGCTGATACATTCCAACAGGAGGTGGCAGCTTCGGCAAGGTGTACAAAGGGTGAGTCGCATGCAATTGAAAACCTAATGTCTAGACCACTAACCGTCTGCTGCCTCTAGTGNTTGAGAAACGTACCGGCCAAGCTGTTGCTATCAAAGTCATCGACGTGGAAAATGCAGAAGACGAAGTCGACGACATCATCCAGGAGATCTCCATCCTCTCTGGTCTCAACTCTCCCTACACGACAAAATACTACGGATCATATCTCAAGGGCTCCGACCTGTGGATCATCATGGAATACTGCTCTGGTGGCAGTTGTGGTAACCTCATGAGGCCTGGCAGCATCCCCGAGGATTACATTATCATCATCATTCGAGAATTGCTCATGGGTCTGGAATATCTGCACAATGACAACAAGCTTCACAGAGACATCANNAAGGTGAGACGAACAGCTGATTTCATGGAACAATTCTAATACCGATTAGCCGCAAACATCCTGCTTGGCTCAAACGGACAAGTGAAGCTTGCCGACTTTGGTGTTTCTGGCCAACTCTCTGCAACCATGACAAAGAAGAACACTTTCGTAGGAACCCCATTCTGGATGGCTCCAGAAGTCATCAAACAATCGGGATACGACCACAAAGCCGACATTTGGTCTCTTGGTATCACTGCCCTGGAACTCGCCTATGGAGAACCCCCCTACGCCGACATCCATCCCATGAAAGTCCTTTTCCTCATTCCGAAGAACCCTCCTCCTCAACTCGAGGGCGAGTTTAGCCAAGCTTTCAAAGACTTTGTCAATCTTTGCTTGCGCAAGGAGCCCAAGGAGCGACCCAGTGCCAAAGAACTCCTCAAACACCCTTGGATTCGCAGGGCCAAGAGGACCACATATCTGACAGAGCTAATTGAAAGATACGAACGCTGGCAGGCGCGTCACGGTGGTCGCGAAGAAGATGACGATGATATCCGTGAAGTCTCGCCTCCACGCACTTCTGACGAAGAAGATCTTTGGGATTTCGGCACGGTTCGACCACTTTCTCGAAGAGCACCGGGACTGAAAGTCATGAATGAGGCCGCCATGAACACTCGTAATCAGACATCTGTCCCTGAGCCTCAGTCTCCTAGCAAGCAGTCCGATTCTAGAGTCGGTGAAGAGAATTCGAGTCGTCGCACTGTCCGAGCAGCACCCAGCATGCCACCACCACCTCTGCCTAGGGACCTGTCTCCCTCAAAGCGGCCAAGCTCATCGTCAGGTGCTGTGCCTCCTTCTCCCAGTGTTGCTGCTCGGGTCCCTCTACCTGCCTCACCCATCAAGAAAGTAATGTCGCAAGCACAACCTGAGGCTCCACGCACCCCGCAGTCGACCAACTCGAGATACATGGCCAGTCAGGCACAGTTGAAATCGCCCCCGCAACAGATCAATGATGATTTTATCCAGCAGTCCATTGCTGCAGACATGACTACTTACATGAATGGTCTTTCCATAAATGAAAGAACGAATGAGCTGGCCAGGCCTTCAACGCCATTGGCCCAGAAGCAGACCAGCACATCGAACCACAACTTGTCAAGATCTCCAGAAAAGCCAACTTATGCTCCATTCCCGCTCGAGAGAACATCTTCATCCTTCAGTGTCCAACAGCAGCATCACCAGCAGCAACACCTACAGCAACCACAACAAGCACGGCCACAGCAACAACAACCTCTACCAGCGCTGGCACCTCGGAGAGCAAGTCCATCTGCATGGCCCGGAACTCCCACAGCATCAAAACCGCAAGCGTCGGAATCGCAAGGCAGATTAAGACAAGACTCGGACGTTCAGATCAGAGCAAGACAAGGTTCAGACGCCCAGGCCAGATTGGATGCCCAGACCAGAGCCAGGCAAGGCTCCGACGCTCAACTGAAGACGCAGCAATCCTTTGACTCCATGCACAGCAGTTCGTCAAGCAGCAGACCCTCTTCATCCTCTTCGTCATCAATGACCGGACCTTCAACCTTGGCACCTCCTCCCCAGAATGACGAAATCACTGCTCTGTCAGGTGTTGTGATTCCTGCCCTCGAAGCCGCTCTCCACCGTCGCGCATACCAGCTCTCACAGCTGCAAAAGTCAGCAAGCACCCCATCGAAACCCGCGCCTTCTCCACAAGACATTTTGCTCAAGAGGCAGGCACACGAGCAGATCCGCAGACTGGTCTCCAAGGTGGGCCGTCTGATGAAGGACATTGACCACTGGGACAGCGTCGCGCCCGTGGGCATGGGCGACGGCGTCGAAGGATTCCTAGAAGGTGTGTTGGAGGAGGTCTTGTGCCGTGTAGAGGCCGAAGATGCTTGAGCTTCTCCCTCTTTCTTGTTTTCTACAATTGAGAGGAGCGTCTAGAGGTAAAGCCCTTTTTGAACTCTGTGAGTTGGACCAGACTTGTTTTCTTCTTTTTTTTTTTTTGTGTAGACTTTTTTCTTTCTTTCTTCGAGGGAGGCATCAGCTGCGATTGTCACAGCGGCTTTGAGTTTGTCTTTTTGTGCTTTTTTTTTTCTTCTTCTTCTCTTGTTGTTGTGCATTTGGAGCGGCATTGAGTGGAGCATTGCGCAGGGCGCAGAAACCAAGAAGATGAAGATGCGAGCGGGCAGGAACGTAAACCTGCAGATACCTACGAACAACTTCTTTCTACAAGAGTGCTCTTTCCTGATATCCCTTTTTGTCTCCCTTCTAATCACTAATTTCCATTCCAAGAGGGAAAGTGCTACTGTTTGAACAAAGTGCGTGCGAGAGTGTCTTTTACTTGCACCTCTCTTTTGCCTCTTTTGCTATCTATATCTCACCACTTTGGGCTCTTTTGGCAAGGAGTTGCTGACGTTGAGATTCTCTATGGAGACTTGTGATATTATGGTGACTCTATTGGCAATTTTGTTGATTGACGGGTAGAAGATATCTTGGGGTTTCTTGGTAGAAACTGGCAAGATGAGAATGTAGGCATTTGATAGGTTGTTTTTGACGATAGAATTTTTGTGTATTTTGGAAAGTGTGTGTGTGTATTGGAATGGAGTCCTGGATTGATTGATATGTGATGGAGCTATTGATCAGAGGTTTTGAAAGAATGTCAAAGCAAAATGTGTCGAAGACAAGGATGGATTCTTTGCTCGGAAACTCCTAGGTGCTTGTGAGAAGAGATGGCGGAGATCACAGCTTCAGGTCATAACTCTGCTCCTGCTCAGGATTCGTTGGAAAGACTATAGTCTAGGTGTAGCCGATTGCAAAGAGATGGTAGGATTGTCGTCTGAGTAAAGTTGTCTAAGCTAGTTGCCAGATTGAAGTTGTTTGATTGGAGGGGTTTGATACTGGTTCGACTAAACTTGTCTGAGCGAATCTGTATGGTTGAAGTTGGAACTGGAGTTGTTCGACTCGAAAAGTTTGACCAAAATCGTATGACTGGAGTCTTTTGACTGGAGTCGTTGAGCTGGAGTCGGTTGAAAGGAGTCATTTAACTGGAATCGTTTGACTACAATTGCATAACTGCGATCGATCAAGTGAAGTTGTTGAATCGAAATCGTGAAGTTAGTAAATTTGGCGAACTTTTGTTTCACTAATGCTATGTGACCAGGACAATGTTTAACTGCTACTGTTTAACAGATCTTACTATGTTCATGTAATGCAAACAATCTTTGCGTGCCAAGATCAACTAATTAGTAAATTGCTGTGGCTCCTCGAGTATCGTGAGATCTTGTTTCGAAGGACTTCAAAAGTTCGACTTGGTAACATGCTGTATTACAAGACGAAGTTATGGTACTCAAAGCGGACCGTCGCACCCGCTTGTCAGATTGATCTCTCCGCATGCTCTATCGGATCATCTAGAAGAGGACTTTTTGTCCAAGACAAGTTTCCTCCGGATTATTAGGGTTGATGCAGTCTCTTCCACGACAGCCTTCTCGCAATTCTTGGTTGACAGGCCGCAGCGCCAAAAGCTCGGATCCGTCGCCGCGGAATGATACTCCTTTTGGCGGATCCACCCTCTCCCCGAACGACCACTGCTGACCGTCTCGAGAGCCTCAACTTTTTTTCTCTCTTTGATTTCAAATTCGAAAAGAACACTTTGATCTCCCCAACGGAATTGTGCGGCAGCGCCATGGCGACACACACCGCTAATGGGAGTGAAATTTATTCAGCACTTGTTCAGTCATGAGGCTCCCGGACAAGTATCAAGAATTGGCGACATCCGGCTGATGAGGTTGTTGTTGCATTATCCTGGTGTCCGCTCCAGAATCCATGCAAAGACAGAGCCTCAGAGAAGGGTATTGTGAATACTCTATGCCAGGAAACTGCTAGCACGATACGCAAATGTGTTCATTGAAAGCGCTCGGCGAGGCCGTAGCTCTTGATCAACGACGCCTATTTCGATACAGATCTCTCAAGGCGGTATCTCTTCCGATGATACCCTCGCGAGTCTCTTTGCTAGTAATATCTCTTTTAGTGAAGTCGCATAAGTGTACGTGTTGTTGTACGTGCCACACACGATGCTCCTCGGGAGACCGTCTCAAGATGATGGAATTAGTGATGAGACAAGAAATGTTCGCTTTCGCTTCGAGCGAAGGCGTGCCCTCCGGATCGAGTTCTGCCACAGCATGAGAATATCATGGCATAGTCTTCGGCCGAGTCGTTCGAGGCCGCGATGTATAGAACGATCCGCTGCGAAAAAGAGTTCCTGTTACGACCGTAAGAACAGGAATCGAAGCGGCACGGACTAACACCGGACGCAACTCATTGAAATAGGGATGATGGTGATACAAAAAGCTTCGCTGTCACAACAGGTCCTAATATAACAAAGCTACATCCGGGAGAGCACCTTTTAGGATAGCCGCTCGTAGCTGTCATCATCAAAAGTTACCCAGGCAGGAGCTCTCACCATCAAGAATTTTCCTGAGAGGGAGCACTGCGTCTGAGCCTCCTGCCAAGGCACAAGAGATGAGTTTTGCCGTGTCCATGCAGCACTATCATGGGAAAGAGCAAAGGACGCCGACCAACACAACATCTTGAACGTCACCGATCTCCAAGCCCATCTGACCAACCTTTGTTCGATACGAACCAGTAGTACTCGGGCTCTATCAAAACTTTCGCCGTGACTACTAGGCAAGTCTACATACGTCGATGTCTCCTTCTCAATCCTCGAGCATCCAGAAAATCACGAGATGAGGCTCTTGCTGTAGGGGGCTCGGCCTGAATTCTGCCTTCTTTGGATGAACTGCACCAGCAAGCGATCGACAGGCCTGTTCATGGCCCCTGCATTCTCTTACTCCTTCCCATTTCAGTCCTTCGATTTCTTCTGTGATCCCTTCTCACTCTTTCGTGGATATGAGATTTGGTGTCCTCAAACAATGGTCCTGAACCATGCTACGGGTACCTGGCAGCAACAAGATTGATGCATGGAGCAACCACCTCGACATCTTCCTAGATCCTCGTATTCAGCTCGCTACGCACGAAGGAATTCACGAGAGATGTTCGGATCATCAGCTTCAATTGGGGCCGCGGCTTCGATTGGCTGGCAAAGTATAGCGACTGGTGCCTACTACGACGAGGACATATCAAATCATCCTTGCTGACGTGTTGTTTCCATCAAAGCCCACCGATACGTTTTGTCAAGCGCGCGTCCGAAAGGACACCCCTTGTGGAGCCGCACTCGACAAGCCTTCGCTCGAAACCCTCCTCACCGCTTCCTTTTACCTGTTCGTTGGCGAATTTCTGAGTGTGATCTCCACAGAACCCACGCTTTCCGAAATCACTGTTTTCAATATCGAAAAACAGGCTTTGAAGGATCAACATGCTCATCAATATCCGTTAAGCATGTCCCGAATGTATACCCAATCGCTACCGCTACCCCAACGATTCCCAGCAAGATTGCAGGATGGACCGGCTTTCCAACAAAGTGGTCTATCCTAATCATCCTACCCTAAGCAATCGATTACGCCGAGGACAATTTTGGATACGAACCGGTGACGTGCTTACTCGTTCGCGTTCAAGAGTCTATCTTTCGATCTCGTACACCATACTGTATGCCCCTCCCTCGCAAGATCCGCATTCTCTCATCGACCAGAGGCCAGGAAGCGGAGCGACTTCCGGTAGATATCGAAACATACATCACCATTGGCAATCCTATGCGACGACTGGGGCAACGAATACATTAGGCAAAAGAGCAAAAGGACATCCAGAAAGTTTGACACAACACAAGGAGCGTGGGTTCATGAGATTTCGTGCACTACACATTGTAACCTTATCGAAAGACGGGCACGAGACCTTAACGCAAAGGCAAATGATGCATGCCTTGAGCACAAAACACTCGAGGGGTCTGAGACATACTACCTGTCTGGCAACGGTTTCCGATCGGTCCGAAGGCATAAATTTGGGCCATCCAGGAAAAAGAGGAAAGGGGAAGTAGACGCGCGTTGAAAGGTATGTATTGGCGAATGTTGCCTGTGCAAGGAAAGTGGCTTGAGAGAAGATGAGCTGAGGATGCCCAATTGAAGCTAGTACAATACAAGAGAACCATATGCCACACAGCTGTACAGTGCTCCATGTTTTTGTGAGAAAGAGAGGCAAGAGAATGCAACCCATATGCACAAACGCCTCGCTAGATTGGACACGTAAACAGACATGAAGAAATGCAGAAAGAGAAATAGAACAGATACAGTAAACAATGTAACGAAAAGCAAGAAACCACAAACGCGCTTTTTCTTTATCATCATGCAAGCTCTCCATACAGTCCAAAATGTCCATAGTCGTAAAACCTCCCGTTTGCGTTGTCTCTGTTGCGTATCTTGAGGAGCACAGTGTCTCCCTCTCTGTGGTATTAGCAGGATCGCCTGCTTAATCATTGTATGCAAAATTCCCCTCTTTTGCTGTTGTAGTCGCTTGATTCCGTACGACGATGGTGATGCTAGATGATCGGTAGTCTAGAGCGCGGAGTGCCTGGATTGTGAGAGCCCCGAGGTTTGCAGGGCAGGACACTTTCTCTCTGCCCTCAGAGCCCAAAGTTGACGACACCCATACCCTTCGACTTTGCGACGTCAATCCAATCCACCTCTTCCGCTCTTCCTCCCCCNAACACTGTTGCTCTCTGCTCGTCGAGTACCATACTCAACAACTCCCTACTCCTTGTTGCGTTCCTCGATATACCCGTTCCTTCCATCACCCTCAGCAGCGCGAGGGCTCGCGATTGAGTCTCCATGTCCAGGCTCGCGAAGCCTGCGACGAATACTGGAAATACGAGTTGATGTTGATCGTAGTTCTGAAGTGCGACGGCGGCGTCGGCGATGGAGAGGATCTTCAAGCTGTGGAGACGGGTTTCGGAGCGTTGGTTGGGGTTCATGTGGAAGGGTTGGGTAGGGTAGAGCGAGCTGTTTGAGTAGACGATCCAGGTGCTGAATTGTAGTTGTGCCTGCGAGACAGAAAGCCCATTGAGTTAGTCTGAGACCCCTTTATCGAAACAACACGACGAAACCTTGATGCGTGGAGGAAAGGAGATGCTTACAAAATCTAGGAATATGCGGGCGATGACGGGAAGTTGACCTGTCGCGTAATCGGAGTTTGGCTGAAAGAGGTAGGACGGGCAGTAACGGTGCCATGATGCGTACAGCTCGCTTTGCAATTGAGCGACCATCTGTGTGCATGCGGCTAGTACCTGGCTACCTTGCGGACCACGCAGGCTTTGTGTCGTAGCCTCGGCGCGCAGTTTGAGTTGCAGCTGGCACAGCTTGGCACCTTGTATGCATACTTGATGTGCGAACGTAAAGACGTCGGTATGAGCACTCGTGTCTTCGCCCTGGTCGCCTCCGGCTGGTTGTACGATGTCGTAGCCTGAGAAGATTCGGTTCCAGTTGGGCATTGTCAATTTGTTCATTAGGAAGGCGCGAACGAAGTGCCCGTTGCCATTTCCTGACAGGCAAGCTTGTTTGTCGAAGTAAAGAACATACCATAAGAGATATGCTTGCAGGACTCCGTTCGATTGTCCTTTGCGATGTTGAGCTATCCGGATTAGGTGCTGGATGTGGTGTTCCCACATGTTCATGTTGAAAACTTCTTGCGTGTTACTTGAGCCTTGTGTTGCGTAGCTGATGTCGTAGACCAGTAATAGGAAGTGGAGATATAGAAGTCGGTCGGAGTGTAGGTCGGATGGTGAAGACAAACTGGAGGAAATAGCTTGGTGGTAGTGCTGGAAAGCTTCTGTCAAGAGTTGTTGCTGACCCTTGAGTGCCAGACTGAGCAATGAGACTGCGCATATAGCATGATAGAGCNNTGACACAAAGTCAGCAGGCGTTCGAAGTATCAGAAGACAATTGCGCATGGTTTCGAATGAGTCCAGCAGCCAAGTCGTGTTTGTGGGAGCACTGAATGGACTGGGATACAGTGGTGTGATCTCGGCGGAGCATATCCCGAGGTACATTGGAACAAGGCAAAACGGAGGCTCGTAACTTACAGGAGGAAAGTCTCTAGCTTCAGCAACAATGGGGTCCTCCTGCATCGGTCTGTCGACGAGCAAACTCTTGCCAATGGGAAAGATGCGCTTCGAGATGAAGCCTCGATAATGGACCATGAGCCTCTCGTCTCGAAGCCCTTGAGTGACTGAGTCGTTGCGCCGTCCGGATGGCAGGCTGGACCCTCTCGATCCTCCAGATATGTTTAGTGACTGTAGGTTGTCTGGTAGACTGGTTCTCCTACCAACAGGGAAGCTGGCCAGACTCGGCAGAGACAATGGAGCGTCCTCGAACTTGGCTAGCACTACGATGTTTGGGTCACCACTAGCAGGATTCCTCCTTGGCCTGACCCGTGGTACTTCTGTCGACATCTGGCTGTCCCAGCTGTTACGGCCAGACTGTAGACTAGATCTCCGTGTCCGTGGTCCAGGGATAGGGCCATACTCCGGGAGGCCAGCGAAACTCTCAGGGTTGACGACGACGTTGAAAGTACCCGGCACTTGCCCCTCGGCTTTTTTCTCACGATCCTCGTCATTCGTGAGGTCAGCAAAGGATGGGAGAGCATCATAAGCAGGTGATTGTGATCTTCTGTTGTCCAAAGCCGTACGAGGCGCTCGTGCNTAAGCAATGTCAGCCATCGCCCTTGGTATTGGAGACCATCATTGAGTGCAGAGAGCTTGTTGATACCCAGAGCCTGATGTAGAGGGAACGACAAGTGGCCACTTACGATCCCAGACAGCATTGCCTGCTGTTGACACGTTGGAGTACTTGTTTTGAGTGTTCTGGGTGACATCGTCGAACTTCCAGCGGAACTCCCAGTCGCATTCTTTATTCAGACGAGTGCAGGGCNNTACAACGATTAGCCAGATGTCATTGTGAGGGGTTTAATGCATCATGCTTACACCACATCGTGGATGGGTCTCATCACATTTGACCTGAATCCCTGTTAGCCGATCCTTTTCTCAACGTAGCAGAGGCTTTCGTGTCCTCATCTCCTGATACAACTCACCTTTNCGTTTTCTGCATGTNCCTTTTGAGAGCATCGAATCAGTAATTGTCCAATTCTCTAGCATTTGGGAGGGAGTGTTGAATTACCAGCAGCCAGCCCTCGAGCGGTGCGATAGTCTCGGTCGCGCTGAGGAAGTACTACCGCCAGCAGATTCGATTTCTGTATTAGCAGAAGTAGCAGGAACGGGCTGCTGGTCTCGAGGTGCTAGAGGTGGAAGCTGGCTTCTAGCGTTCGAAGATGCATCAGCTCTTCGATATTGCATCGAGGCAACAAGACATTGATATGCGGGTACTGGTACGCAAAATCAAGACCTTCTTAGTCAAAGGAAACGGCAACAACAGAGAGTAGTATTAGCAGGAAGGTGAGCAGCTTTTAGCGGGGCAGCTTGGGAAAATCCCAGTATAGGCGCGTCGTGCCGACCCAGCAAGCCAATTAGAAAAGGCGATATGGAGCAAACTCGAAGCAGTGACCATGTAGTTTCAAGAGACATTCAGACCGGCGAGGAGGTGAGTACAAAAGCCAGTGAGGGGACCGAGCCGACGGAGGGCAGGCGCTGCAAGGTCGGAGGGTCGAATGATATAAGAGCAAAAGTAAAAGACAAGAGGCACGCAGGCGCCGTGTGTGTGGGAAAGTGTCAGGATTTTGCATCTTTCCGCTTTGGTTACCTACTAGTTTAGCTTTAAAGAGTTTCGGACTCTATTAGGAGCAAAGCGAACATAGCTTTTGTGGAGGAGGCACTAGATAGAGGCAATCGCGTGTGGTGAGGGATGAATGGGGGACGAGCCATCAACGGTCGAAGAAATCAGGACTGTCACCTGTGGAGTGTGTCATGCCGGAAGGTGATGCATCTCACACTGCACAGAGGAGGTTGGTGCTAGCGCTGCTGTCGAGTCTAAGCGTTCCATGTGAAATGAAGACAATTCCAACAGGCTCAGCATCACAGACACGTCGTCGCTTCTAGCGTAATTCTAGCTCGAAAACGTGGCAGCCACGGCCACCCGATGTGCTCAACGAGTTGTGATACAGCATCTTGTAGACAAGCCTTTGGCACGTGTGGATAGGCAATATTCGAGGTTGAGCTTTTCTCGCTTGGCCTCCCTTTTCCAGACGATCCCTTCTACATGCAGGCGGTCGAAGTATGATGGACATTGCCATCTACAAACCGTCAATTGTCGAATGCGAGATATATGGATACCTGTATAAGGGCAAGGGCAAGTTGTAAGCTTCGACCACATGTAGATATAATCGTGCATGGTTTCGAATCTTCCAGATGCTGTGCGTCGCGACAGCACCATTCACAAGAAGGTGTTCAGTCGATGGAATTGTCATTGCTACTGCGTGGTAACGTAAAGTAGTCACAGAACCCCGTTCCAGCGGCAGAGCGCCGCCGGGCCTTTCAGCTACCAGATACAGAAACTGTGTTTTTCGCGTAAGAGCGAATAGGCGTATGCGCAAGTCGGAAGCTCTCGGAACCGCGCGTGTGTATACCGAGGAAGCAATAACGGTTGACGCTAGCAAGAGACACCACGCCGTCCACGTTGGAAAGAAGTTCAACCAGAACGCCACGACTATCCACGTTATGCTGCAACATGGAGATTGCAAAATTGTCTGCCCGAGCAAAGCTTGATGTACAATAGTCCATGCTCAGGAGGGCCAGGCCTTCTCCTGCGGGACCACTCTCGTACCTGATATGTTGGACTCAAGAGCATACCACTGCGAGGCCCAGGCATTTTCAAAATACTGTTGTACGACATCACTGGCGGCTTCTGCGGCCCGAAGATATTGAACCACGACCCCGGATGCATGCAGTCGCAACGGCGCGAGCGGCAAGATCCAGATGTCATCCCGTCATATCGCAGCGCTCTCTGCCGGTAAACACAGGGCTACGCATGAGCCATGGTGGTCGGAAATTATCTTGCTGCAAACGAGCATTGGACAAATGATAGGAGCGGCATGCCACTGAAGGATGCTCACGGATCTGTCAATGCAGCCACATGTGTATACCAGCGGTACAATCGCTTGCAGCGCCTACTGACGCAATGCAGGCACGAATGTAGACACGCGCTCCCGACCAAGTAGTGATGTTGCGGAAGGAGCTGGCGAGCCATCACCACAACCAGAAGTACAGAGCTGCAACCAACGAGTGGTGCATGGCTTGCAGACTGCTTATTCTGAATTCATTGACACGACACTCGCACTTCGCTGTGATTCTTGTACGCAGACGCATGCATGTGCGCGCTATCCAGTGGACGTGAAACCCCCCCCCCCCCCTGTAGAGCTTGATCTGTTCCAGGTACATGCTCAGCCAAGTGCTATCCAAAGAAGCCCTAGAAAGCCATGCCGAAGTAGAAGCTGCGGTCACCGGAGTGCACATGCGACTGGCAGAATGACGATATACTTAACGCCTTGATAGGGCTCCGCCCATTCAACGAAAGTGTTTGGAATTCGTGCTTCGAGGATCGTCCTGTTAAACCGCAACTCCTCATACTGCCCCGTCGTGGAGCCCCAGCCCCGCCGCCAGGCCCCACCGGATGACTTGTCACATTCTCAATAACATTGTCGTGCAGGTCGCAACTGCCGTGGCGCTAGACCACTTGATAAACCGCATCATCACAGGCAACCAAGCACCGTTCCAGCAAAATAGGCTCCAGTTGCAAATGCAGGAAAGTTTCGACGGGGCCGGTGGACGTCGGCGGAACTTGGCATGGTTGGAGGTCTGCAAAAAGCCACGTGTGGTGTGAGCGGAGATTGATGGAATCATGGAAGACTTGACGAACCAGCGTTTGACAGACTAGCGGGTAGAACCGACGACCCTTTTCCTGCCCCCTTTCGCGAGACGCAACGTCTTTTGGCACCCTGACAACGCGGCCACGGTAGATGCACGTTGTGAGCCCTCGGAGGTGCTGATTTCCATGGCTGCTGTTGTGGCTTGCATGACTGTCATCGTTCCGCCTTCCCTTTTGATTCCTCGTTGTAGCACGAGCCCTGTGGTTGTGCAGTAAGCCAGCAACTGTATTGACCTATTTCGTAACTCTAGCTGGGAAGAGTCGAGTGGCGCTCGGTTATTCGCCCGTAAACATGAGCAAGTACTGTCACTACTACGTCGTCGTCTGCAGCCCCTCAATTTGACGACGCCATTCGCGGCCGGAGTTGCTCTCTCCAAAGTCCCCTCGAAGACAAGCCAACAGACTCGTCTTGGCCTTGTCCATCATCTTTCGGAGACTCGCGTGTCCTTCGGTGCGCATCGGCTGCAATACCTGCAGGGTTTCGACGACGCGGTCCAACCTCTTCTCCATGAGTCTCCTATCTGCCATCCAAGCCACATCCGAATGGTCAAAGGGTCTGTACAGCGCTTCGACACCGTTGACAATAGTGGTTTCCCGCCTACAATTTTCGTTAGCTTCGGGAGAAAACCGTTGGTCGGACGTCACTTACGAATCCTTGTCGCCGGCTCCAATTCCATTGTCCACATCCATGGTGTCTTCGTTCTCGGTCTCCACTGCGGCAGTGAACACAGGTTTAATCACATCGCACATTGCGTCAAACAGGTCGAGGTCTTCTCGGCTTGAAGCGATGAGGCCTAGACCCTTGAGGGCATGCGGTCGGTACGTCACATTCTGTCGTTTGGCTTCTCTTAAAATAATCTATCGCCAATCGAGTCAGTAAATCTGGTAGGCTATCTCGCGATTATCCGACGATCGGTATGTTGCGAAAGGATGCAGCATGCGGCTCGCGCGCGTGGTAAAGCAGGGTACGTCACTCACCTTGACGAATGTCTTTGCGACAGCATCTTCAGCCGACCAGATATGCTTGGTGCCTTCTACGAACTTGGCGAATGCGTAGAGTACCGCCTCTTTGCCGTCCCAGGTCTTGCCGCCGAGTGCTTTCTCGAGAACGGGCCATACCAAGTGGCTGGTCGTAGTATCGAACCCACTGCTCATTGACGCAAGAGCCGTTGTAGCATCGGCGACTGACCGGGCTGCTGTATGTTTGATGACCCATTGCGGTGAGTCCATATGCTCCTGAGCCATCAACAAAATCTCTTTCAGGTAAAGAGAGATGGCTCGGCTGCCACCAACATTGTCTTCCCATGTGTTGCCGAAGATCTCTTTGACCTGATCGTGAGAGTCATGCTTGCCGAAGAAAATGAAAGGTAAAAGATCAGATGCAAGAGAGTTGAAACGATCGTTTGCATGCTTCGATATTGCTTGCATAATTTCGGCAGCTGCAATGCTCTGGCGTGGGACTGCTTGTTCGCGGTCTCCTTCACTTTCGAAATAAAGCTTCTTAGCAAAGCTGATCAGCCGAATTATCTGTTTGTCTGATGCACCCCGGGCGACATAACCTGACGAAGCAGCGTACGAACTGGATACTGTCTCGTTGCGATCGATCACTTGTCTCTCAATCAGCCTCAGAAACTGGTCTGCATAAGGCTTGAAGAGCACGTTGTGACGTGTACTAAGGGAGACCAGAACGCGACTGCAGCCGACCTTAGATGGCAGTCCCACTGCACTCTTCATAGCAGCTTCGAGACGAGGTTGGAGCTGTTCCATTGAGGGCTCATCAAGGAGATCTAGGCACCTTTCAATGGCTTCCATCAGAGGACTGCTGCGAATACTTGACAGACGGATATCGTCAATCTTCTGCTCCGTGAGATTGTACTTGCTTGCATTGAGATGCAAGTAGTTGACAGCTTGCGGCTCAAGTATACTCAAAAGACCTACCAGACGCTCGACCAATTCAGGAATGAATGGTCGCAAGATNCTGCCGCTAGCCTTTTTGATGATCTCCAACAGGGTATGCAAGGAGAAGGTCTGAACCTCTTCCGCGCTCGACTCGATGCCAGACGTAGAGAGAAGGAAAGGGAGTACGTTCTTCAGCAGCACTGCAGCATTCTTCGATGCCATGGAATCTGCCTCGAGTGATCTTGTGAGGATACCCGTGAGTACGCGAGCCAGAGCTGCTGCTGCGGCTCTAACGGACTCCTTGATGTCGTCGAGCACTTTAAAGCAGACGCCCCAGATCTTCTCAAGGTACTTTTCGTACTTCTCCAGAGGTCGACCTTGCACGAGGTCACCGATCGCTGCACATGACGCTTGACGGACTCGCCATTCTTTACCGAGGATGTTCAGTAGCAGATCATCCATGATGGCATCAAAGTGTGAGTCGATGGTTGCTGTAGAGTCTTTGACCAGTGCATTCCAGATATCAGTCATCGATCTCTGAACATTAGGATTTGGATCAAATCGGTACCGATAGAGCTTGGGGTACAATTTCGGGTTGCTGGCGAGGTATCCATCTACACTCGAGTCCGATAAGACGTTGCTGAGCCCGAACCTGCCAAATGCAGCTCTACTCGACCAGATAGCATTGCTAGACGCCAATGACATAAAGCGATATACTAGACTAGAGTCACCGACCTCCGCGGCAAGACTCATAATATCTTTATAGGTGGTGACGGATCCATCACCAGTGGGAAGCGCTCCAGGCTCAAAGAGTTGGGTTTCGGCAGTGACGCTACCGGCCAGCTGTGCCTTGTTGTCAGAAGAGAACGATCCGATCAGATCTCTGACCAGGTCATCCTTCAAGCTCCTATCTCCTTTTTCGTAGACGAGACCAAGACCTCTGGAAGCTGTCTCCTGAACCAATTCGTCTCGATCAGAAAGGCACTTCTTGAAAGCCACCTGGCAGGCAGCCAACTGATTTTGAACTTCTTCTAGATGGCCACAGAACTGCACCAGACATAGTAGCCAGATGACTGATGCCTTCTTGAGCGATGGCTTAGTTTGTTTGCAATCCTGGAGCGTTCTGTCAAGTAGATTGCGCAACGCGTTGATTCGTTGGGGCCCAGTTGGCACTGGAGACTCTATATCAATGCGGTGGATAAGAGCTTTGGACCTCCAGCCAACCGCCGTATAGCTCAAAGCTTCACCAACTGAAAAGTGTGTCTCGGCTTGTCGAATATCGTGCAGCTGATGCAAACGCTCTGAGGTATGCTCAAGGATTGACTTTTCTTCGGTGCCTGCTTCGAGTGGTGGTTCTTCGAGTACAGTGGCCATCTGTCCAACAGCCAGAGCTGCACTCTCGCTACCTCCCCTGGCTATGTCAGCCGTCTTATCGATGATGACCTTAAAGCCGCCTAATTCCTCAAAGATAGCTGGTTTGATTGCCTGGAACAGACACAAATCACCGATAGCGTTATAGCTCGCCTCTTGCAACACCTTGTCGGTGGATTGGAGAAGGATTTCTACAACCTTGGTTGTATATTCTGAGAAGGGTGCTGAAGACTCAAAGTCGTTACCACCTCGCAGAGCGTATCTGCTGTAGAAGAAACCCAACGCAGACACGGCTCCATGGACTTGGTTTGCTGCTGCGCCCACAGCATCGCGCCAACCTGAAACCTTGCTCAAAAGTTGCTGGACAGCATGTAGCACTTCTGCTGGGCGATCGATTTGGTTCCTAGGATGAGAAGCGAGCAGACCGAAAGCATGAGCAGCAGATTGTCTTGTAGTGAGCTTGTTTGAGAAGATCGAGGGCATCAAACCAGCAAACCGCGGAGCCACTGTTTCAACAAGTGAATCCGGGCTGAGAGCACAAAGATCCAGGAACAGCTTATCTGTGTCTTCGACCTTGACCTTGCTGCCTTCAGGAATCAACACGCTTACAGAGAACGCCTGTAACAAGAGCTGCAGATTTGTGGCAGCGATCTGTCCACCAGCAGCAAGGTGTGCAATGCACTCTTTGACCGTCTGTCTGATTTGCTCATCGTTTTCAATCGCAGTGTCGAACTTGTATTCCCAGTCGGCGTCTAGCTTGACTTGAGTCGAGCTCTTGGACATGGCATTGTGCATGAAGACGCGTCGACAGTATTTAATCGTGTCCATAAATGCACTTGGGTGTCGCGAAAAGAGTTGCTCGACTGCCTTTGCAGGATCGCGGTCTTCGGAGGAGCCCAACATATCCGCGTTCACTTGATAGAAGGCGTATTCCATCAAGTCTTGGAAGAGAGGAAACTTGACACTTTCGTCTGTTTCGGACATTCCAATCGAACCATTTAGCATACGGTACCAGTATGGACTAAGCCCGCGTCTGCCCTCTTCAACAACTTCTTGTCTGTCAGTGGCTTCAGCAGCAATGGCTAGCAAGTTCACCCAGCGAGCCTTTACAGACGCATAAGGTAAGCAACGATTGGCGTATCGAACAGCGACGTAGCGAGTACTGCGACGTTGAGGTGTTCCAGATCTGTACATTTGGTCAATCAGAAGATTTTCGAGACTGATCGCAGTCTCTAAATCTTGATGTTTTGCAAATGCTCCCAGCATGGTTGAGAGCGACTCCTCAATGCTGACAGTGACTGAGCTTGAAGTTGTGTCCAGAGCTAAGGATTCAAGAAGCCAGCGTAGAATGTCCAGGTTCGGCTCGACCACCAGATCCTTGGGACCAGCTTTGGCCAATAGACCAATCACCTCATAAGCATAGCCGCGGGAGACAAGATCCTCATTGTGACTAGGTCTTGGCCAACTTTGTCCCTCAATGTATTCTCGCAATCTTCCGAGGACTCTAGGGGCGATGGCGTAGAGACTCTTTTCACTGCCAAAACGAGCCACAAAGTTGATATAGACGAATATGGCCGCACGAAGTCTTGTCGCTTCTCTCCCAAGTGAAGATGAGTTGTTATTGTCTGAGGTCGCAATACCATCGTTGACGAGTCTGACGATCTGTTCGGTGAATGTGGTGCTTATGGTTGATTTAGCAAACAATCCGAGAATCTTCAGCTGCAGCGGCACCCGGACTCTCTTCTGCGAGTTGACACCCTCGTCGCCGAAATACAAAGTATACAGAGATTGGATGAAATCTAAGTCTTCGAGCGAGATATTTGGCAGAGTTCTCTTCAGCATATCTTCTCCAATCTCAGAAGTTGATTCAGTGGAAGCAAACAAAGCAGGAAGAACACGCTCATTGTCCGTAAACAAGCCGCTGGCAAGAACTTTGGCGACACTTGACTTGGTCTCGAGCAGGTTAAGACCCATGGGAGATGCTGGATTCCAAACATCTTCTTTATTTTGCAATGTCAGAAAGGAGTATTCACTGGGTCTGAGACCAGGGCAAGTCACTGAGGCGGTGTTGCTGGTGCCTCTGACAACAGAGAACAGAATCAACCTTCCGAACCAAAAGGCCAAGAATGAAGTATCTTCGATACTGAGCTGAAGAGTTGAACGCAACTCGTCGTCTTCTTTGGCGCCTCTTGGCGGGAGCTTGAAGTATTTCAATAGCTGGAGGAGCAGATTGAACATCTGAGAACCATGGGTGGGCGACGTCTTGGCTGCAGAAGCAACGCTTTGTAGTACGACTGGAAATAGAGCGGTGCTCTCGACAAACGACATGCGTCGGACACCAGTCTGTATGTACAAAAGATCAAAGTGGCGGATCAGCGGAGTGTTAGGATTTGATTTGAACTGTTCAACAAGAGCTGCAACAGGTAGCTTGATAGACNNCTGGATATTGTCAGAAGAGCTTTCAAAATGACCTTCAAATACTCACTCTGGTTTTATCCTAAGATTGATGTGTTGGCAAATGCTGATGACCTTGTTTCGGACGCTCATATGCTCAGAGGCAAGTTTGAGGAGGAGGGGAGCCAAGTAGGTGTTTAGAGTAGCTTGCAACTTCTGATCACCGTCGGCAAGTGCTATGCGCATCTCTACTTTGCCCACAAGGGACAACTCCTTTGCCTCTGGTGATTGTTCGGTAGCCATGTTGTCGACGCTTTTGGTCGAAGAGTGGATGGGAGGAAGGTGAGACGGGAGTACTTCAGTCGTTCACTTTTGTGAGCATGGCAGATAAGAAGGATCCAGAAAAACAGCAGCAAGATAAAACAACGATCTATAAACGTGTTGCCACAAGTGTACGAGTCCCACGACTGCCTGAATGTGGTCGGACTTCGCTGATTGATAATGAACCAAAGAGGCAAGCGCGCCTTGGCGAGAAGCGGCGACCCTGACTGACTCCTCCGCATGCACGTCGCGCGAATAATCAATTTCAAGCTCTCCATATTCTCCGACATCGCATCCTCAAAGCTTGCGCGAGCTGTTCCGGTCAGTGATTTTCCAAACTCCATACATCGCACAGCAAACATGTCCAACACCAAGGCCAAGTTGACCGTCTTGATCTCTGGATCGGGAAGCAACCTCCAAGCGCTGATAGATGCCTGCGCAAACGCCACTCTCCCCAATGCAGAAATTATCCGTGTTGTATCGAACAAGAAAGCCGCCTATGGACTAGAAAGAGCCCAGAAGGCACGCATTCCTACCGCCTACCACAACCTCCTGGAGTACAAGAAGCGCTTCCCAGATGCAAGCGAATCCAAGAAATTCGAGCAGGCCAGAAGCGAATACGACCGCGACCTGGCCTCTCTAGTCCTCGCCGACAAGCCCGACTTGGTCGTCTGTGCAGGCTGGATGCACATTCTCGCTCCCACTTTCTTGGAACCACTGAAGGAGGCTGGAGTACCTGTCATCAACCTTCATCCGGCACTTCCTGGCCAGTTCAACGGCGCCCACGCTATCGACGAGGCATACCAGGCATTCCAAGAGGGCAAAATTGACAAGACTGGCATCATGATCCACTATGTTATCCTGGAAGTTGACATGGGAGAACCAATCGTTACGAGAGAGATTCCTATGCGGAACGGTGAATCACAGGATGACCTCGAGCAAAGGATTCACGAGAACGAATGGCAGTTGATCGTGCAAGGCACGCAAAAAGCCATCGATACGCTCTGGAAGTCAAGACAATCGTCATGAGTAGGAGCTTGGCACAACGGAGGACAAACAACAACGAATGAGAAATGATTTTTCACTGGCCGATATGAGCCTGGGACCACCATCTATATGCTCCGACGCTGTTAAACCGACAATAACGAAAGAATCAAAGCGCAATCAATCTTCGTCTATCTTGTTTGCAGAGAAATCGCCGAGTAGGATGTCGTCTGGCGCAGGACCACGAGTATTGCGCACTNNAGAGGGCAAGTCAGCTACAGGTGCTTGTTCGCGAACAGCAAGCACAAAGTACTTACCCCATTCGGTTTCGACGCGGAAGAAGATCCAAATCCAGCGTCGAAGCACCTCAAGCAATTCCATTACGAAGATGCCACCTTCCAGATCGTTAAAGTGGTCCAAGTGTGGAGAGAGCTTGAAGCTCCATGTACAACGGAGCATCAGATCCATGCAGATAGCCCCATAGTACATCTCCTTGGCATGGAAATAACGATTGCGACGAAGAGCCCATGGGTGCTCAGGGTCGTTCCTCTCCCTTGCCGTCGAGAACAAGGACAAGTCCCAATCTTTTGTGACATCCCAGTAGAACGAGTAGAAGGAGTTGACGAACACAAAGAAAAGCNNCTGCAGATTGTGAGCGATGCAGTCAGTGTCAGGGAAATTGTCATACCATAGGCGAAACAAGCCGGCTTCAGACATGCCGATTTTGGCTGGGTCGTATCCTCTCATCAATGCGCTCAGGATGATGACTGGAAAGGCACTCGAATACTTGAGAGCATTGGCAAGATGCTGGCCACCCCATCCATGCGCACCGATGCCTCCATTCTTTGCGTTGGCCTTGCGGACTCTGAAGTATTCAATCAGGCACTGTCTGAGGCGAATCATGCTAGGGATAGCGATGATGAACGGCACCAAGTATGAACCTCCGGCTTGTCGATCCGGCTTCTCTGTTGAACTTCTGCCTGACGAGAAGAACATGTAGAGAGCAATGAACAGGTCTCCCATAACTTTTGCATAGCTTGTCAAGACATCGGCCATCAGAACATCTCCGAATTTTCCATCGTGGGCTTCAGCCAATCCCCCCNNTATACTGACGCGTTTGAGGGTAGCGAGAGTTCGGTATCGGCCACTGCGTGAGACGCGCTGGATGGGCAGGACGAATGCGAGTACAAGCACGAGCAGGTATAGATTGGGTAGAATTTCCCAGTTTGCGACCGAGGCAGGATTGCCATGTGTGATGATCCAGAAGAGGAACAGCGAGAAAGCGAGAGGAATGGTGAGGAGAGTCGCAAGGCGGTAGGTCGAGAGGTGGTGCGGCGGTTCGGTGGGAGAGTTGCGGGCAGGGTAGCGAATAAGGGATGGCACGTCNCTATGCGAATACAGTGAGCCACAGGCTTGGTTTTCGGGATATGGATGACAAGGCAGAGAGTTGCATACAATCTTGATTAAGTGCAGATAGTGTAGATTCAGCCCCCAAGCCCAGACGCCNTGTATGTTTGGTCAACTCCTCTATAGAAGGCCTGGTGCTATATGGAAACATGGCGTACCCAAAACGATGATCAGAGCAACACGATACGGCAGCGGAAGCACCAGGCTGAAGCCATCTAGCTGCGACTCGACAGCCGGATCCCCATCCATGACGGCTGGCCCTGTGTTTGAATGTGTACAGAGATTGACATCCAAGGAGTCGCGTGCTGTCGCAAACAGGAGCGTCTCCCAAAATACGTACATTCAACGTTGGTCCAAGCAAGCTTGCGTTGCCAACAACCCCTGTGAAGGCTGCATAAACGCAGCTGCAAGCACAAATTTCCGACAAAGCTACTCCGCAATCGACTAACCCGATCTGGATCAGGGACCGTGTCGAACTGAAATCATCCAAATGTCGTCATGTCTGGAGCGTTCTTCTGTGACCATCGAGACAGGTGATGTCGAACGTATTTGACCAAAACTGACTTCGTCTGCTCTTTTGTCCTCTCTGACATCAATTCTCCTCTTCGACTTTACAACATCAACACTCGACTTCTCCGAACCCTTTTCAATTGACAACTTCTATCAATCGGCTTTCTTCAATTGGTCAACCAACACTCACATTCACATCAAACCATGTCTTTCTGGAGCCGTCCTCGCAACCTGGTCATCCTCGGTGGTGTCCTTGTCGGTGCTGCTTTCATCCCTACTCCCGGCTCTAAGACCTCGTACGCGTTCTCTCCTCTTCCCTTTGCCCAATGCCTCACACCCAGAGTCCTACCAAAACCGCATAGTGAAGCGGCTACAAAGAGCGCAGCTCAGCAATCAGCTGCTTCTCTCAAAAAATCACGCCATCCTGCCCATCGCAGCTTTTCTCGAACTCCTGGCTGACCTCACTCTCCAATCATANGCAATGTCTTCGAGACCCAAGGCACANAAAACATCGGCGCCCGCTGGTCAGCAGGCGGCGGTTCAGACGTCCACACTCCTGGCGCCGCTACCCCTCGCGGAAACATCGAGAACACACAAGAGAACCAGGTAGATCCCAAAGGTTCATATGCCCCCCAAAAAAATGCCCTGTCAAACTGACACATCTTTTCTAACACAAAGACCAACGCCTCAGGCATCCGCAGCGAACACTTCCAGGAGAATCAAATCTCCCAGCGCCCTGGCGAGCCCGGTACTTTCGACAAGGCCTGGAACAAGGCTCACTACGGCACCGAGAAGGGCAAATAGAGTGTTTGATTTCCCTTTTCGATTCGATGCGCAATACGAAGCACGCCCTTGTGTCATGATGATATGCGAACGAAGCACTGCAGGGATGGGTTGTTAGCATTATGACGTCCCGAGGGAGTCTTTACGCAACGGAAGCAGAGAAAATCTATGAAATACCCTCTTGTGCTCCTGGGGAGCAGGCTTGTAACGTTGTATCTACTATATTTTCGACTTTCGATGGAATTCCAAAGCATGAGCGTTGTTTCTTGTTCACCACTCTTGTTCCAAACTTGTCAACGCTCTGTTTCTGTATACATGTATCGCTTGAGGACTCATCATGCCCCAGACCCACGTCCTCGAGTATCGCGAAATTTCGTTCTGGGAACCAACAGTAAAGTGGCCGACCAAGAGCTTCAATCAAGCCGTAGGTATGGAAGCTACCACACAAAAGGTCTACACGATGGTCTAGACAAAAGATCTTGCACACAAACAATCAACATCAATCTCCCGAAAAGATAAGCCTTTCTTGTCTCTCTTGGCCTACCACATTTTCTGGGCATTCTGCATGTGGATTGTGACCATCGACTGTTTTTTGTTTTCTTTCTGCCAAGTCAATCATGACCTGGGGAGCACCCTGCCCTTTAGAACATTGTCAATGAAATACTTCTTTACTCATTGCATATGTGTTTAAGTGGTAGTATCATGTTATCTATCGCATGTTCTGGTAGTTCCAGCTATTAATATATATAAATTTGAGCGTGGAAATGATTTGTTAGTGTATGATATAGATCATTAGGAGATTCTTGATGAGATTGTTACACCATGGTCAGCGTTTGGAACCATATACTGTAGCAGATCAAAAACACAATTCCTTGAGCTCAATCCTATATGAGGAGAACGGGTGCTAGAGATGAATGCAAGGTAATATCATCCATGTGGGGACACCAAGTGGTAGCATTCCAAGAAGGGGGATTAGAAACCCTTCAACGAATCGAGAAGCAGTCTAGAGGTACAGGCTTGCGAGAACAGGTCACAAGTCACACGACACAGAGAGACTGACAAAAGTAGAAGCAAAATATGCATATAAACAAATTCCATGTACGTGTATTAAGCTAAACAGCCAAAGCAATATATGTACTCGAAAAACAATGATGAAAAAAACATGAACACAAAACTTTTCTGCAAACGAACGTCCACCTTCTTGACAAGTCAAGAATCGCACCTAGTATCCCAAAAGAGCAGAGGCGCCAGGCTCGCTGGAAATGTAGACAGTAGCGTGACTGTCACTGAATCCATTGAACTTAGTGGCACTGCACTTGGTGTACGCGCCCATGTCCTCGAAATAGAGCCAATCGCCCACGTCAAGAGTCTGGGCACAGGTCCAGCTCTCGGAGATGCAATCGATGCCGTCGCAAGTGGGACCCCAGATTGAGTATTCAAGAGGCAACTGGTTGCCAGCATCGTAAGCGGCGACGGCGTCGTAGGTGGAGGCGGGCGAGGTTGCAGCCTTCAGCACACGGGGGATAGGGTGCTGGTGGTCGAACATGATGGAGCTGAAGTTGCCGTAGACGCCGTCGTTGAGGTAGAGCATGTAGCTGTTGACACCAAGAGCCTTGTCTTCGACCGAACGACGGGCAATGACGTTGCAGGCGATGGTGAAGGCCGAGGAGACGTAGTAGCGTCCAGGCTCGCCAATGACGCGGACGCTGGGAGGGAAGTATTCATCCAGAGCAACGGACAACACAGCGGCCATGTCGTCAAAGGTCTCGCTAACAAAGCCACCACCAACGTCGAGAGTTTTGAGATCGTATCCAAGAGCGGCTGCCTGATCAAAGACGAAACGGGCATCACGGACGGCCTTCAGGAAGGCTGCAGGGTCAGAAGCGCCCGATCCGACGTGGAAAGCAACACCGACAACGTTGAGGTCGAGCTTTCTAGCGAGAGCCAAAAGATCACCAGTGTCGTCGAGCGAAGCACCAAACTTGAGACTCAGGCGACAAAGACTGGCCGAGTCGTCGGTGAGAATGCGAAGGTACAGCTCGGCATCCGGGTATAGTTCCTTGATCTTGTAGAGCTCATCAGAGTTGTCGAAAGTCATCTGGCGCACGCCTTGCTTGGCAGCATAGCGGACGTAAGACTTGGTCTTGCAAGGCTGGGCGTAGATGATGCGAGAGGGATCAACACCGAGGCGGAGAACCATGTCGATCTCGGCCTTGGAGGCGCAGTCAAAGCCAGTGCCCATGGCAGCAAGCAGACGCAGAACCTGAGGGTCGGGGTTGCACTTGACGGCATAGTGGGGCTTGACGCGGTTGAGGTGCTTCTTCCAGCGCAGGTGCTGGCGGTAGATGTCGCCCATGTCGGCGACGAAGAAGGCGTCCTCTTCGCCGGGCTCGCAAGTGTCTTCGTCAATGCTCTGCACACGCTGCTGCAGGGCACGGCCAATCAGGGCCTTGGAGAGAGCCTTTCCATTGTGGCTTTCTTCGAGACGGGGGATGTAGGAATCTTTCAGCGACAGAGATGCATAGTGCTCAGTGGTCGGAGAGATAGCCGAAGGTGCCATAACCAGATAGTAGAAGGGTGGGTGAGGCTCGCAATCGAGTGGTGTTTAGAGTGGTGTACAGTCTTGTCCAATACGTCTTATGGCGGCTTGAAGGGCGCGAAACCTAGACTGGATTGACGGCTAGGCCTCCACGAGTCTTCCTCCGAGAGAGGAAGAACCCCAGAGATAGTCCTATGCGGCAGCTGGGATTCGGGCGAATCTAATAGCGGTGTCTGGTGCAGACCAAAAAGCAGACGGTAGAGTTCGTTGTATGAAGCCACAAGAAGAGGTGACGAAAATCCCTCAGTCGCCCAGGTTCATTCAACGACGCAGTGTGCGTGGTAGGATGAAGCGGACGCGTGGGATGCGTGATTTGGATAAGCTGTGAGTTGCAGGAGGGAGGAGAGACGGCGAAGGGACACAGAGGTAAGAAAAGACTCAAGGTCCGTGTGTGCGTAGCCAGCCTCAGGCTTGGTGTTGCGGCCAAAAATCGCTCCTCAACGCCCCCAGGAAATGTACCGTGCACTCCAATCGTCATGCTGCGGGCAGACCTTCGAGCAGGAAATCCATGACCACCCCCAGCTCACCACCTTGCTGCGAGTGATGCTCTCTGTTTCTCCGCTGTACCCTATTCAAATCGATGATCCCCTTGGGCCGTCTTTGTCTCCTTCTCTGCCTCTGGTCTCCTCCACCAGCACTGTTTGCTGAAATCTCGTTGGTCGTCAGTGACATGCCGAGCGCGTCCGCGCCGATGCCCCTCTATTCTCGATGTTCCTCGATCATCGGGATTTGAACACCGCAACGACGCCCAAAAAACTCCACTCTATTAAATATCTTCACACGCTTTTTCTTGCTCGCGCTCTCTTTTGGCAATCTAATGTTGATGGAAAAAATTATTCTATTACTAAGGCCCACGCAGTGTTGTTGGACTAGCATACTCGATGTTCTTGTTGCCAACAATGACAATACACTTCCCGTCCACCAACAGCCATCTTACGATGTCGTCTCTCGTCGCTTCCAGCCTGTACAGTGATGTTAATGCTTCCACTGCTCTATTACTATGAGCAAACGCCGTCTTGAATCGATTGCTGTGATAGTATCCAGCCTTTTGCTAGAACACTATGAGATAACCGAGTGTCCAGACAGATAGATGTATTATTGACCGAGAGCGTGAAGTATCGCTGGATTCTGCGTGTTGAGTTGCTTGCGCGTGGGCTGCTCCTTCTATTCCATTCTCAATGCATCTGTTTTCCAAAACATAGGTATATCTCATGGAGGTAGGTACCGTGTGTGCATCCACTCTTCCTCGTCTCCTAAAGCAACGACTCCTTCACAGCAGCTTCCCCGTGCAATGCAAGATAGCAGGAACAAGACTAAGCAGCGACGAGACTTTCACATTCCCACCTCTTTCTTCGATAAAGCTTTTCCAAACCGCTCAAGCGATACACCTGCTTCTGTTACACCACGGTATTCTTCTCGAAGACCTTCCGTTGCACTGCATGTTCGTTGGAACCACCTCTACTTGGTCTCATCTATTCAGGGTCAAGCATAATGGACCACGAGATGGACATCAACAAACGCACCAAACCATGGGCCGCTCGAGCCAACCTCGATGTCAACGATGCTAACGAAATTGCACGCCTTTTTGGAGTTGACCTCAAGTTCAAAAGAGGGCAGCAGCCAGGTACTTTCGAGCCCCCAGATAACAGAGAAAAAGAAGAAGATGCCGATGATAGCACGACCGAGTCATCGCAGCCAGAGCAAGGCAGCTCAAACGGAGAGAATGAGAAAAAAGACGAACGTAAAGGAAGTAAGGATGAAGCAACCGACGATGAAGAAGAGCAGGACGAATATCAAATTTGTTCGATCAGGCATGGCGCAGGCAAGAGAGAGACTCGGCGATGCAGCCATGATCTCCGACGATGAAGACAGTGCCAATAACTACGACAATACCACTAATAATACTACCGCCAATCATCACTAAACGAGAGAAATGCTTCAAAGTCGAGTCAGGGAAACTGGATTCCACGCTTTTAAGAGGACATCGCCATAGACTACCATGCATTACTCGCCATTCCATTACTACCAGATTCATGCCGTAGAAGACTCTTTGGCATGCTTACAGACAATCTCTATCATCGACATTGCGCAAAACTAGAAAAAGGCTCGTAGCCGTGGCTACTTGTGGTTGACCCAAGGTAAAAGGGTTTAGTAATGCCAGAACCGAGCGATTGGCAATCGAGCCTACACAGTTTTTGCAAGTGAAGGTGAAAAGCCTTCACCTTTCAAAAAAGCCATCTAAGACGCCAGAGATCCCTTTGTGTCTTCTTCTTTGCATCTTGACTCCTCGAAAAGGAGAAAGAACCACCAGGCATTGTGAATATTATCACAATGAATTTCTTTGTTGATGAGCTCTTTGAGCATTCTGTCTATATCAATGATCACCACCCTTCCAATCTGCCCTGCCTGCTCACCACTAGATCCTGGAAACCTGGACATTTGATTGTGCTAGCTTGGATTCACCTTTCCTCACTATCTTGTTACATCTCCCACGATTCAAGATCTCCTCAGGCCAGGAAGACCATATCGAAACGTAAACGAGAAAGATCAGTGATCCTTCTATACACCAGTCCCTTCTTTCCAGAAACAATTTCACATATCTGTTAAGTAGTCACGCTTTCCGCAAACAACAACAATAACAACAAAAATGCGTTCACACCTCCGCCTCCACCTCCCCAACCTTTCAGACCTCACCCTAACCATCCCCTCCCGCCCCTCAACCTCCTGCTCTTCTTATCTCTCCTGCTCCACTTCCACCTCTTCCACCTCTTCCACCACTTCCTCTGTCTCATCCACTGCACAACTCACCTGCCCCCCTTCCCCAATAACGTCACAAATCCTCGCTTCTTGGTACAAATACGACTGGGCAAATAGCAGTGATGCACTCACCGAATGGCTGAACGCCAGATGGAAGAAGTCAGGCTATGTGGTAGACAAAAGAGTCGTGCATTTTTTGATCAAGATGCAGGGGGACAGGGATGTTGCAATGGGCTTGGGTGATTGTTTGGGTGGTGCGTTTGTCAGACCTTTGAGATGTGTTGGGGACGAGTAGAGAGTCTTTTTTTCGCTTGGATAGCAGAGAAGGAATGTGTGAGTGAGTTATTTGTGGAGGTTGATACTGCTATGATCCTTTTTGAATAATGCTATCGTCGTGTTTCAATCTTTGTCTTCGATTTTCCCTTGAAGTGACGTGTTTTATGCATATAGAGAGCGGTATAATTGCTTTTCAATAAGCGCCGGTTTTGCTGTTCGAGTCCTCTTGAGTGAGGAAGGTGTAGAGCACGATGTGTTGCGTGTAGTGCTCTTTCCGAAAATCATCTTCACCCACATATCCATGCTGAGCTATATCGGTCTACATTTTGTCAGCAAACTTTGTAGGTCAGTACAAGCAGTCAGGAAGAGATGAAAGCGGATGGTGATGTAGGCCTATCGAGAAAGTCGTCAACAACAACCTTGTGCTGCAGACAATGAAACATTAACGTCACAAGGAAGTCAAGCACCATCGATTTTTTTCTTTGAAATGTTGATTTGGCGCCTCGTGAGTGAGGTGAGGTATAAGGAATGACATAAAAGCGAATACAGTAAAAACAACCAAAAGGGGTATTTCAGCGCAGTCAAAGGGGACGGCGGTCAATCAAAGCAAGGAGCACGAGGTTTGTTTCGCAAGTACTGAGTGAGCCAAAATGAAAAGAGAGCTTTGTGGAGAGTTTAGGGATGGGTAGAAAAAATGTCAAATCGGCTAGTGTATTCGTCAAGCTGCAACGCATTTTGGGGAATCAATTCATTTCGACGCTCAGTAGTGCTCCAGGCCAGACGACACGCTCCAAGCCAGAGGGCGTCTGTGCGAAAAAAAGACGTGAAATGGTCAAGTGGATTTCGTGATACTCGAGTCGTCTCTTTACGAGGCCTCGGCCTTGGGCTCCTCGACAGACTCGGTGGTCTTGGACTCCTCGGTCTTAGAGGCCTCGGAGGCGGCAGCGGGCTCTGGCTCGTTGCCGTCGGACGAGGTCCAGAGGGTGAGGTTGTCACGGAGGAGCTGCATGATGAGGGTGCTGTCGCGGTAGGACTCCTCTGAGAGCGAGTCGAGCTCGGCAATAGCGTCGTCAAAGGCCTGCTTGGCGAGGTGGCATGCGCGGTCGGGGGAGTTGAGGATCTCGTAGTAGAAGACGGAGAAGTTGAGGGCAAGACCCAGGCGGATGGGGTGAGTAGGGGTAAGCTCAGTCTGGGCGACGTCGGTAGCGCTNCTGGGGAAGAGTTGGTCAGCGAGGGTCCAGTGCAGCGACAGGGTTGAATGGCAACATACCTTGTAGGCCTCGTGGGCAGCGGTGGCGGCAGTCTTGCGCTTGTCGCCAGAGGCGAACTCGGCGAGGTAGCGGTGGTAGTCACCCTTNCCTGGATGCTTGTCAGAAAAGTGACTCAAAATCAATGATGTAATGTAAACACACATCTTGTGGTAGAAGACTTTGCTCTCGCCAGACTCGGCCTTGGGGATCAGGGACTCGTCAAGGACGTCAAGGACATCCTGGCAGACCTTCTCGAGCTCGGTCTCGATCTTCTGGCGGTAATCGCGGATGATGGTAACGTGCTTGTCGGAACCCTTNTGCTCCTCCTTCTGCTCGATCGAGGAGATGATGCGCCACGAGGCACGTCTGGTACCGACGACGTTCTTGTAGGCGACAGAGAGGAGGTTGCGCTCGTCAACGGTGAGTTCACCACCGATCNNTGGCTGTTGTTAGTGATTGAGGGGACGGAGTCGTCTGGGCCGAGTTGAAATTACCTTGGCGACTTCCTATTATGGCGAGTTGATGGTTAGCAAGGTAGAGACGGCCAGACGGGTGATGCAGCTGCGAACCTTCATGTAGGTAACCATCTCTNNGTTGGACGTGGTTAGCATTCAAACACACGATCTATGCATGTTCCGGACCAACGTACCATCGTAACGCTCAGCCTGCTCGCACAGTCTGGCGAGGAAGGTCTTGCTGCTTGGGTGTTAGATTTCTCTCGGGTCATAGTTGCTTTGGTGTATTCGTTGGATACCTTTCACGCTGCAAGGTGGGAAAAAGTCAGCGATCTGTCTATCAGTGGATGCATCGGGTCGCGGGGACGAGTGAGGGGTCGAGCGGTTTTGTTGGGCTTTGGAGGCTGCGCAGCTGGATGGCTAACGCAACGCAACACGCGACTTACTTCGGTGGCCATTGTAGAATGTGTGTGGGATGGGAGTGGATGGAGGATGGATTGAGGCGGTGAGGAGTTGGGCGGCGGAGGGTGTGTCTGTGAGAAAGGTTGAAGCTGCTTGTTTAGAAGTCCAGGGCGCGCTGCTGCGAGCGGGCCACAATCGCAGTCCTCCGACCACGTGACTCCATTAACATCGCGACCCTGAGCTAGCGACATGTCGCGACTAGCAAACCTGCCCTGAGCGTAGAACCCCTCATCACCATTAAAATTACAAAGGACTCACCGAGAATAAACACGCAAACTTGTCCTCAAGACGAGACCCTTGTCCGAAGAGTCTTCTATTTCTGGCGCCTGCCTACATCATGCTACTCTGAGAAAGGGTATCTGATAATCTCGAGAGCCACCATGACTGTCTATTCAAATGCCCTCAATTTCCCTGCCATCTTTCCAAGCCATATCTCTCCCAAACGCCCCCGGTCCCTCCTTGACCATGACAAAGGAAAAAGCAACAACCAAACAAGGAAAGTATCTGTCCTCATCAATGACGTGGGACAACAAACGAAACCATAGAGAACGACTTCCCACTCTGTATCAAGAGTCTTAATGCCGCTACATGAGCAAGCGCCACACACCAAGAATAATGGCGGCAGTACCCGTCGTTACACCNCCTAGAATCCCCATGTTAGCAAAGCCTCCATTTGCCGTCGGTCCGTTCGGAGATGAGACGTACATCAACCATTGCAGCGTCGAGAACTTGACCTGTTCCAGACGTTCTCTTAGTGCTGCCGCTTCCTGTTCAATCCTGGTCTCGGTTTCCTTGATCTTGAGATCCTGCGAGTTTGCCTCTTCTCTGATCCTTCCTTTCTCCAGGTTGAGGTCCAGTCTCACGGATGCTTGTGTACGCTGGACTTCATCGCGTAGCCTCGAGTTGAGTTTGGCCAGGTCGTTGGTTAGACGCTCGTGTGAGGCGCGCGTGAGCGATGATTCGGTAGAGTCGGCTGAAAGCAGTTCGGAGCGAAGTTTGGCAAAGTCGACCTTCTGTGTGTATGTGGCCTTTTCTTGGTCTTCGCGAAGTACCATTGTCCGCGTGAGGTTCTGGATACTNGTGATAGAATGCCTGTTCAGCTTGGCTTCATTGCAGTGACGTTAGGTTGTCATGTACCTCTCTTCGACGACATCGCTCAAGACTTTCATCATGGCCACGGCCTGCTCCTCGGTGAAGCCCTCATCTTTCAGCCTTTGCACAAACTTGAGTGTGTCAAAGTGGTGATCTCTGTTGCGTTGGGTGGTGGCCGAGAAGTGTCTCCTGGGCTGCACTGCAGCTTTTCCGAATGCGATACGGCCGGCGGAAGGAAAGTTTTGTGCTCTGGAGAGTGCTCGTGTGGTGTAATTCATCGAGGCTGACGGTAGCGTTGAGGCGTGGATGCGGGCGGCGGCATGAAACGGAGTCGGGGCCCGAAGAGACCATGACAGCCTGGGCAGAAGGAATCGCGGGATGGATGTCGGTGAGGCGGCCATTGTGTCGGTCGGTACAGCGTGCGTGATCTGGAATATCAAGGAGAGACGAAACAAAGGAGAGTTTGTTGTAGCAACGACTTGTGGAGGGGTAGAAACGTCCTGAAACGGGGCCAGTCGTACGCTCGAGCCTATGACGCCTTTCCCAACCATCGCACATTTTACAGAGCCAGGCAACCTCTTCGTCATGCAACTTGACAACTCGCGAGTTGACTTGTCAACACGATGAGATAAGAACGCATCCATGTCTTATCTCCATGGTTTCCAAAAAAGATAACTTGGCTCGTGGTATTAGCCTTCTATCCTCCAACCTCGACAAGGACCCTGAGATGCATCAACTGTGATCAGGTCTTGGAACCTTGAAGATTTTGTCTAGAATGAGCATCCATGTGTATATGTATGAAAGCTCCATTCAAGAGAAACAGTTATCGTATTCTATGCTTGACCAGTCTGTTCTACCAAGCTAACAGGCTTCGTTCGCCCTTCTTTTGACATTGACAAGCATCGCTTTTAGCCGAGGCTTCCAACGACATCTGCTTTCCTCCATCTCAACCACCAAACATTCCAATTCTCAAACGTGACAGACCGAGTCTATTATCCATCAGCAAGCATGGCTCCTCTGAAGAACAAGAACCCTTGGGTGGAAACACCACTGATTGAGTCAACACCTCTCTCAAAAGCAGCAGGCTGGTTAGTCTACCCAAAAGCATCCATCACCCATCAAAAAACATCCAAAAACCTAACACCAAACAAAAACAGCAGAATCTTCCTCAAACTAGACAACCTACAACTCTCCGGCTCGTTCAAAGCACGAGGAATAGGTTACCTTATGCAAAGCGCCCTCTCTGCCTCTCCAAACCCATCTACGGTCCACTTCTTTTCTTCCTCTGGAGGGAATGCCGGTCTAGCCGCCGTCCACAGTGCCGTAAAGCTAGAAAGACCCTGCACAGTAGTAGTCCCCTTGACCACAAAACCCATGATGCAGGAAAAGATGCGAGCGGCAGGTGCATCAAACGTCCTCCAACACGGCGCAAGCTGGCAAGAAGCAGACGACTACCTGCAAAACGTCGTCATCAAGACCGCAATAAAAAGAGGAGAAGATTGCGTCTATGTGCCCCCTTTCGATCACCCTGACATCTGGAAAGGACATTCATCTCTCATCGACGAGATTAGTGATCAATTGTCGCAGTTGACGGGCGAAGACAACACTGCACCAGATGTATTGGCTTGCAGCGTAGGCGGCGGAGGCCTCTTCAACGGCATCATGGAGGGAGTATCCCGCCACTCCTGGCACAACACCAAGATCCTCGCCGTGGAGACCAAAGGCGCAGACTCGTTGGCCGAAAGCGTGCGCCAGAAATCTCACATCACGTTACCGGCAATAACATCACAAGCAACCACCCTAGGTGCCAAAAAGGTATCGGCGAGGACTTTCGAGTTGGCCATGCAGAACAGTGAGCAAGTCAAGACTGTGGTGTTGAGTGACGAGGAAGCTATGATGGGTGCATGGAGATTAGCAGAAGATGAGCGATTGCTGGTCGAGCTATCGTGCAGTGTTACAGTGTCTCTGTGCTATGGGGATCGGTTGGAGAAGGCTTTGCAGAGACCAGTCTCCAAAGACGACAGGGTTGTGATTATTGTGTGTGGAGGCAGCAATGTCACCATCGACATGGTTTCGCAGTGGAAAAAGGACTCGGCAAATGTTGATGCAGAGCCGGACGAACTGGAGCAACCCTAGTTAAAAAGATGCACATGCGGCCCACTTGGTGATGTGCTTCACACGTCACAGCGATCGAGGAGATAAAGATCAAAGCAGATGGACTGAAAATAGACAAAACGCCCTTCTGGGTATCATGAATCGAAGAAAGCGCAAATCCGCTACCTATGCCAATGAGAAACAAAACCATCTATCAGCCATACTTGCAGCCCCTGATATCCTAGGCGGCCACTTGGCCCTCACTCAACTGATCTTTGAGGTATGCCCAGTAGTTGGCTCTAATGGGATCATACTTGGAAGCCAGCAAGTCATAAGCCTTGACAGCTTTGCCACTCTGCTCCTTCTCAGCAGCATAGATCTCAGCAAGTATGTCAAGTGCATGGCTAGACTTGACAGCATCCTCATGCTCAGGGTCCACAGTTGCAAACTCATTGACAAAGTCCTGTTGTGACGACAATAGCATCTTGGCCGCAGTGATGATTCCTCGGAGATAGTTCCAAGGTGACTGGTTCTGCGGTGCTTTGCGGATGGCATCTTGAGCAAANTCTGTGTGTTATGCGTTAGCTTGGCAAGCGAGTTGCCAACGGAACAGCAAAACTTACTTGATCTCTCTGTCCACCACATCCTTATCCGCAGTCTTTGGCGGCTTACTCCCAGAAACAAGGAAGAAGCGATGGTTCCAAGCAGAGTTATTCCTCACATCCTCACCAATCAACTTTTCCGTCGCTTCCAACTCTCCCTCATCCCAGAGCTCGAATCTGCGCACCAACCATTGTCTGTAGCTCCACACGTGATAGTTTTTCGAATCCAGCTCAAACATTTGCGAGATGAAGTCTGCCTCGCCCTTGCAGGAATCCAAGCGGTCCACGACGAGTTGGCGATGGTGCCAGATCTGGTAGTTCTTTTGGTGGGCGAGGGCGGTTTCGTTGAGCCAGTCTAGCTCTTTGGCGAGGTCTGCGTTGAGGGCCTTGAGGATCTCGGAGCGGTATAGCCTATTGGTGGGTTAGCGAGTCTGTTTCGCAGGGGGTGAGAGGGGTTCAGGGAAGTGCTCGTACCAGACAGTGTAGTGGGCGGCATTCATGTCGATAATGTCTTCGGTCAGGCTAAGAGCTCTCTCGCTCATTTCGTTCTTTGCCATGACGGCGCGGAGGTAGGACATTGCTTCCGCATACTCGTCCGTGTATGCAATGGCCGCGAGAGGGTTGGGGCCGCCGTCATCTTGAGGCAGGGGCACAATATCGTCCCAGTTCGAGTCGTCCGAGTATTTGCCCATGATCCCTATGGGTTGTTTGTGCACGTTGTCGGTGAAGAATGTCTAGGAAAGTGTACAGGTTATTTAATGGCTTGGACCAACATCAAAAGCGTCATTGTTTAGCAACGGGGAAATGCCAAGGCCGCATGCAGCATGTAAGAACAATATCAAGTCGCAAACGCCCACCCTGTCCGCTCTTGTTTGGAACGCCTTCGTTTGTCACATGAGGACGCTCTGCACCATAATTCTGTTGTACAAAAGCCTTCTTGGTCCAATCATATCCTCCAGAACTTCCAGCCTTCTCGTACACCTCCGTGAACTCCGCCTGTGACTCCGACCAACTTCTCGACTCCTTCACGGCCCTCGACGGCGTCAAACTTGTCTTGGTCAATCTCCTCGCCTCCAAGTTCGTCGCTGCCATTGTCGAGTACAGCAGGCCACAGTACACCAACACCATCGCCTCCAAGTGTTGTCTCGTACTTCTCAAAGCCCTCCGTCTTGAATTCCTTCTCCAGCCGTGCTAGCATTTCTGCTTGTGAATTTACTGTTTCTGCTACAGGCATTTCCTCGCCAACTGCAGGTAAATCCGGTTTGAGCAGAGTAAATGCGCAGCCGCCTCCGCCTGCACCCGTGAGCTTGGTCCATCCAGCTCCCGCCGTATCCACGAGTTCACGCAGACGCTCGAGTTTGGGATGTGAGACTCCGAGACTGACTAGCAAACCGTGGTTTATAGATACCAGTTCGCCGAGTTGAGTAAGCGCTGAAGGATCCTTGGGATCAAAGTCTGGGCTAGTGATCAAGGCGTGTGCCGACTCGGTGACATTGTCTATAGCATCCAGAATATGGTTGGCAATCTTGGGTTGTGTCTTCTTCAATCGAGCCACCTTTGCGACCTCTGCAGCAGTACTCTTCGGTTGTTTCGTGTCCACCAGAAGTAGCGGTAGCTCTGGGAAGTTTCGTAGAGGCAGAACTAGTGGGGGCTTTGCATAGTCTGCGCGTTTAAACAAGACAGCCTTGCCGCCTGAAGCAACTGTATTATCCACTCCTGAAGGGTTACCGTGGATGAGCATCTCACCCACAAAGGACCATTGGTTGATCCTCTCAATTTGTTTCTCTGCCTCTTCGGGCATCTGATCAGGGTGCGGGCCAGAAAGAGCGCGAGCCTGAATCAAAAGGGAAGTAGCTATGCAAACAGAAATGCTGGCGCTGGAACCGAGACCGGCGCCGATGGGTATCGTAGAACGTAAAGTATAAATGGTGGCAGGCGAAGACTTGTTGCCGAGAGAAAGGAAGAGGTAGAGGAAGGACGATGCTGCGGCCTGGTGTATCTTTTGCTCGTGAAGTGGAATGTGAGGAGAAACGTTGAGTATGTGAGGTTTCATTGCGTCGACAAGGACAGGGTCGAGTTCGGTGACGAGGTCGTAGTAGCGCTTCTTGCGATCGGGATGAGAGAAGGCATCCCACGGGAGAGAGTCAATGTCCCAGGTGTGGTCGAGGTCGATGTCGCGGAAGCGCAAGGTGATGGTACGGCGTGACTTGGAGAGCGTAGTCACGAGCATGTAGGAGCGGAGTGAGATGGCAGCAGCCATAGCAGCCTGTCCAAGGGGTCAGCCATGTGTATGCAGTTGTAGCGAGAGTCGCAGAGGTGCTACCTTTCCATGGACGACAGCATGTTCACCGTAGACAATGACCTTTCCAGGAGCTGAGACCATAAAGGGAGGAGCCAATGGTGTCGACATCTTGCGCTTGTATGCTGGACGAGGATCGCTGCTGCGTCGACTTGACTTGTCTTCGTCGCTGCTGGATGAGTGCACGCCATTGCGTCCGTCAGGGCTGCCGTTGGCCATTGTTACTGAGTGCTTTGCGCCATTGCGCATTTCGAGGCTTCCGTTGGCGACTGTCATTGTTCATAGTCCAGCGACATTGATGGCATCGAGACAAAGGAGTTGGACTACTTTATTATTTGGAACTTGGTCCTCGACGAATGGGAGCACGCGCATTGCAATAACCTTAATCTCCTTTCTGGCCAACCCCACACATTCATCTGCTCCTCCTCAGCCCACTTTTTGCACAAGCTGCACCAGGACCTGCATAAACTTCATCTGTGCCTGGCAGCTTGACCTCACCCCGCAGTAGTCTCCTCGCCAACTGCTGACTGTCAATATCAGACCATGCTTCAACTCAGATCATGTTTGCTCTGTCCCCAACTCCGAAAGCACCTTCATGCTGCCCAGGAGGAGTAGGCACGAATGTGTTGCTGTGGGCTGTTCCGACCATGTTCGTGTTACTGCTGCTGAGAACTCCACTTGTACTGTTTACACCATGCATATTTCCTGGACTCGTCGGGCTCGCCGGTCCAGTGTGACCAGCATCTCTCGTCTGCATCTCGAACGGTGGTTCAGTACCGTTGTGAAGAGCAGAGCCATGGTGGTTAGTAGGCACACCAGCGCTATCAGTTCCTGTGACGGGCCCTACGAAGCGACCACGTAGAGGTAGCAATGCACTGACGAGAAACAAAACACTATCGGACGTTAGTGGTAGTCAAAGTCGTCAATGTTGCCGTAAGACTCACAACTCTAGGCCAGAGAAAGCAGCAGCGGCAGCTCCACATGCCCATGCCGTCTTGAGTCGANNGTTCAGCGTGCCGCTGTAAGCGGCATATGCAGCATTACCGTCTGTCTGCTGACCGAGGCCGCCCGTATAGTATGTAAAATCCCTTGGGGCAGCTACGTCGGAATATGCGGCAAGCTCAGCCATGATGGCCAGCCAGAACAGCGCAAAGAACAAGTCAACCAATCCAGCAGAAAGTGGATGCGCAAAGAGACCAGGCAAACGCGGCAGGAAAGCCAATGGAATCGTGGCCAGGATAGTCAGGATAGCCGCTACCAGTGCAGGTATGTATGCAGATTGCAACTACAATACAGGGTCAGTCAAGCAGTCTTTCCATTGTCAGTTCAAGAATCTACTCACGAACGTGGCCGAGAACACATTGACAGCATACGCGACAAGGCCCAGGATCAGAATCGCCACCAGCAGTTGCACGAGGCGTATTGCTCTTAGAGAGGGCACTCCAGCTGTGGTAGAGCGAGACGAAAGTGCATCAGCAGCTTTGCGGCTTCTGCCAAATCTGCTGATTCCTGTCCTACCATTTGTCGTGGTTGATGTCGCAGTATCGTCGATTGGCACATCTACGCCCAGGTCGCCGTCGACCTTTCTTCTGTTAAAGAGGCCCATTTTCTGTTCCGACAGCGTAGGTATGCAGAGGCTGAACGCTCGCAAGTCCTGGTATTGTCGACAGTAGAAGGTGTGCAAAAAGATGCTTTCCCAATTTGCATCTCTAACCTGTTGTCTTGGGGATTGGCATGGAATGTTGCTTACAGCGCTGATTGTACCCGAATGGAATGCAAACGCTAGGGATTGTACGTTTCACATCTCGATGGGTGGCAGCTTGATTCGCGACCAACAATGTCATTTTGCGTTATTCATGCTAAAAAGCTCTATGGTCAAACGACAAGCCGTACCGCGATGAGAAAAACAAGCGAATGCAAGCAAAGAAGTGATCAATACTCTTACGCTTTTGGAGAGTTCGAACAACCGAAACGCTTCGTAGCTCGCGAGCAAGGATCCGGCAACAACCATGCTACATGCCTGCCAACGCCGATGCTCTCATCTCAAAGCGACGCCCGCTCCACCATGTACAACAGGAAGAACATCACATCAAGAGATGTGTTCGGGTATAAGAAGAAAATAGAAAGAAAGAAAGAAAAGCTGCAGGTTTGCTTGGGTAGATGTTGACATCGTCAAGCGATTCCAGCTCAGGTTCGTTAGAAGACGTGTTGTCTGTCGTTGTTCATATCCGGAAGATGTTTTGCTTTTCAACGTGGCTGTTGGAAACTGAGATGTCCCTTGATGACTATCAAGTCTTCCTGAAGACGTGATATGCGCAATTCGTATTCGTCTTGCATGCGGGAGAACCGTTGCTCCAGGTTTCTAACATAGTTCCAGACATCGTTAATGTTGTCACCGATGATCTCCCGCATGCTGCCGCCGGAGCTGTGTCCGTGACTCGACAAACTCCCTGGATTTGATCCATGGATGGGTCCAGAAGGCATGCTGTTGTGCATAGAATTGTGTGTTGTGGATTGAATAGGTAGCCTCATCGAATGACCAGAAGCAAGACCTGCTAGTGAAGGTAGCTGGTTGTGTTGTGGCATCTGGTGAGGAGCAGGTGGTGTAGCCTGTCCACCTCGAGCGTTGTGCGCTTGTTGAATCTGTGTAAGGCTAGGCGATCTGTTTCGCATGGCGCTGGTGGCTTCAGCTATGCTAAGGCGATGTTGATCTTGTTGATTGGGAGATAGCGGCTTGGGCGAATGAGAAATGCCACCTTCGCCAAGCACAACTGCAGGTGGTCCGTAAGGGTTCAATCCCACACTGTTTGTTGAGTTGATGTTGGAAATTTCGCCAGGAGATGTTACAGAGCTGGATGATGGTAGGATGTGATGGTTTGGAGGACCCATGTTGCCTCTGTGCGTGCGACTAGCCAGAGGTGGTGGGTAAGTGCTCGAGTGTTGGCGGTAGATGGACCTGTTGGAATCGTGCGAATCTTCGATGTGAGCACGCTTGCGACTGGGCTCGCTCTCCCTGCGCGGGTCGTCGTCTTCATCATCCATGTCGTGGCCATTGTCGCCGTGATCAGCATAATCCATGCCCTCCATGCCCTCGTCACCCATTCTACTATCATCATCCCCTCCAAAGCTAGAGCGGCGGCCAGCGCAACCTCCAGGACCTTTGTTGTGTCTAGCCAGAGCGTCGCCACGCGCGAAACGCCTACCGCATTTGTCGCAGATATGTGGTCTCTCGCCCGTGTGTAACTTGGTATGACGTTTGAGATCGTGCAGCCTTCTGAAGCGTGATTGACAAGTTTGGCAAACATAGGGTTTTTTCNNTTGGCTGTGCGTAAGCAAATGACTTTTGAGGTTGTGATGACGTGTGAAGTCAGTCGCACAATACGGACACTTGTGCCGTTTGGTCGATGGAGAGGCTCTCGACTGACCTTCTGCGGCCACCTCTGCTGCTACCGATGCCGGACCGGGGTATGTGAATGATTTGTGCGAAGGATGAGCGTTCGTGGGTGGGTTGTATCCACGTGTTGGCTCGGGATAGTCCATGCTGGACATTTCTGCAGGTTCGGCGACCAGTTGAGAGTCTCGAGTGTGGTCGTGAGCAGTTGCCGTCATTGCGCCATTGGGTGAAACGGCATCCGAGTCTCCGAAACTTCTGAGGCTCACAGGACTAGGCTGAGAGGCCTCAGCAGTCGTTGTGACGGGGACGGTGAGGTGTGTGCTTGTTTTGCGCATTTGGCTGGCTGAAGAGTGGTTTATAGGAGAGAGATTTGAGGCCTTCGATACCGGAGGGCCACTCATCAGGGCATGCAGAGCAGTGGCGGCAGGGTTTGGGGTAGTCTGACTGGAATCGCGGGTTGGTTGCTGTTGTTGCAGTCTTCTAGCATCAGCCTGAGCAGCGGCGCCCGTAAGGGGTCTGGGCGAGTACCGTGCCGGAGACTTTGGTGAAACAACAGTATACTCTGGAGCGTGTGGCTTGAGCAGATGTCGAGGTTCTTTCGTATTGCCAAAGACGGCTTGAGGGGCTGAGGTGGGCGTATGGGGCGCTTCAAGAGGAGGGAAAGGTTCGACCTGAGGGCTGTCTGATCTAACTCGTGTGGCCATCGAGGGATACATACATTTGACTTGCCGCAAGGGTGTTAGCAGTCAGCTATGCGCACGTCAGCCACCGTTCGCGAACACTCTGACAGGGCGAAGAAAAAAGAAAAAAGAAAAAGAAAGAGACCCACATACGTGAATCGTTTAAGGTCGGCGTGTTATGCGAACCTATAGAGGGTCCGCGGTGGAGTGAGATGTTGCGCGCCAGGTCAAAAAGCGCATTCGCGAATCTTTGTCGAGAATTGTGGGACAAGCAGGGTTAGAGACAGTCGCGAATATCAAGCGTCCATAGGATCCAAGACTGTGGCGTAAATACTGTGTTGCGGGCAGACGCCGGCGACGTTGATACAAGGCAGAGCGATGTTAACGACGCGACAGAGTGGCGTGGGCAGAGAGTGGAAGCGTTCTTTGCACCGTGAACCAGGGAGAGAGGATGGAGCAAGAACACTGGTGCTGTCAGTCGAGAACTGAGAACCGATCAAGGATGCTCGGACAGCGCGATGGCCCGACGCGATGGCGCAGCTACTAAAGATGGGCGCGGAGCCGTTGCTGCTGTGCTGCTGGTGCAGGTCGTTGTGGCTGCTTGGGCAATACGTCAGAGTGAGACGCCTTGCTGTGGCAGAAGAGGCGGAATGATGGCAAAGGCGAGGGTGCTTGTGACGAGCTCGATGTCCATGCCGCGAACAGAACGCGACGCCGATGTATGTATTATTTGCTGATGACTGCAGAGGCAAACAGAAATTCCCAAAGCTGGAGGCTGTACAGACCTTGGAAGGCGGCTAAGGTTTAAGACAGCCCTGATCAAGCTCCCCATGACGCAGAGGCAACCGCGGCGCAGATCTTGACAAGTTGAACCTCCCTCGCTCGCATCAAACTGGCTTTACGGAACAACCATCGGTGCGCTTTATGGAACACCTGCCATCACTCGTCCCTGTCTTGGAATCTAGACTTGACGCTCTCTGAGGCTGAATCAACGTCCGCTGCTCTCGCGGGGAGCAGACTCATAGTTACAGAAGTTTAGTCGCGCATGCTGGAGCCTCAAAACTCTGCAAGCGACCCGTCGTTTCTCTTGCAATTCTCCGACTCCTTCTGCTCACGCTCGTTCCAAACCATGTCCGTGGCTTCTCGCTTGCCGATGCCAGCCGCTGTTCATGCCTCTGCTCGTCCCAAAAAGCGGAGACTGTGGCTGTGCAAGTCTTGGGTGCTTGTTCAAATGCCCATCTTGCTCAGATTTTGATACGTTTGGCCGATCAGCGACACGGAGCACGGTCTGTTCTCCTGTCAACTGACTAATGCGGTGCTTTGTTGGTTGATGCTTCTCTTGCCAATGCTCCATCGACCATAGTATGCCTGATCAGATGGAATCGTCGTTCCTTAACAATCCCAACCTCCTCATCGAGGCGCTCAAGTCTGCGCCTGCTTCTTCTTCATCTATGTCGCCGCCACCACTGTAGATCTTCTGAAGAGATCATCGGCACCACAGCCTATGCTTTCCTCGCACGAGATGCAGGCAAGTGTTTCCAACCGACGGATGCTCGTCGTGCAGCAAACAAAGCTTCTCCCGTTGCCGGACTCGTTCTTCTCTCCCTCAACCGCTGTCTGCTGTATCACGGCCAATCCGACACCGATGCGTCACCATGATGACTTGTGGCGCCTTTGCTTTATATCGTGCAGTGCCTTGATCTTGATCTCGAGCTCTGACCCTAAGCCCTGTCAGCACTTCACTTTAGATCGGGCTACCTACCTTCTAAGCGGCTACACAAATAGGCGAGTGGAAGACATTGTGCGTAGTGTTGACGAAGACAACAGAAGTCGCTAATGATGATGCTCACCTTCTTAGCGACTACTTCATGCGTCCTTGAGCTATGGTATACCTCATTCACAAGGTCGATCTCTTTGAGAAAGTAGGCACAAAGACCCCACAGACTCCACAACACCAGGAACCTCTCCACAACACACAACACAAGCATGCCAACAATCTTGGGGTTTGAGCCTCAACAGACGTCACGAGTGTGACGGAGTGGCCGCCGGCCGCTGCTTCAGCAGGATACTCCTACAACTATTAATTCCCAAACGGTCCCGGTCGATCTGGATATGATTATTCTGTCACTCTTTCGTCGAGGCGAGTGCGAGCTCGTGGGTAAATGGCAGCTTTTTGGCCATAATTATCAAGGCACCAAACCACCACCATGACGCCGAGTGTCTCGATCAAGAGAACAGAACACGAGATCGTGGCAGGTAACGCTCAGTTGATCCTGGTGGCGCCTCGCTCTGTTAATCCTTACGGCGGACCAGTACGGCCCAGTGTGAATCAGACGCTCTTTGGGTAAGACCATTATCCATGGTGTTCCACGTCGAGACGTTCCTGCATAGTGCTTCTCGAATATATATGAAGTGGCCCGGCCCATCATGCTCTATGGATGCATGGGCGATACATATCGTCTTCATTCGATTCGAGGATGCTATTGCGTATCTCTGATGCGGAGTCTTCCGTGCTGACACCGGTGAGAAGGATGATCCAACATAAGGGCCATAGTTTGGCAGGCTTCTAGCAGTCCATAAGACAGGCTCATGAAGTTCTTGACGGCGTTCAATTTTGATCCGGGCTTGACAAGACTAACTAGCATCGCATCGTGTTTGTAGTCAGCGTCGATGTCGTTGCTATGAAATTGGCAGTCAGATTCTCCATGCATGGACATGCTTTTCACTGGTAGTTCGTGTTCAATGGTCTTGCTTGACAATGTTCTCCAACGACTCACTGTCGAGCACCAACACTTGTAGTATTGCATAATTAGCCAAGACCATAGGGATGCTTACTAATTGGACTTGATGCCTTGTAATTACGTGAGTCATATTATTGTTGCTGTGTTATGGTATACCGTCTATCACACCAGGCATAGAACTGATACCTTCACGACTTTCTTCGTAGAGTAAGCTCGAGTTTCCCAAGTCGACCATCCAGCGTTAACTATATTCATGGAAACGGCAACCCGCGGGCCCCGATGCTTGGAGTTCCTACAACGAGTCACCGAATCTAGTTGGCTTAGTAGCAGCAAGATGCATATAACATCTATGATACGTCTTGAATTTTTGCAATACCTGCAATGTTACCTCAACCATGGAGATCGCCTGGCCAAGGCTCGGAAGACTTTGATCCTCTACTTGAATCAGCAATACCTCCCACTCATAAAGACGACCACATTAACATCCAGGACCATGTCAGCGACGACGAGAGCGACGATGATCAAGATGTGAAAGATGCGCGTGCCAAACGACTGAGCGAAACCAATGGCTGGCTTGGCTATCTTCGAGACTTTACAATCTTCATTCCCTTCGTAATCCCTCGGAAAGACTTCAAAATACAACTATGCCTACTCCTCTGTATCACCACTTTTCTTCTGGAGCGAGTCATTCAAGCTGCAATACCGTACACTCTTGGTATCGTTGCCGACAAAGTCACGTCTGGCATCATGCCGATTCGAGAACTTTTCATCTTTCTTGCGCTGGACGTTGCGAATTCCGAGGCTGGCCTTTTGCTCGTTCAAGAGTTGTCCAAGATCCCCATCAAGCAGTTCTCGTACAGGGGTGTCACCAATGCGGCTTTTAACCATGTCATGGCTCAGTCGCTTGATTTTCACTCGACGCAAGACTCTGCCGAAGTCATGAAAGCAGTTGAACAGGGTGAGTCGATAGGTATGGTGCTGCAAACAGTCGTCTTTGATATTGCGCCTCCACTGGTGGATATTGTCGTCGCTTGTACGATATTCTACCGCAAATTCAACGCTGCCGTGGCACTTATAATGCTCGGTGCGTGCATTGTTTACTTGATTGCTCAAGGTTTTGCGACAAAATTTACAGCTGGTGATCGAAGGAACACGGCTAGGGCGGAACGATTCCAGATCCGCAAGATACATCAAGCCATTCAGGGATGGCAGACCGTGGCCTACTTCAATCAGTTCAAGTGGGAAGCCAGGAATCTCGCAGATGCAGTCCTCGCTCATTCTGCAACAATGACGAAGTTCGAAAGAAAGCAGGCACTCCTCCAAGCCATAATGCACCTCTCGATTCCCACGACATGGTTTGTCCTTGCCTACATGATTTTGCAGCGCATCGCAGCTGGCAAGACCCCACCTGGAAACTTTGTGTTTTTCCTGACATATTGGGATGCCATCGTTTACTCGCTTCAATACCTTATCAATCACTTTCAGTGGTTGGCCAACGATTTTGTGGATGCCGAACGGCTGCTTCTGCTGTTGAAGACTAAGCCCTCGATTGTAGATGCACCTGAAGCATACCCACTCGCTGTCCGCGACGGTGGGGTTTGCTTTGAAAACGTATCCTTCAAGTACGATGAAAGCCAATACGCTCTCCACGACATTTCCTTCACCGCCTCGCCTGGTCAAACCGTTGCACTCGTTGGCCAAACTGGCGCCGGCAAATCGTCCATTCTGAAACTTTTGCTGCGCTTGCACGACATTACAAGTGGCAGCATCACGATATCTGGCCAGAAGATAAAAGACGTCACGCTGAGTTCGCTCCGCAATGTCATCAGCGTAGTTCCCCAAACACCCATGTTCTTCAATGCCTCGATTATGGAAAACCTGCGATATGCACGCAGCTCTGCAACCGATGAGGAGGTGTATGAAGCTTGCCGTGCAGCCGCCATCCACGAAACCATCCTCCGCCACACCGACACCTACAACACTCAAGTCGGCGAACGCGGCGTCAAGCTATCAGGCGGTGAAGCACAAAGACTAGCCATCGCCAGAGCACTACTAAGAAACACGCCAATTGTGTTGCTGGACGAAGCAACCAGCGCCGTCGACACGATGACAGAAGCCAAAATCAAGACTGCGCTGGAGAAACTAAAACAGGGTAGAACTGTTTTGGTTGTTGCACATCGGTTGAGCACTATTGCCGATGCAGATCAGATATTGGTGTTGCATGAGGGTAGGATTGTTGAGAGGGGCAGACATCAAGAACTTTGCGATCGGAAAGGGAGATATTGGGATCTCTGGGAACAGTCGTGATATAAGAGAATAGACAGGACATAGAATCGTTTACCTGAAGATTGCCTTGGACAGCCGCAACTTCTGTTCGAATGAACGAATGCTATGTCTAAATAGTGCCAGACGTTTGTATTTCACTTGCCTTTGTGGTTTGTAAGTAGCATACGGCGAGATAGTCGTGTTAATCACAGGAGGCATGTTCATCGAGTAGCCTGTTTATTCCGAAGCGTGTGTGCTCTCACTATGTGGAGGTGTCGGTCACAGTCACGCGAGCAGAAGAGTGATCACCTTGTTATCACTATCTGTCTGCCTAAATACTCATCACCAGCCACAGGAGCCGCATTTCTTGTCCTCATTCCTGTCCAGCAGAGTTTACTATTGCCGCCAAAACCCAGCCGCGTAACCTATAGGACGAAGGTTTCTGTAATGGCCCGACTGTCTCGTATTCCCAAGAGTTTCGCGGTGTGGGGATAACATTCCATATAACGCGTTTTAGGCTTTGGCTGATGGAGGTGGCTTGCGATGGCGAACCACGACAGCGGCCAAAAAATCCGATTTGCTTTCGTAGACAGAAGAGTATTGAGATCAACTCAAATACCTGAGTCATACGCTCAAAGTGTATTGGAGAAATTTCCGAGGGCTCCCGTGTGGTATATTTTGGTGTGGCTAGTGATGTTGGTTGTCAACGGTGGGGTTGTCGGTGGAATTGTCGAATGCGACACAGGGTGGTTTGTCGCAGAGAGAAAAGGTGTTTCTTCAAACGACAAATCTGAAGTTCTGGTTCTGGATGAGCCAGCTCTTTCCTTCGCCGGTCTTTGCTTTGCCCTTTGCGCCGGCTTCTTCCTTGTTGGGGACCAGGACGAGGGCGTCTGAGAAGGCACGCATTGGACCTTCCTTGCGCTCGACCAGCCGCACGTAACCGCTGACCTGGACAAGGACGCTCATGTTGGCCTCTTGCTCCTTGGGTTTCGCCGTCTTGTCAAGAGGCGCGAGTGCTTGGTTGAGGACGTGTGCGTTGATGGACTGGACCTCGAAGAAGGTGTAGGGCATCTGTGTCGTGTAGGTGGTCGAGAATTCATCGGGGTCGGAGAGGACGGTGCCGTTGTAGGAAATTTGAGGGAGCAATTTTCCGGTCGGGAGGACGGTCTTGGGGACGTAGTAGTCGGCGAGGGAGCCGCGAGCGCTGGTCAGGGCGACATAGTATGCGTCGGTGAAGGTTTCGGCAGCTNNGTGGTGTGGTTAGAGAGAGCATGTCTTGTCGCGTAGATACAGAGAGAGCATACCGTTGGCCGAGACGCGAGTGAGCGTGTCCTCTCCGAGTGCGGCAGCCATGATGTGAGGTGGTGATGTGTATCGAAAGACCAGGAACAAAAGATTGTTACTGTCACATGCAAACGAGGAATGCAAGCTTGGACCAGCTTGGACAAATGTTGGCGACGGCCTTCTGTTCGACTGGCGCATTCTCTCAATGACTCCACCAATACGCTCTTTGTGCTCACGCTCCTGGCGACCACATTCGCTACGGTCAACATGCGTGTCTCGTCTCGTGCGCGCACGCTGCCTGGCCTCAACCTCTACGACACATGACTCCACGACTGCCGCTCCCACGACCGATGATTCCAAACCGTACTATGTCACCACTCCCATCTTCTACGTCAATGCCGCCCCTCATGCCGGCCACTTGTATACAATGGTCCTCGCCGATGTTCTGAAGAGATGGCAAGTGCTAAAGGGAAGGAAGGCTGTGCTTTTGACCGGTACCGACGAGCACGGCATGAAGATCCAGCAAGCCTCAGCAAAAGCCGGAAGCGGTCCCAAGCCTTTCTGCGACAAGGGTGCCGACGTCTTCAAGAATCTGGCTGCGAGAGCTGAGCTCAGCAACGAGCACTTCATCCGGACCACCGACCCTGCACACAAAGAAGCCGTCGAGTACGCCTGGCATCTGTTAAATGAGAGAGGCTACATCTATCAATCCAAGCATGAAGGCTGGTACTCGGTTAGCGATGAGACTTTTTATCCCGAATCCCAAGTCCATCTCGTGTTGGACCCTCCTACCGGAAGGAAGGTCATGGCCTCGATCGAGACTGGAAAGGAAGTCGAATGGACATCCGAGATCAACTACCATTTCCGACTCTCGGCTTTCCGTGACAAGCTCCTGAAATACTATGCTGAAAACCCAGAGTGGATCAGCCCCGAGGCCAAGATGAAGGAGGTTGTGTCTGCTGTCACTGCTGGTCTCGAAGACTTGTCTATTTCACGTCCATCCACAAGACTGACATGGGGCATCCGTGTGCCCACTGACCCTACACAGACCATCTATGTTTGGTTGGATGCTTTAATCAATTACGCTACAGCGGCTGGCTATCCTTGGGCTCCAGGTTCGGAACACGCTGGCGGCTGGCCCGCTGATGTGCAGATCATCGGCAAGGACATTCTTCGTTTCCACTGCATCTACTGGCCTGCCTTCCTCATGGCTCTTGACCTTCCTCTACCAAAGCGTTTCCTCACACATGCCCATTGGACGCTGGGTAAGCAAAAAATGGCCAAGAGCACTGGCAATGTTGTGAATCCCTTCTTCGCTCTCGATCGCTTCGGCACCGACACAATGCGCTACTACATGATTCACGATGGCGGCATCGATAATGACGCAGACTATGACAACATTTACATTATCGAGCGTTACAAGAAAGGCCTGCAAGGAGGTCTGGGAAACCTGGCTTCCAGAATCACACGCGGAAAAGGCTGGGATGTCAGACGTGCTGTTAGAAGATTTGCTGGCGACAAATACGCTTCACGTGCTCAGCAACATCACGATAGTGAACCCAAGTTTGCTGACTTTGAAACATCACTCAAGAAGTTGCCAGGACTCGTCAACAAGCGTATGGAGGCTCTGCGACCAAATCTTGCTCTCAAGGATCTGATGAACCATATCTACATGACAAACGCCTTCCTACAAACACACGCCCCGTGGGATCTTGCTGCTAGACTCAAANAAGGAGAGCCGACTCCCGAGTCAATTCCTAGCGTTTCGAAGAAAATCGACACGGCCTGGAAAATCGAGGCCGAGCGTAGAATGGATTATATCATCTTCTTGAGCACGGAGACGTTGCGTCTTGCTGGGATCATGCTGCAGCCGGTCATGCCTGCCAAGGCCAAGCAGTTGCTCGATATGCTTGGAGTGGCGGATGATAGAAGAAGCTTTGCAGATGCGCAGTTGGGCGCAGATGAGGATTACGGCGATTCTCGAGTGCCGATAGGCAAAGGACAAGCCGGCGTACTGTTTGCACCTCTGTTGAGCGATTCGTAAAAGATTGTCACGGCAGAGTGTCATCCGAAGTGAATTCTGTAAGATAGTTGTATCATAGTTTCGTAGCAGTCATGACAAACGCATTTCCATCCCTGTATCCCCCCTTCTCTCAGGCCCCTCCCTTCTTCGTGACAAAGTGCGGTGTGCTTACTGAGGCGCACGCATGTTGGCCTTTACCCTAGCCAACAACTCCTCCTTTGTCGACGAACTGCTGGCCATGAGGTTCCTTTTGTTCAACCATCTTCTCATTTCCTCTTCGGTCCAGTTCTCCGGTTCNTGTGTTTTGCTTTTAGTATACATTTCTTTGTTTCCTTTTCTATACTGGTTCAAGCAATAATGTGTGTTTTACTTACCATCAGTGGAATCGGGCTGTTGGGGAAAGATGTCGCTGCCGAAGATGGACCATGCTGCTGATGCGGCGACGAGGCCTGCGAATCCGAAGAAGAGATTCTGTTCACGGAAATGTCAAATGTCAGGATGCTTGTTCTGTGGATGTGTGATGTAGAGGACTGGAAGCAGTGTTTCGGTACCTTTNGAGTTGAGTGCTCTGTCGAGTTGAGTGGGCATGATGATTTAGAGCTGGGGGCTTTTACTTCTGTTGATATCAAAGAAGTGAAGTTGCAGCGATCAGATGAAGCGAAGATGTAGGTGTATAGATGACTGCAGAACTCTGGTATCCTTCAAGTTGTCTGCCTGATTTGACTTGGTACCTTCTATGTTGTCCTCTTCAAGATGCTCAAAGAAAGAGGGGGGTCATAGCGCACCTTCCCCCCCTTCACAGCTTTGCAACGCAAACTACAGGAAGGCGGCCAGAAATCTTGGCAATCCAGCAGGGGGAACGGACCTCGCTTAGCCCAGCGCCCACAGAGACCAGCTCGCCGTCGTCCGCACCCTCAGTAACGCATACCACATAACGTCTCACTCTATCGCCCATCATGCCTTCCCAAGTTCTCGACATCAAGCAGTTCATTGAGATCTGCCGCCGCAAGGACGCTTCTTGTGCGTTTTTCCCGATTCCAACCCGATAGAAAGAGCGACCCCCAGAGGACTAATTTTGGATGTTTTTTTACACACAGNCTGCCCGCATCAAGAAGACCTCCGCCCAGCAGATCAAGTTCAAGGTCCGCTGCAACCGCTACCTCTACACCCTCGTCCTCAAGGACCAGGACAAGGCCGAGAAGCTCAAGCAGTCTCTTCCCNCCTGGTATGCGACCAAAAAAAATCCCCCGAATATCAACACCCCAAGAGAGAGAGAGAAGAGAAAAAAAAACAGGCGAAACAATTGGCTAACCACATCTCGAATTTCTACAGGTCTTACCATCACCGACGCCCCCAAGAAGAACCAGAAGGGCAAGCGCGTCGCCAAGTAAACAATATGTGTCAATGAAAACCAACATTTTGAGCGACCACCAAAGCAAAAACGAATAAAATCCACGATTTCATCTGCCCTCCCCCGAACTCTGATTGAACCTTACGACAATGCGCATGTTGATGCCGATTGAAAGAAGCAAAGAGGGCCCACCATGTTAAAGAAGTGACAAAAGCAAGGGACTCCCAATGACCAGCAAAAGAAGCCATGGGACTATCGAGTGACTTCGCTCTGCGTGGAGCTATGGGTGCCAGAAGAAAAAGATATGAGGAGAAACAACAGGCTTCAGCATTACATTGCTGCGATAAGATGAAAGAATTCCGATTGCGACAACTCCAACTCCTTGTTCATGGTGTGCCGAACGTCTTCATGTTTCGTGGCGTGGAGCTGGTGTAGCCGTGTCTCGTGTGCTTCAGTGGTCAAGTATAAGCTTTTCTTATTTGTATTTCTGCCTGCCTTCTCGCCCACCAACCGCTCGCTCCTCGCATCTGGCAAGACTCTTGTTCTGATATACCTTGAGGCCTCTGTTCTGTCTCTCCATACGTCAAAGGCTTTGTTCCTTTCATTGGTATGAGCTCGTTCTCTTCGTGACCAGTAAAGCTAAGTTCTCAAGCAAGAGTCTAAGCCACTGATCTTAGTCCTGTCCCCAAAGCATCGGACTCGTGAATTGCAGTATTCACAACCCTTTTATCACTGTCCGTGTTGAACAGCAAACCTGTACTGGTCCTTGCGATCAAGATACACAACCTTGTCAGTCAACCCTGCCTTCTCCATCTCCTTCTTGAAGTCTTCCAGAGGACTCAAGAAGACATCGTAATCNACTGTTTCAAAGCAAGGTTAGCGATTTCCTTTGGTCGGCAGAGAAAGGACAAGCAAATCTCACTCGTAATGGATGGGGATCGTCAGATCAGGGTTAATCATTCTGACGAGCTCAATGCCTTGTTTTGCATCCATGGTCACCATCAACATTGGCAGTTTCGGCGAAGGGATCGTGGTGCCGCCCAAGTGTATCAGCATGAGGTCGATGTTCTGACCCTTGTAGCGTTCAGGGATCTCTTTGAGTTCGTCGACCAGGAGAGTGTCGCCCGAGATGTAGATTCTAGCAAATCACATCAGCAACAACTCAAAGAAAGTTGGCAAGCAAACATACCTGTATCCGTTCTTGAAGCTGTCAGTGGAACTGCCATCGCCTTCTTTGTAGCCCAACTCCAGCATCCAGCCGTTGGTGGGAGGAACGGCGCCGAGTATGTCATTGGCCTTGCTCAGCATGCCCTGAGGTACGTGTTTACCAGGCATACCCGTCACCTTGACAGCAGGCACCTTTTTGTTCGTGACTTCATGCGTGGTTCCAGTTGTGCGAATATCGACATACATGCTCTGGAAGAAGTCGAGATCGAAAACGCGGCTGAAGGACTCGTCATCGCCCTTGGAGGTCAGATGGTCTTTGGCATGAGGTGTAGTGATGATGGGCAAAGAGCGGCGAAGCGAGGCTTCAACCTTCTCATCAAAGTGATCTGCATGGTAGTGGGACAACAGTACTGCATCGATGCGAGGAAGCTCGTGGAGATCAAGTGCAGGGTTCGTCTGTCTTGTGCCCGTCACTCCAGGTCCCAGATGTACGTGATCTCCAGCATGCAAGAAGTTTGGATCAGTCATGATACGGACACCTTCCCATTCNCCTGGTTTTGGTTGGTCATCATGTTCAGAAGTCCACTTGGTATGCTTCTACAGAACTTACAATATCGTTGTAGCTGTACCGACAAAATACAAACTTGCATTCTCTCCTCCAGCATTGGTAGGGTGGACTTTGGTCTCCTTCGCCTCTGGCAAGCTGCTGGGATAATTCTGGTGGTCGCGAGTAGGCGCCTCGGCGTGAGAGGGATCAAGGACCAGATTCTTCGTCATTCTCGCGGTTGCTTTTGTGGTGTCTGTTTTTTGTGACGGGAACTGCGTATTGGTATCGAAAGACATTGGGTGCGAATGAGTGTACAGAGGAGGGAAGCGGAAACAAGAGTTCGCTCCTTCTTCATATGAACATAATAATGTCGAAGTAAAAACGTCATGGTCATGCAAGTGCGGGCACTGCGGGGTGCGGTCAATCAATCGGGGGTTTGAGAAGACCCTCATGTTTCCTTGACTTTCACTGTTCCTAGCATATATGTCTTGCCAGATCAACAACAAAGAGTGCATTGTATAAGGAGAGATAAGGCGCCGTCTTTGTAAATACGAAATATCATGTTGGCCATATAGCCCGGGTCGACTTCTAAGTAATGCCGAGTCCGGTTCCATATCAGAGCACTACCACAGAGGCCATGACAAGCAGCAGAGGATGTTAATGTTTAGGGAAAACTGCTATGAAGGGAAATGACTGCAGGGCACAATATAGATCGATGAGAGGATATACGATGCCAATCAATAGTATCTTGCATCTACACCCAAACTTGCGATCGATCCATTCTTCACTGGATATTGATGGGAGTCTCGGACGCACGTGGGCATAGTGAAACATGGGGGATCTCCAGCACATATAGCAAGATGCAGGAACATGAATAGGCTCTTAGGCTCTATTCTCTTTCTAGATATGGAACTTCTCGCTACTCAAATACATAGCAATGAGCTGATTGAATTCAATGACCTCGGATTTCAGAGGCAAAACGTACAATAAGGGTATTAAGGAGCATGAAGGGTGTTGAGGAACATTACAAAACCCCACTCCGAAACGGATAAAAGAAGAGAAGACTTTTCGCATCGCAAAGACCCAATTTAGTAGGCGGCCAGGGTGGTGTTGCTGAACCAGGCGACAGCAGCCTTGACGACCTGAACGTCCTGGTCAACGGAGCCTCCGCTGACACCAATACCGCCGATGAGGTAGTCGTTCTTGTAAAGAGGAAGACCGCCACCGAAGACAACAAGACCACCGTTGGTCTCCTCAACACCTGTATAGATTCATCAGCTCATGCTACAATCTGAAATCACGAACTGGGATTACATACCGTAAAGAGGGCCTTGAGCGGCGGCAGTCAGATCGGCGGTCGAGTAAGCACCGTTGAACAGAACAGTGGTGCGAGCCTTCTTGATGCTGATGTCAATGCTGCCAGGGAAAGCGTTGTCCATGCGGTGGAAAGCGACCAGCATGCCACTGGGGTCGACAATGGCAATATTCTCAGGAATGACAGTGTTGGCTTCTTTCACAGCAGCGGCAATGATTTCCTCAGCTTGGCTGACCGAGATGACATGTCTCTGNGAAAAACTTATCAGTGGAGCTCTACAAGATTTTTGGATATCAATGCTGACTTGTGCGGGAGTGCTTCCAACGCCGTTAGTGGCAGCCTTGTTGCCTGCGGGTGGAGCTGGAGGTGCAGGAGGAGCGGCAGAACCTGCTGCGGGTGCTGGAGGAGCAGCACAGGCTCCAAGAGAGAGCAGGGCGATGGTGAGCAGAGACTTGACGAAGACCATTTTGAATGATGTTAATGTGCGATGTAAGGTGATCAAACAAGAATCTCAAAGATCTGTATGGCTTATATAAAGTTGCGTGATTAGGGCGGTAGCGGTGGAGAATAGGAAAAAGCAATTGCCCGACTCAATGGGGAACAACGTCTTTTGTACTAGAAAGACTGTGACTTTTCTCAACCGCCAAGGCAGAGAGGTGAGTTGTAGTCTCGGAGGTTAGACGGTCTACCTAACAGCGAGGCAGTGCTATTCCGAGTATTTGATTAATTACTCATCTGTCTGACAGTGAGGGCTCAAGAAGATCATTGGTTTCGCAATACCGGCAAGCGAAAGCATCCGCGTGCGCAAAGCACTTTCCTGACCAACCGCGCGTGTAGGCAAGATGTCGTGGAGGAAATCCTTCACGTTTCAGCCGCGAGTCATAGTATATAAGACCCTGTATGATCGAACATCAGCGGTCTAGGTCGATGTAGTCACCGGTGTAGTCATCAGGACTAGTGGCGGCGTGGCTGGACACCAGCCAACAAGGGATCTTTTACTCTCGGGAGTGAATAAGTGATGTTCCTAAGTTGCCTTAGCATGGACCGAGCGTACACTTGGATAGGCTCTAATAGATGAGTCTTGACCAGATGAGGAGAGACAAGCGATCGCACGTGGTTAATAGAGTAGGGCGCGCATGTATATTGCCGGTCTGCGATAGAGCGATTGATATGCCTCAAATTGGTACGAAACCCGTCTGAGTGTACATTGCGACGTTTGATGCTGCAGTCAGACTGACAACAGTGAGGCACGAGTGCGTACAGACGTTGGAATAGTATCCGGCTAAGAGGGAGACCCATTGTTGCGAAACAATCGATCATAGAACGTTGGCCGTGCTTACCGTTATCCGAAGCTCTGCCGTCCTCAAATTCGGCAGATCCAAACGTCTGCTGTATAATAATCTTGGATATATGCTGACCCTCGTGAGCCGTTGGTGGTCCTCGGTCTGCGGCATCAGGCTCGAGAGTGCAATCCATTAGGAGTCAATGAACGAGAACATCCACCCAACTTCGCTTGTGCGATGCATGGGTAATTTGCTCGCTTCTCTCGAAATCAAAGCATTCCGGGTTCTTTGAGCTCCGTGCCTCGGTGCCGGGCTTGTCACGGACTTTGCGGGTCTTTTGCTTGCGTGACCATCAATACCATGGTTGTTCGCACAGTCTGGTGTTCGAAGATGACAATTAACAACTCTGCAGAGCCGGATCTGATCGCGCGAGCGAGTCGTGTAAACAACGAACGTTGAGAAGACCTTGGAATCTCTGCACAAGCGCGGCCGGAGCGCCCGAGTAGTGACCCAGTCCAGAATTCGACAATGCAGCATAAAGATCTGCTCTAGAGGTCCGGCCCGTATTATCGGAGAACGATTCATTCTTTGCGAATGACAGAAATATGAAGTTTTGAATGGATGAGATTTGACTGTCTTGTTGCGACCACACATCTTACACATGTTCTTGCATGGTTGAAACATAGGTGTGTTGACACTGAGCTGTGTCTTTGCAGTATATGGTTAATGTTCATCATCTGATCGGCTCCATCTCCTATTAGTGAGAGTCTGGAGAAATCCTATACCATCCGACAGGTCGTACAGTATACTCGGGACCAAAGGGTGTACGTTGGTAAACTTGTGTTTCATGAAGAGAACGATGTGGGACCAGTTCGGAAGTGTTCGCGCTGCACATCCTGTTGCCAACATGCATCTACTTTGATGCGAACATATCAAAGCCTAGGAGCTTGCGGCCGGGGGTTGGTGAGCAATATTGCTGCGCGTTATTTGGTGGATAGTCTTATGAATGTTCCGACGTTCGCTGTTGCCTACATATAACAGTTGGCATGTAGGTGGATTCTTGGAGAAGTCATGAGTGTGAACGCTGTCCAGATTAACCCCCGCCAAATCCACTCGAAGCCTCGGCAATGTTGTCGAGCTCCATCCTCTACAAGCGACAAGACAGTGTTGAGTTTGTAGTGACCACGCCTTTCTTCAATAACAATCCAACTAAAACACACTATGCCAGCTGTATCGATCAACGCAGAGGCGCATGCCAAACCCAAGGACGGCTACTTCAATCTCGGAACTTACAGTCGTAAGATCAGCACCAAGAACCCTGAGGCTCAGCTTTGGTTCGATCGCGGCCTGATTTGGGCATATGGATTCAATATCAAGGAGGCATCGATATGTTTCGAAAAGGTCACTCGCCTAGATCCCGAATGCGCTATGGGCTACTGGGGCATCGCGTATACGAAGGGACCCTATTACAACAAGGCATGGCGACTCTTTGATCCAAAAGAACTCAAGGAAGCTTTAGTGATCACCTACGAGACGTCGCGCAAGGCTCTGGAGCTTGCGCACAATGCGACACCTGTCGAGAAAGCCCTCATCAAAGCCATCGTTGCACGCTACCCTCAGCAGACACCAAGCGAGGATTATCAGCCGTGGAACGTGGCTTACGTTGATGCAATGGGGGAAGTCTACGAATCCTACAAGGACGACCTCGATGTTGCCTGCTTGTACGCCGAATCACTCATGGTCTTGACTCCTTGGGCTTTGTGGAATATTCACACAGGAGAACCTGGTCGTGGTGCTCGTCCATACGAGGCAAAAGCAGCACTGGACCATGCCTTCACTCTTCCTGGAGCTTGGGAGCATCCCGCACTACTGCACTTCTATATCCATCTGATGGAAATGTCAAAGACCCCTGAGTGTGCCGTACAGGCAGCAGATAGTTTGAGGGGCCTGGTTCCTGATAGTGGCCACCTCGAACACATGCCTTCTCACCTATACGTTTTGATCGGAGATTACAGGGCTGGTATCGCTGCTAACGCTTCTGCCGTTCGCGCTGACGATGCGTACGTGGCCCAGATGGAAGGCAACGAGATGTATACCTTCTACCGCGCCCATAACTCACACTCACTCATCTATGCGGCCCTGCTCTCTGGCAAATCCGAGGTCGCCCTTCAGAATTGTACTCTTATGGAGAACTACCTCCCAGAAGAACTTCTGGCCATCGAGTCTCCGAATATGGCAAACTGGCTTGAATCGTTCCTGGGCGTACGAGCCCATTTGCTTGTCAGGTTCGGCCGCTGGGAGGATATCATATCATTGGAGATGCCGAAGGATAAGAAGCTGTATTGCGTGACTGTAGCTACCATGCACTATGCCAAGGGCGTGGCCCATTCGGCGCTCGGAAATATTGCCGAGGCAGAGAAGGAGCAGGAGCTCTTCCTAGCAGCCCAAAAACTCGTCCCCGAGACTCGGTTCGACTTCCCCAACAAATGTACCGACATTCTCAAAGTTGGTGAGGCGATGCTGGCTGGCGAGATAGAATATCGCAAGGGCAACTTTGATCTCGCTTTCGAGCATCTGAGGGAGTCCATCAAGCGTGACGACAATCTCGTTTACAGCGAGCCTTGGGGATGGATGCAGCCTACACGCCATGCCTACGCTGCTCTATCACTCGAACAAGGTTTGATCGAACAGGCAGCGCAAGCATACGCAGAAGATCTCGGCTTCGTCGCGGACATCCCTCGGGGCCACCAACATCCCAACAATGTGTGGGCATTGGTCGGCTACCGTGAATGCTTGAAGTTGCTGGGACGCGAAGCCGAGTACAACCAGCTCGAGCAACCATACCAACTGGCGATCCAGATGGCAGATATTCCTGTGACTTCGTCTTGTTATTGCAGGAGAATGAGTGAGCAGACAGAGAGCAAGAAGACCAATTGTAATGGCTCCTGCTAACCTTAATGTAGAGCCCGCCAGCCGTGCTGCTGGAAGAAGAGAATCCAAGATATAATCAAGCCACAATGTATTATCATTTGTAAATCATATTATGCTACCTGTGCCTCGTGTAACCCGAGCAATGTGGTCGCAAGGTCCTGTGTTTGTTTACTCATTTTCGTAGCTGACCATGTTTCTAGTGATCAATGCTTCTTTGTCTGTGTTGGTTTGTCTCAACGATCTCCTCCAAAATAAGTTGCCATTGTGCGATCACGATACCATTGTACAGCATACTCGTAGCATGAAAGAACACGTTCAAGACATTCTCCCACGGTGCATACCGTCAATTTTCTTTGTTGGCCGAGCTACTGCTCGTATGGTCAGACACTTGATACAAAGTCTCGAAAGATCAATTTCGAGAGTCCTCTCCATCCCCAGCCAGAACACAGAATACAGAACCAGCAAGTCCGATCACACACCAAACACACTTCCACCCATTCGAGTCCTTGTACGTTTTCAATACATCCCTCCAATCCTAGCGAAGATGTCAAACAACAAGAACGACTCAATGGACCTGTCATCCTTGGGCAACTGCCTCGACGAAATCCATAAGAAAGTTGACAACAACAGTGATACTCATATCATCGCCTGCGCAGACTGTACGTACCCAAACGAGATAAGCACCGAAGTTCAGACTACCAGCCCAATTGATCAGAGAACAACTATGGCGACAACAACGATTGCGAGGACGTTGCAGCAATCAGTCGAACTCTCAGGGCGGATGGAGTGGCAAGGAAAGTATGTAATCTGCTTTTCTTTATTGATACATGCATCTAAAATACAGTATAGCCATTCCAGAACAAGAAGCCGACATCCACCGCAATACTCGCAAGACCATATGACAGCTTCATCTCGATGACACTCCAGATCCACAGCGTGCCCAACGGAGGCGCCTGCTTCATGACTGCAAAATAGTCATACGTGTTGCCGGCATAAATCATGTAACAGCCGGAGGAAATGGCAACAGCGAGACAAAACAGCTGTTTGAGTGTTTGAAAGCTATTCGCCATCTCAGACTTCATCATATAGACGATGAGGAATAGGATTGGGTATGCGATGATGGTGCGCTGGATGATGGCTGGCCAACTGATCTCTTGCGCATACTGTTGAAACACCAAAACATCTAGAGTAAAATGAACCATTGCCAGACTGGTGGCCAAGAAGAAAGACTCGGCGCCAGTTCCAAGGATAGCTTCATCTTCGGTATCATCGTCTTTGGCTGGCAATAACACTCGTCCATTTTCATCGCGGGCTAGACCATCGCCGAGGGACTTTTCGAAAGGTTGACCGGATGCCATCATGCCTTGGAGAGCGGCAGTTCTCTCATCGGCAATTTCCAAGAGTGTTTTTCCTTTTGGACCAGATCTGTCGGGTTGCGACAATGGGATGTTTCCAAAGGCGTTGATGGTTGCTGATGAAGGGTGTTTGCCGGATTCCTTTGCAGCGGCGCGGCGCTCCTTTCTGTTGCGTGGTTGTTTCTCTTCGTCGGCCATGATGCTTGACGTTTTTGAATCTTTAGCTCTTCGGTTCCTTGATGTTTTTATTCTTGAAATTTTTGGTGATGGTGAGATGGAGTTTAGGGGCTTCATTTTTTGGAGAGTTGTCGTTTCGGCCCGTGATCGGCACGCGAGCATCCATCAACCTCTCCCCGGGTTCATCTTTGCTTGTCTAATCATCACCACATCAATTGCGACCACGTTGAAAGCTACGAGAGTTCAAAATTCTGAAAACACGCTCAACCACATCAACACCATGGAGATGCGCGGGTTGTGGTGGGCGGCAGTACCCATCATCATCTCAATCCTCTGGCTCTACACCAGCGTCCTCACTTCCTCCTTCCCCATGCTTCGCAACAAGCGAATCTGTCTCTTGATAGCCCACCCAGACGACGAAGCAATGTTTTTCGCCCCTGCAGTACTCGCCCTCACACGCCCCGAACTTGGTAACCATCTCAAGATCCTCTGCTTGTCGTCCGGAGACGCCGATGGCCTAGGCCACATCCGCAAGCAAGAATTGGTCAAGAGCGGATTACTACTGGGCTTGCGAAATGCAGACGATGTTCTGGTCCTGGACGATGAGAGGTTTCCTGATTCGATGACCAAGACTTGGGAGAGCAAGGCAATTGCAAATCTACTGGCTTCTACATTTGCTCCCAAGATGGCAAAGATGGGTGCAAAGTCTGCTCCCGAAGCCAACATTGACGTCTTGATCACTTTCGACACCATGGGTGTTTCTTCTCATCCAAACCATATTTCACTCTATCATGGTGGTGTTGCTTTTGTAAAGCAGATTATGCAGAGCCATTCTGGCTGGGAGAATCCGATCAAGATGTATACACTGTCTTCAGTCAATGTGGCCAGAAAGTACGCGAGTATTTTGGATGCGCCATTGACGATTGCAAGGACGGCATTCATGAAAAAGGAAGCTGGCGAATATCCTACTCCACTGTTGGTCGTCAGCGGTGTAGGAGGATACAGAAAAGCACAACGAGCCATGACGAACGCGCACGAAAGCCAAATGAGATGGTTTCGTTGGGGTTGGATCAGTGTATCTCGATACATGGTTCTGAACGACATGAAAAAGGTCAAGGTGGTTTGAAGAGCAAGGACAAGAAAAGAAAAAAAAAACCCTTTGCTTATGGAGACATCTACACTGCAGTCTCGTATGCTGTGCATTCTGTGAGCAGGTATGCAGCCCTATGGCATGATTGTTTGGCCTACATGTTCCGGTGCCGAGACAGACGGGTTTCTGCATGCAACCAAAGACACATGACATTTGCCAGCAAAGTTCCCTCAGCACCCAGCCAGCACAAGAGCTCAAGCAGTTGGTAGGGAACAAGCAAAAGAAAGAAGCAATATGCTCACTGCCTGGATATGCTTGTTCACAACGGAATCGCCTCAGTCAGGGTATCGCGATTATCCAGTGGTTCAACCAAGTAGCACTGGAAGAGGGGAGCCCAAGAAAACGCTGACATATCTGCACGACAATCGTACAAACGCCGAACAATACCTACCTCAAAAAACTTGCTATATGGACAATAGCACGACAGGGCATTGCAACGCTTGTCGCTTTCTGACCGGTTTGCCTTTGGTGACTCCTGTTTTGCACATTTGCTTGTTCGACGATGTATTTGTCTCGGCGCGTTTGCATTGACGATTGTTCTACTTATATAGCTTTTGCCTTCTTCACCTCACATCATGTGGGCTTTGGTTTTCGTGTCCCAGTCAGCCATACATACGTCGAATTGCAATAATTCTCCATCATCNNCAACGCACGCGGGCAGCAAAGATGTTTTCTCTCATTAGAAAGATCAGCAGCTCGCAGTACCCTAGAAGCAACATGGCAGAACAGTCGACACCAGAGAACGACACCAAGCAAGAAGAGCAAGAGCAACAAGAAGAGCACGTCGATGGCATCAGCTACGATCCTGATGCAGATCCCAGAGATCCTGGCAGATACTACACTTTTCCACATTTTGCTGAAGAGTAAGTTGTTCTGCATTGATTGATTTGGTGTTGTACTCTCGCTGGACATGATCGTTCATGCGAAAAGTTTCATGCATTTTTATAGTGATGTAGCTGATGAGAAGTAGCAAGCAAGAGACAGATGAACACCCAAGCACCCCTGAGCACGACCCGGGCACCTCTACTCGTGATTCCCAAACTACTCCCCAAGAAATGGGGTCCCCAAAGCATAACAGCGATGTNNTCCCTCCACAAACACATCTACCACACCAATATGCAAAACAACCACTCCCCCAAGCCCCCAAGACCCAGCCTCCCCACCCTTCTGGCCCACCTCCCCAATCCCCAAAAGATTGCGTCCGACCCCCTCGTCTCGCAGTCCANNTCATTCTCCCCTCCTGCTCTGCAAACACGCTCCACAACCTCTTCACCGTCATCGCCACAGCTCTCGCGCGTACAGCCAACTCGCAGAGCGTCTACACAAGTCAACACTGCCACGCCAAAGCAGCATTCCTCACCTGCAGCACGCTCACTGAGAAGCATTTCAGCTGCTCAATCGCCAAGACTGCAGGAGAAGAAGAGTGTAGGTCAGGCAAAGGATGCACATTCATCACCAGCGAGAAAGTCACAACAGCAGAAGCGTGTTTCTGGACTCTCGCAAGGGTCGCCAAACAGAGATGGTGGAAAGATGGGCTAACAATGAAATCGAGAGCGGTTTTGAGATCTTTGGACTCGAGAAGAACGGAAAAGTCGAGGAAAGGAAGGCAAAGTCGCATCTCTGCATCATTGCTATGTGGAGAGTTTGTGGGCTCGAACAGAGCAGTGGAGATACCAATGCTCATGTAAATATCAAATGATACACGCAGATGGCATGACTCGAGGAAATGCCATGAAGGTAAGAATATCACAGCTGAGAAATTGAAGATTGTGAGAATTGTTTGATAATTTGTTCTTTCTTCTTCGTAAATGATTTTTGGATATAGACAGACAGAGAAGGGAAACAGATGACTCAAACACTGATGGTCTTGAATACGTTGAAGCCATTGCCACCGGTGGCCATGAGAGCACCGGGGATTTGAGGGTGCCAGTGCGACTCCTTGATCTGCTCCATGTAGTGGACGAACAGCAATTGGGGTGGTACGTCCTGGACACCAGCAGTATCGCGCGACTCCTCGTCGTCGAGCTCGACAGCCAGATCCCAGAGTGTGAGTGTGTTGTCGCCGGAGCAGACAGCGACGATGGAGTCGTCGGTGGGGTGCCAGTCGACGCTTGTGATTTGCTCCTTGTGGAACTTGAATGAAGCAACCGAGTTGGGCTTGGGCGAGGTGGTAACTGAAGGCTTCCATTGACGCAAGTCCCAGACGGCCCACTCACCGTCTTCGTGGCCTGAGGCGAGCAAGTGGGTGGTGTTGCGTGACCAGGAGAGAACATTGACATCGGTGTTTGCGACTTGGACACTAAGAGCAGGCTTGCGCGACTTGGATCGGGCATCCCAGATCTTGACAGTGCCATCTGCAGAGCCAGAGGCAAAGACGTTGCGCTCTGAGGGAGACCATTGCAGTTCCTCGACGGAGCTGCTGTGTCCGGTGAACGGAGTCGTGTCAGTGACGAAGCCACCACCCTCGGTGCGAGTGGTAGCAAAGATACGACCGTCGACATCACCAGTCAACAGCTTGCCAGTGGGGAAAAGTGGTGACCAGTCAATGGCGTAACCTTCGGTCTTCTTGTGTGCGCGGATGGTGCTGACGGGCTTGTTTTGTTGGGCGGAGATGGTCATGCCAGGATTGTCGAACGAGGCGAGATGGGGGGTTACGTCGTGGATGAAGACATCGCCAGACTCGGTCATGACGGCGCTGAGAGTGGTGGGAGGAGTGGATGATGAGGCTTGCGGGGTTTGGTGGACGCGGATGCGGTTTGTGACGGTGTTCAAGGGAATGTCCTTGGTCTCGAGGATGGGCTCGAGCGATTGTTCCTCCTCATCATCGTCTTCTTCCTCGGAATCCGATTGTTCGCCACGGTCCATGCGACCCAAGCTGCTCATCTTCATGACCATGATGCGGTTTTCCTTTTCACTTCCTCGTGCGGCCTGGGTGCCTGCGACGGCGTAGACGGTTTGAGGGTAGGACTTGCGGGTGTCGCCCAGCTGGTCCTTGACAAGATCGAAGGAAAGGCAGGGCCACGGGGCTTCCAGGTTGTGCAGCATCTCATATGTTGAAGTGTCCGGGGCCAGTGTCTGTCCAGCTTCGAGTTTGTGTCGTCCGGGAATGAAAGTGTCTTGATCTAGGTCCATGGCCGCNTGTTCCTCATCAGCATCGAGCAGCTTGTTGTATAGACAGGGATACACACCCTCACGCTCCTCGGCCTCGCGCTCCTCGTCGGGTCTGCCATCGACACCGGCCTCCAGAATCTCATCTTCGCTCTCAAACTCGTCCTCGAACTCGTCTTCGAACTCGAGGTCGTCGGGCTGGCCGTCCTGCGGCCTCTGACCGGACTTGAGGGCGCGAACCTCGTCCTCGTCGGATTGGTCTGCTGTGCGTTTGCTCATTATGCGTGGTGGATGTGGTGTAGAAAAATGGCTTTTTTGACGCTCTGGGCGCGAACGAAAAGAAAGGACGGCTTATCGATAAGCATGACGGAGACTTGTCGCTGCCAAGACGGCGGACCAAACATTCGATGACCGTGTGTGGCTGGCGCCGGCGGTGCTGGAGGGGCTTGAAGCGGCGGCCCCAAACAGCGCATGCATCCTGTGCTTCCTGCATACAAACAAACCTTCGCTCTTGCATCTCGCCCTCTTCTCTTTGACAGAAAGACATTCGACCTGGTGTCCTTTGTATCCCGCGCTGGAACGTGTAGTCCTCCGACTCGATTGACCGTCCTGCGCTTTGACTGGTAGACGAACAGCTGCGACGGCCTAGTGCCCAATCTTCGAACCACTCCCGACTGGCACAAGCACCCGTGTTATTTCTACCCGAACGACATTAGAAGCTCCGACGCATCTCAGGCCGCCCGCCCAGTGACCCAGTACAATTAAACAATGGATTACTCAGAGCCTGTCCCGCAGCCCTCTCCCTCGCATGACGCCTCGCTCGAGGACGCGAGCATGCACACCGTTACTGCCTCATCTGTCAACGCTCTGCCCCATATCCACAACCACAACATCTCCGACTCTGCCGATTCCACTCGCCGACCTCAGACCTCCTACTCCGACACTGGCTTTGCCTCCAACTACCAATCTCAAGACAACAATCCCGACCAACAACAACACGAAGACCAGATGCCGCAGTACCCCTCGAGACCGAGCTCTCGCTTGAACCGTCAAAACTCAGACTACTCGGACCAGAATGGCCAGCGGCAACAGGCCCAGAAGAACGCCAGCGTTGTCATCAAGGTCGGAATGGTTGGCGATGCGCAAATCGGCAAGACCTCCTTAATGGTCAAATACGTCGAAGGTAGCTGGGACGAAGACTATATCCAGACTCTGGGTGCGCAATCAACCTCGTCATCCCATCTGTACACGCGCTAACCCTCTTCCCAGNGTGTCAATTTCATGGAAAAGACGATTAGCATCCGCAACACAGAAATCACCTTCTCAATCTGGGACTTGGGCGGTCAGCGCGAATTCGTCAACATGCTGCCCCTTGTCTGCAATGACGCCGTCGCAATCCTCTTCATGTTCGATTTGACTCGCAAAAGCACCCTAAACTCAATCAAAGAGTGGTACCGCCAGGGCAGGGGTTTCAACAAGACTGCGATCCCATTCCTGGTCGGCACGAAATACGACCACTTTGTCAACTTCCCACGCGAAGAGCAAGAGGAGATCAGTATGCAGGTGCGTACTTCTGTCAATCTGATGAATGTTTGATGGACCATCTAACGCGCAANNCAGGCTAAGCGCTTCGCCAAAGCAATGAAGGCAAGTCTGATCTTCAGCAGTACCAGTCACAGCATCAACGTTCAGAAGGTCAGTCTCGCAAACTCTTCAGCATATTATCATCCCACTAACTTTGACTAGATCTTCAAGATTGTGCTATCAAAAGCATTCGACCTGCGCTGTACGATCCCAGAGATCGAACATGTGGGCGAGCCCCTGCTTCTCTACCAACACGTGGGCTAGATTTACGCCCTCGAACTTGACCACTTCACACTGTCTGGCCCAAACGGCGCATACCCTACCACCAGTACCATCAGACTGTCTTACCAGAAAAGACAACACTTCGGCCTCTTCTCTTCTTTCTAGTTTCTCTAATCACTTTTTTTCGGCTGGGCTTTTTAAAAGAGAAAGGAAATACACACAGAATCTTTGCATTGGATGGGAGAAAAAAGGAGGGCTGAACTTTCTGGACCACCGGGGCAAAGGATTGAAGAGAGCTCTGTTATTTTGTGTTTTACTCTTGCATGCTCGATTTAGCGAAAGAAACCACGGCGTTTTTTCTGTTTCAGTTCTTTGGATGAGAGTCTTTTTCGTCTTGCATACTAATGCTTTATCATGTATCTCGCAACCTGTTTCTTCTCGGTTCTTGCAAGTGATCGAAGTGACTTGTTCTCATTATGTCATGTTAGCCAGGCTTTTTCTGCTCGTAGAAACAGGTATTGAAGACGGGACCAAGTCATCACTTCGACGTCAGTCGGCCGCCAGTCGAGAGGAACGGATGCAGAAAAACCGAGTACTAGTAAGCGATAGATTATCTGTGTTCATATGCTAGACTACACAGTACCCTTCCGTTTTCGGATGGTCATGGGAGCAACGACCGTGCGTCTTTCCCAATCTTTATAATACCGACAACATGTCTTGTTCATGCATATCATCCAAACATATTAGAAGACACATGTGCCGCTGTGATATGATGCGNCGCGGGAGGAGCGGTTCTGCACCGGTTGTGAATGGGCGAGGAAGGGTGGTGCTAAGTTATGGTGGCGTGCTAAAAGTCAGGAGGTTGTGTTTGATGGTGGCGAAGAGCATGTGTCTTTGGATGTGTCCAAGGATGGGCCAAAGCATCTGTCCAAGGACGACGGGGAGTACCTCTGCCATCGTTGTTATGTGTCACAGCGGAGTCCCTTTGAGGCGATGCCTGCAGGTTACGAAGATCTCACTTCCCNNTTCAAAGAAATCGCTGCCAGGAAGAAGCAGTTCGATGGAGTGGCAGCAGCACCTGCGGACTCTGGAGACAAGAGGAACATTGTCTGATCACTGGAAGCCAGGATACTCAACTTCTTGGTTGCTACTGACTCATCTTCATGACATTATTCCTACAGGATGGTCACTCTACACACATCTGTCACATCACAGGAGAAAACAGATTGTAGAACAAGAACTTGCGATCCAAGAAAGAGCTCCTCCAAAAGAAGACAGAAATGATGCAAAAGAACGCCGCCCAATGAGTAAAAGCAAATCATCGCAGACCCGCCATCTACCTTCAAGAAGGAGCTGGTGATATCCTGCGACACCCATCTAATTTTTCTTGCCAGTCAGATGCTTGCCCTCATTCTCGCTATCATCTTCGCTCCACCTCTCGTCGTCGTCATCTTCTCCGCCAACTGCGAATATCGTCTCACCATCTAGAGACTCTCTAGGCAATGGTGCAGGTTTCGTCGGCTTAGGTGCCGGCAAAGGCGATGCGTCGCGGTTGGCTGTAGAGCTCGAAGCGTTGTTTCTGGGGGCATCGTAGGCGGGTGGTGCGCCTTCGAGGTCAGGGTCGTCAAAGTCGAGGGAAGAGCGCATGCTTGCAATCTCGAACCCTTCATCATCTTGGGCAATNCTAAGAATAGTGTCAGTAGGTGTAGATTTTGTGGATCTTCAGGGGTGGCTTACCTCGTCACTCATGGCGAAACGGCGGTTGTTCGCTGTCGGTCGCCAGAGCCAGGCAACGAATGCAACATCTGCCAGGTACACTAGGTTGAGCCAGCCGTCCAGGATGAACCAACGTGTTGACCAATGGGTCGGTACAAAGTCCTCGTCGCTGACACCAGCAAGGGTCCAGCTATTGACAAAGAAGAAGACAAAAATGACAACGATAGATCCAAGGATGCACCACCAGAGCTTGCGGTACATCATGGCTTTGATGGTCTGTTTGCGTTCCATCAGATCCTTCATGGTGGCATTGAGCGAGTTAAGCGTCCAAATGTAGAAGGCTGTCAGTGTAGCCGCCAGAGGCAGGACTACGAGCAAGACCAGAGGACCAGCATTCTCAGGGGTCACAGACAGCGAGGCGATGACATAGACCACGCCGAAGATGAAGTGAGTAATGGCCAGCCAGCGAACCCAGATCATGGTACGACCCAGACTAGGTTTTACGACACCATATCCCATGCACACAATCAGCAGCAAGAAGAAACTGAAAGAGTTTCTGCCTGCCGAGAGGACTGAGACCACGATGAGTAATGCTTTTGCGCCTGTGCTAAGGCCGTGTCTGTTCTGGAAATCGTAGAAGAGCCATGTCATGAAGATCTCGATGACGAGGAAGACCAGAATGGCTGTGATGTAGTTCTGAACGGGCAGGATATCGTGTCGGTTCTGGAAGTAGAGGAAAGCCCAGCCGGCCGATGCCAGAGCGTATACAAGAGTAAGAGCGCCGTAGAAGGGCAGCTTTGCGATCTGAGCAGCAGGCAATTCGCCGTAGCTGTTGCGGAACTCAACGATGCCTTCGTAGTTCTCTGCCGTGTAGCCATATGTACCCACACAGTAGTATCCAGTACGCTTGATAGGATAGTTGATAGCGGGTGGGTTCTTGAGGTGTACGGCCTGAGTGATGATCCTACTCGTGCTCTTGTCCGAATCCTGAGACAGAATGAACTCGCCCTCCTCGGTGGTATTGCAGAACTTTGCTTCGATGGCGGTGGCGTCGCAGATGTATGCGCGATCCGAGGCTGTGTCGTCCATGAGTTTGCCGACGTAGTCGCGATCCGACCATTCGAACATGACGAGTGACACGACAGGATCCTGGTCTTCGGGTATGTCTTCTGGCTTGACGAACTTGGTCAGGATGAAGGGGTCTACAGCNCCTCCCCAGCCCTTGCGGCTGAACATACCCGAGCATTGTTGCCGGTTTACTTCCTTCTGGTCCNNTAGATACAATATCAGTATTCTGCCGTTGATACTCGACCAAATTGAAGCAGCAGTACATACAATCTTGACTTCATTGCCGTAGACTCCTAACGCTAGCGACGATAGCAGTGCAGCAGTGCACAGTTGATACCATGACCGCATGGTTCCCTCACTCTTGATAGTAGACAAGCTATGTTATGTGTAAACACAAGAAGAAAAATGTGTCTTCTCTGGCCATCGCATCCCCCTCGAAGCTCCCACGTCAGCTCCAGACGCGTTCGCGGGTCTAGTTGCCCCGTGCAGATCGGACTTGACGCCGGGCCGATCTTCAATTCGTGCACCTCCGACGCACATCAATGCGCTGGCATGTACAAAGATTACAGCGAATCGCAGATGTTATCAAAGTTTGATATAAGCAGACTGCAAGCTACAGACTATCCATCATAAGCAAACACGCCCTGTGTGAGGCGGTGCAGAGATGCGACCTGTGGCTAGAACTTTCGAGTGACATCAACTGTGGCTGAGCCTCTAATAGACACTTTTTGAAATGCCATCATCATGGGGTCGTCAAGCAGGTTAAAACCAAGTCGCGCCGCTGCCCAATTTGCGCTGTATCAAGTCGTTGTTGCGCTGGCAGACCATCAGAGTGTTCTCACAAGCAATTATCTGGACACGCCAATTCATTCGAGCGCTACATTCTTCTGAAGCTCGTCGTTTCCCTCAGCAACCGCCTCGAAGCTTGACGCCCAGTTGCTCCTTCCCCTTACCGTCTCACCACGCGCCGTGCTACAACAAGCTCTTGAGACAACCAGACTCAGATTTCTCTGTTTATCGGCATCTATTGCTATTTTTGATCTGCCTCATCACTTTTGCCAGCATACAAATTCAACCTCGCTGCTCTAATCGACATACCATTTTACCCTCGACCAAACACCAAGAAACACCACAAACATGGCTGCTGCTGTAGGCAAATATGCCGCCAACAAGATGTTGCGCGGTCAGATGGCAAAATACCAGAGCAAGAAGCCTTGCGGCGACGAGGTAAGTCAATCGTTCTCTCTATCGGACATTCATACACCTTCGCTGGTTCCTTCATCGCTGTGTATATTCACAAGCTAATTTATCTCCCGCAGGNACCCGTTCTTCGTATACATCGATGACCCACGCAAACCTGGAAAGCAGAAGAAAGTTAAAAAGACCGTCCCCTCATACATCCCAGAACATGATGCCAACGTACTCGCCAAAATGCGCCGTCGCTCTTACAGAATGGACATGGCGCTCTTTGAGTTCCTCGGTACCCGCTTCGGATGGTCTTCGGTCATCGGAATAGTCCCCGCTGCCGGCGATGCCCTGGATGCTGGTATCGCTTTGTTGCTTGTCAAAGGCTGTATGAAGATCCAGGGTGGTCTGCCCGTGGGCATCCTCATTCAGATGCTCATCAACGTCGCCATCGACTTCCTCATCGGTCTCGTCCCATTCCTCGGCGACATTGCCGATGCCTACTTCAAAGCCAACACCAAGAACTGCCGACTCTTGGAGAAACATCTGGACAGTCTGTACAAGCCCGATGCTCTCAAGGCGGTTAAGACTCGCTCGGGCAAAGCAAACCCTCCAGCCACAGCGTACGAAGACTTTAGCGACGAAGAAGACGACCGTAGAGCGTTCCTCCAGGAGACTCGTCCACACACCGATGGCGCCCACGACGTTCGCCAGCCTGCACCAACCGCTGATCCCAGAGCAAAGAAATCAGGCGGTTGGTTCAACTTTGGTGGGGGTAACAGCAGAAGAGAACAAGACCTTGAGAGGGGGTTGCTCNCCACTCGCCCAGTCCGTGTCGACGACACCATGGAGACTGGAACTGTGCGTACTGATAGAAGATGATGCGAAGAAGAGGTTTACCATGAAGAGAGATGAGCAGATTGAGATATCCAGGAGTGTTTGTTCTGCCTAGGGGCGTTGTGTTTGTTTTTTCTTATGATTCTTAGCGGTTTTGATTCCCCCCTGTTTACGAGTAGCGTTCCGAGATACCACTGAATTGTCAAGTTTTATCCGCTATAACTCTAGTTTCCATGTTGGTTTTGATGTGACTGTTGACAGGATTGTACTCTCAATCCCAAGCATGTGATTAAAAGTCGACTGTTGATTGAGCAAGCAGAAGACTGATTATGGATTCATGAGAAGTTTGGGTGTGAGGATTATCGTTCTCGACGTGCTTTTGAAATATTATTCCTGTGTCATCTTCCTTTCTCTCTGCCACCATTCATCATTATGCTCCTTTTCCCTGACTGATTAGTCGATCAACTCATCCAAAATAATAACAAAGACTGTCGTGATACGCTGAAAAGAACAAAATGGGGGAAGCAAAAACAGAGAAGTACCATGCCAACCCGTCAAGGCGAAAACATGGGCACACTCCTCATACAACCATAGCACAGCGGCGGCGGAGCCTTGCCCTCTGCAACCAGCCCTTCTTCCGTCCTCGGCGTCAACAGCAAAGGCAAACCGCAAAGACTGCAACTCGCGTCTCCGGCACCAGGGGCCTGCAATTTTGCAGTCGTCCTCACCACATTGGCAACAATACTGGGATAATTTTTCTCCACGGCGTCAAAGTAGTTGCGCATGAGTCCATCGATAGTACTGTGCTTTGCACTCACCACCGTTTCCAGAGGCGCTTCGGGGGCAACCAGCGGTGTAAGCGGTGGGTTCACATATGTCGCATAAGCGTGAATCTCCTTNTTGAGCAGGTCGCGTAGAGGGTAGTAGAAATCGATTCCATGGGGAGAAGGGCCGTCAGATACCAACCAGGCCAAAGCAAAACCTCTGCCCTTTGCGGTTTCGGCTAGTGTCTTTTCGGCGAGGCGGGTTGTGCTGTCGCCCCAGAGGATGGCTTCGCAGATATCTGCTTTTGCGAAATCGACGATGAGTTTGTGGAGGAGGATTTGGAGGACGTCGGCGCGGGCGGTGGCGGTGGGGATGGCGTGGAGGAGGGACTGTAGGGATTGGAGGTTTGTGGTTTCGAGGCCTGAGGAATTGAGAGCGGCGGTGGCGGTGGCGGGGGTGTCGATGCCGTATTCTTTGAGCAGGTCTTGTACGTCTTCTACTTCCATGACCGAGGAGATGGGGATGGATGTGTATGTGTGTGTTGGGTAGCGTTCTTTGATGGCGTCGAGGTCTGTTGTTGAAGGTCCTTCGGGCACTACGGCAGTCATGTCTACGTGTAGCACTTGCAGTACGAATCCAGTGCGTCCTGTGTTTTCAATCTGGCGTTTGAGTTGCTCGTCCAGACAGTGTAGCAGTGCCAGCGAAGATACACCCATCGAGAGAGGTAGCAGTAGCATTCGTTGCTGGCCTGCCGTGGAAAACCTTGTGCGGAACTTTTCCATGCGCTTTACAGCCTTTGTCGCGATATATTTGCAGAAGCAATCCCTNGAGACAGAGTCAGTATTCTCATCGTGGAGACGAATGCTGAATGGTGTTGCTCACCTGCACATTGGCCGAGATCGAACATTTTCCACCGCATCATTGACCTGACACTGCTTGCAAGTCCCCAGCGCAGACTCCTTAGGCACGCTCGACGGCATTGTCTCGACAATACTGTGCTAGCTTTGTACAAGAAAGGTCGCTTCGATAGTAAAGTCCTATTTTCCAGGGTCCAGACAAATCCCGAGGGGTTGGTGGAAAAGGTTAGTTTTGCGTATGAATTAGGTATCGACAATTGATAAGTCCAATGAGAGAGTTGAAAGGAGGAGGAGGACGACAAGTAAGCACAAGAGCAGCTTTGAAAAGTGTAAAAGAGAGAGAGTTGCTCCGTCCGCAAGCAAAGTTTCGGGTTCCCTGGCCTCCGTTTGCTGCTCTTGACTCGATCAAAAAGCCGTTGGCAAAGGGACCACTACGTGAGACACGAACGTCCTTTGACCAGCTTGATTTCTTGCAAGGGCAATATATCAGAACTAATTCTTCTTCAATAGTACTTGTGGACGGTCATCCTTTGTCTTGCATCCTTTCGATTCGGCAGCTCTACAGGTTGTTATACGACTCCTCTTCCAGGAACCAAGTCATCATACAGAGCCACCGCTGAACAATGACTCTCGCCCTCTCCTCCGCGGCTTCTTTCCGTCTACCTCCGTGAACCCTGCAAACTGCATCATCCAGCATGCGAGTCACTACTCATCTCTCGGTGTCTCTTGTCGCATCCCCTCTCTTGGCCACGAACCACATCCCAATCGCACAACCACTCCTGCACAACCACCCCACCAATATCTCCTGATCGACACACGGGAATCCCTGCTCTGTAGCGGACATTTCCTAAGCTTCTTCTTCCCTCTCTACCCTTGAAAAGGTTGATCTTTTACCCTTGTAGGTTCAGAGTAAATAAACAGCACATCTGCTCTTGTCTGGGTTTGCCTCTCTCTCTCTCTTCCATTTGCTCCGCCCACCTCTTATTTCCTTAAAATTGTTACAGACATGAACCATAGAGTTTTGTTATAGGCGAATACCGTGTTGATCTTTCTACCTCTTCTACACTCTGTGCACTCTTCTGCAAACACAAAACACTCGTCTCCAAGTTTCTTGAAAAGTTGCGTTGCGCGAACTACGAATGACAGCGGTGGCGTCTGTCTTTTCTACTGGCCGCTGCAAGCGCACGCGAACTTGCTCTTCGGCTCTGACCGGCTGTTTTCTTGGTGCTGCCCATGTGGGATGATGTCGATATCAACAGCAAACGGTTCTCCTATCCAACGCATGTTGCTTTGCCGAATGGTTACTAAGCTTGGCCCATGGAGATGCAGGTGATCAAGATGCAGAAGCGGATGTAACAAGAGTCAAAAGATCAAAACTCCAAAACTTCAAAACAGGTTTTTCGTGCCCAACTGAATCGTCCCATTCTTGTGTGTGTAGTGCAATGCAATGTTGAAATGCGCACAACTAAAATGTTCTACAATTTTATGGTGTTGCTTACGCAAAACCCCTTGTGTCTGATACCAACATCCTCCACTCTCCAAACCCAGATCGACGACGCATCCACACAACTACTTCATTCCTGCTTGCATCCTTCTTTCTCTCCATTCCAACTTCTCAACACATCAAGTCTCAACCGCCTCAGAAACACTGGGGTAATCAACGATCGTCAGCAAAAACATCAAACAGCAACGATCATCCAGCAGTAGCAGCAGCAGAGACAGCACTCACATCCACAACATCATTCATCTGCTCGATATGCCTCCAGCCGTCAAAACAGGCACACACGAAGAAGTCCTCCAGGTCATCACCATCTCGGACATTACCAATCAGATGACGGGTAGGTCTTTTCCGTCTCGCACATGTGATACGCAAAAAAAGGTTGGTACTGAGGTTTGTCCCATCGTCAAAAAGNCAAATGCCCAAGCCTTGTATCCTAGAGAGAAGAATCTCAAGGTGGTCACGGCACGCTCGCCGAATGGCATGATCCATTACTGTGCCATCGTCGGTGAAGAGGTTGCAGACCCGAGGTACCCTAAGATCGCCCCTGCCACCAAGGTTGTGCTGCAAGGCGACAGTGCTACAGATAGACGTACCGCCATGATGACTTTGCTGGAACAGACCGAGAAAAAGGTTGCAAAGGAGATACTGAAACGTTGATGAATGATACACACGTTGCACGATGAGAGTAATGACACAGAACGGTATGTAGAACATGCTTTGATATTAGAACTGTCATAAAATACTCCCAGAATCAATTGCAGACACCATCATTTCATCATTGTCATCATCATCCCGTTCCGCCATTTCAGCGCAGACCACCCAGGAGAGCGGGAGCAATGTACATCCACGAGGTGACTGGAACCCATGATCCAGTTGGTGCAGGCTGTCCGGCCACTGCTGAAGGAGTGATTGAGACTGAAGTTGTGACAGCAGCGACAATTGCCGAGCCTGTACCTGCAGAGACAGTGGCGATAGTAGGTGCTTGGCCACCTCCGAAGAGATTGAGACCAACGCCGAGAAGGTTGCCGAGGTTTGCACCAGATGTTGGAATGGCACCAGCGCTCAGACTGATCACGCCAGGAAGGGAAGCTTGAAGACAGATAAGGTTGCTGCATTGGCTGGCACCGACGACCAAAGAGACCTGACTGGCGGCGGAGATGATGGCGTTGATGTTGGTAGTGACAGCTGGTGCGGCAGCAGGTGCATTGCCTCCTCCGAGAATCTTGACACCGACGTTGAGTAGAGAACCTCCTGAGCCTCCAGTTGGGACAGCGGCGAGGTTCAAGCCCAAAAGACCAGGAAGTGATGCTTGAAGGCAGACAAGATCTGTGCAGGTGGCGACGGCTCCGTTGGTAGCACTGACAACGACTCCAGAAACTGGGCTGGGTGTGCCGGTGATGGATGACGGCAAGGCTCCGCCTCCAAGAAAGCCACCGAGAAGACCACCAACAGCTCCATCAAGGCCACCGACGACTCCTGAAACAGCAGCGCCGACACCAGAGACAGCACCGCCAGCTGCGTTTCCAACACTAGAGACAACGCCGCCGAGAGGTGTAGGTAGGGCTCCAGCGACACCACCGACTACACCAGTAACGACACCTCCAACGCCGGTGAGAGCACCACCAACGCCTGCGCCAACGTTCGACACAGCTCCACCAACAGCGGTAGGAAGAGCACCAGCAGCACCACCAACATTGGAAACGAGACCTCCAACACCAGACAAGACACCGCCAGCAAGATTGCCGGCACCTGAAACGGCACCGCCGAGAGGACTTGGAAGAGCACTGGCGACACCACCAAGGACGCCAGTAGCAGCGGCACCAACGCCTGAAAGGAGACCGCCAGCAACGCTGTTGACTCCTGAGACGACACCACCAAGGGGTATAGGTAGACCACTGGCAACGCCGCCGAGAGCTCCGGTCACAGCACTGCCGACGCCAGAGACGAGTCCGCCGAGAGGGTTGCTTCCTGCTGAAGTGAGAGGACTGAGAGGACCAATGCCAAGGAGACCAGAAATGTTGGAGCTGCTGATGGGTAGACCGATAGACATGGATCCATTGATACTTGATCGTGAGTTGGGAGTGATCGAAGTCAAGAAGCCAGAGCTGCCTGGGTTGGTCAATGGACCGGAAGATTGTGCGTTGTTGCCTCCGGATAGTGATGAGGCCGATGGAGGTGACTGGGCATTGTTGGCTGCTGGTGGTGATGGAGGTGATGGAGACGATTGAGTATTGCCTGCAGGAGGTGCTGGAGATGTTGGGGGAGGTGGTGGAACGGCGTTGGCAGGTGATGCGGCAGGTTGATTGGCTGGAGGTGCTGGTGGAGGACCTGCCGGTACAGGCACTGGAACGCTGAGTGGAGGTGGGTTGGGCATGACTGGGTTGAGGATGGAACTGGACGTTGGAGCTGATGTAGCTGGTGGTCTGACAGCGGAAGTGCTGCTGGACTGGAGGCAAGATGCGACCATAGCAGCTTCGGATTGCAATGCAGCAAAGGCAATGTCGATGAGGCCACGGAGGACAGTGACATCGCCATTGTAGCGGAAGTCATTGACGATGGCACTGACGGTCATGTTGGAGACCTGCTCATAAGACTGTGTCTGGCTCAGTTGAGCAGCAGAGCTGGCGGCTGCGATGATACCAGTGCTGATGGCAAGTTTGATGAAATGCATGGCGTCGAGATTGATCGATGAAGTCTTGATGGATGTGGTTATGAGAGCTGGAGACGAATGGAAGATGATGGGATGCTACGATGGAAGGATGATGAGTTAGCTTTGACAGAGATGAAGGATCATCGGCGACGATACCTTTGGATCAAGGGAGTTAATGGTACGGTAATCAAACAGTGAGTAAAGCAGAGAAGAGTAGTAAATCAAGTAACAAGCTATCGTTGGAAGATGCAAAGCAGTTGATGTTTGGTTGATGTAGAGAGAGAAGAGAGAAGAAAGCTGAGGGAGAAAGGGGAGATGGCTGAGCAAACACGCCTCAACGCTTCGTAGATGGAAGGTGGGAAGGAGTTGCACTTTCCTACCTCACTGTCGTAGATCAAAGAGGAGCCAATGACGAGACCAAGCCTCAACGAAAGTCCTCAATCGGCTGAAGACTGACAGATGTGAAATGATTTCACAACATGTAAGAGTTTCAAAGATAGCTACGATGTACAATGAACATCCGTTTATCGATATAGTCTCACGGGAAGTTATGGCTGGCACGAAACTCTCGAGATTTTCCAGGTTCACAACACTGCTGTTATTGAGATTTACTAGCGTGCCTCTCAGTGGCGATGTCTTTGTTTGCTCAAAGATTACTGTCACCCCAGGATTCCGATGTTTGAACTTGAAGAGATACTCATTATCATATATGGACTTGATGAGTTGAGCAAGAGCTTTGCGCTTCGTAATCATAAAGTATACACAGTCCATCCGTCATGTCTCATTCGTCAGACCTCGATGCCTGAAAGCTGACGGCGTTTACAGATCGGCAGGCTCGGCACGAGCGACAGGGAGGGTAGGGTCATTACGGTAGTCGAGCCAAGTCTGCTTGCCATCCACGGTGCTGTGAGCTGCCTCGCCTATGGGGTGGCCGCCATGGGGCTTGTAGCCTTCACGTTCTGTCGATCGCCTGTTATTGCTGGAAGCTGGGGTGGAGAGGCGGCACTTACCTTCGTCACGAATCTCTTGGCCAATGCTAGTAGTGCCACCAGTGGTTCTGGAGCCAGTCAGGCCAGCAGTGAGACCTGATGAAGTGCTAGTGAGGTCGGATCCAGTGCCTCCGACGAGCGAGCCGCTGAGAGAGCCGGGAGTAATACTATCGGCGGTTTCATGGCTGCGGACAGGAAGGGTCGAGCTGTTGCCAGATCCGTAGGTTGAGCTTCCGTAACGAGACTCGTTGCCGCCAGAACCAGTGATCACTTCTCTAGCTCCAGCAAGAGCTGAGTCGTTCTGAGTGTTCGAGTGGCTGCTTGTACCAGGCAGATAGTCCTTGGCCTTTTGAGTAATACTCTCGCCAGTACCAGAAGAGTATCTCTCGTTGTCGGAGCGGCCTGTCAAACCTCCGGAGGAAGAGTAAGCTCCGGCCTTGCCAGCAGCAGCATCAGAGCCTAGATTGGCAGGAAGCGACGTGTTACCCTCGTGTCTAGTGTTGGAGTCGGTAAAGTCGTCACCAATGCGGTGGCCACCGAGTCCAGGAGCAGTCTTCGAGTCGTACAAGTACTTGTCGGGGTTGGATCCGTGTCCGATGACAGAGCCGAGAGTGCTGTCCTTGTCACGCTTCGAGGATGTGCCGTATCCAGGTCCGTCCTCGCGACTGCCCAAGCCAGAAGCATGCTTGTCCCCTCCACCGATTCCGAAAGTCTCACGGGCCTTCTCTGTGAGAGGTACGGAGGAGCGAGTGTCGGATGAGGTAGTGGTCGAACCGAGGCCAGAGTTAGCAAGTCCGCTGTTACCGCTTGAGCCAGTAAGGCCACTGCTGCCAGTAAGACCGCTGCCGCTGGTCAGACCACTGCTTCCAGTCAGACTGCTACCAAGTCCAGTGCCTGTGTTGTGGCTACGGGTGGTGGTCGATTGAGAGGTGTAATCTGAAGAAGGGTTCTGGACGGAACTACCACCAAGTCCCGANGACACCTTGTAGTGTCAGCATGTGGGAGGTTTACAGATCTTAGCTATTGACATACCATCAACGTTTCCAGCATCATAGGGCTCGCCAGCCTCTCCGCGACCGAGCCTGCCGGAGACTGGCTCGATGCCAGACTGAGAAGTGCCAGTAGCGGCATTTTGGGGAGCTTCACCACCAGCGATGTGGCTGGTATCGTCTTCTAGATTGTGATAGTCAGTGCTTTGCTCTGGTGTAGGGACAAGTGAGCTGCATGGAGAGCGACAGAGCCATGCGGCTGTCTGATCAGCTGAAGTCACTTATCGAGAGAGCTGGTGTAGTCACAGCTCGTCAATTGCTTCAATTGCTGAACATCATGCTCTCTTGACATCGAGCATGTGAACTCTCGCTCCCCAGCGTCAGCCTAATCGCTTACCTCTGTTCTCTTCAGTAGTACCGCCCAAGCCGACGTAGCTAGCGGCGGCGGTTGCTGCGTTCCTGATAGATTCCATGTTGTTTTGATTATTTGTTTTTGGTAATGTCAAGTGTGAGTTAATTGAGAGTCAAGGAGGATTGGAACTTGTGGTCAAGAGCTTAGATGAGGAAGTGTCGAGTGCAGGTTTCGAGGTCGTTCATGACGAGGGGAGCTGTTCATCGTTATTATGTCATGGCGGGGTGACGATCCGGGGGTCGATCGCGTGCAGATCAAATGGCATGCTTGAGACCAAGATATTTCTCTACCTTGCAAATATGCCTGCTTGTAGGTGTACCACGGGATAGATCCAGGCTGTTCTCATGTACACCGAGATATTCCGATAGAATCAAGTTTCTTGGTTGGGTTTGTCCGGATGGAGAATCTACAGCACGGCTCGTTTGCTGGTCTTTGTACCATTCCAGGTTAATGCACGTGGAAAAAACAGGAATTGATGCAAGGATACAAGACATGATGTGCGAGACGCATGATAATTGTATTGACTGTCCATAAACAGTTGTGGTGATCATAAACAGCGAGTTGGGTATAAAGCTTGTAACCATTGTTTCCAAAAAGACGCCAGAATCCTGCACTCGGTACTCCTCCAGATCACTTTCATAATGAATAAGAGCTCTACTTCTTTCTTGCTTTCATCAAGGTTAGCGGGACGATTTGTGTCTTGCCCTTTGGCTTGATAGGTTTACGGCATGCTGGACATGTGCCGTAATTATGGTCTGAGTTGCGTTGGCTTGCTGCTAAGGCCTGAGTCAAACATTCGTGGCAGAAGATGTGGCCTNNGAGGTTCGTGTCAGCTTGATCTTTCCCTCTGTAGAACAGCGTAATCATACCACAATGCGTAGCAGTCATATTGGTAAAGTGCTCCAGACAAATCATGCAGTTTAATTCTCCGATTCTGCTGACCTTGTTACTCTCCTCACGTTGTTTGGTGACCAACGCCTCACGCTCTTTTGCAAGTATATCATTGTCAGGACCCAGCTCTTCGATTTCATCTTCATCTGTATCATCCAGCTCTATCGGTGCAAGAGGATGATGTAGGCGACGCTTAGTCGCGGATGGCGGCGATCCTGGATCAGAGGGACGGGCACGTTTGCGAGAAGTGGCGGTGGTAGATGTTGAAGCAGGCATTGTGTTTGGACTTTCCTCTTTCACGTGCTGTGAATGGGCAGGGCTCTGGTGATGTGATTGCGACTGTTCACTCCTGAAAGCACCAGCCATACGCTCCATGTCGAATCGTGGGGTCGGATGATTGATAGGTTGAGGATGTGCAAGCGGGTTGGCAATAGAGGGACCGACAGAGTGGTTTGTGAAGGATGGGCCTGCGAAGGAGTGGACAGACGAGGAGGCGGTAGGTTGGAGTATGGGATTTGTGGTGGTGGTATGGTGTGGCGGATCAGAATCTTGAGGCGATTGAGGTGGTGAATAGAAGAAGTGGTTGGGGATGTAGCCAAAGCTGGATTGCTGGTTGGAAGCAGGGTTGACACGAGAAAGCGGTGGTAGTCGTGGGACAATGGAAGGTCGTGGTAGAAAGTCGGTACCTTCCCTCAACGCGGCGTGCAAGGAAGCGGACGGAGTCGAGTGCTGCTGTGGTCGGGATTGGGCGGCCGTCGAGTGAAGTCTTGCCTGTGTGAAGTTCGGCAAAGGCAGCCGAGGATATGGAGACGAAGAAGAGGACGAGTGGTGTGGCGGCNNGGGTAGGGAAGGTAGCGTGGAGTGGGTGGATTGATGGGTTGCTGCTGAGGTCGAGAGTTGTCGTCGTCAGAGGTCTGGTTGTTATCCCAAGATCTATTTCGACAGTGAGCCTGAGGTATGTGAGAAGCAGCAAGGGGACGAATGGGCGACGGACAAGAAGTTGAAAGAAGTGCCATCAAAGGGCCAGTGGTTACTCGAAAAAGACATTACGGCGTAAGAATAAGGTAGCGATGGATAGCGACTGCTCTGTTGGACGACGACCTGAAGGCCTCATGGCACTTTATTGCAAGAAACTACAGATTGGTACCTAAGTAGCGACACGGGGCCATGGTGAAGTTTGCCGCTCTGCTGATTGATAATGTCGCCGCTATTGCTGCTGCTGGCCGTCACGCTGTTGCACAAGAGGTGTGATGCAGCACTCCCAAGTCAAGCGTCAGCCCTGCCTGCGGCGGCGCTGCTTCCAGCGTCACGAATGTTCCAGCTCCCGCAACTTGACGTGCTGCAGAAGAACAATCGACCGAACGGGGCTTGGCAAACGACGGTTACGCTATTTGCACCAGCGCTGTTCCTGACAAAGCAGTTCGCGCCAAAGGTCATGATGCCGACTGTGCGAGAAGAAAGTTCACTCGTCCCCGCCATGGAGCCGCTGGAAGTTACCACAGATCCAGAGCTCCCATCCATGCGCATCCCGTAGAGCACCGCCCTCCACCATTCTCTTGAGAAGTAATGGCCGCCAATTCCATGCGGTCGCAGCAGGCCTCGCTGTTGCGCCTCCGCCGTGTCATCCATCAACGCCCACCGTATCCATGCACACGACACTATGCTACCGACATCTCCCACAATGAACGTTCCTCGCCTGCCTCGTCCGCTGCCACTCGTCGCTCTTCCTTGTCGGTCCCGGCTGAATCGCGCTTCAATGAGATCGGTGTTCAGCAAATCAGCAGCCACATCTATCCTCAAATATTTCCCGGCAAACCTCCACCGGCCCCCGAAGACCTCGTGACCTTATCCAAGGACCACTTGCAACGACATGACCTGCTGGGGAAGAATACCGACTCGTCAGAGCCCGTCGCCTTCGACATGCCCGAGATACAAGGACAAACGTTGGATGAACACTTCTACAAGTTGGCTATGGATTCAGCCGAGCCATACCTAGGCCTTGCCAAAAAGTACTCGACTGCAAATGCGCCTCCTCGACCGCGCAAATGGGTCCGACGCAGCGGATGGACAAAGTACTCTCAGGATGGCTCTTCTGAGCCTGTAGAAGCTCCGGACGAGGAAATGTTGACCTTTGACGTCGAAGTCTTATGGCACCACTCGTCCTATGCTGTCATGGCATGCGCTGTCAGTGACAAATCCTGGTATGCCTGGTTATCGCCCTGGCTGTTGGGCGAATCCGAGAGCGATCGCCATCTCATCCCACTTGGAGATCCTCGTAAGCCGCGCATAATTGTAGGCCACAATATCGGCTATGATAGAGCGAGAATCGCCGAGGAGTACGACCTCGATCAGTCGCGCAACAACTTCATCGATACCATGTCGCTACACGTCGCTGTCAATGGAATGTGCTCGAGGCAAAGACCCACCTGGAACATGCACCGCAAGAACCGCGAGACCAGAGACAAGATTGCGAATTCGGAAGCTACGGCCGATTTGGCTGCACTTCTCCAGACCAAGGGAGATGTAGATGAAGAGGAGGAACTTTGGGTTGGTCGTAGTTCTGTCAATTCTCTGCGCGATGTTGCCCACTTTCACTGCGGTATTACCATCGACAAGGCTAAGCGTGAATGGTTCTCAGTGCTTGATCGACAAGGCGTTTGCGACAAACTTGACGAGCTGCTTGATTATTGTGCTGCTGATGTTGACATTACCCACCGAGTCTACAAGAAGGTCTTTCCAGCCTTCATGGAGACTTGCCCTCATCCTGTTAGTTTTGCTGCGCTTCGTCATCTTTCGACTGAGATCTTGCCTGTCAACCGAACTTGGGACTCGTACATTGCAAACGCAGAAGCTACATATCGTAAGCTATCAGACGCTGTAGAGCAGCGGTTACATGATCTGGCCACCAAAGCACTCGAATTAAAAGACAGCCCCGAGAAATACGAAAATGATCCGTGGTTGAGCCAGCTGGACTGGTCGGGCCAGGAGATTCGTATGACGAAGGGCAAGAAAGGTGAAGAGCCAAGGCCTGCCGCACGCCAAAAGATGCCCGGCATGCCTAAATGGTACAAGGATTTGTTTGCGAAAAACGATGCACCTATTGGTCTCACAGTGCGAACGAGGATATCGCCGTTGCTACTACGTCTTGCTTGGGATGGCTATCCACTTGTCTGGTCCGATAAATATGCATGGACCTATAAGGTACCGATGAAGGAAGCAGGCAAGTACACCAACCGGAAACTCGAGCCTTGCGACATGTTCGAAGAGGAGGACTTGAAGTTACGAGACGACAACAAGCATCTCTATTTCCGCATGCCGCACAAGGATGGACCTCAAGCTAGATGTGCAAATCCTCTTGCGAAAGGATATCTACAATTCTTCGAAAACGGCACTCTTTCATCAGAGTTTGCATATGCCAAAGAGGCACTACAAATGAACGCCTCCTGCTCGTACTGGATCAGTGCTAGAGACCGGATCATGTCGCAGATGGTTGTATACCGCGGTGAAGAAAACAAAGATGATCAGCTTGGATTCATTCTGCCGCAAATCATCCCCATGGGTACTATTACACGGCGAGCCGTCGAGAACACATGGCTCACCGCTAGTAACGCGAAGAAGAATCGTGTGGGCTCCGAGCTAAAGGCCATGGTCAAGGCACCACCGGGCTACTGTTTCGTCGGCGCAGATGTGGACTCGCAGGAACTTTGGATCGCTGGATTGGTAGGTGACGCGTCTTTCCAGATCCACGGTGGCAACGCGATCGGCTTCATGAACCTCGAAGGTAGTAAGGCGCAAGGCACAGACATGCACTCACGCACCGCTTCAATTCTAGGCATCTCTCGCAACGATGCTAAAGTCTTCAATTATGGCCGCATCTACGGTGCCGGTGTGCGATTTGCCTCTACTCTCCTCCACCAGTTCAATCCGACTCTCAGCACCCAAGATGCAGTCGACACAGCCTCGAAGCTATACGACAGTACCAAGGGCCAAAAGACCACTCGCAAAATTCTCCGCGAGCGACCTTTCTGGCGTGGAGGCACCGAGTCCTTTGTGTTTAACAAATTAGAAGATTTCGCCGAGCAAGAACGTCCAAGGACGCCTGTGCTGGGTGCTGGAATCACCGAAGCATTGATGCGGCGTTTCGTCAGCAAAGGTGGCTTCATGACTTCGAGAATCAACTGGGCCATTCAGTCTTCGGGAGTCGATTACTTGCACCTCCTCATCGTATCCATGGAATACCTGTGCCGCCGCTACAATATCAATGCTCGATTGTCGATCACCGTGCACGACGAAATCCGATATCTGGTCAAGGACGAAGACAAATACCGCGCCGTCATGGCCCTCCAAGTTAGCAACATTTGGACCCGCGCAATGTTCTCTCAACAGATGGGCATCCATGACTTACCCCAATCCTGCGCTTACTTTTCCGCCGTAGATGTGGATACAGTGTTGCGCAAAGAGGTAGACATGGATTGCATTACGCCCTCTCACACTACGCCCATCCCCTCTGGCGAAAGCTTGGATATCCTACAACTACTCGCCAAAGGCGAACAAGCCTACCTCGACCCCTCCATCATCCCCAAAGACCCACCTCAGCCTCAGCGATTCTCCTACGCCGACCGCGAACCCGTAATGACCACTCTCCAANAAGCCGAAGCACCCGCCTACCTGCGCGCCCAAACCGTCACCACCGACACCGAACTCCGCCAAATCATCAAAGAATGGCGTGATCCCGCTGCTACTACCGCTAGCTCACCTGTCAACGACCTACCTCCAGATTTCCCCAACCTCTCCTCCAAGACCTCTCCCGAACTCGCAAAAAAACGCCCCTCTCGCGCAAAGAAGACTTCAAAGTCCAAGAACGATCCCAACATGCAAACTCCTTCGTTGCTCGAAGATAATGACGTGCCCTTTTCTCGCTACAGATTTTCATCCAATGAGCCGACGACATTTGCGGATTGGAGAGCCGTGGGACGTCTCCCCACCGAACCGAGGGGTATTGCCGGGATGAAGGAAAAGAAGTCGGAAATGGCGAAAAGGGCAGAGATGAATAGGCAAGAGGCGAACAAGAATTCGGACTGGTATCCAGGGTTGGTGAGGAAGATTCCTAGTACGGTGGGTAAGGTTGTGTAAAAAGTGGATGTGTATGGATCTATTGTATATATCTTTTTTCTTTTCTTGTGCATATGTTGTGGATTGGCAGGTACAGATGTTTTGCATCTCAGAGCAGGGTATCAGTGGTGTTTCTATCTGTATCTATACTTGTCTCTTTCCTCTTCTATCACCATGCTTTCCTATCGACTTGTACAGGGTTATGCTTGTATAATTGTGCTTTGCATAACTATGCTTTGCTGTCAGTCACCCTGTCTCTGCACGTCAGCAGGGTCACCCCCAAAACAATACTTCTCAGATCGTCCAACAAGATTGTGCGACAACGATACATATTTGTCTCTGTCCGATTACCTTGGGAGATACTTTGAATATTTAGTGTTTGCTCCTGTCTTCCTCGTAGCCACAAGGTATGTCGTTGTTGCAATATACCCATATCCTTATATCGAGATCAAGTTATCCGGAAAGTCGACCGTGATACGATCTTCTGAGAATTCACCCCTCAAGATTAACATTTCAGCTTCAACAAAAAGATGCTTTGAAAGAAGTTCCAGACGTGTATACGATGGCAAGAATTTAAAGAGGAGGCAAAGTCCCCAGTGTTTGATGTCAGAATCTATCAACCCAACCCAGCTCCATACGTACCGGAACATTCTATCCCACAAGACGCCAGACCCAATGACACCAAGCGAACAACCAAAGGAAAAAGAAAGGAAAGAATAAAAAACGGGAAAAGGGGTATCTAATCAGGCGACGCGACGTAAGATCATGAGGACGAGAGCGATGACTATGCCGATGATGGCTCTGTCAACCCACGCATCTGTTGTTGTGGTTGCTGGTGGTTGTGCTAGCGGTTGTTGTTGGAGTCGTGTAGGAGGTTGTGATTGTGGTAGTGGGTGTGTTCGAGAAGCAGGTTGAGGCGGAGGTTGTGATTGCTGGACCGTGGGCGTAGGTTTGACTTCCTGGGCAGCAGCGACAGTCGGCGGTGATGGCGGAGAAGACGATTCGACAGACCGAGAAGATGCAGGCACGGGAGCAGAAGACTCGGCGGTAGTTCCCTTCTTCTTGGGTTCAATCAAACCAATCTTGCCGGCCAGGGGGTTCTCTTCATCGTTGGTTGCTTCAATGCCCAATTCTTTACACCTCTGCTCTTGTTCTTCCAGGATAGCCAAGGAGCCTTTGCCGCAGCCAGCACACGAGTACTCTCTACTTTTCTCTGCCAACTGCTTCCTCACATTATCAGGAGCACTCATACCACCGACCTGGCCGCCAGCATCGGTATCCATGAAACTCCTTATGGCGACCAAGGCGGTACGTATACCCCACGCGGGCTGCCAGGTCTCTTCATGATGTCCAGAGATACTAAGACAAATCTCACGATTTGGTTCAAAGCGGCCCGAGGGAGTCAAGAAGCGGAACGAGGGTGGTCGTAGAGGATATGCCGGAGGGAGTATTATGCGGCCGTGGTAGACGCCGCCGGCGAAGGGAGATGGATCGGGTGGGCCGGCGATTGTAAAGTGCCATTCGAATAGATTTTCTTCCAGGGGAGCGGCGTAGAAGTCTGGAGTAGGGTTTGTTGTGATTTCGGCGGCTTCCTTGACNTGTGACGGTTGTTAGTGGTGGGTGGCAGGGAAGGAGGGCATGGGGTCATTACGGATGCGCTTGATGGTTGTGCCTTTGGCTGCCATGTTGGGCAGGGACGATGGTGAATGTCTGTTGTCTAAGTATATGAGAGAAAGAATAGGAGAATAGTCATATTTATTTGAACAGTCACAAGAGGAAGGAGCCACGTTGTTCGGACTCGCCATCGTCGCGGCCTTCGCTATCCCCGCGTCAATGACGACCCGAGTGAATGTCAGTCGTCAAACATTTGTCCACCTTTGCGCCGACACGTGCATCATCTCGACAACCACTTCCACCGCCATCTAATCTTTCTATCCACCATCTGCGACACTCTGACTACTGTCTCGTTCAATCCAACCGCCCTTGCTAGGCTGCTCACAACACCTCGACCTCCACAATGGCAGCACCGCCAGTCCAGAGCCTCACCGAGGACGACATGTACCGCACATCTACCCAATTCCGCCTCTGGTCCTTCAGCGAATCCGCTCTCCTCTCCCTCCGTCAAAACACCCACGAAGCCGCCGTCCAACAAGCTCGATCCCATCTCCCCGAGTCCGACCTGTCCTCTCTGCCTTCAGCACAGGATGAGCTCCGTCTAGTTCAGCGCTACTGCGACCAAGTACGCAACACATCCGACTTCTTCCAGTGGTCCGTCAATGTCAAAGCCACTGCCGTGCAATACCTGAAGCGCTTCTACACCACAAACTCCGTCATCACCTACCCGCCCAAGGAAATCTACAAGAGTGTTTTGTTTCTGGCGAGCAAGACTGAGGGCGTACACATGTCTCTATCAGAATACGCCAGACGCATAAAGACGGATCCCAAGGATGTGCTGGCCCCCGAGTACAAGATCATTCAAGCCTTGCGCTTTACCCTCGACGTACGGCAGCCTTTCCGCGCCCTCAAGGGCTGTCTAATGGATCTCTTGAACCTGGCTGCTGGTAACGGTGCTCCTTTGCCCTTTCTCTCCACAACACCGGAGCACTTGCAACAGCAAATGTGTGCTCTACCACCACCGCCCCAAGGCTCAAGGACACAATGGCAGCCTCCGCAACACATAGGCGCCAAAGAAGCTTCAGACAGAGCACACTGTGCTTACGCAGTTGCCCGCCACATCCTCGACGCCCCTGCTCTCCTCACAGACGTCTATTTCCTCTTCACACCACCCCAGATCTATCTCGCAGCTTTGAAGCTTTCCGATCCTATCCTATTCACCTTTTACCTCAGCACAAAAATCCCTGCCACGGCTGCCGCTCACGATATCATTGTATCCACCATCGCACAATGCGCAGACATGCTGTCAAGCTTCGACAACAAAGCCGTCATGAGTAAAGACGAAAGAGCGCAGCTGGAAGCTACTCTAGAGCAAGTGAGAGATCCAGGGACGAGGGATCTAGTAGGTAGACACGAGGAAGCCAAGAGAGGAGGCTTAGGACTAGGAGAAGTAGACGGCGAAAAGGCAGAGANNAGAAAAAAACTGGCGAGGGAAAAGAGTTTTAGGGAGGGTGAGGATCTGTTTGGTCCTGCGTTGACTGTGCAGCAGAAGGGCTGAAGTTTTGCTTCACGGCATAAGGGATACATGGAGAGGGATAATAATATAGATATAGGGAGATTAACCCAAGCACCTCTCTTGTGAGCCACCGACATTTATATCCGTCCACTTCTATGCACAAGATAGTGGCAACAAGGAAGGAAAGAATCCTCCAACCTCTGTTCTGACGACGTATTCAGCTGTAATGTAGCTATAAAGCCTGTAATCTATAATACAGCAAAGAGAACGAAACAAAAGCAACTGTACTCTATGCTTTCGCATATTCACATCAACACTGTCTCAGCAATAAGCAGCCCACCCAGCAAACAGAACAGCCAAGTTTCTCTCATCACTCGCCTGCTGAATCAACTCGTTCACCGTAGCAGCAGTACTTAGCGTCTTGCTCAACTTCTTCTCCACAATCGCCAATGCGCGTGCGGCCTCTCCGGCTTCGTCTTCAGGCCGCTTGCTCGCAGACCCCAGTCCATTACCGCCATCATCGCCATCGCGGCTCGGATCCTGCATTCTGCGAGCCTTGAGTGGTGAAACTGTCCATGAGTACAAGGGATCGTAGCGCAGCACGTTCAGCAAAGTCATGATGGCGTCTTTTTCGGCGCGCAGGGCGTCCATGCTGAACTCGCAGCAGCGGCGGAAGACGCCTTCGGTTTTTGTCACGCCCATGCCGTCCACAATGTCGCGGGTCAGGCGGAAAGGCACGACTTCGGGGATGGGCAGTACGCGGCCGGCTTCAAAGGCCACTCCCAAGTCGATGTGGATGGCTTCACCACTCTTCTCGTCGAGGAGGATGTTGTGGCAGTGGCGATCGCCGAGGCCGAGGATCCAGCCCAGGATGGATATGGTAGCAGTGCTGCGTGTGTAGTTGAGTCGTTTCTGGAACCAGTCGTCTGGGTCTTGGAAGCGCTCGAAGAAGAAGTGGCGCAGCACTGGCTGGTGTCTGGCTGCCACCTCGCGGTATACCTTGAGGCGCGTGTCTTTGGGCATACTCTGTGCACCGCCAATCTTTTCGCGTGCCTTGCCCTGTGACAGGTCCGAAGGATGGTAGCTCACGTGTGCTGGAACCAGGAACTCGCCCAGAGGCATCGAGTGCGGCACGAATTCGATGATGCCAGAGGTCGATGTGAGAGGTAGAACCTTGTAAGTACGGACGTGAAGGTTGCGTTGGCGGGACGTCTTGTGCGTCTGCAGCATCTTGCTGACTTCTCCAAAGACTTGCTCCATGATGGCGTCTTGTCTGAGGTCGTCATTGCCACCTTTGAACAGCTGTCTGTACTCTTTGCCATCAGTTCCAATTGCGACCAGGATCTTGGGTGCGCTCAGGCCGCCGGCAATACGGATATCATCCCTGTATTTGGCGACTACTGGAACGGAAGAGTAATCGCGGTCGGGACGGAGCTCGACAGACAAAGTTGCAGGTGGCACTTTTCTGGGTATCACTATGGCGACCATGTCCTTCGCTGCAGGCACCATGCCGACCGTAATCTTTCCTTTGAACTCCTTCGGGTTCAACTTGACCTCCGCGAGCTGGTGGTAGGCATTCCCTACTTGGAAGCTTCTACGCATAGTTTCAGTCATGCTCTTGTTCTTACCTAAGCTCGTCGCTATGTCGTGGGCAGCGTCACGTCGGGACTTTGCAGCCTGATCGGTCTCCGCAATAGACGAATAGAAGGCCGTATACAGGTAATGGACGCCGTGATGAGGATGATCGGTGCAGATGCGAGCGATTAGGTCGGCAAGGGATTGCTGGAATATGCTCGAATCCTTTTGCAAGCGCGAGGTCTGCTGGTTCATCAGACCGACGAACTTCCAGCTAGGGACGTTTGGCAAGGTCTTTTGTACGACCGCATTTGCCGTTTCCGAATCCGAATGTTCAAGCCAAAGCGCAAAGAAGCGAACAACCGAGGGGTTAAACTCGTCAGACACGATCAGAGCTCGTAGATAGTTTTGTAGACTCTGGCGCACAAACTCGTCGCGGCTGCGTCTCACCTTCTGGTACTCTTCGTCGTCTAGAAGATACCATGAATGTACGGTTTTTTGCGCCCTCAGCAAATCCCGCTTCTTTTCCTTGGTCGAAGCATCCTTGATGAGCCTGTCGAACTGTCGATGTTCACCCAATTTGCGTTCTCGAAGCTTTGCCAGTCTCTGGAAATCTTCCAGATTACCAGGATCTTGAAGTTGTTGATCGCAGAACGAAGCAAATTCGTGATAGACCTTTCCGGCCTCAGACCCTGATGTCGCTTGATCGAGCTGCTCGATCGCTGGTCTGAGATAGTTTGCAATGACTTCTCCAGGCTTCTCAAGACGCGCGTCTGCAACCTCGTGACCNCTATCATACATCAGTAATGCTTCACAGTCATCAAGTTACACTGTACTCACTAATTGGGCCAACATCCCCGCACGACCAACCTGAAACGACTGCTTCAACAAATCTGTCCGTAAACAAAGTTCCTGCAGCATCTGCACCGACGTCGAAATCTCGCCTTGTCTCCACAGTGTAGTTGCCACCTCAAAGTGAGCGGCTGCATCCATCTTCACATCAATCTCCTGACATATAGGAACCAGCTGAGAGAGATAGGTTGCCGCAGTCAGAGACTGTTGAATAAGGTCATTCTTCCTGGCGAACTGGGAAGAACTGATGACTGATCGAGCCTCTATAGCGCGACAATCGCGAATGTTGATATGAAGAGCCTCTCTGAGATGCTTGTTTTGACTCAGAAGACTGAAAAGAGTCTCTCGGCAAGAAACGATTCCCTGAGCATCGTTGAAANNCTGGATACGTTAGCATGTCACAAGGGAAGGGCATAACAGAGATCGAAATACTTACCGACCGATATCCCATCCACTCTGTCGTTCTTGCATTCGATGCCAGAGGTCGGAGAGGTCCGACGAACATCTTACGTTAGTCAACTCGTCGATCTCGCCGAGTACAGCGATACTCGACAATGTGGCGCGGACAGCAGATGCATCAAGGCGCGCATCTTGCAGATGTTGTATCGACGATCCCAGAGCTCTGTTTAGGTCCAATTGAACAGACTCCAGATTGGTAGCAGTAGCGAGCCCTCTGAATATACCATACACTGTGCTTGAAGCTGAGCCGTTCATCTGGGGAGGAGAGACGTCCCATTGCTCCAATTTGCGGGCAGCATTGAGCATGACGTCTGTTGTGGCTGTCGTAGAGTTTCCGCCTTTACGGTTGAGCAGGTCGTGGGTCAGGCTGCTTAGGTTCATGGCACTAACAGAGCCGATTATACCATATCTGTCTGACTCATCGGCCAATCCAGATTGGCGCATGGATGCGTCCATGCGAGCTGAGTGCAGCATGAGACCTTTGATTCCATCGCCTTCATGATGGACGCGTGCAAGCACAGAGTCCAGAGACGGTGGTTGTTTGACGCCGTAGAACGAATCAGGATCATCCACACGGCTATAAATTGACAGTAGCAGCTCGTTTGAAGGTGAGTTTGGGTTAGAGAGAGTCGTTGACGATTTTCGTGATGACTGAGAAACGTGTTGAGGGGTTGCTCCTATTTCTCCCAGGTAAAGAGAAGCTGTAGGCATATTGCACTTGTCAGCAGCTTCTGCAGCGAGAAGGTAGTCCAGCTCTAGCCATTCAAGACGATTCATTCTCGTCTTCTCATTGAGTATTCTCTGAGTGAATAGATATAGAAGCGACTCGAGTAAAAGTCGAGATTTCCGGTCAGTGTCTGCTTTGTGGTTGCCGAAGTGTGCAGTGAAAGATTCCGACAGGTAAGTGCGCACCACTTGTTCCTTCTCGATCTCGGAGCTGAGAGCAAGATGAACGACGAAAGGGAAAAGTTCTGGTGAAAGTTTGGCATCAGTAAGAAAGAGCTTCTCTAACTGGCCAACAAGTGGATCGTCTTTGGCCCATCTGCAAATAGAGACCGCCAGATTCTGCACCCAGATCTCGAAAGGCTTATTAATGTCGAGCTTTGCGGCGCGCCAAAGATCCTCTCTACGGAACTTTTGACTGTCTTTTGTGCCTGTAACGTCTTTCTGGTATACTCTGGCTATCGAGTCGATAACATGATTTGGCAGAACCTTCTCAAACTCGATGGCTCCGTTGTGGTCTCCAAGAGTCAGAAAACGATGTGCAATACTCCTGAGACACTGCTCAGCAACACCGACATGTGATCGATTTTGACTGGATAGAAGGTTGTTAAGCTTGATTACAATCGCATGCATGGATTGTGTCTTCTCTCCCGTACCGCTGGTCAGATGGGGAATCAAATTCTGAACTGGTCGGATCTGTTCCATAGAGACTGTCGATGCATAAGCACGGCCTAGAACCTTTGCAGCCCAGGCTCCATAATCATCAGCCACCGTGAGGGTCTGAGTCGAATCCCATACACGCCGGGCGTAAGAAAGTGAAAGCTCATCAGAACCAAACATGTCATGAGCTGTTTTGTCGTTTACATGGAAATGGCGGCACAAAGTTGAGATAACTTGTCTTCTCTCGATAGACTCCAGGATAGGCGAGGTCGAGTCTTCGTCGTCTAGAAGCCCCCTCAGCATTGTACTCGCAGCTTGGTTCACCCCTGAGGATGCTGGCAGTTCAAGATCGCGACACGACTTAAGAAGCGCACAGAAAGCTTCTTGACGTGGCGTTTTCAAGTCAGAGCGGAAATCCAGAAGGTAATCGACAAGCCAGTCGTGGAAGGATTGCATCTTCGATACTGTGTTGCGGAATTGACTCTCCTGGGTGGTCTTGTCTTGCCGAGACGTCATAAATTGCTTCAAGGACAAGAGAATCAATAGAATTGTACCAGTGATCATTGACAACTCCTGCTTGAGGAATTGCTTTCCTCGCTCAAGCAGATAGTGCAAGACACCCATACCGTCGTCAGAGCAATGTGGGTCAACAACGACTGGCTGTAAGGTCCGAATCAAGGTCTGCAAAGGGTAGCCACTGAAGACTTCATCCCCAGCCAGCGCAATGAATATGCGCAATTTTCTGACAGTGCGGCAAGCGTGGAGTGGACCATATGCAGGGTGCATACAATCAATGATGGAACGCAGAGTGGCAGTGATATGCGGAACATCTAAGGCGTCTTTGATAGTCGTTAGTGTTTTATTTCCTGCTCTACGACAGATTCGCTCAAGTTGATCGATGAGGTATCTGCCTTTGAAACTTGGTTGTTGCGCTTGCGAGAGATCTGTGTCGAGGAATCCGTATCGCTTCATTGCGGAGAGAGCATCTTGAGCGTAAGCATACTGAGATTTCTTCTCAATAAACTTATCAACCACCTCTTCATGGTACATCGAGGTAAACGTCTGAGCCACGATGTCTGGGAGGTTGTTCTGAACCGCGATAGAGTATTCGCCGCTTGTTTTGAAGAAGGTCCTGATATGGGATTCACATGTAGTCGCCACTTGAGATGAATCTTGTGACGATACCTGCTTGCCTGACACATCCCAGGAAATGGCGTATGCAAGCGTCTTACTGAAAGTAGAACGTAAAATTTGCCCTTCAGGCAATTTCAGGGTGCTCGTCAACCAACCGATCTCGTCCTCTTTTTCGCGAATGACCAGCTGTGCATATATCTCGTCAATGTTGTGTTCAAGTAGCTCAGACATGGCTTCATAACCGAAGACTTTGAATGGAATCCTTGCTACGGCTTGGGATTCCAACCAGGTGAACAGCAGCTGGGGNGAGAAAAGCTGGAACACGTCTCTAGGCGAGTTAAGGTCCAGTGCACCTGAGATTGTGGCAATACATGTGGCAGCGTATTTCTCAACATCTGCGATCATGCCCGCAGTCTCAAATATATGATAGATGCACTGTCGCCGAAGAGAATGCCAATTGGCGGCCAGATTCGCCAAAACCAAAACTCGAACGGCAAGCCCTTCGATCCATTCTGTGTCAGCAGGTAGACTTATTCTAAGCTCTTCGAAGACTTCTGTATGAACAGGCAAAGAAAAGAGGCTGAAGAGTGACGACAAGTCTTCAGCAATGGAGTGCTTGACCTCTAGGGTGCCTTCCTGCATCAGACGAAAGAGCATGGAACGAATACTCGAAAGCTTGTCTGCTTGTCCATAATCTGCGTCGATCTGCAGGATCTGTAGCATGAGATGAACAAGTCGCTTCTGCACGCATGGCGAGAGAAGATTGGCCTTCCAAGCTGTCACAGTGAACCACTTATAGATATCGAGGCCAAATGTGTAGAGATCCTGGTCCGAAGTGTCTGTCCAGGTATACACAAAGCTCTCCATGACACCCAACAAAAGGTCGATATTCGTCTCGGCACGTTCGTACTCGTAAGACTGAAGTGTATTGTCGGCGAAAAATTCAAGAAGTGGTTCAAACTGCTTGGGAGCGAGTTGTACACCGTAGCGAGGCAGAGCCGTAAGAAAGGGCCCACTGGCAAGAAGTTCTGGCGCCGGAAGCTCAAGCACATGAGATATGAGCTCCTTCGTAGGTCCGTCAATAATGTCGTGATGTCCCACGGACGAGTCGAGCGATTGCATCAACATCGCATAGATTGTCACACTTGCCCTTTGTGATATGATGCTGTAATTGGTGGGTATAACCTTTCGTGGAGATCGGGTCTCATTTACTGGCGCAGTATAAGAAGTCACTTGTGACTCGAAGTCGGCGTCGAAATCCATCATGTCGCTAGTATCGGTCTTCTTGACCGAAGACTCCGATTGTGTCATATAGCGCCTCTTCTCGAGAAGTTCCAGCAAAGGATTCGAGAGCTTCGCCATGCAGGCATGATGATCATGGCCTACTTGGGTTGATGTATCCGGGTGACAAGCCAGAAGTCTGTGGGCAACAAGATCAATGAGGGCATCCACCTTATCTTGTTCACAAATAAGGCTTGATAGATCGCCGAAAAATAGGATCAAGAGTTTCTCGTTGGCAGCACGAAGCTGTTCTGTTCGACGAGTGTCTTTCGCTCTCAAACAGTTAGCAAGACATAGTCCCACTGTGACCAAGTTGCCGACCATACGGATCATGTACTGGTCCAGATGGCTAGCACTTTGCTCCTTCATGTTCTGCCATCTGTCCACTGCACTGTTTGTTTCAGTTGTGCAGAGACCGAGCAACAATGTGACAGCGACATTGTTCATGGACGGGTCCCTATCCGGAGCCTGCTCAGTTCGATCCAGAGGTTTGATTGATACCTCCTTCTTCCTGAGTAGCAAATAGTCAAGAAGCTCTTGGGTTTGGCCATGCAAAATCCATGATTGTGCTACAGAACCCCATATCGGCAGGCTTTGATGTGGTTCTCGCTCTGTGGGCAATCCTAGACAAACGTTTATGAGGTTCATGACGTCGACAACTTGGGTGGTTGTGTTCTGGGAAGCGAATATTTTGTCAAGGAAATTGCTTGGAGCCCATGTTCGAAAGATCCATGTTAGGATTTGTTCTAATCTTTCGCCAATTGACGATGTGCCTTCGCGCTGGAGTCGGACCATGATAGTTTGGAACAACCCAGCGACCGAATCAGCAAATACAGATGGCCCACTGATTGAGATGCTCGAAAGCATAGAACCGACATCGTCCAGAATGGTCGCTCGATCGATCAATTCTGTTTGGATCATAGTGTGAAGGAGATGGCATGCCGGTCTACATGTTTGAACAGGGTTGACACCCCTCAAGGTGTAATGCCAAACAGACTGCCAGACGTCAATTAGATTGGATACTCGGGCTGTAGCTTGACTAGCACAACTNATGGGTTTGTTAGCCTGGTGGTCGAGCTTGAGAATGCGGGAAAAGTACCTTGCGAGTGCCAGGTAGGCCCAAGAAGTGACAGAACTGTTGTCATCAACGATGCATGTGGCCAATTTCTCGATCAACCTGGCCAGAACATCTTCCTCGACAGGAGTAGACTGGACAACAAAACATAGAATCTGCAATGAACATAGCTTGTTGGGAATGCTAAAGTCAGCGAGCATGCGAAACAGCTCATCGGACCAATGTGCAACACGCTGACGCTTTTGAGGACCAGCATCTGAGGCAATAGATCGTCCGAGCCTTCGCTGATCAGGAAGATGACCGCAGACAGAGAAACGCGCCAACAACTTTAACAAAGTCCAGTTGTGCTCAGCACTCAGAGCGTTCTCATTGATTACATGACCGTCCTGCAGACCGAAGATAAGGCCTCCCAAGCCACTTGGGGGTTGCTCCAGGTTAAGTTTGAGACTCAGTTGACTGAGCTGGAGTTGGTCCTTGATCGGTCGTCTGGTATACTCGCCCCTGATCGTTTCGACAAGATTGGATATCTCGGTGAGAAGCAACTCATCTTCACCAAACTGCGAGAGAACTTCCACAAAGGGATGCAACAAGACCAGCATGGACAAAATCTCGTCTTTGAGGGCCGAAAGTTTCGAGTTCCACAATGCTTTACTCACCGCGAGAGCGTCTCGAGTGAATTCTTTTGTAAGTTTGATGTCTTCGGTACGTAGCTGGAGCAGAACGGTGTTGATCACCACCAGAGCATCAATCTGAGGCTTCGCCGTGTGTGGTGAGTTGTGCAAGAACTGTGCCATTGCATTGAGGATCTGGGGGCCTTTCTTCAGGATGGGTGCAAAGGGAACGCTGGTTAGCGAACGAATGACATTGACCAGATCGTCCAGAGCATGCCTGGGAAGCACACCTCTGTCGAGACTTGCTTGTGAAGGACGCGATGATCTCGGAGTCAATATACTACAGCCTAATCCAAGATCGGACTTGGGTGCGAATCCCATCTTGTCGAGACAGAAATTCAAGGTTGCTTTCCACAAGTCTGGAGGCAAATGCTCGACGTGAGGCTCATGACTGAGCACGACAGAGAGATTCCTAGCATAATCAGTTGCCAGTATAGCTTCGGGTTTGCCTTGCTCGTCATCAAAGTTGGTGATAAGGTAATCGACAAGAAATTTGACAGATTTGGAACGGCCATTGCGAATGCCAACTTCGACTGCTACACGGAATGTAGTTGAGCAACTGGCAAGTCGTTGCTCGGTAGCATTCAAGGTCGTCTTGCTTTTCGCGCCTCCTCTCAACACTCGCAGCTGGGCGACTTCGACATCGATGGCTTGGGCAATGGTATCGTAGATCTTGAGTAGTGCGGAGTCTTTGAGGTTATCGATCCTGGAAGTGCCTTGATTGTGTCTCAAGATTTGGCGAAGATTGATCATAGCATCAGTCCTTTCCTTGATGCCCCGTGAAGAGATACTCGCTGTTCAGGATTAGGAAAGCGATTGCGTAGAATGTATAAGTGCACCTACCAAGNNAGCCTCTGCCAGATTCATGTCAGATGCCATTATGGGCGAGAGTTCTACGTTGATGGCATGAGAGTGAGGTCGACGAATATGCTTAGCAGAGTTCGAGAAGCAATCACGACACAACAAGACACCAAACGCTGGTTACGGCACAGTTGCGACTGGTAACTTTTTGGGCAGTCACGATTGCTCGGACATATGTTGCTTAAGCCCGGTCAATGAGTTCAGAAGCACCTATACAGACCATGTGACCTTGTCAGAGCACTCTCTTCACGTCCCTTGTGAGTTTGTGCATGAATGACGAAAACAAAGTCAGCCAAATCAAAACTCGCATTGGGTGGTCGAAGGGATGGACGCGATTGATGGAAGGCGCGGTTTGCAGACGGGAGAAGCCGAGGTCGAGCTTCTCACGCGTGTTGCTGCTTGCGCTTCCAAGACAAAACATTATTCTCAATCATCACCACGTCCAAGATCACCACATCCAGCACGCGCATAACCTTTGCGCAAACTTCCGGAACTGGAATCCTAGATCCTAGCCCTCGTCGGGTGACGAGCAACCATCCCTCCGAACCATGGACCAAAACGACAGCTTGAGCAGACTGCAAGGTCTCCAGGCCGACCTCGTCGCCTTTTCCGAATCTCGCTTACTCAACGTCGATCGCCTCTGGACAGAGCTGGAGGACAGCATTGCCGACTTTCGAAAGTTGCTGGATCGTCAGAACAAGAGCGACAAGAGTCGGCAGGCTCTCAAGGCCGGTACGCTTGTCTACAGCGGGGGGAAGAGGACTGCACGCTGACAAGATGACTAGNACACGATAACCGTCGATGAGGTTCAATACAAGATCAACGAAGACTGGAGACAGGAAGTTATCCAAGTCGCAGACGAGTTAGATCTGGACGAGCTGGACGCCGCAAGATTGAACCTGCAATCAGAGAACACCGCACAGGAACTCGGAAGACCTACATCAATGGCTGCCATATTCCGCTTCCATGGCCACCGGGAAACGTTGCTCGAGTGTCTGCGCTTGACAATTCAACAGGCCGTTGATTGCGAAAACACCGACGATCGCGACAAGTTCGTTATATGTGCCGGCCTGATCACCGACAAGTCCGACGCAACTTTCTGGCGCAAGTGTGTCGATGCTATGGCTATCGTTGAGCAATGGCTACAAAAGCTCCAGGACCGGTTGAACCAAATTGCCATGATTGGCCAGACCGCTAATGGCTACGCTCTGGAGACGCTGCAGTTTGAGAAACAGAGCTTGACAAAACAACACGAGTCTTTGGGTGCCATTATTTCACATTTGATCAAGGTCGGCATCGCAACGGTTGACGATTATCGCTATCTCTTGAACAAGACAGCCCAACTCGCCAGCCCCGATGATATCACACTACACTACTTGCCTGCTCTAGTCAGCTGTGCCTCAGTACTTGGACCTATTGATAGTGCTGCCAGTTTGAGGGATGCTCGCGGGTTGGACCAGTATTTTGCAGACAAATCCGACAACTCAAAGTGGAAGCTACCTGATTTCCGCGCTGCCGCAACCGTCTTCTGGTTGGCCGAATACAGCGGTCGCTACATCGACAACCCCATCGGGTCGCCTCTGAGAGGAGTAGATCTGGAAGCAGAGACTGAGTCGCGCTCTCAGCGTTATCTCGATGCTGTCCGCAACGGTGCTTTTGAATTTATCCTGTTCATCTGTGCTCAAGTGCGCGCAGACTTGTGGCATGATCCAGCGAAGGTCGGATTGGTTTCCTATCTCTTGACTGGAGCGGAGCGTTTCAGAAATGGCCCCATCAAGGCATCCGACTACTTCCAGGAGATCCTCGCTCAAAACCTGCAGCTATTTGTTGACGCTTTTATTACGAACATGCCCGACACTATCCGCAGACTGAAATTTGAGGAGGACGAACAGCGCCGTAATATTAGCATTCGCCAGCCTCACGGCACTCCAGAACATGGTCTGCACCTCGAAAGATTCCTAGTCATCATCTCGTATGCCTTCAAGGGCTTCCCCGAAGCTGCTCAATCATTCTGGCAAGATCCCGATAGCAACCTTTATGGCTTCCTGTCATGGGCCTCGAAGCGACAATCTACTCCCCGAGCCGCTGCTTTCTGCGAGATGTTTCTTTCTATCTCAGAAGATGCCGAATGCGCTGAGGCTGCACATAAGTTCCTCATGGACGACGCAACCACTCCAGTAGCTAAGCTTCGTCGCGGCGCACCTCTCAGTTGGGCACAGATCTTCAACGAGTTGAGTTTCTATGCTCCTGGTATCAGTGACAAGCTCACGTCTACATCTTTGCAAGGCGATGGTGCATTGGCCGGACCACTCATCGAACCCGAGAGTGAACTCATGCTCGAGTGTTACTTGCGTCTTCTTACACACATGTGTCGCTCGAGCGTAAGTGCCAGAATCTTTGTCTTGTCTCACCCCACATTCAATCTGCACGAAATCGTACTGAATCTCGCCGTTTCTGGTGTCTCTAATCGTCTCAAGGCCTGTACATTCATGGCTATAGCGGCCAGCTTGACAGACAAGAGTATCGATGCTGGGTACGCACTTTGGGATTACGTTGATTCTTGGATGTACGATTCGCTGAGCCTACGGAACTACCTTGGCACAAAGACACCTCAAAACCCTACCGTGGCAAAGGAAGGTCGCTTCCAATCTTTACTGGAAGGCTTCGAATTACCCAACGCATTCACCAGGCTTGTCCAAGGCATGGTCGTGCCCAGTCCAGAGGAGAGCAGCCTGCGTGACATGCTGCCCTTCCCCGAGCAGTTGGGTGCACAATACCGCATGCCCGGAATGGACCCTTATGTCGACTTCATCTTGGGTAATGTCTTCCAGGAAAGAATGGTAGATCTGCCCGACGTGAACCAGATTTGGGAATTGAGATGCACTTGCCTTGCCTTTATCTCGACATGTCTTTCGACTTTCAATGAGGATCTTGTTATCTTTGCTAACAGCACTAACATTCCTGTTGACTCGATCATTTCCACCTCCTCTCTAGCGGCTTATGTCCGCTTCCATCCATTTGCCCGTGTTATGGAATGGCTGTTCAACGACAAAGTCTCGANNGGTGCGCTCTTCGCCGCCGCCCACGAAGACGTCGACACAATCAGTGCTGCTTCGCCAGATTCTCCTATGATAGTTGCATTATGTCGCAGCATCGAGGTCATCAACCAGGTCTTGAAGCTACAGTCAATTTACTTTGACGTTGTTCGACCTATCGTCAAGACACAATACATTGGGCGTGAGAAGGCCATTGCCAACCCTGCGCTTGCCTCATTTGAGGATGTCATTCTAAACCATGTCAACATCATAGTTGACCTTGGTTTGTACTGCGGAACTGGCCATCAAGAATTGACAATGCTTTCTCTGCAACTACTTCAANAATTGGCAACGGCTCGCAAGCTCTCCATTGCGACTGGCACATCTTATGGGGGCAGTCGCGTGCTTGCGGCGTTGCAACAAGACTTTGATGTCGACCGTATCGCTGCGTCGTTCATCTCCCCTCTCCAGCTCGATCCCAGAGAGCTCGAGATGGGAGCAGAAGGGCCAGGCATCAACATCAAACAAGGCATCTTGGACTTACTCAATACCTCGCTCGAAACTGCGGCCAACCGACCAGCCTTGGCACATTGTCTGTTGGGCTTCCGTTGCACCGACCGAGCTATCAGTGTCCCATCTAATGGCCTCTTCGACACAGGAGCTTCGCTGTTCCATGCTGTGGCCAAGCTCTCAGCCGACACTATTGCTCTACCGGAGGTTAATCAAGCCCCGTGGCTCTCTTCAATACGTCGCACATCCTGTCAGATCATCTCGAGGCTACTTCATTCTTCGCTGACTGAGCGAATTATCCTCGAAGAACTCAGAGAATCTGGTTACTCAGATGCTGTGGCCATAGTGCAAGCACCCATTAATGCCGAAAGTCTGTGGGATAACAAAATCTGTGCTGACCCTGAATTCCTCATTTCAGACTCTGCCGCTGTCTTCAAGGATTTCTTAGTTCAGCGCACCATGTTCTTCGAAGAAGCTTCCCTGAACATCCGGGCCACAATTCAGCGCAACACACCGACACAACGACAAAAAGTCCTATCATCACTGTTGGGTGTCACTGTTCTGTCGTCTGGTGAACAAGTCCAAAACGCTTCGATCTTTGAACTGTTCGACTTCATCGACGTAGACATTTCCTTGCCTTTTGAGATGGCAGAAAAAGCTTTCATCACTGGTCTTGACTTTGGTTCATGTAGGACGGACAAGCCCGAGTCAGGAGTTATTTATGACCTCGGACTGGCAAAGGAGCTGTTGCTGCTCCGCGAAGCCGACCTACGCAAGCATGGCAAGCTGCTCGACCCCATATCACAGCAACAATGTGCCGCAGAGATTGACGCTGCTATGTTGTGTCTGCAATCGGAAAACAATTACGCCTCGATCATGCTTGCGCAGAGGACAGCACTTAACGTGTGGGTGAAGCTCATGTCGATGATGCTCGCGTTGGGCGACTTCCAAGCCGCGCCCAAGACTGCACTCGCCTTGCAAGCTCTGCAGATTGTGTTGCCGAAGTTGGACAGAACGATTGTAGAGGACTCCCCTGTCACTGTTCCGCTTGCAAAGCTCACATACACTCTGATGAGGGTACTAGACTCTTCTGCCACGGAAAAGAATGTGGAGGTCAGTGCGGTACACGACAGACTCACGGCGACTTTCCGTACAGCATTGCGCGGCATAGGCAGTGCTTCTGGTGGTACAGAGTTGCGCGAGACGTGTTACCAGACCATCCGCCACTTCATCAGATCGGCGTGCAGAACGGGCGCTACTGGATCTGACAATCTGGGTGCTCAAAGAATTGCCTCTCCCGGGCTCGGTGCAGGTATCGGTGGTTCACCCAGATTGGGCGCTGGTGCAACTGGCAGCGGTTCGTCGCCTCTGCAACGTCAGGCTGCCAAGATCATCGAACATGGTGGCGAAAGACTGATGGACACCATCTGTGAGGACGTCATGTCCAGTGCAGGCAGCTGTAGAGTTTCTGCCTTGATGGTGCTAGAGTCCTGCTTGCAGTTGTTCCAGATGGTCAAGTCGCAATACCTGACACGGGCAATGACCAAGCTGAACTTCACCTCCGTGCTTGTGGATGGTATCCGCGGTATTGCTGGCGAATTTCAACAACAACGTGAAGGACAAGGTAAGTAAAGTCATGACTCTCCTGGAGGTCTAAGCTAATTGTACAACANNGATATCGCAACAATTCTCTCGTACATCCACACTGCTCTTTCCGTCCTACTGCGCATGTCGCACACCAACGAAGGCGCCGCCGCCATCCTAGAGGCTGGTCTGTTCAGCGCAGTTCGCGACTCACAGCTTTTCGCCACAGACCCAGACATTGGCCTCGACGTCGACAATGTCGAAGCACTGGAAAACTTCTACCGCTTGCTCATCTCCATGTTGCGTATCCTGACTTCATGTGTTGTTAGCAGAGGATCAAGAAACCAGCATGTCCTTGCTCAAGGCAGAGCTTTCTTGACCGAGAACAGACAGTGCATGCAGGGTGTCTTTAAGGCTGCGGTTAGAGAGGGTCCTCAGGTTCGCCCGAGCATCAAGCAAGCTTTGGAGGATCTGGTTGGCTGTTTCAGCGCCTTGATTCATGCGACAGACTTTGTTGAGGTGAGTTTTTGATTGGTTGTGTTGTGGATGTCGAGATGCAAAGTTATTGACTTGTTCAACAGANGTGATGAGGTGCCGTTAGCTCAGAGGTCTCTGGGCAACATGTTTACTTGAGGATGAGCAACGTGACTTGATGAATAGGTGCCGAGAGAAGCCTCTACTTTCTTGATGAAAAAATGGATTGGTTATGTATCATAGCGCAAGAGACAAACTGAATAAATGTCGAGAATGCGAAATCACAAAATGTCAAAATGAATTGTAACTTGATGGATTTCGTTTTACAGCTCAGTGTATGAGCCAGAATGGTATCTTTACAGAATGACCTCATGCAGTGATGAATCTACCCATGGTGCATGGGATTTTGCGAACGCAGAAACAAACTCTTTCCGCCAACCCAGCAAGAATGTGTATCGATGTCCATCTCTTGCCAGTGGCAACCCAGCCCATATAAAAGCAAATGCCTTGAAAAACGCCCTCTCTTTGACCCAGAGAATATATCATGCTTCCTCGATTTCTTTTCATCTCTCATCTTCCAGCGGCCGCAATCAGTTCTGCACCGAATCGCCATCAGCCCTCCACTGCACCTCTCCCACCACACTCCTCAACTCATCCAACGTGCCCCCNATCTTCACCACCGAATACCTCAACATTCTGGGATCCAGACCTAGCGTTCTGCGTACGGCGTGTTGCGTTCTTGCACTGCTGTCGAAGCGGACGACAAAGTAGTGGCCTGTGTTGTGGGTGACTGTGTTTTTTCTCATGGGCTTGGGTAGGTGGAAGACGCCCCAGTTTGTGATGCCACGGACGACGCCCCCGGCGTTGAGGACAATATTGCCGGTTGTCTTTGCGATTCTGGTAGGTGAGGTGAGTGGTTAGAGGGGGGTTGTGAGGGGTGAGGTTGGAAGGAAGGAAACGGACTCGCGGACTTCGGCTAGGTTGCCTGGGCGGACCTGTGGGGGTTCGTTAGTGGTTTGTAAGGGTCTGGAGAAAAGAGAGGATGTTCGCATACTACGCCAATGAGTTCGTAAAGCATGATGGATGTGTGTTGTGTAATGTATTGCTCTGCCTGTCGCAAATTGGACTGCAATGGTATGCGTCGCGTGCATGGACGTCCGGCAAAGGCAAATTTCCATCTTATCTAATCTTGTGATCGGTGACCCTTTCCCGCATCTTGCATCGACTTCCCCGAGTTGCTTGGCGAACCACTCCGTCACTGATGTGAGCAAGCTCTCGTGCTGTTGCCGTCGCCGTTCTTTCGCAACTTGTACATAACAGTCTTTCGCAAAACAGCAATCACAATGGCATTCCTTGCTCGCTCAGTCTTCCGCTCCTCGCTGGCCACAGCCACTAGACCTGCCCTCTCCTGCCGCATCGCCAATGCCCAACTCTCGCGACCCTTCTCGGCCAAATCAGCTGGTGAGTTGACCATCTCATCTCTTCCATCCAAACTCGAAGAACTCCACCAACATCCTCCCTCACACANNGCCCTCGCCAAAAAATACACCCAAGACCACGAATGGATCGACCTCTCCTCTGACAACAAGACCGGCACAATCGGCATTTCCACCTACGCCGCCAACGCCCTCGGCGACGTCGTGTTTGTCGAGCTGCCCACCACCGACCTCGAAGTCAGCTCTGGCGACACAATCGGCAGTGTCGAGTCCGTAAAGAGCGCGTCAGACATCATGACACCCGTATCAGGTGTGATTGTCGAAGCCAATGCCGTCTTGGAGGAAAAACCCAGTACCATCAACAAGAGCCCCGAGGGTGAAGGTTGGATCGCAAAGATTGAGATCAAGGATCCCAAAGAGGTGGAGGGTTTGATGAGTGAAGACGAGTACAAGAAGTTTACCGAGGAGAGCGAGGAGTAGTGGATTTGTTTCTGCAGGTGATGCGAGCGAGATGTGGGATGGAAGCATGGTGTTCAACCACGGTTTGTGATGATTCAACGTCTAGGTCTGGTATGGCCTTTTCCTTTTTAACATGAGTACAGAGACATGATAGCAGGATTGAGAGAGCAAGGAGCGAAGAAAGCGAAACAGCATCCTGATGAACTCGAAGCGGCATTTGCAATTAACACGACGTTCCAAGACAACCAATACAGCGCGAGATTGTAATGCCAAATTGAGCTCGAGTATCGAAACAAAGACGTATTGTCTTGGTAAGAATTATTGATCATAGGTCTCGTCATGTTATTACAAGAAGTCAAAGGCCTCATGCCTCCAAAAACCAATTTCTGCTCAACCCTCTCCAACTTCAACCCCTGCTCAATGCCCTCATCAAGGCGAACTATCCCAACGCCCTTGCTTCGCATTCCTCGCCGTATCAATCTCCTTCTTAAAGTCCGAATACAGCGCCTTGATCTTGCCCTGCTCCTCCATGATATCCACAATCTTGTTGGCATGCTTTCTGCGCTTCCTGACACTCCAGCCATCGCGCTTAACGATGAGTTTGGGAGTGTTCCAGCCCGCAGACTCCAGCCACTCGACCACCCACTCGTAGAGATGGTATCGCCAGTGTTGGAGCGAGTGTGCGGTCTCGGCATTGGACATGCAGAATTTGCCGAGGTAGAAGACTGTTTCTTCCGAGGCGATGTGGCGGCCCATGGAGTCGTGATTGATGGGTGCGGTGGAGTCGACGCTGCTTTCTGAGTTTGAGTCATCGTCGTCGTCGTCTTCTTCATCATCCGGGTCTTTGCGAGGTGCCACGGGTTCAAGAGAGTTCTTGTCGTATGGCTTACCCTCGAACTTGATCTCGTAGGTGGCGGGATGGCCTGTCCTGTTGCAGGCATCACATTTGTCGCGGCCGAAGTGGGCTGAAGATTGGCGGTCTAGGCGGGCTGAAAGAAGGTCTGGTCTTGCTTGGAGTGCGAGTGTGAATGTCGAGGTCCATGCCGCCGACTGGAACTTGGAGCCTGCCAATCCTTTGACCTCGTCGTCGAGCTTCTTGAATGTCAGATCGTAGATCTCATCGTCCATCTGGAAGGCTGGGTTGATTTTCTTCTGGACCATCCAGTCGATGGCGAAGCGGAAGAGATCCTTGGCTTTCATCGAGGCGTAGCGTGTGAAGGCGATGGGCACATTGGTAGGTACTCCAAGAGGGCCGTCGTCGTCGATGACGAATCCCTCGTCTTCCTCATCTTCAGCGAACATCTGCTTGCGCGTCGTTCTATGTGTGGAGAGTTCTGGCAAGTCGTCATAATCCTCCTCCCCGTCTTCGTCTGAACTCTGTGCGTACTCCTCCTCTTCGTCAGCCTGCTCTTCGTCCTCGTCATCCTCGTCTTCAACGATACTGCTCATAGGAGCCTTTCTCCTAGCCTTGAGACGCTCTAGTGCGAGCTGACGAGCACTCTTCTGTGAGGACTTGTTTCTCTGTGAAACTCGGACTTCAGTGTCACTACCACTTGAAGCCAGGTCCATCAGATCATCCTCCAGCTCTTGCTTTTCCTCCTCGGTAATGGTACTCATGGGGGCTGCGTCTTTGACTCTTCGGAGGCGTTTGCGGGATCTGGATGAAGGCGGTTCGTCAGAGAGGTCGAGGTCAGTGTCGAGTTCTGGTGGTGGTGGTGCTCGTTTCTTGCTAGACAGTGAACGTTTCCGTGAGCCAGTGACGACAACGTCGCTGTCATCATCTTCGTCGTCAGGTATGAGTGCAAGCGGAGAAGAGCTCTCGGCTTGACGCTTGCGCTTGCGGTTCAGTGCTGGAGTAGCGGGAAGATCGTCTTCACTTTCGTGGGAGATGACTGTTGGGGGTTCTTGTACAACCACCTCTTCTTCCTCTACTTCTGGTGATGGCGACTTATGCTTCTTCTGACGCTTACTGTTCTTCTGACTCCTGATTGGGAGCTTTGGCAGGTCCTGGTCCGAATCACTCGAGTCGGCGTCCAACTGTTGCTGAGTTCCAAAGAAGCCAGCTCTGACTGGCCGTGCATTGTTGATAGCAGCTCTGGGGCTGGATGGTGTAAGGTCGAGCTTCTGCTGTTTCTTCTGACTCTTGCGACTCGACAATCGTTGTGTGTGTCTGATTTCGTCGTCGCTGACAGCGGATGCGCCGAAGGAGTTTGTGGCAGAGGGATCGGGTGTAGGTGGTAGGCTCTTCTCAGGCATGTCATGTGCGACGACTGTAGCAAGTGACGAGGCTCCAGGTGCATCTCGGACTTTGCGCCTCTTGGATGGGCTTGCTCCTTCAAAGCGGACGGTTGCTGCGCGGTCGCGTTGTGATTTACTGATGTCAGATGGGGCAGACGACGAGGTTGGAAGCGGATCGAAGGTCAGCCTCGTCTGTCTCTTGGACGAGCGAGGCATGGTGGTGGTGGTGGCGCAAGTAAAGCGCAGTTCTGTGGGAAGGAAGCGGAGGCAGGTCTGTGTCCAAAAGTCGGTAAAGATGATCGTTATTATGCCCTGATCGTATTGTCCAGCTCTTAGCAGACTATTCACTCATTGTTTCACTTGTCGAGCAACACAGTGAAATGAAAGTCAGTTTCTTGCGAGGCAGCAAGCTGGAAGACGCGATTCGAGATTCGAAGGGCCGCGCTCTCACGCGATCAGCCGAATCGGGCAAACTAATTGGACGGAAAATGGTGCGTCATCGATCGTTTTGGTTTTACGAAAGGGAATGGAAGGATCATGTTGACGAGATTGCTTTTCTTTTGAAATAGAAGTGCTCGAGGCTTGTTGATCAGAATTTGTCCTTTCTACGCACTTGCATGATCAACTTGTTTCTCGGTTGCCGCAAGAGGGTCATTCGCAACGCTGAGCATATATCCAAGGGTTTCGGCACAACGAGCATATCATCCAAAGGAAAGAGCAGACGACACCGAAGAACCGCCACTATGGGAGCACCTCAGGAAGCCATAACAGAAGATGAGATTGTTGGAATGGAGCTTCCAACTACCAAGACAAGTTCTAAGAATGCATGTGAGTAGATCCATCTAACCATATCCGGTACCCTATTCTCATTGTTGACAGTCACAGAATTAATGTCGAAAAAACCTATTAATCCTGAAAAGTCCTCTGGGAAACCCGACAAGCATTCAAGTTCTGACAAGTCAAAAGCGAAAATGTCCTACGACAGAAGGGACGGCCTGGGAGTATACACTGCCGACCCCTATGCTTACGACAGAGTCTTGTTTAACAACGAGAATGCGGTCATCATCCAGGATATGTTTCCAAAGTCATCCGTTCATCTGTTGGTTCTGCCAAAGTCCAAACGCAATGTTTTGCATCCATTCAAGGCATTCGAAGACCCACAACTCCTTGCCGATATCAAACTCGAAGTGGAAAGGGCCAAGCAGATGGTGGCAAGCGAACTGCGACGGAAGTATGGACAGTTCTCTAAATCAGAACAAGCACGAATCCGAGCAAGAGACGCGGATGACCCACCGGATGTCCTTCCGGTAGGGCGTGATTGGATGAAGGAGATCATCACTGGTATTCATGCGGTGCCCTCAATGAACCATCTTCACGTCCACGTCATGTCGAGAGATATGGTGAATGACTGCCTGACAAGGAGCGCGCATTACAACAGCTTTCAGACGTCCTTCTTGGTACCGTTGGAAAAATTTCCTTTACCTGAAGATGATCCTGTACGTCAAATTGGATACGGCCCTTGGCATACTGTCGACCTTGTTTGTTGGCGATGCAAGAAGAACTTCAGCAACAAGGTCACCAAATTGAAGGCGCATCTGGTAGAAGAGCATGATCAGTGGAAGAGAGAATAATCGATCGATCATGTTTGCAGAAGATTTATTCTTTTAGCATAGCGGCGTTCGGTTCTCTGCGCAGTAATGCTGAGTTTCTAGCGTTGGTCGCTCCATAGGCTCTGACAGTAGTAGCTTGGATAGAGCGAGAATGAATGAGTGATTTTACCTATGCCTGCAATCTTGCCACAGACGAAGGGAATGAATTAGGATTGATCGTGCATCCATTGCCTGTAAAGTAGGAACATGATATGTACGTAGCGCGGGTCGATGCATGTCATCAAGAGTCGTTTGTCGTACTTCACCGCCAAATGCATGTTCCCGAAGGCGCATCGGTCATTTGTGACGAATCGACATAGACAGCGACCAGAAAGTGAAGGACGACGGCAAGGTCTGTAGCATTGTGAGACGCGCCGGCTTGTTGTCGAGGCGATATCGTTGTTCCTACTCCAAGATTGGTCAAAGATTTCCAAGATTCATGCTCTAACAGAAACTCACTCACACTGCATCAAACAGACGCCGAAATTGCTTGACAGCACGCGGCTTCTTGCAGTCACCTTCACTCGCGCTTTCCTCGAATTTTCATCTTTCAAACTCCAAGACTCCTGCTTCGAAGTTTAGCAACCCCCACCATCACGCATTCATATCTTGCTCGAATCTTGTCACACTCTCACTCGTCGCACTTTCGTTGAATCATGATGGCATCATCTGGATTTCACAGCTCGTCCGAGCCTTCCACCGAAGCACTGGTCGAGCACCATGACGCCTACAAGATCCTTGATGTGAAAAAGACAACCTTCTATGATGTGAGTTCCTTGGGCCCATAATGACACAGGCCTTGGGCTAAGCGTGTAGAATGTTATGCAGCACCTACTGTATCTGACGAATGCCTTGGAACTGGAGCGCACAGAACGCGCACGTCTGCAGCAACGACTCGAACTTATTCAACTCAATGGCGGCGATGATGACCAGCGTCCTTTCGTCCTAGTGTTGATTGATGGCAACGAACTCATCTTTCGAAATACTCTTCTGAACCAGGGCGACCAAGGTGGTCGTCATGCGGCGCAGTCCCTATTCCAGGCCATCAACATGTATGCATTTTCAACCATCGCCACACTCCCTGCTCACATCGAAGTCGTCGTCCGAGTCTTCGTCGATCTGGAAGAGTTGTGCAGTCTCTGCCTTCGTGCTGGGATGGTCGATCACGGCAGCCAGATCAAGGCTTTCGTTCGCGGGTTTTGCCACGATAAGCCTCTATTTGACTTTGTTGATGTTGGCATGAAAGGTCGAGCCGTGGTGTTTGACAAGATGGAAGGTTCGAACATGTTTTTGCCTATGCTTGTGCATACGCTGACACGCGTACAGNAAAACCTGAATATGAATATAGCCGACACGCACTGCAAGCACATACTCGTCGGCTGTGAAGATGGTGAGATCTATGCGCCTATGCTCAAGCAGCTGGCGCAGTTGGCTGATACCAAGGGTCGCGTCACCTTGCTCCATGGCGCTCAGCTCGACAGTCGTCTGATAGCGCTTCAACTTGCTAGCACTCAGATGGACCGAATCTTTCGCAACACCAGGTTAGATACTCCCAGATTGGTTGACCAGATTCCAGAAGCGAGCTCCATCCCGGCTCTTCTCAGAGAGTCTGTATCTCCTCCACCACTATCGTCGTCTCCTGCAACATCGTATTCTGGCTCCCGCACAGCATTTGGAACCGGGCGTCCTGCTGTTCGCGAATTGCATAGCCGTCAGGTCTCGGAAAGCTCGAATCAATCTGCTCCAGTGTCAACAGCGCCAGCCACGTCTTGGGCCATGGCAGCAAAGAAGGGAGCAGCAGTCAAAGCACCACCAAAGAGCATTGCCAAAGAGTATAAGGAACTCTCAGCCGATGGCATACGCCGCAACAGGAAAGGCCAACGTATCGACCCACCAACACCAGAGTTCAAAAAGGACGAGGTGAACCGTCTGAAGAAGCTGAAGCTTTGCAACGCTCACCATCTTCGCCGCGACTGCCCATACCCCGATGGCAAATGTGAGCACGACCACTTGTACAAGTGTAACCCAAAGGAGCTGGAGACATTGAAGCTCGTGGCACGCATGTCTGCCTGCATTCATGGTAGTGAGTGTTCGGATGCCAAATGCATCTATGGACATCGTTGCCCATTTCCCGAGAGCAGAGAGAGCGGTACCAAGGGAAAGCCATGCATCAATGGCGAGAACTGCAGGTTTCCGCCAGAAATGCACAACATGGATCTAACCGCTGTCCGTCGTTTGAAAATCACCTGAGGAAGAAAAGGATGCTGTCGTCATAGCAAGGGTAGAGATGGAGGGCTGACAGCAAGCTGTAATTGAGACTACACTCTCTTATGTAGTACGAATCCAAAGTGCTTGATTAACTACTTGGTCAAGTAACGTCTGTTGTTCATTGCATGTCAAGAGAAGAAGTTCTCGAAGTTCGAGGCCACAGGGTGGAGATGATCGCCAAGCAGGAATGAGCCCGAGCTTCCCTTGTTCGGTGCCACGGTGGCCTCGCACTTCTTCAGCTCCCCGCAGCTCTCTCTTGTTCTCCGTGACTTTCGAGAAGACATTGTATACCACACATCCCGACTAGTCAATATGGTATCTCTGAAGCTCAGCGCATTTGCGCTTTTTGCATTGAAGGCTATCTCTGCCTACGCTCAGGTTCGTCGCGCCCCATTGACAAGCAATTGAAGATATCCAGCTGATGACGTGTATAGGNCTCCTGAGACTGTAGAGGAGATTGAGAATCCTGATGTCCAGCAGACTCCCAAGTTGAACGTCGCCGTCTCGGTTTCTTTCCCCAACTCCGAGGTCTTCGGCGTCAAGCTCGTCAATGGCCACGCGACCAACGCCATCCTGTCCATCGCCAACCATGAGACTACCCCCGTCCACCTCCGCTTTGTCGGTGGCTCTCTCGTGAGCCCCAAGACCATCAGCAACCTGACTCTCAGCAAGTATGACCTTCTGGTCCCTGCTGGCGAGAAGGAGACTGCCACCTACAGCTTCGCTACCGAGATGCACCCCCAAGACTTGACCCTCAACTTGGCCGCAGTTTTCCAGGACAACGCTGGAATGCTGCACACCTACCCTGCATTCAACGGCACCGTCTCTGTTGTCGAGGCTCCCATGAGCTTCTTCGACCCTCAGATGTAAGCTACGCTGCCCAACTCGTGCGATCCAGCACAAGCTAATAATTCTGTTCGCAGCATCTTCCTTTACCTCGTCCTTACTGGTGTCTTCGCTGGTACCGTCTACTTCATCTACAACACCTGGATCACCACCTTCTTCCCCCAGAAGAAGGGTCGCGGCAAGGGTGGTGAGCGCGCCAAGCGCTCGTCTGGCGGCACCAAGAAGGTCGACCCCGCCGACCAGGTCAGCGTTGTTGGTGCTGATGGCCCTGCTGTCACCAGCGGTGCTAAGGCCTACGACGAGTCTTGGATCCCTGCCCACCACTTGTCTCGCCCTCAGGCCAAGCGTGTTGCTTCTGGTGCCAAGCCCAGATCGAGAAGCAGACCTGCCGCATAAGAATGTGCGAGAATCCGGAACACCTGAGTTTGGATTAGCATGCATGTCTTGGAAAGAAAGTGTACATTGTATATGGAGGATGTATTTCTAGCGGAAAAAACAGTGGACGGATATCTGGATAGCGCGGCTCATGTTTAACAAGTAGATGAATGACGAACATTGTTATTCTTTTTATATCAATATGTCCTTCCCGTCACACCTTGATTGTTCATTCACATCCTCTAAATGGCGAGACCAACAGGAGTATAAATTACTCGAGTATGCTTGATACGCCAAGTGATTTGCAGACCCCCAGATTTAACTCCGCCTTTCGCCGTCACCAAAGTGAATTATTATTGACGGCGTTCAAGGACGAACCTGCGATGAACCCAGACAATGGTCAACAAACCTCACGCTCCAAGGAGCACTAACAAGTCGGGCAAGAAGAATTCTGCGACGGCCGCGACTGCAAATGGCGAAGATACGAGCTACATAGTCTTTGGCAACGGCAAAGACTCGAAGAAGACCAAGAAGAACGACTCGACACCACCACCAGCCGCCAGCAGCTCCTCAGCACCTACTAAGGCCAAAGGCAAGGGTGCTGCCCCCGAACTGGATGTCGCCGGCGACCCCATCAAGAAACCCGACACACGAACCTTGATCGGCGGACAATCATGGACAGGAAAACTCCCCGTCAATATGCTCTCTGAGCACTGTCAAAAGCAAAAATGGGAAAAGCCAGAATATACCATGCATCGCTCGTCCGACCCACCAGGCCAGATCTCGTCTGTCATTTTACGCTGGAAGAATCCAAAGACACAAGAAATGGTCTCGCTACCGCCCATGGCGCTTCCTCCTGCGAAAAGGGCTTTGGGTGTGCAAGAGACGGCTGTGGAGGCTAGACATTTTGCCGCTACTTATGCCCTATACCGTGTTGCTAATGCGAAAAATTTGCACATGATGATGCCGCCCAACTACCGTGATCTATGGAAAGGAGAGTTTGCGGATATGAAAAAGGAGGCTACAAAGGAAGGTATGGGCTGGCTATATGCTGCGGATCCGTTCCAAGCGCGGAAAGAATGGGATGATGAACGAGCCGCGAAAGATAAGAAGAGGCAAGAAAGAGAAAAGCAGATAGAAGCCGAGAAAAAGGATAACAGTACACCAGGCGTCAACAAAAATCCAGGAAGAGGTTGGACAAGAGCTCCCAAGGTCGAAATGGGTAAGAAAATGCGAAGAGATGTCGAGGCTTTAGTCAGAAAGGCCGCCTCTTGGAATCCTCATGGCGTCACTCTTTCGAATGCCGAGAGGAAGCACATCGTCCAAGATTTGACCAAACTCGGATTTCGTCCTTCTCACGTGGAAGAAGCAGTGGAAATCTGCAAGGACCGCGAGGAAACTGTCGAATGGCTATTGATCCACGTTCCTGAAGACGATCTGCCAAAATGGAGTTTGCCTGAGAATTACTCTGCTGGTGTTTCGATGGCTAGTAGCGATCTTGCCAGAGAGGGTAAACTTAAACGACTTGCGATCACTGGATATGCCATGGAGCTTTGCGAGGAAGCGCTCGATGCATCTTCTGGTAATGAGGCAGGAGCAGCAGAGAGACTACAGCACAGACTCCTCGGAAGCCTGGACTCCTCATCTTTGACATCTGCTGCTGAGAATCTCGACGTGACCGATGAAATCGATGTGTGGGAAGAAGAGCAAGTTATTCTGGCTTCAATCTACAGTGACAGATACACGTCAACCAAAATTTCGTGTCAAATCGTCTTGGAGGTGGCTGAGAAGCCAAAGGAGCGCATCATTCTTCATGCTCGAAAACCTACGGCTGGATATCCAAACGTGGTGCCTGTCTTGTCTATCGAAGCTTCTTTACCAGCATACATTCGCTTGAGTATTTTGAAGCAAGTTCTGCTGCAAGCTCAATCCGACTTCCTTGGCGAGCAAATGTTGTTCAATCTGATCGACTGGCTCGAACATGAGATCCCGAACATCATTGCCAATCCAGGCAGACTAAGCAGTATTGCTTCTGTCTCTTCTACTTCAGCCGAGCCTGATGTGGAAACCGCTAGCCGCAGACGCCCGCGCCAGAAACGTATGCCTAGACCTATCAATTGGCAGCCTTCATCACAACAGAGTCAGAAGATACTTGCAGACTGGCAAGCCAGACAGACCACTTCTGCACAACAACGAATGATGGCAGCAAGACAATCTCTACCTGCTTGGAAGTTGCGAAATGCTATTGTCGAAGCCGTCACGTCTTCTCAAGTCACCATCATCTCTGGTGAGACTGGTTCCGGAAAGTCTACCCAATCTGTTCAGTTTGTTCTTGACGACATGATCAGGCAAGGACTTGGAGAAGCAGCAAACATCATCTGTACTCAGCCTCGCAGAATCTCTGCGTTGGGTCTGGCAGATCGTGTTGCTGATGAGCGATGTGTCAAGGTCGGTGAAGAGGTCGGTTATTCAATCAGAGGAGAGTCAAAACAGAAGGCTGGCACCACAAAGATTACTTTCGTCACTACTGGTGTCTTACTGAGACGATTGCAGACGTCTGGTGGAAAGCCGCAGGATGTTGTTGATGCTTTGGCTGATGTCAGTCATGTGGTTATCGATGAAGTCCACGAACGCAGTCTAGACACTGATTTCCTCATGGTCCTCTTGAGAGACGTGTTGCAGGTTCGTAAAGACCTCAAGCTGATTCTTATGTCTGCTACTCTGGATGCACAAATCTTCAAGAGTTATTTTGCTGGCAAGATGACTGTCAGCACAGTCGAGATCGAAGGCAGAACTCACCCGGTTCAAGATATCTATCTAGATGACATCCTTCGCATGACTGGCTTTGCTGGCGGTATCACGGAAGAGGGTGACGAGGAGAGCAGCAAAGAGCCCAGTATGGGTGCAGCTCTCCGCAGCGTCGGCATGAGGATCAACTACGATCTCATCTCCGACACCGTACAGACTATTCACGAGCAACTAGGCTCGCAAGACGGCGGTATCCTGATCTTCCTCCCTGGTCTTGCCGAGATTGATCGCACACTCAAAACTTTGCAACATCTTCACCATATACATGCTTTGCCTCTTCACGCCTCACTGCAGCCAGCCGAGCAAAAGCGAGTCTTCCCTCCTGCACCCGCCGGCAAGCGAAAAGTCATCTGCGCAACCAATGTCGCCGAAACCTCCATCACGATCGAGGACATCGTTGCCGTAATCGACTCTGGCCGTGTCAAGGAAACTAGCTTTGACGCTGCAAACGGCATGACCAAGCTTGAAGAAGTTTGGGCATCGAGGGCAGCGTGCAAACAACGTCGTGGTCGTGCTGGTCGTGTGCGAGCAGGTACTTGCTACAAACTATACACCAAGCAAGCCGAAACCACGAAAATGGCTGAACGCCCTGATCCAGAGATCTTGCGTGTGCCGCTGGAGCAGTTATGTTTGAGCGTAAAGGCTATGGGTGTGTTGGACGTGCCTTCCTTCTTGTCTCGTGCGATTACGCCACCTTCTACCTTGGCTGTCAGCGGCGCGTTGACGACTTTGCACCGTATGGGTGCTCTCGATGGCGTAGAGCTTACAGCATTGGGTCGCCATCTCAGCTCCATTCCTGCCGACCTGCGTTGCGGCAAGTTACTTGTCTATGGCGCAGTGTTTGGGTGCTTGGATGCTTGCCTTACCATTGCATCTATCCTTACCGCACGCTCACCTTTTGTTTCTCCTCCTGCCCGCCGCGAGGAGGCAAAGTCTGCTCGATTGGCCTTTGCGCCCAATGGCCAAGGCGATTTGCTCTGCGATTTACGCGCTTTTGAGCTTTGGACATCCAAACGCAGTGAAGGTACTCCCTCATCTTCTCTGCGTCAATGGTGCGACTCCAATTTCCTGTCTTCGCAAACGCTTTTCGATATCAACACCAATCGCCGCCAATACATGTCTTCGCTGCAAGAAATCGGATTCTTGGGTCCCTCTTCTGCTGCTGCAGAGTTTAACAGCAGAAACGGCAACTTGGCTTTGGTCAGAGCATTGGTGGCTGCAGCATTCTCGCCCCAAGTTGCCAGGATAGAGTTCCCGGACACCAAGTACGCGGCTTCGGTCTCTGGCGCTGTAGCACTGGACCCAGAAGCCAAAACGATAAAGTACTTTCGCGAGCCCAATGCTGCTGCTGCTCCTTCCCTTGCTGGAAAGCAATCTCAACCTCAACAACAACCGGAACAACAGAATAACTCGCGTTTGTTCGTTCATCCGAGTAGTGTCTTATTCTCCTCTGCTCCTGGCAATGCCTTTCCACCTAGCACGGCATTCCTGGCCTACTTTTCTTTGCTCAGCACTTCCAAGACATTTATTCGCGATCTCACGCCTTTCAACGCGTATACTCTACTCTTGTTTGCCGGGGATATCAATCTAGATACCCAAAACAGGGGATTGGTGGTCGACGGCTGGATACGATTAAAGGGCTGGGCAAGGATTGGGGTGTTGGTGGGAAGATTGAGACAGATGCTGGATAATGTGTTGGAAGGCATGATTGAGAGGCCGGGCGAACAGTTGGGGAACAAGGAGAAAGGTCTGGTGGATTTGGTGGCGAGATTGGTTGAGTTGGATGGGTTGGATAGGTAGAACGGGTGGAGTTCCTCATCTTACCGAGAAGAGAGTCAAAAAGCACAAGCAAGCAAAAGGTAATTTCAACTCGGATGGAAACAAATCCAGATTTGCAATCCCTTCCCACTTCATAAAAAATACTATCCTAATGAATGAAGATATTTTGCCCATTTCCCCTCCCTCACTCCTGATGCTCGATACTATAATAAGTCCTGAACCTCGCATTGGTCTCCACCCTACAATCCTTGATCGCCATAAAACAAGCCATCAACAACGTTGGAAACCTAGTGGTGAAATACTCCAAATACCCATGAGGAAGTGGTCCAACTCTCTTCTTGACATCCGCACTCATATCCTCGTAATGGTTTTTCTTGTTGCGCAGTGCGCGGAGCAGATCCAACATCTTGGCGCCATTGTATTTGCGCTGCTTGCCCAGTGTATCGAGGAACATTCTGTCGAGCTTGCGTTGCCAGTCTTTGTCTGCTTTGGGGGAGATGACCATGTCGGCGTAGGATTCAAGGTAGCAGAGGTGAGGCGAGGGTGGGTCGCGGGGTTCGTGCTCAAAGTGATCGGAGACATCGCAGAGGAAATCGAGGCGTTTCTTGGGTGACCAGAAGAATGGGTGACAGAGAACTTGAAGGGCCGAGGGGCGGTCTTCGGGGCTGTGAGCCAGCATTGCAGTGATCAGTTGGCGTGGTTCTTCGCTGTCGGAGCCCAGATCGAGCTTGTGCATGTTCTGCAGATTGTTCTTTTTGATGTTGAGCTCGCGCATCTGCATCCAACCTTCCTTGTCATCGTAGGGATGATCACCTCCAGTCAGAACCCAGAAGAACAGACAACCCAAGGAGAAGATGTCTGCTGCTCGTTTGACACCTCCCATCGTTCCGCCAGAAGAGCTCTCGCTGGTACCGGGATGTGAGATGTTGCTGTGGCCGTTGTTAGAAGCCGCGTCCTTGGGCTGGGTGATAAGCTCTGGAGCCTTCCATCCGCATGTGCCGGCATTGCTTGTAGGGTCGATCAAAGTGCTGACGTTCTCTGGGAGAGTCTTACACAGACCAAAGTCCGAGATGACCAGGCGAAGCTCGTTGGGCTTGTTTGGCTTGGGGAAGGCGATGAGAATGTTCTGAGGCTTGATGTCCCGATGGATGATACGAAGATCGTGAAGATGGTAGAGACCTTTTGCAAGCTGATAGAGAGCGCCACGAGCATCACGTTGAACAGCTTGAGCCAGTGACTGAAGTTGCTGATAGCGGGCTTCCTCACGGACATCGGGAAGATTGAACAGATCCCACAAACTTGCCTGACAGAGTTCGACGGCGATATACAGGAAATGCTGGTCCTTCTGTTGACAGTAATAGCGAATGACGTTCTTGTCATGGTCACTCTGCTGGAGGAACGAGACTTCTTGGGAAGCCAACTCGTAGTATTGCGAAAGCATACGTTTGACTGCCACATCGCGGCCTTCAAACTTGCCCTCGAACACACAAGTACCAGCACTTCCATGACCAATGATACGATCTGTATCAATGGTGAGGTTGTTGATCTGGATCTTGCCAGACACGTTGGGGCTCTCAGAAGCATCAACACTGATGACATCCATGCCATCGATCTTGTCAATCTTGGAGAGAGGCTTAGGGACCGGTGTAGCGAGCGCACCGTTGCTTTCCCTTGTCGCTGTTGCTTTGACTGTTCTCGCGCCGGCGCTGTTGCGCTTCAAGTTGTTCCTTCTTCTCCTTCGCTTTTCTGCCGCCTCTGACACCACGGGTCGCCTTCTTCTTCGGCTTGACAGGGGTTTGCTCTTCAGCGGGCTTGTCGGCTTCTGGTGGTGCTGGGGTAGAGACACGAGTAGGCGAATCNNGACCTTGACCTCAATTGGCGCTTCTTGGAGTGTTGTGATATCCTTTGCATTTTCCTGTTCCCCTTGTGGGAAGATGGTCTCTTCCGCGGGTTCCGGGAAGCGGACCTTACGTTCAATAGACTCGGCTAGAGAAGAGACATCATCCTTGCCAGAAATAGTTTCACTCGGCCCGGAAGTCACAGGAACAGGCGCCTCCTTGATCTTGACAGGATCAGAAGCTTGGCGTTGTATGACTTTCTGCACGTCGACCCATCGGGAGACAATGGCAAAAAGCCCGATCAAAGCGAGCAAGCCAATCAAACCCGATGACGAGATACCTGCCCAAGGATTCGATACGTTGGGTAGAATGACTTGGGCGTTGTCGGTGTTGTAGGCATTAGGTGAACCAAGAGACTGGTCAGGTCCGCCGATGGTGAGAATTTCACTCTGGTCCTGGCTCAGTGGGTGGAGAGGGTGTATACCGACCAGACTTGCTCTTTGCTTGGCCGGGTTGAAAGTGCCTACAGGTAGGGCATATCCCTGGGTGTAACATACGGCGTTAGAAGCGCCGTCAGTCACGGTGGGATATCTGAGCTCCGACATAGCATACCAGCTGCCGGACTCGGTGCAGTTGACAAAGACCTTGTCTTGCTCGATGGTATCATCACCAGCAGGGCCGATAGGCTGTGGGAGAAGGACGAGCGAAGCATCCAGGATTTCTTCATCAAGTGGTCTGACGACATCGTAGACGCGGGCTACTGGCGAAGAGAACTTTTGCTTGTATAGGATAGCATTGCCGAAACGATTGGTTTCCCTATAATCAACAGCGACCACACTGCCGTCATGCTGTGTGTATATGTATTTGCTGTCCATAGTCGAGGCATATTGGTTGTGCAGGTCTTTGTCGCGGTTGTTGGGTCCCCACTCGAAGTAGCGAATGGTGCAGATGGGGTTGCCGGTCAGCTTGTCCGCAATTGATACGGTGTAGTCTGTTCTGCCCAATGTAAGAGTGCCGATGGTCTCGCATTCATTGTCCTCGAGAGAACCAAGACCACTGACCCGGCGGCAATTTTGGTCGTTATTAAAAGTTGACGCGCCCGAGCTGAACATCTTGAGTACTTTGCCATTGGACGCATCGACAGTATACAGGGTGTTTTTCTTGTCGGCGGTATATACTACCGGCGGGTCCTCACCGGCGTAAGGAGAAAGCTCTTCGACGAGTTGCTTGACAGACAAGCCGAGTTTCTGCATGCCGGTCTGTGGCTCAGAGGAGTAAACGTAGAGACTTCCATCTTGAGAAGGCTCAACAATCCAGATGAGGCTGGTCTCAGGCTGAGCGTCCGGATCCGAGTCGTTGTGATGGTAAACAGTCTCGATCATGGGCTTGTCGGCCTCGATCTCCCATCTGGGAGCGCCGGTTCTGCGGTCTCTTGCGTGTAGTTTTCCATCAACGGTCGCCAGGAGAATGATATCCTCGACTTGCCAATCCTGCAGAGACCGCGCCGGGTGTCGCGAAGAAAGACCACCGGACGAAGCCGATGATCGTGCAGGAGGTGCTCGGACGGCCGGGATAGACTCGGCTGGAGCAAAAGTCGCAAGGGCGCGCTCAATTGAAGGGTCGATTGCGGTGTCTTTAAGGTGTTTGTGGGTGGATCTCAGTTCTGGCGACGAGCGCGCGTTACCGAGGGCATGGCGTTTGCGGATGTTGTTGGCATTGCCTGCGGACTGCTGCTGCTGAGCAGTGGCTATGAGGGGCAGCCATACAAAGATGCAAAAGAGAGCATTGCCGAGACTCAGTGCTGGAGGTCTTCGACGAGGCATGATTCACGAATCAGGTTCCAGCCTTGCCGAGCATAGGTCGAGGACGAGGGGAGCTTCAGCGAAGACACTTAGCACCCATGAGAGATGCCAGAGAGGAGAAAAGATCGATGGACTGATGGATGAATGATGGACCTGGTGATGAATTTGATCAGGGGCATGCAAGTCGTGTGCGTGAGTGGGCTGGATTGCTTTTTGTGGAGCAAAGACGACTTTCGCGCGTCCCCGAGTAGCGACCGTTGGGTCTTGATCGCGCGAGTGGTGGGGTTGAGCTGAGACTGACGACGGAGGCTGGAAGTAAAAAGATATTGTGGATGAGGAGATGAAAAGAGAAATGATAGCAAGTGATGCTGACTGTGTGTGGACACAAGCGAGCTGCTGCTTATTGAGAAGTGCAACAGGTGCTCGTCAGCGCAGCCTCTCCACGCTCTATTCGAGACGATTCGACCTGAATCCCTTGCCGCGACGCCCAAGAAGCCCTTGCCGAGATCTCGTGTGTGCTCACGACCACATGAAGGATCAGCCTAACACTTTCCTGCCTCACGCTGGCGTTGCTTTTTCTTCCTAGAGCACTCGTCGTATCAAGCCCAGCTCTGCCGCTGCTTTTGATTGCCAACCAGAGGTCTAGATTACTCCATCTGCTCAACCGGAACGATTTTAATTATTTTCCTTGTGCTCCCCGCTTCGAAAGACGGGACCCTTGCGGATCGACTTTCCGAGTCACGCGGAGACTCTTATCTTATCCATCCATCAGTTCACCTTCATTATTCCCCGCACTCACTCACCCACTGCCTGACCACTTCTCGCCGTTCTTGTTTCGAGTCTCTTTCCCATACTCGATTCTATATTAGCAAACATGGCTGTTCCAGGACGTGAAGTTGATCTATCTACGCTCGCCCGCCACCTCGCGGAGCATGGTCCGCACAAAACGCTTCCCACAGAAAGACGCGTCAGAATTCTGATAAACGGCGCATGCATCGCGGACACGCTCGGTACAGCAGGTGCCCTATTCGTATGGGAACACCCATACTACCCACAACTCTACTTTCCCAAGGATGCTCTGGTGAAAAACGTCCAAGGCTATGGGATCATCTATGAAGATCATCAAGATGTCAAAGACTCTAACAACAACACCATTGCAACCACACTAAAAGTCAAGGTCCAGCGAAAATCAGACAACAACATGAAAGAAGTCAAAGACGGCTTCGTGGTCTTCAGCAAAGATCTCTCTGGTAAAGCAAACCCACTCAGCAATATGCTCAAAGTAAACTTCAGCGCTGCAGGTAAGTGCTCTTACCTCTACTCCAGGTCTCTACACAGTCCTGATGGTCATCTCTCAGACCAATGGCTCGAAGAAGATACCCCAATCTTCGTACACCCAAAAGACCCCTTCAAACGCATCGATATCCTCCACTCTTCTCGCAGCCTCCGTGTCTCCATCAAAGGCACCGTCATCGCTGAATCACCCACTTGTATGCAACTCTACGAGTCCGGTCTGCCAGTACGGTACTACATTCCCCTAACCTCCATCTCCACTGCTGTACTCAGAGCCAGCAAGACAACAACACAGTGTCCCTACAAAGGAGAAGCAGAGTACTATGATGTAGTGATAGATGGCGAAACCCACAAAGACATTGTGTGGTTCTACACTCGACCGACCTTGGAATGCGGTACTATTGCAGGATTGTGTTGTTTCTACAATGAAAAAGTTGATTTGGAGCTCAAGAATGGTGATAGTTGGGAAAAGCTTGGTCGGATGAAGACTATCTTCAGTTGATGCTTGGGTCACAGAACACTATCCTCTTGAACTCTTGAACTCCTGAACTCCTATCTAGATCCTTGACAGGATTGGAACGACTTTGTGAGATTGAGATCGCTGAAGCAACGTTTAATATGGATAATGCTTTGATACAGCAGAGAATTTCACATTCAACGATTAATGTTACAATAAGGGGTATCTTTGTGGTAGTATGTCAACGCAACTCAATACTCATCTTCCTCTTCCTCTTCGTCATCTTCATCCTCCTCTGCATCTTCATCGCCGTAGACGTTGAAATAAGACGTGGCGAATTGATTGCCTCCATCGTCATTCTCATTGTCATCTTCACTTCCACTCTGTTGCAAAGGCGAAAAGCCTGCTCCTTCTTGTACCTCATCAGTGTTGACGCTGTAATTGTCTGCTTCATCTACACTAGCAGGTTCTTCTTGCACGTCGTCAGCTGAAGTATTGCTGACTTCATCTTCATCGCTGTCAATGACACGGATGGCACGTGGTTGTCTGTGAGTGAGTGTTGGTGGATTTGGGCGAGGACGAGGGAAGCGTGCAAAGGCTCTGGGAGCCTGGTCGTCGCTTTCGCTTTCGCTTTCACTGGAAGATCCTGAACTCTCCTCTTCACTCTCGACCACGCGGGCGGGGCGGCGACGACGAGAGGGTGCTACTACTGGCTCTTCGTCGCTTATGTCGATCTCGATGCGGTCGAGGACTTGAGGGCGTCGTCGGCGAGGAGGGACGGGAACTGTGAATTCTTCTTCGTCGTCTGATTGAATTGTGAAGACAGGTACCCTAGGGCGGTGGAACTGCGGGTTGTGGCGCACGCCATCTGAATCAGAGTCGGACTCTGAATCTGAGTCTGAATTGGAACCATCAGAGTTACTGTGATTTGCTTCGTTGTGATGGTGATGACGATGGTGATGGCGGTTCCTTTGCCGGACTGGTGTAGGATCTTCGGCTGTTTGCGAACTAATGGTGTGGGTGGTGATTTCGTTAACATCTCTATCGTCCAGGAAATCGTCGATTGAGCCTGCGTCCTCGTCGTCATCCTCGTCCTCATCTTCTTCGTCCAGGCCGTAACTCATCAAGTCATCTTCGGCTTCGTTTTGCACAACATCAGGATGATATCTATGGAACCTCTGACGGTACCGCTGTCGATTGACCATCTGACGCACCAACTCGCTACGTACAGCAGCGGCTTCGGGATCTTCCTGTGAGTCGTCGGACCAGTCTTGATTCATTATGTCTTGCTCTCTCATCCATGCTTCATAGTCTTCAGGGGTAAAGTCAATGTCGAATTCTCCGTGGTCGGCGTCAGCGTCCATATCGTCGTCTTCAAACTCATCTGGTATGCTCTCGCCATGCATATCAGAGCTGCTCTCGCTGTCAGTCGTGCTCCAGGAATCCATATGGACACCACAATTGTTGCACATCCCATCTTCAATCTCGTGGTGGCATCGTGGACATCTATCGACATGGTCGGTGGGGTCATGAATAGGTAGCAATCTGGCACGACGAGGGCGGAAGATGCCCTTGAACAGGCCGCCAGATTTCGTATCTTTGTTGTCCCTGTCGTTGCGCACCATCTCAGCCTCTTCGAAAGCCCATTGCTGATGTTGTTCGAGGGACTCGCCATCAGGCAGGAGATTGTGGCTGCGCAAGAAGATGTTTATCATTTCTCGAATGACGTAGGATGGAGCTGGCGGCTGTTTGATGACTTCGCGGCAATTGGGACATGTCTTTTTTTTGTTTGTGGCAAGCCATGTGCAGAGACAGCTGTAGCAATACGTGTGGCCGCATGAAATAACGTAGGGTTCGTAGAGAAGACGTTCGCAGATTTTGCAGGTGATGAGTTGTCGGATGTCGTCAAAGTCGCCTCGTAGTGTCTTCAAACTCTGTTAAGGCAGGTCAGTATGGGTTGTGAAGGTAGTTCAGGTGTTTCGTACTTGAAGCTCTTGTGATGGAGGAATGTCGGCCCCAGGTAAAGTTTGTGGCTCGTCGGCGGTCAGATCCATGACTGGGTGGGGTATGTGTGGTTCGTCGGCAGGAGATGTCTTCATCTTTTTCCTTGCACCGTCGTCGTCCATGGCTTCACGGTCGCGTTTGAGTATTGGCATGTGTGGCAGGAAGGTCGGCTTTGTCCAGGATTCTCCGAGCTGACGACCCGATTGTTGCTTGTCCCTGTTTCCAGATCCAGTCTTGTGAGGTCGATATGTCCTGAGAGCCCCTTTGACCAGTCTTCACTCAGATCAGTAACCACAGCAGGTTGCTTCAGTACCGTTTGTGATAGAAATGGGCAGAAAAAGTACCGCCTCGAACCCCAAGCCTCTGTTCACTAACCGGGAGATCGCCATCTGACGCGCCAAGCCTGTCACGAACCCTGGCCCGGTCCGTGCCTGTCAATTTCACACCAATGCGGAAGTAGCCCTTTGCTCCATCACTCCTTCTCTGTCAAAGCATCAACCTTCTTCTTGATGAACGACATAATATAGTAAATACGTTCAGTCATCTGCACTGGAGATACCTGGGCGAGACTGCTTGGAGGATGTCGTTGGATGTTCTCATCTAAGTATCTTCTCATCAGAAGGTATTGCCTGTTTCCAACTCTCCACTCGTTCGTCTCGTCTTCCCAATAGCCAATACTCTTCTGAAGTTCGCAAAGTCAGTCATGGTGGATGGCTCAGAGACTGATGCACTCAAGATCCCTACCTGCAACACTATATTTACCTCATCAATCTCGAGCCATAATCGAAGACGTTTGAAGCCCGCCATCACGATACCATTAATCTCTGAAGACGTGGTCTCTACGATACACATTCAACATCCACACTAGCAAATCTGCCACTTGAAAAGCTGCTCGGATGGTTATCTAACTCATGATAACTTGGAGCTAGGTAATGGTCGTGTTGCTGGACCAAATTTCCTTTCGCAGACCGAATGCAGTTGCTTGTATGCACAATAGACCCGGACTGATGAACACGGGGTCATAGCCTACAGAAATGAGTTCTGGACATTCTATCTGATACTGGGAACACCTGGACTGATTCTTTTTAAGCAGGTCAGAACAAACATGATGGCAGACGACAAATGATTACAGAGCAGTGTGCATGCACGACCTACCATGTTTTACTTTTCCTCCAACGTTACTGAGCCTGGTAGGATCAATTAGCGACTGTACGCCTCCTTAGCACACTCTTCCTCCGGTTCATGTTGTCGAGTCTATTCGACTGAATATCTCTGGTATTGCTGCTAACACCAACCCGATACCGAGGTCATCAAACTGGTAATAGATACCATTTTAGTCTTGGGTTTAGTAGCGAATCGACCTTGGAGTTTTCGTGGTTTATTGAGTGACAAGTGATTCGTTGAACTCGGAAACATCGTCGGCAGAGTGAGATCAGACGCAGAAAGCCGCATTGGGACCATTGAGAGGTCCATTTGACCCGGGTTTGAGCTTCGAGATTGATCTCATTACCAAGAGTGTGGTCGTGGGTGTATCACAGAAGTCGAAGGCCTACTTCTTACGGGCTGTCTGCTTTGTACGGACGCGTGGTTGACTAGGTCCTTCCTCCGCCGGCTTTCTGGAACCGTAAGCCTCCTTGACATAGCCCTCCCACTGATCCATCCAGTCGGGCCAGTCCATTTGGGTGTCTCTAGTAAAGCTGCTGACACCAAAATCAACATCGATGCCGTCGAACAAGCGATAGAAGGTGCCCTTGTCGACACCATGAATACCGAACTCCATAATACCTTCACAGCCACGCCCGAAACGCAGCTGTCCACTGCCCATGTCGCGAGAGCGCCAGTTGAAGTCGAAGTCGTTGAAACCATCACTGAAGAAGTTGTCGGCACGGATCACGCCGATCTTGGAACCTATAGTGAAGTGTCCCCAGAGCTTGTTGGTGTAACTGTCGTGGTGGACAGAGATACGAGGTGATCCATTGGACTCAGGAATATTGGCGGGAGAATGTGATCGCAGATGCAGAAGGTATGTGCCATCGATGGCTCTCCCTGATTCGGATCTAATGTGTAGNGAGTTTCTCTTCCGCTAGTTTCTTTCCTTTAGGCTCTGCTTTTGGTTTGGTTGCAGTGGGAGTGTCTTTGGGTCTAGACATTGCTTTCGACTTGGTCGGCCCAATCTTGTCCTGTAGTTTCGCTTCGGCAGTTTTAGCTTGTACTTTTGTCGCGGCAGTCTTCTTTATTGGCTTTTCGGTGGTGGCCGATGATTTAGGCTTGGTGGTATCCGTATTCTGAGCAGACTTTTTGGTTTAATTGCGGATGGGGATTCCTTGGTTTGCTTTGGCTTCACGGTAGCAGCGATGCCCTTGGTGACTTTTGCCTTCTTGGCAGCAGGGGAGGCTCCATCGACGGCGGACATGATAGACGCAGCGGTCTGGCGGTCAACAGTAATGGAGACTCCATCAACAGTCAAGGTGATCTTTGTGTTCGTGGTTTCTTCTTCATGGATTCGCTTCTTGCCCTTGGACTGGGTGGCAGGAGTCTTTTCAGCAGCCTTTGCCTTTCTTGTGGCAGCGGTGAACTCCTTCTTCATGTCCTTCTCGAGCTTGGCAACATGGTCGGGTATAGAAAGAGTGCTGGCATTGATTGCTTGAAGAAGTCGGACTTTTGCCGTGTTCTTGTCTTTACTGGGCGGTAGACCATAGTGCAAGAGTTGAGCTTGATACCAGTGACCGACTTGATCCTTTGCTGGAGGAGCTGAACTGGTCTCGGGTCGTAGTAAAGAGGTCAACTCGGCGACAGAGGCACGTGTGTGTCGCTTATTATCATCGACCTGGGCAAAGAATGTATCGTTGTAGACGAAGTTGTCACGAACCACCGCCGGCGTTGTCATACTGAACGGCGTGCGCAGTTGTCGCGTCTGCAGTGGTCGAGTGCGTGGTTCTCGGGAAAGATCAAGGTGTTTGCGGCCGTTGAGAACGGAAAACATCCGCCATGGTCATAGCTTCCTTCTTATCGATAAGCTTATATCATTGTTCTTCCAGAAAGAGCCCTCGTCTCTGCTCATAGTCCCGGTACACATAGGATGATGTCGTATGACTTCTTTGAGGACGTCGAGTAGGTTCGAAGTCTTCAAAACAAGGGACATCGAAGAGATCGAACTTGGCAAGATGATAGTAAGTAGTTGTAGAGATCATGTCTCTTCATTTGCGGCCCGTACAGTAGGTAGCTCCATGATGGAGAATGGTAAAGGACGATGGCTAGTAACTTCGAGTAGGGAGTAATTCCACTGAGAGTCGAGTATCAAGCCTCGCAATGGTGAATACGCTGAGACGGTTGGATGAAGCATGTGACAAGAGCTGCAGTGGTCGAGCGCTCCTTCCCTCGGATGCTTCTGTCCAACTCGGTCTTTTCTGGATTCCATGGCTTTTCTTCTTCGTCTCTCGTACTGTTATCCGCACGAAAATCATACCTGCTGATTCGCTTAGGCGCCTGCATCGCTCAGCATGTCGCTACCACAGGCATTGCACCTCTCGGCTACCCTTGCTCTAGTCAGATCAAAACCGAAACACCTAACCATACAGGTCGTTTCCCTGTCTCTAAAGCCAGGGATTTTTTCTGACATCTTCCCAGATTACATTCAGACTCTCCGCGCCTCCATTGAAACCATTCACCACGAGGGTCAGACTTTGCGACATCTCAATCACTCTGCGTTGTGGCAAAAACAGCACGACAGTCTGCACAAAGTGCTCGGGAAAGAGCAGGACGCCATGTTCGTTCTCCAGAAAGAGAATGAAGCACTGCAAGCTCAAATCACCCAGCTTTCGGCACGGTCAAAGCCTGGTCGAAAACGCAAGATGGCAGAACAAGAAGAACCCGAGACAGTCAAGAAGATCAAAGCGGCCTCAATCGCCATAGCAGAATTTGGTTCCGCTGCCGATGTGGATCCAGGTCTCGATTCCCTGCGCCATGTCAATTTCAACGCTGACCCATTCTAGNTCATCAAAGCTATGCGGCATATTCACCGTGTGCAGGCACTGTGTAGGGGTCGCATGTGGAGTACCGACTCGAATGAGCTGGCATACAATCTTGTTCAGGCCATGCAAGCGCTGGGTCTGATCATCGAATCTTTACCACGCAAAGTCCATGTGGCAGATACGGCCAGCAAGTCCGTCATCGCCGTGGCCAGAAGTTGTATAAGTGTTTTCAATGGGCTCAAACGCATGGATTTTCTTGACAGCAAGGACAACTTTGCCAGTCATGTTGTACACGCCTGCGTCTGCTTCTTTGATGTACTCTTCACCAGTCTCGAGGAGGGCGCCGCTATACAAGTCAGGTCCCGGCACTCTAACCAAGAGACATCAGCTCTGCAAGCTCTATCACAACTCGCAAAGGGTCTGATTGAAAATCTGCGGGAGTCGGCTCATACTTGCCGTTCACACTCTTACATACTCGAAGGTGCCGTCTACCAGCTGCTTCATAGACTGGGAGAAGCGACGCATGAGCTTTTGCTCGACGGGCCTCGGAATGATAGCATCGAATATGAGATGCAAAATCTACCGGTTTCGGACGACAAACTGCTCGAAGCTGTTATGCAAACAGAAATGAGGATTGTACTCACATCAGCGCCTCTATTGCTTGACAGCTTGCGAAAGGCTGTGACCGACCTACGCAACATGCCATTTGCGGGTGCGGCACGGATACGACTTCAGCGTACACTAGTCGATCGTATATTCGGTCCAGGAACGAGAGGACCGGACGCAAGTCAAGATGTGCTCAGCTTGCCGAAGGCGTTAGGAGAAGCACCAAAAGCTGTCGAGGCTGTCCGAACAGATGATATACAAGGGAAGACGGATTCTTTCGAAGCTGAATTGTGGACCTTGATCGGGTGGGATATCTTGGGGAGTGAAGAGGATTTGTGAGACAGAGTGTAATGCATGTAGCTAGGCATGGAGGTTTTGTGTGAGGAGCGGAATCGTTTGCAGAGCATATGTTATCCTCAAACTTNNTGCTGCTATCGGTTACGGAATCGTCAAGAAAAACGTCAGCATGATATTCGTTTCAATGAAATGTGCATGTTCAGGCGAGGCTCAAGGGTGACCCTGTCAATGGGACGGCAAGGATGAGCCGGAGCTTCGAGGCGCGTCATGGAAGCTTATCGCCGGGCGGAGTCTAAACAGTCTAGGAAGTTGGCGCATNCTCACGACAACGACACTTACACTCTTGTTCCGATGCGACCATCGACTTCGTCCCTGCCGGTCGGAGAGCGTTCACCCGATTCATCTCCACCTCATCCTCCCGCCAGAAAGCGGAAGAGACCTTCGATAGCAGCAACAGCAGCCACTGCATCCGCTTCTCAGCCACCACCTTCACTCGCCAAAGAGCCATCAATCCAGAACCTCTTCTCCGCCCAAGCCTCGGCCGGTGCTTCCCAGTCCACCCCAAACGACTCCTCGCCCAACCGCAAGAAATCCAAGACGCAGCCATCCAAGATGCAGTCAGAAATGTATTCCTTCTCCAGCAAGCTTGCCAGTGGCAATCCGCAACCTACCAACACCAACCGTCGCCTCTCTGGCAAGCTCAACAAAGGCTTTCAACCAAAGACGGGCACTACAAAACTCGTAGTCAAGACGCTAAAGCCCCAGCCGGTCTGGGATGCAAACAAGTACTTCGAAGAGACATGGGCTCAACTGGACCAGGCCTTGAACGTCATCTTTACGCAAGCTCCTGTCAACTTCTCCATGGAAGAGCTATACCGTCGTGTCGAGAATTTGTGTCGTCAGAAAAGAGCAGAGGATATCTACGCCAGACTGAGCACCAGGTGCAAGCAGCATGTGAGGGGCACCATGAAGACGTCACTACTGTCTAAACAGAGGCAGTCTAACATTCAGGTCTTGCATGATGTTCTCGATGCCTGGACTGTCTGGAATCAGCAGATGCACACTATCCGCTGTATCTTCTACTACATGGACCGTTCATATCTTCTCCAGACATCTAGGGGTTCTCTTCAGGACGTCACCATCAAAATCTTCCGCGACAACATCTTTGAAGACGCCACTTTGAAGCCTGACATAATCGATGGGGCTTGCGAATTGATCTCTGCCGACAGATCCGGCAAGGACTTGGACAAGAGCTGCCTCAGACAGGCCATTTCCATGTTTCACGACCTCGCTACCTATTCTACTTCATTCGAACCTCGCATGCTCGCTTNNTTTTCTCAACAGTACGTCGTGCAATGGGCAGACGAGAAGAGTGCCGAGCAATCACTGCCTGAATATGTTAACGACGCTGCCAACTTCATGACCAAGGAGATTGATCGTTGCGAATTCTTTGGCTTGGATCAAAGCACTCGACGGGATCTCTTGGCTCTCCTTGAAGAACACATCATTGAGAACAAGGTCGACTATTTGACGAATCAAGACAGTATTGCGGACCTGCTGGACGATTACGCTACCAAGGATTTGGAACAACTATACGCATTGCTGCAAAGGCGACGACTAGGTTCAAAGATCCGACCCGCATTTGAGCGCTGGGTTGATGACACAGGTACACAGATTGTCTTTGACGACAAGAACGATACACAGATGGTTGTACGCTTGCTATCTCTCAAGACCCGTCTGGACAACATCTGGCGCACTTCATTCCACCGTAGTGAGGAACTTGGACATGCCTTGCGCGAATCTTTCGAGACTTTTATCAATAAGACCAAAAAATCTGCTGCGACACATGGTACAGACAATTCCAAGACTGGAGAAATGATTGCCAAGTATGTTGATCAACTGCTGCGTGGAGGTGCCAAGGCTATCCCTACAGATCTTACTCTTCATGCCCGCGATAATGCTGGAAAGGAAGAGTACGACGAGAACGAGGCTATGGACGAGGACAGTGAAGTCAATGCACAACTCGATCAAGTCCTGGATATGTTCAGATTTGTCCACGGCAAGGCAGTCTTTGAAGCGTTCTACAAGAAGGATCTTGCACGTCGTCTACTCATGGGTCGTTCCGCCAGTGCAGATGCTGAGCGAAGTATGCTCGCCCGTCTCAAAACTGAGTGTGGTGCAGAGTTTACCCACAACTTAGAGCAAATGTTCAAGGATGTCGAACTGGCGCGTGAGGAGATGTCTTCCTACAAATCACGGATGGAAGAGCGAGAAGAGAGACCAAAGGTCGATCTTAACGTCAACGTACTTTCGCAAGCAGCATGGCCGACTTATCCAGTCGTCCCTGTCATGATTCCTGCAGATATCCAGCAAGCTATCGATGAGTATGAACGCCACTACAAGTCCAAGCATAGCGGTCGCAAACTCGACTGGAAGCACTCACTGGCGCACTGCCAGATGAAAGCCAAGTTCTCCAAGGGAACGAAGGAGTTGGTGGTGTCATCCTTCCAAGCCATCATATTGTTGCTTTTCAACAATGTTGAGCCATCCGAACACCTGACCTATGATTTCATCAAGTCAGAATCAGGACTTCCCGAGGCAGAAGTCAACAGAACCCTTCAATCGCTGGCTTGTGCAAAGCTCCGACCTCTGCAAAAGCACCCCAAAGGTAGAGAAATCTCAACCACCGACTCATTTACCGTTGACCCAACCTTCTGGCACGACAAGTACCGCGTCAAGATCAACCAAGTGCAACTCAAGGAGACGAAGGAAGAAAACAAAGAGACACATGAACGTGTGCAAGAGGACAGAAACTTTGAATGTCAGGCTGCCGTAGTCAGAGTCATGAAGGCGAGAAAGACGATTGGACATTCGGAGTTGATTGCAGAAGTCATCAAGGCGACGAGGAGTAGAGGAGTGTTGGATGTCAAGGACATCAAGAAGAATATCGACAGGTGAGTGCCACTGCTTGATTAGCAGATTTTGGATGTGGAAAGAACGATGTACTGACACCTTGTTTGACACAGGCTTATCGAGAAGGACTACATGGAACGCGAGGAGGGCAACATGTACAGCTACATTGCGTAGTTGTTGCTTCTCTCGATCTCCCAGGCAGCGTTCAGCTTGCTGTCAACCAGAAGGCAGCAGGAAAGATGCACATACGACCATTACAACCACGAAACTCGTTCTTTATACACTTATTTTTGTACATTCTTTGCGGTGTAGCTTTTTATCCGAAAAGAGGGTATCAGGAAAATTCCATATTCTTCGTTTGCCATCTTTGGACAAGGTCCATGGTTTTCTCGTGACCGTGACGTGCAGGCATAGCCATTTCTCCTTGGTCTCCCAAACTCCACGCTTCCTCTATTGTTCTGTCGTCTCTCTCACTTCTTGCCCTTCTTCTTTTTCTTAGGCGCCGTGTTTTGCGCTGCTGGGGCCGCTGCTTCCACCAATGTCTCTGTGCCCTCAGCACCCGCATCTGCCATAATCACGTCCTCCTTCTTCTCTGGCAGCGCAGCCATCTCCCTGCCCAGAGTACCCATTGCAGCGATCAATCTGCCGACCTCTGCGGCCTTGTCGGTCTTGTATTTTAGCGTTGTGCCAGACACTGGATCGTAAGTCTTGAGCTCGAGGAGGGCAACTATCGGTTTGGGTTCTGTGGCAGCGGCGTCTGTTGATATTGCCGGTTTTGTAGAGATGGAGCTGGCGGAGGGGATGTGGTATTTTGTTGTTATGCGGGTNCTGTTTGGTAGTGGTTAGGTTTGGAAGGGCTGATGAGGGCAAGGACAAGAGGCGCATACAGTGGTTGGACGGGCTTGTAGGAGCAGAGCTGATTGGCGTTGCCACTCTTCGCTGGATGTAAAGTATGGCATTGTGGATGTGTGGGTTGTGGTGGTCGATGTAGATGGGATGGACTGGTCGCGCAACTTGTCGCGTGTAACGGACGTCGCTGTCGCAAGTTGATGCCTCGGCTGCACCTTCTCAATGCGATCATCGCGATATACCCAAAAGGTGCAGAATCGCCCAAAAACTCCAACGACACATCGCTACTCTCGTCTTGTCCATCAACCATTGTACTCCAGAATCAACAAGAATCCGCCAGAATCCATTGTCATGTACAGCTAATGTGAAGAAAAGCTGATTACCTGCAGAGCAAATACATCTCTGCCGCACTTTTCCAGTCACAAGCTTGCTGGCGGCTGTATGGAATATACCACATTTATCACGTTCGATCCTTCGACCTCTATCATCGGCGAGATTGTATTCACATACAGGTGGGTGACCAGGTCGGACTAGGCAGGTCTATTTCGTCCCTGCCAGCACGTCACTGTCGAGATATCCATCACGACAAGTACACGACACAGCCTCTGAACAACTATCGGAAACTCGACAACAAGCATGACCTCCACCAATACACAGAGTTACTCTTTTCGACGATCTCAATATGCGTGTGAAACTTATCAGACCAACGAGTTCTCTCAAGCAAAGTCCTCCATCTCGGGTAAGACTTGCGATGCATCGCGGGTAGAGTTGCCAACCTTCGCAATACGAATGAATCCATGAACAGGCTGAACTTTTGTTACCTGATTGAAGCCTGGGTGAAGACCGTGAAGTAGCAGATCATGGTCTGGCAATGACAATGACAACTATGTATAGGTGTTTGTGTGGTATTCTGAAGTCTCTCAACAAGCACAACTCTCAGATATCCACGGTATGATACGGACAACAGAGGAGTCATCAGCAGCCAACTAGCCTGCAAGTTCTCGGCTGTCCCTGGACTTCTGCTATCACCACTGGTATCGACTGGTTGCAGCTCAGTGGCGGCCATCCCGGGGTATTCTCGTCGCATCTTCTTCGACCTTCCATCGGAAACAGTTCGTGACTCCGATTGAGCAAGTATCAGCAGACATCCGCTGCTGCCTAAGATGCAGAATCGTTTCGTCCAGTACTTTGATGCAGAGTCGCTAATCCATCGCGAATCTTATAGCGATGAGTTAGTTTACGTGGGAAGCTGACGAAACACACCTCGTGCTGTGGCTGCTGCCTATGATGGTTTATCTCGGAAGGGTATATAAAGAGCCTCCTGGTGCCTGGGAAACATTTCTCTTCCATCCAACTTTCTCAAGACTCTGGTGTTCATACTTCGGTGTGGCACACCACCGTTCATCATCGCCATGGACTTCAGGCCTCCTCCTCCATAGGGCCACATCATCAAGCCTCTTCTATAGAGCCATACCACCCACCAAGCCTCTTCTACAGAGCCACGTCAACTATATCATCTCGTCAATAACTACTCCGCCTATCATGCTGTTGTTGCAACGCATAATATGCTTCGAGTACCACAACCACCACTGAGATCATCAAGCTGCCAAGCTACCGGTCACCACTTCTGCTTTCCTAATCTCTCATTCTTCTTCAACGATATCGCTGCCACCACAGCTATCGGTTCAAACACCAGCCGGCTCCATGCTGCCTGACGTCAACTGCTATTGCAGCAATCACGTCGACCACGTCAACCACGTCAACCACATCAAGCACCACATGGCTTCTCAAGTTATCCACTCGTCATCCACCACCGCCAAACCAGAATCGCCAAACAAAAACTCTTTCAATGGCACCTCGTCATCTCTCATCTTTGATCTACCTTCTGATCATCACCACCAAGGCACCTCATCATCAAAACCACAAGTCACGGTCACTCAAACTACAAGATCGAGCAACCAAAACACATCTGGAGCAACATCTTCTTCCACGAACCACGAGCCAAACAGACCATGGAGAGAAACAGACACCAGCGTGCGCCACATCAAACAGCGTTAACGCGACAGCCTTTCTTGTGCTGTACAGTTTTCACCACGTCACTATGAAGAGAAGCCGAAACTAGCGTGGGCCACATCAAAAATGCCTTAGCGCGACAACCTTCGTGTTGTACAGTCTTCACCATACTCAGCTCTCGTCCACCAAAGCACTCTCTACCTCGACTCCAAACTCGCCACAGCGTCAAAGCCTCGGCACCAAACCTCGTCACACATCAGTCAATATCAACGACCCGACTTTCAACCATGACCAACCACCCTCATCATTGAGACGACAAAGCCAACCAACTCGTCACATCATCACTGCAAGACTCGCACTCTTGCAATCACCCAGCTTCTGTAGAAGCATCTTCGACATCATCAGCCTGCTGCACCATGCCATGGAACCGCTACCCATGACAAAGAGTCGCTCCAGCAATGTCGTCCAAGCCGCCGTTGCCTATCTTGCAGCACCATATCATCGAGTCACCGAACTCTGATATTTGAGCGCACCAGAACCAGACCGTGACCGCGGCTGATCAACTGCTGAACCGTGCATTGGACTTTGACGAGCCATGACACCAAGTCACTTGATTTGCAGCGCCTCATACCGCCAGAAACGCCATAACGTGAAGCACCTGTCAATGGTACTTCTATGCCCTAACAGATGATGCCACTTATGCGACGTGCACATACCGTTCATCGGTTACCAACGCCATCACTGACAGAATCCGCCGCACCTGGTCATCAACTGTTTTGACGGACAGGACCGAAGAGGTTGCGCGATCTGCAGTGCATCTGCGTCAGATGGGCTGCACCATGTTGAAGAAGAACAACAGAGAGTCGCGCCCATCGCCAATCCCCCCACAAGCAGAAGAAGAAGACCACATCATCAACCAACATACAATAAACCACGACGACCACATATTATCAACGACAACAACACCACCACCAGAGGTATGAACACCAACTAACACTCAATGCTTCCCATCTCTCCAAGGGCACCGAGTGGACAACCAACAGTCTTGGAGGATCCGACCATCAAAAGCAACATTCGCAAACCAACAGAGGTAGTGCATCGTCAACTGCAGCAACGAGCACCGGGGAATCAGGGGGCAAGAACAGTAAGATGGGTTTTCCCCGTTGTCATCAACGGTTTCCCAACCTTACTGCAGAGAAAGACATGGAGTGCAAAACGCCAGACGTGGCTTGGGCAACCTCGATTTTGGGTTTTTGCTACTCCCATCTTTTGTGTTTTGTTATATAGTTGGTATAATCAGTGGAGGATTAGCGGATCAGGCGGTGGATGCCTTCGATCACGGTTTGCTGTTGCTTGTAGACGGTCGTGTTTGTTTTGACCTTTTCGTAGCTATGACATGAGAATCTTTTTTTGGTTGCAGGAGTGGATGGCGCTGATTAGCTACCAGTGTTGTTTTCACTCATATGACTGGAGAGAGGTAGGTCAGAAGGTCTTTTAGTATTTGAAGTCTCAAAAATTCAAACTCTTTTGCTGCTTTACAGATGTGTCGTCGGTATTTGTGATTATGAGATGTATAAGGTATGTCATCATTGACTCGATGACCTTACTGGAGCCTAGCATGTGTTTCTCATCGATTTTGGCATACAACAATAGCATACAATGTTGATCATGAATTGTGTTTCGAATTATTGCAATGTAGATTTTGTGGTATCTTGAGAAAAGGTCATGACGAGACGGAAGGAAAAGAAAAAACACTAGCCCAACTCCTGCAAATGCTTTTGGTTGTGTAGAGGACGCTTAGACAATGTGAGTGAGGAGCTTGCCAGTGTTGGCGCCCTCAAACAGCTTAAGCCAAGTCTTGGGGACGTCTTCAAACTTGGTGTCGACAATGGTCTCATTAGCATCGCCGACCTGGATCTTGCCCGAGACGGCGGCTTCGCTCAGCTCCTTGATCATCTCAGGCCAGCGGGCACCAGCGTCAAGGACAATCAAACCCTTGATGGTGAGACGGTTGGCAATGACCTCGAACCAGTTTCTGAAGCCAGGGGGAGAGCTGTTGTTGTACTCCGAGATGGAGCCACAGACGGAGATGCGGCCGAAACGCTTGACGCGGGTGAACATCAGATCCAGAATCTCACCACCGACATTGTCAAAGTAGACATCGACATAGCCGTCAGTGTGCTTGATGAGCTGATCCTTGAAGTCGGCGTCCTTGTAGTTGATGCAGACGTCGGCGCCCAGGCTTTCGACCCACTTGCACTTGTCTGCTGTGCCGGCGATACCGATGACGCGCTTGCAGCCAATGAGCTTCTTGGCGATTTGGACGACCATGCTGCCGGTGGCGCCGGCGGCTCCGGAGACGACGACAATGTCGTCCTTGGTGGTGTTGACGTTTTCGAGACCGTGGTAGGCGGTGACACCGGTAAGGCCGAGGGCACCGAGGAAGTGGGTGTCGCTGATGCCGGGAATGGACTGGATCTTGGAGACGTAGGGGGCACCGAGAGTAGTGTCGATGACTGCATACTCACGCCAGTTGGTCAGGCAGTTAACGAGGGAACCCTTGGGAAAGTCGGCGGCCTTGGACTCGACGACAGTGGCGATACCGAAAGAAGACATGGGTGCGTTAAGCTCGACGGGAGGGAAGTACATGCGCTCGCTGATTGTCATATTAGTTGATGCTTTTGCTTGCAATAAATGGTTACTGCTTTGTACTCACGCAATAACGCCCTTCTGGATCCAGCCACGCTGAGCTGGGTCGTTGGAAAGGTAAGTGGTCTTGACCAGAACCTCACCATCCTTGAGCTCGGGAAGGTCCTGCTTGACAAGCTTGAAAGTGCTGTCATCGGGCATGTCGGTGGGAGGGTTGGACAAAACCCATGCGTGGGAAGACTGGGGGCAGACATTGTGATTGTGATTGTTGGAGGGGAGTGAGTCGAGGAAAGATGTGTGTTTAAGCTCGAGGTGAGACGTGTGGGGGTATGGAGGGGTATATATACGAACTCTCGAGTACCATGATGGTTTGTAATGATGCGGCATCATGTAAGCATCAGGCCGATGACATTAAGCTCGACCACAGACACCTGCAACGGCTCCATCATGGCATGAAACGTAAGAGCCTTGACTCTGTTTTGCTAAGACATCTCCAAATATTTGCATGGGTCGCGACGCTTATGGAAAGTAGCCCACTCAATATAGCAGCTGTCTTCGTGGCGACATGGAGAGCGCCTGAGCTTTCGATTCTTCGAAATAGAGACCCTTGTCCACCCGACGGATATGGCTCAAACGCGCCTTCCATCTGCCTCTGTCAATTTGCAGAACAGATTCGAGTCAGGATGGAGGGTTTTCTGGTGACTCGGATGTGTCGCTACCCGCTAATCTGACGGTTGGGCCCTGGCGATCTTTGGAAGCTAGGTAGCCTTAAATCCGAGCAACATCCCATGTTCGAGGCCCCGTCTCGTTGTGGAGATTGTTCATACTCTGGCATGAAAGCCTTAGGCCTATGAGTTGCTTCAAGACCACATGTTGTCGAACTTCTGTGTGACTGTTCGAGTCGATATCAGAAGACCTGCATGGATGCATGACAGGAAGCTCCATGCGAGCGGGATCCGAGCTTTCCACGTGCAGCCGAGGCTCGTGCACGAAAACAACAGACCGCCCAGCCTCGAGACATGTGGATAGATTGTTCGATCAAAGACGAGCCGTGTACCAGTTGCTCCGCGAGAAAAGAGCGAGCGCGTCGACGACTGATATTCCGAGGTTTGATTGATAGGCAAGGAATGACAGGCCAGACGCTGTAGAGGCGTGGTTCTGTTCAGTGCCACAATGTCACAAGATTCGTAAAAGTATGTGATAACGATCTCGCTTGAGAAGCGATGATTGATCGATATGCTGCTGAACCAGATATCGCCTGATAGAGAGCCATGAGTTGGGCAAGACAGACGAGTCAAGGTAAGCCCGGCACTTTCACGGTCGTCCAAGAAGCCGGCAAACGCATTCGGCTCTCACTGGAATCCTCACAACCACGCTCTCACAAAAAGATTGGATACGATACCTTATGCACAGGGCCAAAATTTGGAGAGCTCATTTCATGACGACGAGCAAAAAAATGGAGTAGCTGGGAATCGAACCCAGAACCTTCTCCACTCAGTAACGCTCAAAGAGCAATGCTAAGAAGATGTCATACCACTAGACCACAACCCCATTTGATGATGCACTTTCTGACGCTGGATACAATGTTTCTAAATTTTTGACCAGAGACTGCCACAACATTCTTGAAACATCCCTGTTTGTGACAGGGTGGCGCCATCAGTGTGATTCTCAAGCTATGTTATGAGCCAACATGTAAACTGTTGTTGGCTACGGTCGTCAGAAACGACAAGGAGCATTCTACGGTGCATGGAAACCTTCTGAAAGTGTCGTGTGACCATTTCTGACTGATTTGCTGTCTTGTTCATATTGTTAGAGCCTCTGTAGACCGCAAAGTTCAGAATGGGCGCTATTGAGTACCTCCCATAGCAAGAGAAAGCAAGAAAAAGCGCGAAAGATTATGTGCATAAGGAGGGAAGACTGCTAATCAGAGTAGATGTCTATACACTCCTTACTCTCTTCTTATTATGCTTCTTGTGTGACCCTGTTTCCGCTAGAATTCAGAACCATGGCTAAGGGATGACCGAGGCCAAGAAGCATGTGCCCTGAGCAGTGCGGTACAATATATACAGCAAATCTTAGGCCTTTGCTATCAATCTCTTCTTAGCTCAGTTGGTTTAGAGCGTCTGACTGTAATTGTTCGATTGTCATCAGAAGGTCCTTTGTTCGACTCAGAGAGAGGAGATTTCTTTTTACACTCTTTCCAACTTGCACCTTCTGCTGAGTGCACCCATAATCGTGGGCATGGAGCGGTGTCATTTTGCATTACATGCATAATCTATGTAGGTAAATTAATTATTGCTGAACGAGATGGATAGCTGCCATAACGTCCAGTGCTGCCATCTGGCTATGGCTAGTCGGCATATCAAACGGACCAGCCCACCATGGACCATATTGGTTGTTTCCATTCGTATTACGCTGCTGCAGACTGTCAAACTGTTTCTTGATGAACTCGGTCAATTGATGCTGCAAGTCAGGCTCCTGATTGGTGTCACACAGGACCTTGAGAAGTTTGGCCAGACTGCGGAGCAAGACAGACTTGAAGCCGACCGAATCATCATTCTTCCAGGGTTCGTGATTGCCTTTGCCGTATGCACCGTGTTCAGTCAATGTGCCGTCTTGCTCGACCCAACCTTGTCTGCAGATCGCTTTACGTGCCATGTTGCACGCTAGCGAGAGGTACTCGTGAGGCGACTTGTTGCTATGCGAGCCTTGATGACCGAAGCTGAATGCTGCGAAGGTCGCAATGGCAGCAGCTATAGCCTGCCCGGTGCAGTAGGTAAAAGTCCAATCGACGCATTCTTGCGACTTGAGTTTGATGGTGTCGAGGACAATGCACTCGTTTGAGCGGTAACGACAGCGTTCGATCCAGGCAAAACTCTTCTCAGCTGCCTCCAACATTTCTGCTGTTTCTTTGCCTGGCTTCTCGAGCAAAGCAAGGCGTGCAGAGAGTTCGGAGAAGAGACCAGTAGTTATGGCGTTGACCTGCTCTTCATTTGGTCTGGTGGTCCACATCACTGCACCAGCCATGTCCATACCTCTCACTCTAGCTTGACCTGGTGACAGCATACTACGCTTGACATGCTGCCAGATCTTGCGAGCATTGTCGAGGTAGTAAGGATCTGGGTTGGTCATATAAGCATCGAGCAGACAATTACCCCACCATAGAGTATCGTCATTGAACTCGTTGATGAAATGCCTGTGATGACTCTCCACGGTCGACAGTCTATCTCGGAGGAGTGTAGCGTTGCGATTGCTTCCAGACCAAGCATCTCTGAGAGCAATGCATGTGTAGCCGTTGGCCGTCTGCCAATATCCTATACCGCCGATCTCGCCGTTCGGCTGCATGGAAGCCATGAACACATCGATGGCTCCCTGAGTGGTTCCAGATAGCGGACTTTGTTCATGACCTGTGGGTGGTTGTGGATGTAGTGGTTGCTGAGGTCGGGTAGGTTGTTGGACCTGGCTGCCTGGGAATCCTCCACCTTGATGTTGTTGGTGGAGAGGCTGCTGACCAGCATCGTTTCTATTTTTCAGATGGCCAAAAGCGTCTTTGATATGATGCATGATTGATGTTATCGAACTTAGGTATAATAGTAGGTAGATACGAATGTGGAAAATCATTCTCAAAGGTAGCAAGAGCCGGGAGTTTGTGACGTAGCCGGTGATGTCCTGGAACGCGTGACACACAAGACTATCAACAACAGAACTCTACTACGTTGTGCTCATCCCGCAAGAACAGTGTTTGACCTCGCAGCTGTGATAGAGGCAGACTTTGAAATACGAGACATCAATGTCTATCCATACCGACCATACCCTTCTAGCAGTCAAATTCACACCACAGATCAAACTCATCACGCCAATCACTGCTCAACCCCGGGCCAGTGTACTTCCAATTCTCGCACTTATACGAGTTCCATTGCTGCGAGCCATAGTGTAGAGTGAAGGTGCCCCTCCATAGGTTGTTAAGCCCACCCGCACCACTAGGAATCTTGCCGTCGATCCACAACTCAGGGCCTTTGGTGGTTCCTATCTTGATCTGGTAGTTGGGGTCTATTGCTGACCATGTGCCAACATTTGCCCAGTTCCAGTCTTTGCCCATGGGCTGAGCAGGTACAGAGTTGTCGAGAAGGTCAATATTGTACGTGGTTGGGCAAGAGTAGAGACAGAGTCCGGACCCTAACCTTAGGCTTCAGTGTCTCAATGACTTAGCACCCGAGCTTATCTAGGACTCACTGCTAACTTGAATGTGCGCTTCACATTTATCCGTGTTCTTGCGACGAACGAGGGATGGATTTGAGGATCCCTGGTGAAGAACAGTGGGCGCGGCTAGTGCAGCGACAGCAAGGATGCTAGAGATGATGATATTCTTGAGGCCGATCATTGTATAAGTTGAGCCTAGTGTTGGATAGTTTGTAAGTAGACAGAGGAGTTGAATTGCCAATAGTGATATCCAGAATGCATCGTGAGATGGTTAGCTTTATACTTCTTTTTGCAGTAGATAGTCGTGTGGCTATGCCTTGCCAGAAACGGACGTTGAGCAAAGGATGTGATGCCTCATCTGTGAAAAAGCCGTCCAGATTTGGATCAGATTCCAGATAGTGCCAAAGAACGGTCGAAAGCGGTGCTTTGGAAGATCTTCACAGTCACGGGTGTTGGTTGTATGTTGGTTGTATGGACTAACTGCAAGATGCCAACAAGCGAGTTGGATCGTGGCGTTTCCACCGATCTGAGGTCCGTGAACTTGATTTAAATAGAATACGACTTGTGCCTTACACCGGTAGAAGATAATAGGACTGCTTGCTTCTGCATACGACATCTAGAAAGCCGTCTATGCCAAGGGGTGAATGAAGCATCGAATAGTATAATGTTCGATTTAAGATACACATAAAATGAGAATAGGGGTATCGGTGATGCCACTCATGGGCCCCAAAAGCGCCTGCCGACCAGCCTGACACAGGCATCCGAAACAAAAGAAAATAAAAGCAACCATGAATCCGTATCTACATCTTTCCATCCATGAAGCCACGCTCATACTCGTTGGCAGTAACACCGTTGCCACGACTTGTGGTCTTGCCTCTTTCGGCCTTGGGCTTGCTCTGCTCTAGACCTTCCACCCGGGAGAGGTTTTGGTAGAATGTGCGAACCTTCTCATGGGCGACAACTTTGCGTGGATCAAAGCGCAGCACTTGTAGACCTTGCATACTGGTCGCACGAGAGAGTGCGACATATGCCTGTCCTTTCTCAAAGACTTTGCCGAGATCTACCTTGACTCTTTCCAGTGTCTGACCTTGAGCTTTGTGAATACTCAGTGCCCAGGCGAGAATGAGCGGAATTTGTGCGCGCGAGGCTTGGACCTCGCCGTCTGGGAGTTCGATCTTCCAGGTTTCGCGTTGACACAGAAGGTCTCGAGTTGTGCCGTCTGCAAGGGTAAAGCGAACCACAGGCCAGATCTGTGTAGTACTACCTAGCAGGTTGTCCATGAGGCGTTCACGGGCAGTCTTCTTCTTGTCAAGGCCACCTATGGCGCTTTCATCCTTGAGAGTTCCACCTTGAGTAGCCATGAATGCCTCTTCATTGTTATTGTAAGAGTCGAATTGGATCTCGTTCATGAAACCAATGATTTTTCCCAGCGAGCCGTTGACCAAGCTCTCATCGATGTTCTTGATGAGCATGACTTGGGCGCCCTTCTTTAGTGTGATCAGTTCAGGAGCCATGCAATTGGCGAGCAGCTTGTCACGGAAAGTCTTGTCAGTAATACTGCCTCCATCTCGTGCCTCAAAGGTTCTGATCTCGCCCACAAGCTGGCTCATCTTGCTCTGATTGGCGTTCTCGACCTCATTTCTCGTTGGAAAGAGCTCGGTAGCGTCGATGGAACTCTCAGACTCCAGAGGTCGGCTAAGCGTGTGGAATGTTTTGATGCTTTCGGCACTCATGCGACCCTCTCTCATCTCGTTGAGCATGTTCGCAAATATAGGGTCTTTCTGACGGAAGACGTGATGCAGTCCAATCGTGTACTCGATACTCGTTGACCATGTGGCTGCGTCAAACGCGAATTTCGCAATCTTGCCGCTGTCCGGTACTGGAGGCAGCTGGAAGAAGTCGCCGGTGATGACAAGCTGGATACCACCAAAGGGTCGACCATTGTTCCTGATTTGGCGGGCGATAGCTTCGAGCTTGTCGAACAGATCACCATCAACCATTGAGATTTCATCAACGACCAACACTTTTGTGCGCATCCACCTATGCTTTGCCTTCTGATTGCGCTTGATCTTCTTGACCAATTCCGGAACGTCTTCTTTGCCTAGGCCAATACCAGCAAAACTGTGCAATGTGACACCACCGATGTTACACGCAGCAAGACCAGTGGAAGCAGTGACAGCAACACGATCGGGTTCGCGGAGGTACTTTTTGCGAAGGGTTGCGATAATCTCACGTAGAAGGACGGATTTACCAGTACCAGCAGCACCGGTGAAAAANACAGCCTTCTTCTTCTCTGAGATCAGGTCAAGAACGTGTTGTTGTTCGTCACTGAGGAAGACACGAGCGACCATGTTTTTGCGACTCTTGGACTTGGCTTTCTGGATGACCTCGTCGGAAGGTTCATTGAGTTTGGACTTTTTCTTGTTGATCTCGCGAAGACTGGTCTTTTGTTCCTTGATGGCACTCGCGGTTGTGTTCCAGGGGAGAGCGCTCTTCTTAGATGTTTGAATAGGAGTTGCGTCGACGACGCGTCTTTTGGCAGGAGGAATAGAATGTAGGTCGTGTTCTGGTTGTGATGTCTCTTGCTTTAGCCACGGCAATGTTCTACGCTTGGAAGCAGCTGCGGGCTCGGTCTTCACAGGGGCTGATGTCGGCTGTGCTCGAGGTCGAGGAGCGGTAGGGCCATTGCTGCCGTTATATGCAAAGCGGCTAAGTGTGGATGCGTTGAGCGAAGGATTCAAGTGTTCGGTGGGCGATGAAGACCAGGGCAAAGGAGCACTACTTCCAAAGTTTTCTTGAGCTGGCCGAGTGTGTTCGGTAGAGACGTAGCCAGAGTCATCGGGAGCGCCAGGATCGCGGACCTGACGTTTCGGCAGAGTTGGATGGAACGCAGAGTGTTGCGGGGCGGTGATCTTGGGGAGGGTAGGATACGAGATGGTGTTCTTGGAAACGGAGGTTCGCGGAGTAGGTTTTCTGGCCGCCGTGGGCTCTTCGACAAGCAGATCATCGAGATCAAAGTCGTCGTCAAAGTCGTCGGCGTCAAAGTATTCGCTGTTGGTGACTTCAGGGACGGCGCATACAACGGGTTCATTCTGTGCATCGTCAAAGGAGGCGGTGTTGCCAAAGGTCTTTGCGAGACCGGAGTGTGTGCGCTTGAGACCGTTGATGGATTTTGAATTTCTGGAGGCTGTAGACAAGACGAAAGACTTCTGGGACTGCTGCTGCGCCGGAGGGCTAGAAGAGAAGAGCTGTTGATCGAGAGGCTTGGAGGCAGCAGTCGAGGCGTTGTGCCTGTTGACTGCTGTTTTGAGCATGTTGCGAGAGCGCAGACGGTCGTCGTGCGAGGAAAAGGAGCGTGTGCTTAGGTGCGACCTGGCAATGGCGGCGGAATGTGCTTGTGCTTGTGCTTGTGCTTCGAGTTGTTGTCGACGATGGGCGGCAGCAGCTCTGGCGATTGTCCTTCTTCCAATCCACCCGCGCAGCAATCCCGTAGCGCTGTAACCTCCTCCCAGCATGCAGTACACCACGACCAGCGCTAATAAGATCAAGGCGACGATTTCAACCACTCCCACGTCTTCCCGGATGGAAACCACTTTTGTCGCCATCGAGTGCCCACGCGTAAACTTTGCTACGACGCGCCGGTAATTACCGTTTTGGACTTAGGCTGCCAATTCACGTGTCTGGCCGGCCCCTGAATGCTTCCAAGTCCCTAGGTTCCATTCATGTTTGAGACCTTGTTATTCAGAGCATCATCAGTTCTTCGAATACACGACGAACAATATGAACAATCAATCTTTGCACTGCATTGCTCGCCAGCTATGTACCATTTCGAATCTGAAGCATATGGCAAGAAAAAAACATATTTAAGAAATGGGTATAGAGCTTCGAGAGATGAGAGGAGCTTTTCGTCAGGTTCAACACAGAGCGACATAAAGGAAAGGACATGTTCATCAAGAGATTTAAGGGAAGAAGATCAGAAGAGGAAGAGAAGAGAACGGGAAAAAGGCAGAGAGCTACATAAGACGCTTTTCCTTGGTTCGATTCCTCCAAATGTTTCCGTCCATCCTTCCTTGTGCCTCGTTCTGCACATTGTCTGTATCCATGAAATCGAAAGGAGATGCTTGATTTTTCTTGAGAGCAAAAACACCGCTTCCCACATGCAGAGTAAAAGCACAACTTTGACGAACCCCATGCTGTGTGCAAAGAAGTCGCGAGGGTATAAAGGGCTGGTAACATCGACTGACGAATGACAGAATTGAAAAAGGACTTCCTATCCAACGACAGGACTGGCAAGGAAATGTTCGTGTCGACGGCTACTCGCTTGAGCCAAACTCGTCGATGTTTTAGTCGTCAGTGTATCTCGGTTTCTGGTCGTATCTGCCATCTCCGCCACGCAGCGTTGGAGCCAGTTGCTGAACCTTGGTCGACGAACTAGGGCTGCAGGCCTTCTAAGCCTGGTAACCACCGTAGTTGTTGAAGGCACCACCCTGAGGGCCACCCATGTAGTTGCCACGGCCGAAGCCGCCACCGTTCTGAGGCATCTGACCATAAGCGGCCATGTTGGCACCAGCGAATTGAGCAGCAGGCTGCTGGAAGCCACCAGGGCTGGGTCCTACAAGAATGTCAGAAACGTCGATGGTATATCTTTTTGATGTGATCAAACCTTGAGGAGACATGGGAGCAGCTGCACCGTACTGAGGGAAACCGAAGCCCTGAGGGGTTGGAGGGTAACCAGCGTTACCACCAACAGCAGCGGCGGCAGCGGCAGGAGAGAAGCCTTCGAAGTTGGTAGTAGGAGGGCGGTCCTTGCCCCACTGCACACATTGATTAGCAATAGCTTTTGCAGCACAGAGAAAACAAACTTACGCTGCACTTCAGAGGACGGCCGTTGACGTTGTAACCGTTGAGCTGGCAGATAGCCATGGCAGCGTTCTCGTGAGAGTCCATCTTGACAAAGGCGAAACCACGGTCAGACTGGAAGCGAGTCTCGGTGACATAGCCGAAGTTCTGGAAGAGAGGAACAAGGTCGTTCTGGGTGGTGTAGGGAGTGAGGTTGCCGACGTAGCAGGTAGTCTGCCACTGAGGGGTCTGGGCAAGAATAGTGTCGTAGGACTGAACACCCTGGGTAGGGAACTGGTGGTGCTGACCGAAAGGACCGGGAGGGGTAATACCCATCTGGGCCATGGCCTGCTGCTGAGCGAATGAAGGCTGACCCTTCTGGTTGGCCCAGTTGCAACGGATAGCACGAGAACCCAGCCACTCGCCGTCCATGGAGCTGAGAGCCTTCTCAGCTTCGGCGCGGTCACGGAAAGCAACGAAGCCGTAGCCACGAGAGCGACCAGTCTTCATGTCCCACATGACACGGGCCTCGGAAACGCTGCCAAAGGCAGAGAATGCCTGAAGGAGAACCTCGTCGTTCACTTCGTTGGAAAGATCGCCGACGAAGATGTGGAAGTGGCCAGAAGTGTCTTCCTTGCTGGTGGTGTTGGACTGATAGGCCCAGTTTACGCGGATTTCCTGTCTCACGTGTCAACGACTGTGTCACACAATTGCGCAAGAAGTGATCAAGTGCTTACCGACTGGTGGACACGTCTTCCGTTGAGAGTCTGCATTGCTCTTTCTGCGGCAAGGGGATCGTCGTACTCAACGAAGCCGTAGTTGAATCCTTTTGACTGGAACTAGGAAAAAGTGTTGTTAGTGGATGGTGGTTTGGTACAACAAAGCGCGCTGGCGGAGATGAGAGTAGGCAGCGCAGCCGGCGCAGATGGTGCAAACAACACGTGAATCCGCATGATGCATGCACATGCATGCGCATGCAGTCCAGGCAACCATGATTGCTGCAAGTGACAGCAGAGACAGCAGTCGCGGCCACGTGCGGGTTGAAGGAGAGGCGGCAGGACAAGCATGACTTACGTTCTTATCAGGGATGATCTTAACACTCTGAACGTGTCCAGTGGTCTCGAAGATTTGCTTGAGCACTTCCTCTGTGACTCTGGGGTCCAGACCACCAACGTAGAGGGCTCTCTTGTTTGGCTCAGGAGCGGCACGGCGAGGACCGCCGGCGCTGCCAGGCGAGCTCAGGCCATTGCCGTTGTTGTTCATGGCATCGGTCATGGCGTTGGCCTCGATGGTGCTCTGGGGGATGTTGAGCGGGGGTACTGGCCAGGAGCACCGGCGGCCGAGGGGGCAGCAGGCATCTGTATCTGGTTCTGGTTGTCGGACATGTTTCTTGGACTTGTATCTGACGAGGGAAAGAAATCGAGTCGGGAGGAGTTGCGGTGCAACAGGCCGAGACAATTATTCGAACAAAGGCCGGGGTTGAAGCTTCGACAAGCGCGTGTGTTTGCTGCAGAAGCTGGATGTTGGCGGGGTTGATGTCCTGCTCAACGAGATTGAAGAGGGTGTTTGGTCGTGAAGGTCAACAAGCACGAGCTGATGAGGGATGAGGATTTGGTCGAAGGAACTCGAGCTGTAAGGGTGCGGTTGGAGTCGAGATGGACGGGCGGCCTGACAGAAGGAGACGGCGGGCTCAAGACAAGGAAAAAGTCAGAGACTTGGCCAAAGAGAAGCAACTTTTCAAAACGCTGAACAAAACACAGAAATGTCCGAGTCAACGCAAGAGAAGAGAGGTAGGAAAAAGGACAAGCGACGTGACAGCAGCTAGGAAAGAGATGGGAACAAGGAGACGGAGAGCCGAGCAGGATGGGAGCTCTCGTCACAGCCAAAGGTGACAGATTGTTGGCGCTCCACACGAGTCTCTCAATTCATCTAATCCTGGTTAGCGCCGCCCAGGGTCCATCCACAGACGCTTCACTGATACAACTTTGTCGCACTTTGAGCTTGACAAGGTTAAGTTACTGCCCGTCGTGCCCGAGCCTGCCGAGCCTGCCTGCCGCGAACGTCGTTCGCCCATAACTATTACTGCCTCCATCTCAACGTCTGACATTCATCGACCTCTCCTCTGTGCCCCCTCGTTGTAAAGTCCCAAGCAGCGCGACCTTGCCAATCCGGCACGTGTCACGCCATAATCTCGACATGGATCGTGCCCAAGCCGTCAGATCGCCGCTGGACCAACTCGAGGCGCAGGTCAATCTCGTCGTACGTACTCACTCATAGCATTGGTGCTCTCAATATTGTCGCCAAGTCGTGCTGATATACCGTGTCGTGAGCAGTNTGGAACACACAGGTCGTCTCTTCGCAAACAATGCCAGAAGTCATGGCCAAATCAACAACCCCTTACGACTAAAACAGGTTATCGCTGGTGCAAACAACAACTTTCACGATGCGCTTGATCAATTGGAAGGCGAACTGGTGAGTTGCTGCACTTTTTATTCTGGAAACCACATTTCCATTCTGCCCATCCGAAATCCGTTACAACGTTTTCTGCGCTATCTTATCATTTTAATCGACAACAACCACTGATAATGTTATCAGACTCTGGCACGCGCAGTCATGCGACGTGATCTCGCTGTATACCGCTCTCAGCGAGGAGCTCGAGTGAAAGCCGAAGTTACCACTACAGTAGAACCTGCAGGTGGCACAGACAACACAACAGCAATCAATCTAGATGATGATATTGTTATGGGAGAGTCACCAGTCCAAGATGCTAAGCCATCACCACCCAAGGAAGAAATCTCACCTCCGGAAGGAGAGAACCCCACTGAACGCACTACACCACTTCACCTTGACATCCCTGGCCAAGATCACCAAGCCGCGGGTCATCCGGGCGATGAGAACACTGGCACGTACAGCAACTTCGATTTCGAATCCCTATTCAACGACCCAAGCAGTGCAGGTGGCGGATCCAGAGCAAGTCCCAAGAACATACCCGATCCTTCACCACCTGCACCACGAGCAGAAGAGGCACCGCCAGTCAACCCTCCAACACAAGACACAAAGCCGCCTCCGACCAGAACGATGACTATTCCCGACGACGAACCCATCAAACCAGCATCTTTCAACAACGGCAACGACGACTTTGACTTTGCCGATCTGACAAACTTCGGCCCCGCCGACACAGATATGCAAGACACAGATGGTATATCCTCTCTTCTCCCCGGCCTCGAAAGCTATGCAAACTCCGGCGGTGGCAACGGAGGCACGGAATCAAATCCCCAATCGGTTCCCGCAGACTTTGACATCTTTGACGCAGCGGGTGTTGGTGACTTTGGCAGTGCTCCACCACAAAAGGCTGATGCCAAGCAAGATGCGCAACAGCAGTCCGAGATGGGCAATAGAGATGATACCTTCGACGACATTATGAACTTTACAGAGTTTGACATGGGCGACTTTTCTGGGAGTGCCGGCGGTGAGGGCGGTGAGAGTAAATTCGATGCCTCGTTCTTTGACATTTGATTTGAAAGATCAACATCGCTATAGCGGCCGCGGCATGTGGATATTGGCCTTGGCTCTCTATTTTCCAACCGCAGCCGACAGACAGATTTGACACACAGACCTGCTCTGGAGAGTCCAAGTCTGCACTTCGTTTGTGATTCGACTGGCCTCTGGAGTTTTCTACATGAGCGGAACCAAACTCAGCATGTGACAATTGGACCTTCGAGAGCTGGTAGACTCGCGAGCACCGGTCACCCACACCTCTCGTGATCTGGTCTATTGGCCGAACAAGCATCATCAAAATCCTGACTTTCTCCTCCCATAATACGTTGTTTCTGGGCTCTTGAACAGTACAGACTCTTTGTTAGCCTTGGCACATACAATGGTCCGGCAAGCAAAATCTGGAAGACAGCTGGTCAAATCAGGATTCCATGTGGAGGCTATTGAGTACTCATATTTAGTTGCAACCAGCAGTGGAGGATATGTTGCTTGAAAGCAGACAGTGGTCACGAATAGACTAGGACAGATGGCAATCTTCTGGAATAAGAGAAAGCAAGGAGTCTAGTATTTACACAGTTGAATAAAAGATACAAATTTACAGAATGTCGTAAACGCTCATGATGCCTATAATACTCTCCTAATGACCCTGAAGCAAACACGCCTAGACCCTTACAGAGACCAAAGACACAACTCGATCTCGGAGAATAACCGGAACTCTTCTAACTCAACAACTCCTTGATATCTTCAATCCTCTGCAACTTCTTCTGATCCTCATTCATCATGCCCAAGGAACTAGCAATGAACTTCTTGCGGTCCTGCACCCTAAGCATCTTCTCCTCAATACTCTGATCAACCACGAATCTCACGATCTTGACCTCTTGGGTTTGGCCCATACGGTGCACGCGGTCAATAGCCTGTGACTCGACGGCCCAACTCCACCAAGGATCCATCATGAAGACGTTGCTCGCACACGTCAGATTCAAGCCTACACCGCCTGCTTTGAGAGACAGTAAAAGCACGCAGCCTTTGGTGCGGTTGGCGAATTCGGTGAGTACAGCGACGCGGGCTTTTTGGGCCATGCTGCCGTCAAAACGGAGGTAGGGGATTGAGGCTCCGTCGAGAGCAGGTTCAAGAATGTCGAGGAAAGAGGTGAATTGGGAGAAGATGACCGACTTTGTAGCTGGTGAAGCCTTCTTGATGCGCTTGAGGTGAATCAAGAGAGCACCGATCTTGGCTGAGGAGAGGGTATTGACGCGGCGGAGTGAAACACGAGGGAGACGTTGTTGCGAGTCAACAGAGTCGCTAGGTTGAGTTGCCGTGTAAATGTCCTCGAAACTGTTTAGTAACTTGTCTTTGGCCACACCAGCTTCTTCATCGTCTTCATCGTCATGTCTGATAACCTCAAAAATGTCGCGGGCGTTGATGGGCTCGCGACAGTTGAAGCACAATGGCAATTCGTTCTTGTTGGTCGCGTTTTCAATCAACTCGAGAAGACATTTCTTACAAGCACTGTGCCAACAGCCTGTGACAGACTGCTCTTCCATGGGTTCCTCGAAACAGATGGGGCACTCATGGTTTGACTCTGCTTGAATCTGCTTGAGTACGTGGGCACCAAAGCGACTTGCATCCTCCTCTTCAGCCTCGGACTCGAAGCGTTGAATCAATGATTGCAAATCCATATCATCAGCAAGTCCATTAGCTATGTCTGCTGCAGCCTCGGCGTCATCCTCATCTGCGGCGATACCTTTGCTGCGCACCAATGTTGGGTGACAGCAGGATTGCCTGAGTCGTAAAATCTGGGCAAAGATTGTGGTGTATGATTTCATCAGTGTTCCAGCTTCGACATTGGCGGCAAATGTCCTCTTGGCTCGAGCAAAAATGTGATCATAGAGATCTCGTTCCACCTTTGAGAGCTCGATCTTTTGAATGTCAATAGTTCTCGGCGGCAATGGAACCAATGCCTCTCCGTCTGGGGTCTTCATGTCCTTTGTACGGCGCAGAACAAGAGGCTCAAGTACAGTTTGGACGACATCCAGTGCTCTGACATAGTCCTTGGACTCGAAGGGAACGGTAATGAAGGTCTTCCAGAAAGAAAAANNGTTACTCCAAGGCTCAACTCGAAGGAAGCGAACCAGACTGAAGAGATCTTCAAGACGATTAACGATGGGTGTACCTGTCAGGGTCCAGCGGTGTTCTGCGGCGATCTCATAACAAGCACGAGCAGTTTTTGACTGACGGTTCTTGATCATATGGGCTTCGTCAAGGATAACGCGGAAATACTCGATCGAGAATAATCCGCCGCTTGATCCTCTGTCACCACCAGCGGCAACGACTTGATTGTACTCTGAGAGCACGGTACCGTAGCTCGTAATGATGACATTGGGTGCCGATCCTGCATTAGCTTCGCAACATAAGGTCTTCAAGTTCACGTTCTTGTCTGAGCCGTAGTATACCAACGTCTTCAGCGTACCAGGCTTCGAGGCCTTTTCTGCTTCACTCTGCCATTGCGCTAGCAACGACATTGGAGCAACGACCAATGTGGTACACGGCGCGCGACAAACACCAGAAGAGCTCTTAGGCGAACGTGGCAGGTCCATAACCGTTGACATCTTCGAGCCTTGCAAGCCAAATTCTGACGTGTGCGTGTGTATGAGACTGAGCATCTCGATAGTTTTACCTAGTCCCATTTCGTCTGCCAGGATACCACCAAGACAGTTCTGCTCCTGGACAGGGAAGTCTAACGAGAGTTCACCGGAATAGGGGTTGACGTAGAAACTTGGTTGATCCTCCACCTGAGGCACTGGGACGTCGTCTGCATCTTTTGTAGGCCACATGTATTCTTCCCATAGCGGATGCATTGAGGCTTCTTTGTGGTCAGATTTCTGGTCTCTCTCTTTCCCTGCCATCCAATGCAGAGCTTGCTTTTGGTACTTCCTGAGATCCATGACAAATGTCTCGGCAGGTTGCATCACGGGCGTGTTGAAATCAAAGGACTGCGCTTTCCTGTAAAGGCTGTCAAGCTGGTCTTGCTCCAGTTCTTGGCCATCTTCAGCATCATCCAAAGGAGGGGACGATGGAGCCTGGTCAGAAGACTTGGCTGGTTTGGCAGTACTCTGCTCGGCTTGCTCAGGCATCTCAGCAGCGCGCAGAATGCCCTCTCGTTTGTGCTTTTCGGTCGAAGAGTTGGCGCGTGATGGATGGAGGTTGACCTCTGAGAACAACTTCACAAGACCGACCTGGCGCAGTCGGAGGTCCTTCTCGTCCTGAGTCTCCTTCGCTTCGTAAATGCCAGTTTCTCTGTTATTGTCCAATGGCTTGATGAAACTGCCGGCAGTAAAGCATGACTTGAGAAAGAAGCATCGCAACTGGAGATAGACAGTGTCGTTGGTACGGACACGATCAGGTGCAAAAATGCAGTGGCCTTCAAAGTGGCATATGTTCTGATCCATGAGGGTAGATATCCAGGCGGCAGAGTCCTGCTCTAAGCGACCGACCTCTTCTCCCTTGGCATTGGTGAAGCGAACGATGACATCCTGACGCGTTGAGGCTCGTGACTTGCCTCCCTTTCCAACCTTTTGCTGTGACGGCCTAGCTCTTTCAATCTTGACCAATTCTCCGGACGTGATAATGCCAGTACCACTACGGGTAGTCCAACCAACAACACCCAAGGCACCGATATATCTCCTGGTCGGCATGGCGGCGAGATTGGCTTTTGGCAGATCTATCTTTTGTGTAGAGGCGGACGGCGAGTCCTTGACTTTTGGTCGGCTGGGATGTGAGGCGGGTGAAGGGGCATTGGAGATCAAAGGGTGGTTCTGCCATGAGCCATCCAGGTACATGTTGACGGCTCGCTCGACATCGTTGCCGCAAATACGCTGTAGAGCATGGATGGTCGCTAGAGGGGCGTCATTGCCGACAAAGGCTTGAAAGAGAGATGAATCGAAGCGGTTGACACTCGAAATCGTTGATGCTTGTCCTGGTTGTATAGCAGTGGCGGTGTCTTGGTCGTTCTCAGGAAGTGCATTGATTTCATCTGGGCCAGAAGGATCGGAGGCAAATGAAGCATCCTGGGTCGAGTTTTTGTCGACGAAGAAGCGTCTCTTCTTATTCGGTCGTTCGTCCATGTGCGATATACTCATCTTCTGCCACCAGAGGCAATTTCGTATCGCGTGAGAGGAAGGACACAATGACTTTATCCCAATGCCTCTTTGTGGAAGGAGCGAATTCAAGGAAGACGCGTTTGGAAGGAGCGGGAAGACGCGTTCTACTCTATTTTGTGAACTCTGTTGAAACTTGAGCTCTGATTTGTGAATATTATGAAAGACTAGCCTCCATTGGGCAAAACATCGTCATGTTCGCGGTCATGATTTTGGCAAATTCGCCGTTGATTGCGACAAGTTGGAGCTGCCATCTCTCGCCTTCGTACCATTTTGCGACATAAACCACAATGAGAAGTCACACAGCCCGCCGCACCCTGAGAGGTGTGCTTGGTAGACAGCAATGCCAGTTTCGAAGGACGTATGCTACAGAAGTTCAGCAACCTGCCGCGACAGTGTCGTCCGAGGCAGAGGTGGGCTCCGCAAGAGCCTATTGTCTAGACCTTCTTAGGTGAGCCATATCTCTTTTCGATGTCGCGTACCCTGTCTGACAGCATCACAGAAAGTATGATACTCCCTCTTTTCTGCTGCAGTCGTACATGCCACAAAAGACTCGTGATGCCTACCTCGCCATCCGTGCCTTCAACATAGAAGTCGCCAGGACTGCTGATACGACGAGTACTCCGACTATTGGTTCAATGCGCCTGCAATTTCAACGGGATGCCATAACCAAAGCATTGGCTGGAACTCCTCCAAAGCAACCCATCGCCATCCTGCTCGCTCACGCCGCCGAGGACCTGCAGCGAAGGACCAACGGCAAATCAAAGTTTAGCAAGAGCTGGTTCCACAGAATTATATCCACTAGAGAGCAATACTTGACCAACCCGCCGTATCCTGACCTGGCCGCCGTTGAGTCATACGCTGAGAACACCTACTCGACCTTGATGTACCTGACCCTCCAAGCCATGCCTATGGCCTCTCTCACTGCCGACCACGTCGCTTCGCATATCGGCAAGGCGACTGGTATTACTACAATTCTAAGAGGCTTGCCGTTACTCGCTTTCCCGGGTCCTGCAAATCATCACTCGAACCAAGGAGGCATGGCTGGTGATGTTGGTGCCACAAGACAAGGCTCTGTCATGTTGCCTTTGGACGTCATGGCACGACACGGCGTGCGAGAAGAACAAGTGCTTCGTGAAGGAGCTGAAGCTGCTGGCCTTCGTGATGCTGTCTTCGAGGTTGCAACAAGAGCCAGCGACCATCTCATCACTGCAAGAGAGATGGTCAAGAACCTGCGAGCTGGCCAGGATGCAGGTCACGACTTTGAGCACGGCCACGAGGAGGAACACATGGATTACGCTCCATCGCAATCATCTACACATGCACAGGAGATTCAACAGGCTTTCCCTGTCTACCTCTCTGCTGTGCCCACGAGTCTATGGCTTGAGAGATTGCAAAAGCACGACTTCGACGTCTTCGCCCCGAAGCTTAGAGTGACCGATTGGAGACAACCATGGAAGACATGGCTGGCATACAACAGGTCCAACTTCTAAGCTCAATGCTGTCGACGTTGCCATGCTCCTCGCCGCTCGTCACCACTCACCAGTTGTGGCTCGAGAGTAGTTGTGCTAGAGATGATGTTTCCACCTGTCGAAGCGCTAGTATTCAGTTGTCAGGAGCCACGATGGTTTCGCAATCAGTCAATTTCGTGTCGAGAGCCTGCATGATGGTTGCTCCCAAAGACATGATGCTGAGCGTGGAAAGCACTGTGTATTTTGATAGCTACATACAAAACACTTTACAAGGCTGTAATATCAGATCTGACAAAACTCATGTGCCTTATTCGATCATATCTCGATACCAGCATGTGCACCTCGAATCTAGTATGGCGACGTGCTTCAACCGAAGCAGTTCGTACATCCCACGCTTGCTACATCCCACGCTTGCGAGACAAAAGCGATGAGGAGTAAATGCGCCGATGTGACGGTAGTCACGATCGCTGAAAGTCACGACGAGTCATTTGACGCTATATAAGTCTGAGGCTGGCATGAGCGAGCTCCACCCTCGGTGAGCAGATCACCAGTCTGGTATACCGCAATAACGCCTCGAGTATCTGGTTACGGCGAGCATTCGTCAAGGATGGGCACGCAGAAGGCAGCAGTGGTCCCTGGTAGGCAGCAACACGCGATCACACGATCAACTCAGACACCAGCGACGACGACGACGATGGCGACGACAAGACACTGGTGAAGGCACACGTCGCAAACCATATACTGACGTTCTTCTTCTTCAGCCTCCGGTTGAGAAACCAGAGTCAGAACTGATGTCAAAGAATATTGTGCTCTCGTTGGCTTCACCTCCGAAGAGATTACTGGACCGGTACACCACGGTGAGGTGAGAGCTTGTACCGGACGCCAGAAGCTCGCCCTGATCATGGGTTGAACATGATCAGAGGTGCTTCTAGCGCCCCCACTCGGTCGTCATACACCCCTACGACCCAGCGCACTCCGCCCCCCGGAGGCTTGGGGAGTGATGGAAGTAGGGCTAAGCCACTTCTCATCGGCGCATCACACTGGCACTCAGGTCATCCAGAGGGAGTCCATCCGAGCGTACAGCTGCCACTCGCCAGAGACTCAACCTCAGCATACACAGTTGTTGAAACCGTGACTGCCGAGGTCGGGTCCTCTGACGAGGTGCGAGCCGCCGCTTCGGACGCTGCGTCCCCTGGTGGTGCCTGAGCGCCATATGTGCGGCCAATGTGAGGCAGCAAGTGTATGCGCCCTCATGGGGTGAGAGAAAGAAGAAGAGATTAAAAAGGGGGGATGCCTGCTTTTATAGTCTCTTCGCTTACTAAGGGCTGCGCGCCGACCATCGGAACCACTACCACGTGGAATCTGATTCAAAATCTGCTTTCACACTCGACGAAGTGAAGTCGGAGCGGCTTTTGGCGAGCCTTGCGCGCGAACACAGCAGAGCAGACTCAGTGAAGTCCAAAAATGCCTGGCACTATCTCCAGAAAGAACACAATCAATCTCCAGAGAACAGGGATGGAGAATAATTGCATCTCTCCGATGCGTGGTATAGAATCTTTGAGAGGCGTGATTGCTTGATACTAAGGAGTGCCCTCGATGGATGGTGCTCTGGATCCACTTGGATGGCTTGCATTGTATATATGAGCTCAAGTGTTTCCTTCATGTCTGCCTTACCTCCTCAGGACACATACCCAGCAAGCTTTGGCTTGCAAAAGCAGCGATAGACTCGAGATTTTATACAATGCCCTATAATCGCAGCTATGAACAAGCAGCCGATCCTCGGCTTCTCTAGCAAAGACCTGCGCGACCATGAACAAGCAGTCTTCCATACATGCGTCTACGTTTCTGCTACGAGAGGGCGGTACCCATAAATGCTAGCACGAGAAACAGCTCTCTATCCACAACACCGACCCGAGGAATCAGCTCACCTCCTTTAGTCTTGTTGCGAAGAAACACCCCGAAAGTCCACGTCAAGCCATCGACCTCTCCCAACTACCAGCCCGTCAGCGTCCTTTAAGCGCGCTTGTCTCGCCAATATGCTTTCGAGTTCCTTCCTTCGGCAAGCCTCCAAGACAATGAATCCCCTGAACCGCTGATTGAAGTCGCCAAAGTCCAAGTGCTCACGCTAGTCAACCGCCTTCGCCTGTGAACGACGATAGATCCTACGGAGTCCTGGGCGATGATTAGACGAGTAACGATATAACATCATGATAAAAGCGCCTGCAACTACTTGGACAGCCTTCGTCAGGACGAGGCTGTCTTCGATCCCAGGCAGTGACGCCATGCCCGCCTTGATAGTTCACACTCCCCTGATGCCGAATCTCACACCCTACACAGCGCCATCGAGAAGAGATCACCGCTGATCTACACAGAGTCCCTGTCCACGTCTATCGATACCAAAGTGCGCCATGCCACCTCGATCACTTTCCACGCGAATTCGACTGCCGTTCTGCCTTCAAAACGAATTTGTTCGTGCCTCCAAGAACAATAGACGCGATGCCCGGTCGAATGCTGATCTCGACACCAATAGAACCAACAACATGTCTACTGAACGTTATGGGAAAAGACAGTCAAAAGTGGGAGAATACTGGATTGGGCCGTTTGAAGAACAGACTGCATTCCTTGTCGTCAAACGCCGGATAACCTACATCCCGTCCCAATATCTGATCGAAGCCGACGTCAATGCTTTGTTCATCCCCATATCGAGATCAGGCATACCTGGAATGTGAACGAATGTGACTGCATTACCCACGTTGCATTTTCCAAACAAAGTGCTGTGCATGACTCGACAGGAAGGTGCTGTGGCCTAGTACTTGGGTCATGAATGAAATCCAAGTCATGCACATAAGATCCGAGGTATGGAGGAGGCTTGCTTGTGGAAATGCCTGCCGAACTTGCCCTTCTGCATTCGGCGTACTCGGACAATGAACTACCATCTTTCGACCGTGAAGCCGTGAGCGGAAAACTTATTGAGTCTTGGCTGAGCATCGTTTCTTTCATCGACAATGGAATTACCTTCGTCATGTGGTGTTGAGACCAACCGTCTCATATAATGCATCAGTCTGCCTTGCCCACTCTCATGCAAGTCTCTCCAACTTCATCAAATCGACCAGTCTGTGTACCATGAAGCAAACTTCTAGCCTCTTCTTGGGCTTCACAGCCCTTATCTTCTGCCTTGGTGCCGCTGCTGCCTCGACTCCCGTGAGCAGAACTACTGTTCCTGTGAGTCTGAGTCAGGCGCTCAGCATCGATGTCGCCCAGGTCCCTGCCTGCGCTGTAAGTGGATGATATCTCTTCATCTAGGGCAACACACGGATGATCTGACTCGTATGCAGCAAAAATNGCGCCCAGAGTCTTCCTGCCGAGTGCGATGGCAACNCCCAGTGTATCTGGAGGCACTCTGAGTTCATGAACGAGATTGCCTGCTGCGTCGCTTCCTCATGCTCTTCTGGAGATCTGCTCCTCACACAGCAGTTTTCAGGACAGCTTTGTGGAATCGTCGGCGAGTCTCTGCCATCTTCACCCACTTGTACCAGTACTGTCAAGCCTGTCGCAAACCCTGGCTGGGCCATTGCAGGCTGTTACAGCGAGGCTACCAACTACAACCGTGCGTTGAACTCTACCTACTATATCGACACGAACAGTATGACCCCTGCTGCATGTCAATCGTTCTGCAAGGCCCGTGGACTGAAATTCGCTGGTGTTGAGTATGGTCAGGAGTGCTGGTGAGTCTTTGCTTTTCTCTCTTGTTTATCCGAGGCTCAATCATGCTGACATATTGTCATCACAGGTNGCGGCAATGCTATCCAGATCATCAACGGCGCCAAGAAGCTGCCCAATGACGCTCAATGCAACAGGCCCTGCACTGGAGACAACACCAAGATGTGCGGTGGATCTAGCACCCTCAACATTTACAAGTCTCCCTCCGCTTAAGAAGGGTCGTCTGTCTTTTCGATATCGGTCACCAACACATGATCTCTGCGAAAGCACTATAGTTTGCAAAACATTCAAATAACATGTTGTCAAAATTATCTTCCCAGAACTACTGTACCGCTTGATGTTAAATAGTCTTGCTTATTGCCGTGTTATTCCCATCTCCATGTGAACTGAAACGACCACTCACCCCCGCACCTCGGCTCATGATGGGAAAGTCACCTCCATCCGAGGACAACGACCACCCATACATAGCAGTTGAGTCAACACTCTGATTTATCAGACACCATCCTCTTGTCATATCCCATCAACAAAAAGGAACAGTTTCATCACACTTCACTTCCAATCCAAAACACAATGGCTCAAAAACCCAAACTCACCCTCTTTGTGGACATAGTCAGTCCATTCGCCTACATGGCTTTCCACGTCCTCCAACGCTCCCAAGCCTTCAAACAAGTAGAAATAACCTACATCCCAATCTTTCTGGGTGGCGTCATGAAAGCATGCGACAATCGTCCTCCCATTTCCATAACAAGTAAGACTTTGATCTCCCAAATACTTTCCTTTCCTTCCCTCATCTGCCTTTGGAGGGTTTTCTCTGACAAAACGGGCAAAACAANNACAGACAAAGCGGCATACATCGAATCCGACCGCAAGCGCTGGTCCAAATACGCAAACGTGCCCATGGGCAAAAACATGCCCAAAGACTTTCCTCCCATGACATTGCATGTAATGAGGGCATTGGCAGTGGTAGAGCAGCAACAACCAGACAAACTTTCAGACTCGATTGCGGCTTTGTACAAAGGCATGTGGGTAGATGGAAAAACTGTCCACAAACCAGAAGTCTTTGAAGCTGTGTTGGCGGAGGTGTTGGGTAAAGAGGGTGCGAAGAGTGTGGTTGAGCAGGTATGTATATCAAAGGCTGTTTGTGAGATGTGAGTTTGGCTGATGAAAAGGTNNGAACAGAGTACAAAGCCAGCGGCAAAGGCAAAGTTGCAGGCGAATACCGATCTTGCCTTCAAAGAGGGCGCATTCGGGCTACCGTGGTTTGTGGCAACCAACATGGAAGGTGTGACGGAGAAGTACTGGGGCTTTGATCATTTGGGACAGGTGGTGGAGCATTTGGGGCTGGATAGGGGTCAGGCCAAGGAGTTGAGAGCTATGCTGTAGGAAAGATTATGCTGGACTTGATATGATTCATTGGCTTTGTCATACGTATAAGATGGACATCGCTCCTCGTGTATCACACCCTTCCAGTAGCTCTTCCTAGAACACCACGCTTTTAGTAAACAGAGAAATGATCAGCCACATCGAATGGAGAACGGAGAAGAGACAGTGTGTTTGAAGGGTTTCCGAAAGATTTTCTTCTACTCATCGGGTATCTGAACTTTTTAACACTTTACATACGCTCTCTCCTCCTCGGGGCGGCACGGATGATGTTGTCCACACGCAGCAAGAGCTCGGCGGCCTCGCTAGCACTGCTGACGACAGCGTGCTTGAGCTTGTAAGCCTCGACAACACCCAACTCGCGCATATCTGTGATACCGCCACCAGGGGTCAGCAAGTCAAGACCTGAGTTGGTCATGCCACTGTAGACGGCGTTCTTGAGACGGCTGACCAGCTCGGCCGAGTCGAGACCAGCGTTGTCGGCGAGGATAGTAGGCAACTGTCGTAGAGCCTTTGCGAAGCTGTCGACGGCGATGGCCTTCTTGCCAGCAACGTTCTGGGCAGCCTGGTCGACGGCCTTGGCCATGACCATCTCGGCACAGCCACCACCGAGAGTGGTCTTGGGGAACTTGACGGTCTGGGAAAGAACGGCAAGGGCGTCGTGGAGGGAGCGCTCTGCCTCATCGAGCAATTGCTCGGTGGCACCACGCAGAACGACTGTGCAGGCCTTACCTGCGGCAACGCCTGAGAAGCGGATCAGAGTGTCCTCGCCAATGATGACCTCCTCGATCAGATCGCAGTGACCCAGCTTGACAAGCTCGGGGTGGTCAAAGGTAGAGGTGATTTCGGCACCAGTAACAAGAGCAAGACGCTCAACACCATCAAAGTCGGCGTGCTCGATGCTGCAGATGCCGGCATCGCTGAAGAGCTGCTCGGGCCAGTTGTAGATGAGTTGACGGTTGACGAAGCAGTTGATGCCGTGCGACTTGATGCGCTCGACCTTTTGCTTCATCTTCTCGCGTTCTGCCTTTTCCAACTCTGCCAACTTGCCGGTCGAATCGACCTTGACGCGGGCACCGAAAATCTTGACCTTGTCTGTGTCCATGGCAGTGTTTGCGACCATGATGTTCGCATTCTCAAGACGCTTGGGCTGGTTGACACCGAACTTCTTGTCGAGGATGAAGCCAGAGTCGAGGTATGAGTCGGACAGCTTGCCGCCGGCCTTCTTGATGATCTGAATGTGTGACAGGTCGGTGGAACCCTTCATGCGCAGGACGGCGTCTACGGCCAAGTTGGCAAAGTATTCGCGGTCTTGTGAGAGGACCTTTGAACTGAGGGTGGTGCTGGCGATGGCGATGAGGTCTTTGCGGAAAGCCTCGGGGTTCGCGCTGTTGTCGACGGCGGTCTTAGCGAGGGCGGCCAGGGCGGCCTGGGAAGCGATGCGGTATCCTTCGATGATGGTCTGGGGGTGGATCTTCTGGTCGACGAGCTTCTCGGCCTCACGCAGCAGCTCGGCAGCGAGAACAGTGACAGAGGTGGTACCGTCGCCAATCTCGTCGTCCTGGACCTTTGAGATGTTGACGAGGACCTTTGCGGCGGCGTTGTCGAGGGCTATTGACTTGAGGATGGTGGCACCGTCGTTGGTGACCATGATCTGACCGGTGGAGCCGGATTGCAGGATCTTGTCCATGCCCTTGGGACCGAGAGTGGTCTTGACGAGGTCTCCTACGGCGATAGCGCCGACGAAGGCTGACAGACGGGCATTCTCGCCCTTTTCCTCTGTGACATCGTCGGCGAAGATTTGCGTGGGGTTGTTGTACGACTGGAGGGGGTCAGCGAGTGGGCGAGAGATTGAGAGGTAGAACAGAAACAAACCATCGTTGCGATGTTCGTGGGATATGTGGATGAGGAAGGCACAAAATGTTGGCCTTTGGTTGTTGCTCCCTCAAGAAATCCCACGCCGCTGTCATGCTCCAGCCTTGGCGCCTGCATGCGAGCTTGCGGCGACCTGACTGAACCTCCGAACTTGATTCTTGTCACTGTTAATATTCAAAATGAGCAAGCGCCCGGCAGACGAGCCACTGGAACAGTCCACTGCATCTCCCTTCTCCAAACGCGCCAGGGTCGAAGACGTTGTCGACGAGGATGCGCCTGTGACTACCACCACGAAGCCAACCAACGGACATGCCCACGGCATAGCTGAAGCTGCTGCGCAAGAGAAGGAAGCGGTAGAAGAGGCCGAGCCGGAGGATGATGAGGACGACCAGCCTGCTGTCGCGCGTCCGACGCGACAANAAGTGCCAGCCGAAGGCTACTCAGATCTATACCTCGACACCATCAACCGCGGCGTGCTGGACTTCGACTTTGAGAAACTATGCAGTGTCACGCTATCAAATATCAACGTCTACGCCTGTCTGGTCTGCGGCACCTACTACCAGGGTCGAGGTCCGAAATCACAAGCCTACTTCCACGCTCTCGACATCGGCCACCATGTCTTTATCAACATGCACACCAAGCAGGTCTATGTCCTGCCCGACGGCTATGAGGTCAAGCACAAGAGTTTGGAGGATATCAAGTTCGTCGTCGATCCAAAGTACTCGAAGCAAGACGTCACCAAACTGGACAAAGTGCGCCTACACGCCTGGGACCTCCAAGGGAAAAAGTACACGCCAGGCTATGTCGGCATGAACAACATCAAGGCCAACGACTACTTCAACGTCGTCTGCCACGCGTTAGCCCACGTCCCTCCGCTCCGCAACTTCTTCATGCTCGAGGACTTGCACGATCGACCACAGCTTGTCCAGCGCTTCGGCACACTATTGCGCAAGATCTGGAATCCGCGATCGTTCAAAGCACACGTCTCTCCCCACGAGCTATTGCAGGAGATTTCACAGCGTTCCAATAAGAAGTTCTCTTTGACAGAACAAGCCGATCCTGCAGACTTCCTTTCTTGGTTCCTCAACAACCTACACACAGGTCTCGGCGGAAGCCGTTCGAAGCCTCGCAGTAGTATTGTACAAAAGATCTTTCAAGGCCAATTGCGCGTCGAGTCGCAATCTATCACTGCTCGCGCTGATGCACAGGACCGGTTGCGCTTCGAAGATGCCGCCATCCAGAGCGCCGTCACACCTTTCATGATGCTTACATTGGATCTCCCGGCAGCACCGTTGTTCCAAGATGACAGGAACGAGAACATTATCCCCCAAGTCAGTCTTACAAATATCTTGGGCAAGTACGATGGCATTCGCGCACAAGAACGCCTCAACACACGCCTCCGTTATCGTCTCCTGCACCCTCTACCGCCATACCTGCTCATGCACGTCAAGCGCTTCGCACCGAACAAGTTCCTCCAAACTCAGCGCAACCCGACAATCGTCACCTTCTCTCCGCGCTCACTCGACATGTCACCCTACGTTGAACCCAATCCATCCCTCCATTCGCCCTCAGAACCTATCATATACGACCTAGTAGCCAACATCACTCACGAAGGTGTTCGTGTGCGTGATGACAGTGTTGAGGGAGAAGCCGAGAAGAAGGTCTGGCGTGTGCAGCTGCTGGATAGAGGTAGGGAAGAAGGCAGTAATGCTGATACAGTCCGTTGGGTCGAGATGCAAGACTTGTGGGTTGGCAGAGTGGAAGCTGAGCTTCTGAGTACAAAGGAAGCATACGTGATGGTCTGGGAAAGAAGAAGAACCAATGTCGCTCCCAAAAATAAGTAAAATAATCAAAGAAACGAGACCGCTTGGTGAACGAGTCGAGTTATGACCGACCAAGAATACATATTCACCATTTACGTGGGCCAACAAACTCAGCGTGGTCTACCTCACCAAAGGTTACAACATTTCTCCTCTTCTAGATCACCACATGTTCGGTGCGAAAAAGTATGCAATATCGCTTGGAAGTGAGATGCTTATAAGTATTGCAAGACGGCAAGATCAGCCGAAAAGCACAGACCTATTCCACCTTTGAGTCTCTACCCTCGTGGCAACACCATCAACTTGATTGTTTCAAAGTTCTCCTGCAAGAGCAAAACATCATGGCTGAGGAAGAGAACAAGAAAGTTATCCCGCACGAGGAGGAGAACAAGAAGGCTTGGGAGAAGGGCGGCGCAAAGTACAGCAGGTATGTCTATTGCTTTTCTCCTCCACCCTCATCATCGCTCTGAAAGCTGACCGAGCATCCGTATCTTAGCAAAGCATACAGCGAATACTTTGATCCTTGTCAAGAAGCCGCCGACAGAAGTCTGAGGTGTCTACGAAGAAATGGCGGCGACAAGGCGCTTTGCTCGGACTACTTTGAGTATGATTAATTGATTCTTGCTTTTTCTGATCTTCGTGCTGATACCATAACAGAGNCATACCGCGAGTGCAAGAAGCAATGGGTACGGCTGAACATGTCATTCTCGAGACTTTCAAAAATGCTGACTTGTCATAGANTGCTAGAGATGAAGGAGGAAAAGAGAAGGCAAGGCAGATGGTGGTAAAGGCACTTACTACACCCAAAGATACCCACTCGTCTCATTATCAAAAATCGCAATCTCCTCATTGAAAACTTTCACTCGCAATCTGGACTCGACCAGGAGATATCGCTGATTAATTTACTGCGAGGCAATTGATTTTCTAACCTCGACCTCCTGCGACTATCGACGGACTAATTTACAGCTAAGATACAATGGTCAAGTATTGCCATCAATTCTGGCATCGGTTGAGTCGGACTTGGTAAGACTCGATGGACTACCCAAAGTGGTGCTTCCGATTTGAGATCGTCGCTCCTGCAGCAGTCCGGAGACTGACCCCGCCATCGGACTACCCCTCGCCATTGCTTGCCGGAAGGTACATTGAACAACAAAACCTCGAGTAGGTCTTCTCAGAACTCTTTGAAGCAACCTTTCATGTTGAAACACCTAAGTCACACTATATAGACAATCTTCCAGTATGGCCTCAGGTCTTGCGCCCTTCCTTGTGAAAGGCAAGACTGCAATTGTCACTGGAGCAGGGTCTGGTATGCAGCTCAATACTCCAAGGTGGATGCCAAATCTTCTTACTATCAAGNCAGGCATCAATCTTTGTTTTGCTTCTCTCTTGCTCTCGCGAGGTTGCAATGTCGTTTTTGCCGACCTTGGCCTGCGTCCCGAAGCCAAAGCCATAACCGACAAGTATTCTCAGAGATCTGCTGGCCAACCTCGAGCCTTTTTCCAGAAGACAGATGTCACAGACTGGAAACAACTCTCACGGATGTTCGATGTGGCTCAAGAAGAGTTTAATAGTATCGACCTTGTGTGCCCGGGTGCAGGCGTCTTCGAACCAAGATGGTCCTCCTTTTGGCATCCACCTGGATCTTCAGAATCCAAGGACAGTGTTGATGGGGATCGCTATGCATCTCTCGACATCAATCTCACTCATCCGATCAGAACTTCTCAGCTTGCCATCTCGGCATTCCTATCTCACCGATTGAAGGCGACCCCTCAGAATCCCAAGCGTATCGTTATGATTAGTAGTGTAGCCGGCCAGGGTGCTTCGTTGATGGTACCTTTGTATCACGCTGCTAAACATGCTGTCGTCGGCTTCACGCGCTCTTTGGCCGGCTTGGACGAAAAGTATGGCATTCGTGTCAACGCGTGTTGTCCCGGGATTATCAAGACACCTCTCTGGACAGACAATCCCGACAAGATGAAGTACTTCAATGAGGAAAAAGATCTTTGGGCTACTCCAGAGGAGGTTGCGGAGGCAATGTTGACTCTAGTCGAAGATGAGAGTATGGTTGGAGGAACCATCTTGGAGATTGGGCATGAGGTCAAACGTGTGGTCCCTATGTTCAATAACCCTGGTCCTAAGGGAGCAGCCACTTCGATTACCGGAAGCATGAGTCTTATAGAAGAGGTGTATGATACACTGGGTAAAGAAGGCTGGGGGAAGCCGAATTGAGCACCAAGGATCTGTCAAGCATTTTCTCTGTCTTGAATATCTAGATTTATGTATGTTGTCCATGACTATTCATCATCATCACAACCAAATTTGAAGTCGATCAAGTGTGACCCTGCTCCGTTCAGCAAAGTGCACAGACCTCGGTCGGCCGCTGGGCAAGTTCAACGACCAACTTTCTGCAACTCATACCGATCACTCCTCCTCTGTGCAGTCTTGACCATATAAAATATTTGGTCCGTCGGTTATCGTTTACACAGTTTTGACATGTATGTCTTGGCTTCTAATTCTTCTATCGACATTTGTTGTTATCATTTCTAGACACGCATTTTCACACGTCTGCAGAATTTTGGCTGGACCTCAAACATTCGCCATGGCCGCCGCAAGAGAGTTGGAGGATTACCTCCAGACCGGGAGATATAAAGATGGCTTGAGCAAGTGTAACAAGCTTCTGAAAAAATCGCCGGCAAACAATCAGCTTTTGTATTTCAAGGCAAACTTTCTCTTCAGCATGATGCAACTCGACGAGGGCAATCAGATTCTTGATCAGCTTTGTAGTAGGAATCCTCCTATTGTTGATCTCACTCTCATCTCGGATTTGGATGAGTTGGCTACGATGGCTGTGTTGGACGACTACCCGCGCCCTCTGAGCAATGGTCCGCGAGCTGGCAAGTTATGGGCGAACGCGACGAATGCGGCTGGCAAGAATGGTGTGATTGCTATCAATCAGAAGAGATTTACAATCGCAGTGAGCGAGCAGAGATGGCAGGATGCTGCTNACAGTAAGACGATTTATGCCCTTCCGAATCACTATATGCTGATTATCACACAGGCATTGATTGCCATGAAGAAGGCTGACCCTGCCAACAAGCGTTATAAGCTCGCGCATATCGCTATTCAACAACTGCTGAGCGAGGCAGACAAGGACGAAAAAGTGGCTGGCATGAACCGCATTCTTGCTTTCCGGACCCTGAAGCAGCTACCGGTCGAGGATTCAGCACAGTTGAGGCTCATGATGAACCTTTATCGAAGACAGGGTCAGAAAAAAGACATGATTGAAGCTCTGGACTCTTTCAAGGACAAGAAAGACGACAAGCTTGCCAAGCAGATCATCAATGACTGGCCTTTCACCAGAGAAAAGATTCAAATGTATATCGCGGAGTCTCGCTGGCAAGAGCTTTTCGACCTATGCTCTTCTCTTCTTGGCGAGACCTCTGCGGAAGGTGCACTGAGGTAGGTCGAGACGTTTTGATAGCAAGATCTACAACTGACGAACAGCAGAGTCCGAGATGATTGGGTCGTCTGGGATGGTCTTGTGAAGGCTGCTTCCAAGCTCGGTAAGGAAGATTTTATACCTGCTGTCAGCGAGAAAGACGATTGGAGAATCAAGCGTCTATACATGATGGCCAAGCTGCAGGCTACTGTACTCTCAGAAGCAGAGATGGATTTGAGTGACAAGTCTCAAAGGACTTTGCAGTCTGCCAAGGAGTTTTTCACTGAGTGGCAGTCATATCCATTCTGCTATGGAGACATCAAGGAGTTCGTAGATGGTCTATCATCCGAGGCCCAGCAGGAGTTCCTCAAGCACATTTCGGACTCGCCATTGAAGCTCTCAAATCCTGACGCTAAGACGTCGGCGAAGGTAAGAAGTCTTGAATCGAGCGATTTGGATCTCGACTGACGGATGAGAAACAGGNCTTCTGACATGCTCAATTCCGAAATCAACTCGTTGAAGTTCCAGTATCGCATCAACATCGGAACAGCTGAACCTGATGCAGAGGTCATCAAGAACTTTGCTTGCGAATGTATTCGACTCATGGAGACCAGTGCCCAGAGCAAGTTGCGTTTGTCCGATGCTTGTTATCTGGCTGTTGCCGCCCTCATCCGACTCTACGAACTCAAGCAAGATATCACGTATCTCTTCCAAGCCGCATATCTTCTCGAGACTGGCCCAGTCACTGAAGATGCACACCCTGGCAAAGTCTTGCTTGTATACCTTGAAACAGAACTGGGCCTTCATTCTCTGGCTATCAAACAATATGCCAGTCTGCGTGTTAGAGAGATTCAGCAAGAGACCATGGGCCATTCTCTCCTAACAAGGGTATCTGTCAACCACCCCTTCGCGCTTGACCAAAGAGGTGAGGCATCTGTCGATCCCTATGAGATTATCGACACCGCCTTGGACATGTTCTTTGCTACCGACAAGAAACTCGCACACTCTCAATCGTCACTCATGAAGCAGGGACAGTGTGATTTGGTCTTCGAGCTGCAAGAGTTGCGCGACACTCTCGAGCACAGCTTCACCAGGCGCATGCTCATTCTTGAGCAATGCAGAATAGCTCGTCTGACAGACAACCCCTTCCACCCTCGCACTCCAGACATCCGCCCAAGTGTTCTGGAATACTGGACCCAGGATCTCAAAGACAGCAGAGACTATGCCGAGACATTTAACCTGGACGGTGCCGGAACCGAAAGTACGCCTGAGCGTAGATTACATAGTGGAGGTAAGATCCCTAACACCAACTGGATCTCGCAAGCTATTGTCAGCGAGGATGTCTGGGCTTTGCTTTCTAGCAGACCCACAGTGTGCTCTAAGCCAAGCAACGTGACAGAAGAAGAAGCCGCTGCATTTGCAGAGGCAGGCAGCAATGAGCTCACGCCAACGGAGAAGTCTTTTGCAAAGCCTTGGGCACAACTACTTCAAGCCACAAAGTCACTCTTAGGCACCAACGAGACCAAGCCCGATGCTGGTCTGCTCGACCGTCTGGCCACATCGATTCAACAGCTGTCTGTAACTGAGATTCTCGGCACTCAAAAGGCCTCTGGTTTGCCTCCATCAAGCTATACACTACAGCCTTACTTCCTACTACTCGACTTTGTCCGCAGTGCCGCCTTCTTCTGCAATGTCGCTACTGAAATTGAGAAGAAGAAACGTCAAGGTAACCGCCTGCCACCCCAACCCGTCCAGCGCATCCGTGATGCTGTGGCCAAGCACTTTGCAGCTCTGCAAACACTTGCGCGTGACCAAAAAGCAAAGGTTGATGGCAGAGACATGGTACAAGCATTACGAGAGGGAGCGACCGGTGATGCTATGGCCGAGGCTGAGTTCTTGAGCCAGGGAATTAGAGCGTTTGCTACCAAGGCTGAAGCAAGTGCATTAGATGCTTGGGAGGGAGTTTTGAAGGTCAGGTTGGGGCTCAAATAAGAGGATTCCATAATCTTCTCCAATAGATATCTTGCATAGCGTATCGAGTGCCGAAAAGTTTCATGTACAATACAAGCGGTCATATCCTTCCTCTGTTCTTCTGCCTCTGATTGCTCTTAATTGTGGTCAGCATGCCACTTGTTCATGCTTCTCGCCCTTGTTCTTAGTCATCTAGTCGGATATACAGTTACTCTTGCAAGGTTGATGGCAACACCACCTCCTAGCCTCGAGGATTTTGTATTTGACCCCAGGACGCCCATCCTATGACAAGATGTCATTTCTCGCCATCTTCAAGGTCTTTGGCAGAGATTGTCATCCAGCCTTTTCTTCTGTTGCTTCTGCGGGGCAGGACTTTTGGACTGATATTGACCGGGGCTGCCTCGAACTCTGGCTCTTTCTTCTTCTTGGCGAGCGGACGAGATGGCATAGAGGAATCGTACTAAGTTCCTTCATCCATCTCGTCGACAGCATCACCGTTTGTCTCCTCTGCGCCACCGTGAATGCCTTCTTCGTCTTCGGCCGCTTCTTCTTCCGCATCAGGCTCTACCCACCAGAGGGCTGGGCCAAGACCACTGAGTTGCATGGATGCNCTGTGAGTGGGTTAGCACATCATCTAGTTTCCACACGATGTCCAGAGACTTACGGTAATCTCGTATGGCGAGCGTCGGTAAACTTCGACCTCCTCACCAGGTGCAGGTTGCTTCTCGGGAGACAAATCCGTCCACGTCTCGGCCTCGACACGGAAACGAACCATCTCGTTGACATCAAAGTAAAGCAAATTCTCGGGCGAAGATTCCCAGACCCAAACCCACTCTCCATCCTCCGTCTTGATGTACTTTGCAGGATCAAACAGCATCCCCGGTGCGGGCACAAAGATGTCGTCGAAAAAGCCCATGGAGATTCTAACTCCCATATCAGACGCACTCAGAATCTTGCCCATCAAGATTTCGCCTTTGAAGGGGCGAAAGACAATCATGCGGAAATCGACATTGACGTTTACGATGCCGGTGCCGTGGCCGATGAGACCTTCGCTAGTTTGGAGTATGTCGTAGAGGGCTACGCAGAGGCCGATGCGGTGGATGACCTTGTCGGCATATTTGGCGTTGATGTTGTCTTCGATTGCTTGCGCACTGCGCTTTTCAAAGTCTTGGGGTGAGATTTGGATCAAGTCCGCGATTGTGACCTTTTTTGGATATTGTCGTCAGTACCGGGCTGTCTGATGTTTTCGAGAGCGTTTTCCTCTTCCACATTCCCTTCATCTGCTTGCTCTTTCCAGTCTCCGCTTCTTCATAATTTTCAGGAAATAATTCAAACTTACGATGATATACATCTTTTTGATGATGGATGGACGACGCCCTGGCAGATTTTTCTTCAGGTCAAATATTCAGGTAGCGTTATGGTCAAGTATTCGTCCAGCACAGAAGTCATAATAATTCCAGATCTTCTTTTCAACGTCGCTATAAGAACATTTCCCTTCAGTTGATGTGTTTGTGCAGGAGTGTGAGTGACTGATGGAGTTTCGATCGCTCGAGGGTCGGGCATTCTTCAGCCCTATGAAAGTGATGGCGCTTTTTGGGTCGAGTCTTGGCGCGCGTCTTCTTGCTCTCCAGAGCTTTTGAAGATTCGAAATGCTCTTTTTATTTTATCTTTTGCACAAAACACACTATCGATTTTCCCTGATCTTGACGAATCTAACAATTCTTTGGACGGACGCTCTGGGATCTGGACAGTATACTGGAAACAATCAAATCATGGACGGATTCTCTTTCCCACCACCTCCTCCGCCTCCACCAAAAGCAGCATCATCATCATCCTCACAACCAGAAACTCCCAACCAATTCAGCAACCGAGGAGGTAGAGGCGGCCGAGGAGGACGTGGGAATCATGGTTCATCCAGAGGTCGAGGAGGCGCACCCCAGCGAGGTGGAGGAAACTTCCAACATCAAAACACCAATTCTACTGGATATGGACAAAATACTGGCAACCCGGGTTATGGCAATCAACAGCAACAATACCGAAATCCCTCGCAATATCAGAGCAATCAATATTACCAGGCGCTGCAACAGTATCAACCTCCTCAGCAATATCAAGCGCCACCTGGATCCTATATAAACCCTGCATTTGGTGGCATGCAAGCTCAGGCCTATTCTCATCCTCAGATGCCACAATACGGACAGCAAACTGTATATGAACATAGTAACCAACCATCCTATGGGACCCCTAATCATGCCAGTTCACCACCTGGTGGGAAACGTACACGAGATCAGGCTTTCGGCAGCTCAAACAGAGGACATCCCATGAAGAAGCCTTCAAGCGCACCAAAGGCTCAAGTTGCGCCCGCGGTCCCTAGCTTCGGTGCCCCGATTCTCCCACAGAAACCTCAAGCACCGCTCTCATCGGGAGGAGGTCTAAAACAACGGCCCTCAACTGGACTAGGCCTTATCCCGCAAACCTACGGAACACCAGAAAACTCAGATCACGAAGAGGACGAAGACGAAGAAGAAGTCGACGAAGAAGCCGCTTTGAGTGCCTTGCAAGACGGACCTCAGAGTTTCGAATTCAATGGAGAATTATCTACATTGGGTTCTGCAGCAGATATCGACGAATGGATTGAAGAGCGCAAGAAGCGCTGGCCCAGTAAACGCAGAGTAGAGGAGAAAGAGATAGAAGTTCAATCTCGTATGGAGGAGCGCAGGCGTATTGAGCAAGAGACTCGAGCAGCTATTGCTAGTGCTTCGGGAGGCGAGTATCAACCTGTGGAAAGAAGGGATGATCGCCAGCAGAGACAGATGAGGAAACCTGCAACTGAGAGACAAGCAAGACAGAACGAAGGTTCGACCGTTGAAGGTACACATAAGGAACTCGAACTTCAAGTGCAGAAGGTGGACGAGCTGCAGACACTTTTGGCCGAGAAGGGACAAGATCAGGGACAAACTGCCACTGAAAGAGCTGAGCAAGCTATTGATGAAACAGAACAAGCCGAGCAAGCAGCAGCAGCAACAGAAGACATGAACGCTGACCAAGCCTTGAAAACACCAGGTCAAGACATTGCCGCAGACGACCAACATCTCTCAGACTCAGACAGCGATGCACCCCCGAAGAAACCTCTTCGAAACTCTCACATCCAATTCGCGTCCCACCACCCACCGCCAACCTCAAAACACAGCCGAAACTGCAACAACCCGAAGCCAAACAATGCATCAGTTTTGTCAATCAAGGACGATGCAAGTTTGGAAACAAGTGCAGATACAAGCACGATGCGTCTTCTGGGCAGGAAAAGGGAAAGAGGAAGACATTGTACCAGAGGGTAAGTTTTTGATATGCTGTGTATGAAAGTAGAGGTATGCTAATGTGAGAGTGTAGCTTGTTGAGCAGGAGATGGATGAGGAGAATAAGCTTGCATTGCAGGCCATCAAGTATCTTGGTGGTGTTGGCTTCTTTTCCAAGCACGCGGCTTCTACATGAGATCAGAGCTATGAGTTTCTGATGATCATGATAAAGGATGCAAGATTTGTGATGTCAATCTCTGGTTCTGCTTCTGCTTGGCTGCTTGCCTATCTGTCTAACACCTTGTCCAGCATGGCGTGACTGAATCCTGTATATAATGATGGTGCTGGCTCTTGGCCAGTTTTTCAGCACATGGCTATTTGTCTGTCCTCCACCCTGCCTATTTGCTTCCTTCCTCCAGGTCCACACACTTTCTCTTTGGTGTGCTAGACACATTTAGTATAAGTCTGGTGTGTGCGATGTGTTGGGGATCCTCTCCAAGCAAGATCTTATGGCTGGTTTAGCGGCCTGTTTCAGCTGCACATGTGGAGATGGTTGCGCTAGCCATGAAGGGCAGCAGGTGGAGTTATTGTAGGATGCTGTATCAAACCCCGTCGCGGTTCTCAAGACACATCCATCAACAGTTGCTGCTCGTCGATTTCGGCCTCGTGTGGGCTTTCAGCAGCGTCTTTTGTGGTTGGTAGTTGGTGTTCAGAGTGATGGTGCATGAGGTTGTTCCACTCGGTCAGAGTCTCGACTGGGCCGCCTTCAATCTTGATGGGTCTGTCCTCTGCTGGCTTTCCAAGCACCGTACCCTGAAATCGCGACTCTTCTCCGGTTTTGCTGTGCTTCTTTTTAAGAACGGTCAAGTAATCTTCGCCATTGACGGTGCCTCCAGGACCAGGTTCGGGTAAGACGCCAGCGATGCGACGGATCTCGCGGTTCTGATCGCCGACGATCCATTTGATGAAGTCGCGGACATCTTGAGTATCTTGTTCATCGCGTCGCCGTAGCTCTCCTTCTCTTCTGATGTCGCCGTGTTTGAGGTCGTCAAAGTCTTCGAGTGGGCGTCTGAACTTTTCTAGCCAGTCTTGCTCGGCAGCTGTGAGGATGGGAGTGAGGGTGCCGCAATCGGTCAAGGCCATACGGACGTCAGTGATGGTCGGGATGGAATCATTGTGGTTGAGTAGGGCGTGATCTCTGGTCGTCTCGGCAAGTAGCATGAGGTAGCGCTCGGTGATGTTAACGAGAGTGTCCAGAACTGATGGTCGGGTCGAATGGAAGCCCTGAGCGCGCAGGATGTGAAGGATGGGTGCACGCAATAGCGATGTATGTAGTTGCTGTGTCGCCGACATGATGTCGGTATCGATGGGTGGGAGGGCAGGAATGCGATGTTTAATGATTGAGCAGCTGTCACATGCAAGTCGCACCTGCCTGACTTCACTGTGGCTTGGCGCTTGCTCTTTCCGCTGGCAGCTGCTATTCATCCCACCCTCCCATCTTCGTCATTGTCGTAACATCCATACAGCCCTTTCTCGCCCTTCTGCATCTATCTGTAGTGTCGCAACTCACTGGATGCGCCCCTGGTCATGAAACTCAAGCTCTCGGCCAAACCGGCCGACCCCAACGCGCCGCCATCAGTACCGCCAACACCTGCTGCTGCCACTCCTAGCACCGGCGGCGGCTTCAAGTTCAAGATCAAGAATTCACAACCACCAACTCCTCAGACCGAATCTACGCCTTCCCAGCTACCCCAGCCGCCTCAACCAGCGCCCTCAGCTATCCCTAAGAAGATTAAGAAGCCGAAAGCACCTACCGACGATGCCACCAAGAAACGCTCCGCCCAAGATGACATTTCTCCTGCCCCCGAACGCCCCACCATCAACACTGCACCTAAGAAACGCTTCTCCCTGAAGCTCAATACTGGCGGTGCTGGAGGACAAGAGTCGGCTTCTTCAACTCCGACCCGCCTCAAGTTGAGTACAAGAAAACAAAGTATTGGCCCCAAATCAATCTCGATTGTCTCTCGAAAACAGGTGCCAAAAAGACCTGTTGGTGTCGGTTACGACTCGGAAGCGAGTGACGCAGAAGATGATCCAGCTGTTGAGCAGCAGTGGGTCTTGCGCATGGAGCCAGGTCCTGACTGCGATTACTTGCGCGAAGCCATCACCAACAAGACGCTGGGCGAGAGGCCAGATTCAGGCGGAGCTTATGTCAATATCAAGTTTCTGGACAAGGATCTGCGTCGCGCCATCGTCACTGTCAACAAGACCAACTACGCCGCCGTCATGGTCGATTTACCGTGTATCATCGAGGGAATGAAGAGTTGGGACAAACGAGGATGGTGGAAGGTCGCCGATATCTGTCAGATGCTGCTGGTTTTAGGTCCCACAGAGGGTGAAACAACAGCCAAGTACGCTCCTCTGCCACGCGAAGTCGACAAGAACACATTTGCATATGCACACGGCTTGACACCACCAATGCACTGGGTGCGTAAGAGGCGCTTCAGGCAGAGAGCTAGTTACAAGTCTGTTGAGCATGTCGATGATGAAGTGGAACGGCTGATCAAGGCCGACGAACTAGTCGAGAAGTCTGGAGGTACCGTCAGATACGACATTGTCGATAATGACGCTCCTGATGCGCAAGCCCAAGGAGACCAGGATATGGACTATTATGACGACGAAGATCCAGCCGATTACAGAACGACGACCGAGGACGCCTTCGGTCAAGCCTATACTGCAGAGCCCATGCAAGAGGACGAAGACGACGAAGACCTGGAAGGCATGCTGGGCGCTGCTCTGTTCGACGAAGACATGACCGACGCGCCGCCACTACCACCTGCTGATGCAGCAGCCGAGTTGAGCGCCGTACAGACCACCATGGCCGAAGCCGAACCAGAGACTGAAGCACCGGCAGCATCAGCTGAGACACCGGCAGCAGCTCAAGAAGCTTCTAGCGATGAGGACGATGACTCTGAAGATTCCGACGAGGACGACGATGAAGGACCGGACACCATCGACGAGGAGATGGTGGCAGAGCAAGCGGTGCAAGCTCAAGTACGCGAAGAGATTGAGGACCTGGAGAAGGAGGTTGCGAATGCGCGCGCTAACGTCGAGCGCTCCATGAACCCCATGCTCAGGCAGCGTAATATCAACAAGCTGCAAAGTCTGGAAAGCGAACTCGCCATGAAGCGCAGAAACTTTGGCATGGAGGTTGATGACGATGAGGACAATGGGGAGTGATCACGCCGATTGAGCTGACACCATGGCTCTTTCTATGCTTTCTTTGCAGTCTTTTTAGCGATGGTGTTGGGTTTGGTTTTGGAGGAAGAGACACGTCTCGCGAATGGCTTTTTGCAACAAATCATCACATTCACTGCCAGTTCAGATCAATGAAGACACTTTTCTCTACTGGAACATGAATCCATCACTTTACCATTCTATCTTGTTGGACTTGCCTTCGGTATGGTCCATAGAACCACCTCTCTTAGTCGTTACGTTGGTCGTTCTCTTTGTGGCATGGATCATTCGTCTCTCCAGATGCGCTCTTGCTGTTTCTATGATAGTGAGGGTTCGCTCCTTTTCCTACTCCATATTCGTCACTCCTTCCGTTATCGATCTTTCTGTTGTAGATGAGGGTCAGGGTCACAGTTTACTGCTCCCAAAGCACATTATACGTTCATAACGATCACGTCATCTTTGATACAAGTAGGTCTTCTTCAGATGATACACCTTCCGATTAGCTTGAGAAATTGCGGGTTCTGAGATACCCAGAACAACACTGCTGGCTGCCTCGTAAAATGATGAAGAGTTTAGTACACAAAATATGCTTGGTGACGAGGAAGCCAATATTCGTTACTACTTTATCCTGTGATGATATATACTAGTCGAAGAGTGCTGGAGTACTCTTTTCACATGCCATACTGATAGATCAAAGTGTCCGAGACCTATCCTAGGCTCGTGATTGGAATATACTCGTCGTCGAATGTGTATACCAGGGTGACACTGTAGATATGAGAGCAGAAAGCACAGACCATGACTGTCGACAATAACGATACGGGAGTGCGCTGTCATTCTTCTGTGTTCACCTCACCGCCAGCATCTCTTCGACCGTCTTTTCATCGCTTACCCCCTTTTTTCTTTTCGTTCCTTGTGGAAGTTGCTCGGTCGCTCCTTCGTCTTGTGTTTCATGTCGTTCCTGGCTTTCCTGCTTGGCAAGGTAGAATAATGTGTCTGAAACAAGAATTTTTCATAGGCGCTTTGGCTGAGTGGTTATAGCGATAGACTAGAAATCTATTTCCTTCGGGAGCAAGAGTTCGAATCTCTTAGGCGTCGAATCTTTTGTATCGTTGATATCAACATCTTTCTCTTTTGCTCTCTGCGTGCTGAGAAAGAAGAACTGGTTGTTAGTTTCGTCGCGTGATTGCAAAATTCGCGTGGAAAATTAAAGATTTGGCAAAGTTGTGATTTTCGTTCTTTTCTGGAGACACATTGTAGAGGTGGGCTAAGGCAGGTATTCTCATGTTAGTGTGTAATGCAGGGTTTGCTCGATGACATCGGCAGAGTTTGGTGGGCCATACTCTGGAAAGATTGGTTTGGAAGGACTCCTTTCTTGGTGGTGAGCAGATGACATTTTGATCGTCCTGTTAGATAGCCCACCCACATTGATCCCTGGATTGCCTTTGCATCTAATCAAATGTTTTTCTGCAGCCCTTGACAACAATACCGAGACTTGTTTTGAGCTCTGTCAACTCGCTTGTACAATAGGTCACTCCTCATGGTGTACTTTACACCTTGAACCATATCACCACCCGAACGGNNCCAGAGATTTCTATGCTGAAAGATGAGAACCCCGNNACCTGTCTTGGGCAAGACATCATATCTCCTCTTCATGTTGTGTGAATGGAAGGTAGTCGTACCTCCCTGTAGCTTGTCATCTTCAGGAGACGGACTACTTTCANNGTCTCGCCGTGACCATTGAAATATAGATGGAATGTAAAGAATGATCTTTCGCTTNCCGTCAGGAGTTTGGTAGCCGCCATCTCCATGTACNTGTGTAGCTGTCAGTCACGACATTGCTTTGTCAGTCATTGAAGAACACGAACGTCGAAATTATTCACCGCCCTCATATTTCAAGAATCTCAGCCTCTTGTTTAGCCTGCTCGTCTCCCAGACTTCGCCTCTCATGGCGGCACTCCCACCTGTGAGTTCCGCCTGCCTGACTAGTATTGTAATCTCTGGAACAAAGACTTTGACCCTGTCCCAAACTTTCTGAGCCACTTCTGGAGAATCCCAGATCAGACGTCCGCACTTGCATTGGTCGTCCTCTTGTCTTTGGCGTCCATTTCCGACTTTTATCATGGCTCTTTGCCAGGGACCGCTTGCTTGTGCTGCTGAGAGAAGAGTAGCACGTTCGTGTGCGCTCAGGACATTGTCAACAACATAGGCTTGTAGGTCGGCGTATTCTGGTAATGGTGTGTTGTCAAAGTCGATGCGTGTCGCTGTAACGCCGGATACTGGCGTCGAAAGGAAGTCTGTAGGAAGGGATGTCATTTTTGTTGTCAGTCCTTGGTCACGATATCGAAAAGGAGTTTGGATTTCTCTTTGTAGCCATGGCTCGAATGCTGCTGCCTGGTCTGCTCAGACTGTTGCCTTGTGTATAGTGTGTTGCTACCCTGCGTATAATCCTGCTGGTAGTATCGTGGTGCTACCATATACCGGGACCTACAGTTTGAGGCTGCACAATTCTGGAATTCACCTCTTTCCGCTCTATCATCAAACACTGCTTGGCTACAACTGTGCCAACGAGCAGAGACGATGATTTTGACCGGCTCTCGAGACTCATCTATATTGAGAGCGTCAATGCTGCCAGTAATGGAGAAACAAGAACTGGTGGTCTCTGCCATGTCCTTGCAATTCAGGAGCTGTGGTTGTTGTTTGCGCCAACTGCCAAGTCTGCTGCAGCCGAGCTTCTTATCGCGTGACCTGGGTTCAAGAGCTTATCAGATTACAAAGCCCCTTGGAGCGGCACGTTCGAGTTAAAACAGGGAGCTCGAGAGCACCTCACTCATCCAGACTCGATGTTCGTCCAGGAGCACAGCAAATGGTGATGTTGCCAGTCCAGTCTAGCGCTCGAAGCCAGGATGGATTGTTGATTTCATGGACCGCCGATAGCCTGTCACTCGTCGCGTCGCCATGGAGTCGGGTCCGAACAACTCTCATCTTCGTCTAGGTGTCCTTTTGTGTAAGAACGAGAAAGGAGACGCCGCTGGAGCTTACCCAGGTCCGCGCTAGGATCCAATCTCGACCAGCAATTGACGAGCTTGACTTGGACTTTCTGATCGTCAAGACGAGTGGGCTCGTATCCGACGCGACCGACGATACCTAGTGCGAGCGACAACATCCAGAGCGACCACATCTTCCCAGCGCGACCATACCTACCCAGCGCGACCATTATTTTCCCTCGAGCCAGACACTCGTACATCGTGACCTGCTCCGAAACCTCAAGTCTGCTCGGCACTGCTGTCAAGCATAGGAACAGCATGGTTGATTTACGTCGCAACTAGAAGAGTCGGACATATTCTCGGGCTATAACTCAGCCGCCCTCAACCGTCGCTCAGTATGCAGGTGCAGCATTTATGCCGAAAGAGGTCTGGAAGCACAAGAGCATTGGAACACATCCCTTGAGCACCGCCATCTTGCATGACTCTTCAGGTTCCTGCGACACACCGTCACTGCCCTGACAAGCCCCGCGCAAGCATCAGTCTATCGCGTACCTCTGCTTTGCCGGATGAACGGGTTGATCATGCTTCCCCAGCTTGCGATCGTATTACCATACGCGAAGTCTCCAGCCGCTGTGCATGCACTTTATACAGGATACTTTTCCCTCCTTCTGACATGTTCTCCAGCAGTGTTGATCAAAGGAGATTGGCCAAGCACGTTGTAACTTTCCTGCCTCCGACGATCCTTAGCGCAGAGACATGCTGTAATTTCCCGTCAAAATTGAAGCTTCAGCTCGCGCGCAATCCACCATCCTGGAAGTCGTTTGAACTACTACGTAACAACTAGGAACCCTGGAGGAGGCTTGAAGTAGGGTGCGCGACAGGCAGGTATGACACAGTGGTGGCACTCGCTGGGGTCAGAGCTGTCGCCTGCTTGGAACGGCATTGACCAGCTTCCGAGGAGGCACAGAACTCGCAAAACGGCATCGCGTATGGATCACACTACTCCCTGGAGTTCGAATCCTACTCCCCGGCAGACTCTATCCGGATGTTACTTCCTCGACTCTTTCGACTCCAAGTCGCTACCAGATCAACCGAGTGATTGTGTATTCCGAAATCATCGAGCTCAGCACCAATACTCGACCGTTCTACCCTTGAATAAATTAATATCTTAGCCAGACACGTGAGGCGCAATTAGCATTACGGTTCCGTTGCTTAGCAGGAGCCAGCCGCTCAGCCAATCGGTTCGGCAGAATTTTCATGTCGGTCAGTGGCTTTTTCCTACTCCTACACGACTCGGCCGGCCCAACACCCATCTACCTCTCAAGATTTCATCGCTGTTGCGACACATAAACAATCCTGTATCTACGGGACGGACGGGGCTCGATGCAAGCTGATCTTTCCCACCACTAGTAAACCAGCCCCAGATAATACCCCAGGCAATTGATGTGTCAAGGTATCGAAGCACGGAGGGAAGGGGTTGCCGTGAAAGGTAAAGAACATGAATCGTGCCTGAATGACGAACGCCAAGACCACCAAAGCAAGAGTTCTAAACCACGCCGCCGTCACGCGACGCCTTCCGACATGCTTGATCCACTCGGACGCTTGTCTCGCTCGGTCTGGTATTGGTCAAAAGATTGGTCGTACTCCATCAAAATCCTGCCTTCTTGGCGATCCACAGCGTCAGTTGCTAGTTTGGAGAGGTCGTCCTCAACGACGTCGTCGTATTGCCGCATGGCCAAAAAAAAAGGCTGTCACCCTCGATCCGCCGCATAAGAACTTCGTTGTACCCATGTTCATCCCATATTCCTTCCTTCCTTTTTCCAACCGACTTTACCTCTATTTCGACTACCTTCAAAGAGTGTCTTGGATATAATCGAAGAAAACTCATACTCCAACGACATCCAAGCATCGTCCACTGTTGCTACGTGGTGATAAGACTCATCTTCGCCTCTGTACGACCTATACCCAAGCGACTTTGAAGATCTATACTCTTCTCCCGAGCAACCTCCACAACATCATTCTTCCCCGCACCTCTCGACTCGAAGTCGCAACCCCTCGCGACTCGACAACTCACCTCAAGCCTGAAACTTATCCCTCGCAACATAACATCTCGAAGTGAAACATTAACACAACTTTCGCCCGTGCATTGCTTGCAACTGACTCTCTGAGTGCCAAAGCGACCTGTTACATAACTCGAAGACCCCTAGCGACTCCGACCACCGCAGCAACCATCTACCCTCAGCAACAAAACATCGCACGTAGGCTTGTATTTACTTACAACCAGCCAAAATGGATTACATCAAGCGAACGTTCTTCAACAAGGATGACAGAGACTTCTCGCATGTCGTTGTACCACTACACCCCGAGCGACACATGTCTGAAGGCAAGACAGAAGACATCAAGCCCGACGGCGAAGACACGAAGACCGACCTCGCCTCTATTGGAGAGAAGTCGACACACAGCCAGAACTCGGGCAAGTCCTCGACCTCTCTCGAATCCCTCAGAGCCGAGGTAGACTCGGATGTTGAATCTGAAGGCCACAATACCGCCTATGATCGTACGTATATGCCGCTGGAGAAGTTGCTTTCAACGAGCAAATTCTCTTCCGCTTGATCCCCTCATGTGCCCTGTCGACTAACAGCCTGCAGGCNNAAATCAAAAGTCATCAACAAGGCTATTCAAGACATGGGCATGGGCAGATACCAATGGGAACTGTTCGTCCTCTGTGGTTTCGGCTGGATGGCCGACAACCTTTGGCTACAAGGTATCGCCCTGACTCTGGATCCTATCGCTGCCGAGTTCGGCGTCGATACCAACCAAGTTCGCTACACCACGCTCGCTCTCTTCGTCGGTCTCTGCATTGGTGCCAGTTTCTGGGGTCTCATTTCAGACATCATCGGTCGTCGCTATGCATTCAACACGACTCTTTTCCTTGCCGGTTCTTTCGGTCTTGCCGCTGGTGGTGCTAACAGCTGGATTGCTGTATGCGCCCTGTACTCCTGTATTGGTCTTGGTGTTGGTGGCAACCTTCCTGTCGACGGTGCCTTGTTCCTTGAATTCCTCCCGGGTGAGTCCAACTACCTTCTCACTCTTCTGTCTATCTGGTGGCCTGTCGGACAGCTGATCTCATCCCTTCTGGCCTGGGCTTTCATTCCCAACTTCTCCTGCGCTGCCGGTGCTGCTGTGTGCACCAAGGCCGATAATTGGGGTTGGCGTTACTTCATCCTGACTTTGGGAGCCATCACCTTCTGCATGTTCATGTTGAGATTTTTCGTCTTCGATCTGTTCGAATCTCCCAAGTTTCTGCTTTCTCGTGGCCGCCAAGCTGAAGCCATCCGCGTCGTTCAAGGAATTGCTGCTCACAACAAGACTACCACTTGGTTGACCGAGGAGATCCTCAACCAGATTGGTGGTAATCCCGATGTTACCGAAGACGCCAAGCTCAGCACTATCGACATTGTCAAGCGTGCTGCCGGTAAATTCTCTACTCAGCGCATTGCTCCCCTCTTCCATGGATGGAAAATTGGTGCCACCACCGTCCTCATCTGGTTTGCATGGACTGCTATCGGTATGGGTTACCCGCTGTTCAACGCCTTCCTTCCCCAGTACCTCGCAAACAGCGGTGGTGGTGCTGCCAACTCTGTCTCGACTACCTACCGCAACTACGCCATTACTTCGATTGTCGGTGTTCCTGGATCTCTCCTCGGCTGCTACACTGTCAACCTGAAGTACATTGGTCGCAAGGGAACGATGGCTATCGCAACTGCCATCTCGGGCATGTTCTTGTTCCTCTTCACTACCAGCACCAACTCCGGCACTCAACTCGCATTCTCCTCCCTCGAGGCATTCTTCCAGAATATTATGTACGGAGTCCTGTATGCCTACACTCCTGAGGTGTTCCCCGCCCCCAACCGCGGAACCGGTACTGGTATCTCCAGTTTCTTCAACCGTCTCGCCGGACTCTGCGCACCCATCGTTGCGGTCAACGCAGCTGGCGCCAACCCCAATGCACCCATCTACGCATCAGGTGGCTTGTTTTTTGCCGCATTCATCGCCCTTATCTTGCTACCAATCGAGACCAGAGGAAAGGCAACTTTGTAAACCAACACAAAAGTTTGTTTTTCTACCTAGCATGGCTGTTGGAGTGACCAGCAGCCCATTTTTTTCACGAAGAAAGGCCCTGGAGGCCAATGATGGCATTATTATACCCCCCACTTGAATGTCGATATAGATAACAATGAAGATTTTTACGTTTCAATCACGAGAACGTGTTGGCTTGATGTGCTGTGACTGTGTAGTGAAGCTCCGTGGTTGATCGAGGTAAGAGCGAGTCGTCGACCAGACTCTCGTCAGCTTGTGAACAGACAAGCAATTGACTCGCTGGTTGATGACTTACACTGCATGAGCATTTGTATGATGTTGAGAGGAAGGAGCACGGAGGTCACCCCGTCAAGAGCTTGGACCTGTAGAACGGGATGACGTTCTCGATACTCTCTTCTAACGACCATCATCCCATTGCCATCTCATCCTGCCTTTGCAATTCCCATTACCTCTTTTTTTCTCCTCAATCCAAACCGATCCTTCTTTGAATCGTTTCCTAACATCCTGCCAGAGGCGAAAAAAAAATCGAGAACCGCTTTGTAAAACAAAAGTTGGATCAAAACTCTTCTGGACCCAGGGACTTTTCTTGACCCCCCCCCCAATACCAACAAACCCAAACCTTTTGTCCTCAACATCAACAATCCGAACCGAATTTCCAGACACACACACACACACACATAAAAAACCATGGACGACTCTTGGCAAGAAACAGCATTTTCCTCCCGCCACATGCACAACCGCGTANAACCGCAATGGCAAATCAACCAGCAACAGCGGCAGCGGCAAATCAAAAGAAGCACTTTCGACGTGCGCAAGACTTTTGGAAGCTATACTGTAAAGTGTCCTGCATGGCACAAACTCCAGACCTCTGATGATGGGGTAAAAGGAGATGGACATGCAGTGTTGGAATTGTATAGATTGACGGAATGTGGGAAGGGCGTTGTGGGAGAGATGGCGTTGGAGGGGGTGTTGAGGGCTGCAGTGTTGTTGGCGGCTAGTAGGAAGAGTTTGCAGGGAATTTTGGAGAGGTTGGAACCTGTCGAGGAATCGGAAGAGGAGCAAGTCAAAAAGGAGGCTGAGAAAGGAGAACAAAAGAGCGATGCAGACAGCGATGAGGAAGAAGAGGACGAGGAAGAATCAGAAGAAGAGCCCGAACCTGACCGTTTCGAAACTTTCGAAAAGAATAGTTTCAGAGAGCCAAAGTTTTGGTTAAGATGGAATGGTGTGCTCGAGTCACCAGCAGTGGAAGAAGAAAAGGCCGAGTCAGGGCTTGGCTACATCATCTTCCCAAGCAACGATTGTCGCAAATTCAAAGGGACGTTGAATTGTGCTTCTCTGGAGTGGAAGGATGTCGCTTTCTCTGGTCACAAGATTGCTCCCAGATCGGAGTCGGACATACCGGTTGCATGGGGCTTGAATGAGGTGCCCATGTGAGCTTGACTCTCTGATTCGATCCAATATAGTGAAGGACTTCGATTGCGGCTGAAGTCAAATATGGAAGACGTGAAAGGAAGTCAATGATTTTCTCGTCGATATCAGAGCGCCAGCTCTACCGTTGTTCATATTCGCGTCTATGTATGCTCGCTCCAAATGGTTTGTCCTTCCTGACATTCCATGAGCCAACGACAAAACAACCTCTTGGTCCAAGTCCCGCAAGACTTCGTGTGAAGTACCCCTCTGCTCTATGGCACTCAGAGCTCTACCCTCGCCATATTCAGCTGCTTGTGAATTGCGACTACCTGAGGTTGTTGTTCCTCCAAGGTCAATCCGCCCAGGTCTCTCAGACCCTCACTTCCTTCCACACCATATTCCAAGAGCATCGCGTCATGATCCAGATATTAAGATACCTCGTAAACCCATGACTTGTTCGTAACCTGAGAGCCAAGCTCAACCACAAGCGCATGTAGGTCGCCACTGTTTGGTACATCTGCATCGGGCTGGTGGATATGCAGCAGGGATTATGGCATGCATATTGACGGTGTCGATGTTGTCTCTTTTGGCTCCCCACACTTTGAGCGACTTGGAGTGGTCCTCCCTCATTGTACAGTAGATATGGCCGGTGGTACGGCAGAGAGGCACGATGACGTGCAGCTGTAGCTCTCGCCTTTCCGGATGACCTACACGTACATATCGCTGTCAGTCACAGATGTCTGAGAGGCTCCTGGAAGTCCACCCAGTAGCTCAAGTCGCAGTGTCGTCTCCACCATGAGTTCAAACAACGCAGCGCAATGCGTCTCGGTGCTGTAATTCCCTGGGCAGCACAGTTTGTATTGTAAGCGGATGAACATGAAGGAGGGTAAGATGTTGAAGAGAATACGAATCCCGAAAGACTCAAGGTTTCGACCAGGCGATCGTTGATGGTTGCTGAGAGCATTTTCCCTTGACTTGAATGAACTTGAGTTGGAAACAAGACTTCGGTGAATTTTGTGCGTTTTTTTGGTTGATTCTATAAACAAAGGCTGTCAAGACAAGATAGGCAAGGAAAGCGCTGAAAACGCGATATACAATGAGAAACAGGAATGCAAAAAGCAGAAAACCACCAACGCCTCCATATTTTTTTTTGTTCACAATCCTCCTCAAGGTCTGGTTGTAGAATCGCCATGACTCTTACGGTTCCTTTCTTTGATTCTCTCACCAACAGTGATGTTGTAGTTCGAACCAGCAATCGTATTGAACTTGGGCAATGGAGTGCCCACCTTCTAGGCGTCACCACCGACACTCTTGCGGCCCTTTTCTCTTCTCCTTCTTGTCCTTCTTTGCGCTGGCGGGAACCTCGGCAGGGGTAGAGACGGGAGCCTCCTCCTCCTTGGCCTTGCGACCACGCTTCTTCTTGGGCTCCTCGACGACGGCCTCGGCGTCGGTGGTCTTGCTCTTGCGCTTGTTGGCACCGTTGACGGCGGTGAAAGCACCCTTCTTGGTGGGGCTGGAAGTGGGAAGGGGAGGAGACGAGGCAGGGGCAGCAGCCTTCTTGCGACCACTCTTCAAGGCGGACTTGGGGGTCTTAACTGGGGGAGGAGTGGGCTCCTTCTCTTCCTCGTCCGAGGTGCTGTCATCCTCAGAGTCGTCGTCAGACTCGGCGGCAGCGGGGGCAGCGACTTGAACGTGCTCCTCGGCCTCGGCATCTTCGTCGTCCTCGTCATCATCAGCATCGGGACTGGTAGCAACAACGGGGGCGCCGTTGGCTTTGTAGTCTGCGAGCTCCTTGTTGTAGACGTCACGCGAAGCTACGTATGCGTCCTTGTATTTCTGGTGCTTAGGTTAGCGGTTGCGCAAGCGTGGGTTGTCTGAAGCAAACACACCTGCTTAACCTCCTCGGGAAGCAGCTTCCATCTCTTGGTGCCCTCTGACGAGATCTCGCCTCTCTTCTGCTCAGGGCCAAGTTCGGAGTGGATCTTCTCGCGGTTCTCGCCCAGCCACAAGAGGTAGGCGGTGAGGGGACGCTTGGGCTGGTTGGGGTCTCTGGGCTCAGCCTTCTTTCTCTGCTTCTTCTCAGGAGCTGCAGGAGGTCCTCCACCGATAGTGACGAGTGCACCAGCCTGGAGGAATGCGCCGAGGTCCATCATGGCGGGATCGAGGTCGACGGTGCCTCCAAGCCAAGCATTGGAGTGGTCAATGTAGGCGGAGGTGGCATTCTTAAGGGCGTTTGCGAGGGCGACCCATGAGGTGACGAGCTGTTGTTGCTGTCAGTGTCGAGTCTTGGAGCTTGGGTGTGGGCGACGCGTTCGAGGTGGGTCGAGACGCGTCTGTCGCAACATGACACAATTGCGCATAACATGCCACACGCTCAATATATGGATAGATCGAGTCGCGGACATGGGCGCATCATGAAAGACACGCGACATTTGGGGAAAACATACCGCATCGCGAGTGCGAGTGAATTCGGCCTTCTCAACCATAACTTGCTGGAGATCGGGCTCAGGCTTGGGCGCCGCCTCGGGTTTGACCGACTTTGCGCGAGGCATGGTCGCGTCGATATCAATGAGTTTGATGGAATAGAAAAGAAGGTGAAACAAAAGATTGGAAGAGGAAGGAAGAAAGAAAGAGGAGGAAAGCTGGATAGCGCGTGCGCAGGGCGATCAAGCGTGATTTTTGCTTGGGGATTAACCGTCTTCTGACCAGCATTGACCAACTTTGCTTAAACCCAACCCTGCTTGCACTCTGCACCCCTGTCCATTCTATCATTACAAAAGTCACCCTGCTCGCCCATAGAAATCAAAATGGTATCATCGCGACTGTACCTGACCCTTTCCCGAACGCCATTCATTCCAGCGTCTCTCAATTGACTGCAGGAGTCGGAAACTTGTCGCTCAGACATATTGAGGAGGTCCTTGCGGTGCCTTGTATTGCTGAGGTGGAGCTCCGTAAGGCTGCTGCGGTTGCATCGGAACTGATTGCGGATTGTTCATCATTTGTTGCACATCTGGTCGATGCCTGTATATCATCAGTATACTGCCTTATAGACTTGAGATAGAAACTTACACGACGTCTTGGTAGAAGTGGCAGATGTGGCAACCGACTTCATGGTGTGGCTTGAGTGAGAAGGGGATGAGAGGCTATCAAGACGTGTCAATGCTGAGAACGCCAGACACCGCTTGAAAGATACTCACAACGAAGCAGAAGGTGAACCACTCCCAGCGCTTGTACACTTTAGCACTAAAGTTGCCACAGTTCTGTATGTTTATCAGTCGTTGCTAGTGTTTGTTGACGAGACCGCAACACACCTGGCATTGCGCCGTAATGCTTTCGTAACCCTGTAGCAGCGAGTTGAAAGTGTGAGTTCCACAGGTGAAGATAAATGCCATGTTGCGCCAAGTCGAGTTGCAATTCTGTCGATATAGATGGAGAGAGTAGAGAAAAGGTCGTTGCCGCTCGTGTTACATAGGATATTGGATTGCGTCGCGCGCTTGTTTCGTCGTCATCACATGCTCGCTGAGCCATTCTTGGTGGCCAAGCGCCCAGACTCGATCAAAGAGTAAGTCACGTCTGACACCTCATATCTGCCTATCAGAACATACTATCAAACCAGCTCAAAGACACACAATGCTCTACAAGATGTGTACAGATGCTCAGAGTCATGAAGCACCCAAATGGGCCGGTAACCCTCGGCCAGTCAAACAAAAGACGCTTTGACTTTGACCAAATTGCGGCTTGCAGCGGTCTCCCAAGATCTCTCCACACAAGCCATTGCCGACCGAGACCACAATATTTTTTGAAGCCGCGTCTCGTGCCCTCATCGCATACACACAATGTCGGCCTCGCTTCCTGGTAATCGCGCCCTTCCGGCTTCGCAGTATGACCTGACCACGTACTGGGGTCGTGTTAGACATGCTGCCGACTTGTCTGATCCGAGGTAAGGAAATTGACGTGCACTTTTGTTATCATAATATTTACTTTTCCATCTCCTTTGTCATGATTGTAGTATGGATTCTCGTACAGCTTTCTGATCATGTCAGAGAAGCAATATAGTATCGTCAGAACACATCATGCAAATATAATTGGCTAACCATTCTTGTTTGACANGAACCTTGTTCACCTCCGCTGCCGGTCTCGAGCATGCAAAGGATCTGGTCACTTCATACAAGCAGGGCAAGATCCAATCCATGACCCCCGACTTGTGGACAGCAAAGAAGGTCATTGATGCCACTCTGCATCCTGGTATGTCGAGAATTGTACCCAACTCCCTGAACATGGCTAATATGAAAACTANNCCAGACACCGGCGAGAAGGTCCTCCTCCCCTTCCGCATGTCCGCCTACATCTTCTCCAACCTGGTCGTGACGGCCGGCATGCTCACTCCCGGTCTCAGCACAGCCGGTACCTTGGGCTGGCAAGTCGCCAACCAGTCTCTCAACGTGGCCATCAACTCTTCCAACGCCAACAAGTCAATTCCCCTATCTACTTCCACAATGGTGCAATCATACTTCCTCGCTGTCGGCGCGAGTTGTGGTGTTGCTCTTGGTCTCAACTCAATCGTCCCTCGCCTGAAGCGTGTGAGCCCAAACACAAAGATGCTGTTGGGACGATTGGTGCCTTTTGCTGCTGTGGCTAGTGCAGGTGTGTTGAACGTGTTCCTCATGCGTGGAGAGGAGATTCGCAAGGGTATCGATGTCTTCCCCACCGAGACTGAGGCACAGAAACTCAAGCGCGAAGAAGCCGGTCAACCTCTTCAATCGCTTGGAAAGTCAAAGAAGGCTGCCACTCTTGCTGTGGGCGAGACTGCCATTTCTAGAGTCATCAACGCTACACCTATTATGGTGTTGCCTCCTCTTNTGTTGGTTCGTCTGCAGAAGACTCAGTGGTTGCAGCAGAGACCGAGAATGGTCACGCCCGTTAACTTGGGCTTGATCTTCACGACTAGCATTTTCGCTCTGCCTTTGGCTTTGGCCATCTTCCCCCAGAGACAGGCTGTCAAGGTTGATACTCTGGAGGTCGGGTTCCACGGCCGTGCTGGTGATGACGGATGCGTTGAGTTCAACAGAGGTATCTAGAGAGTGTCTCTTTGTTCTGAGTTTCTTGGTCCAGGATTTGGGAGTAACTTGGGCGCGCATTTTACGCAGGATTCAGTTAGACTTGGTCGGTATTGAATGTTTACGTCCGGACTGTGCCAATCTGCAAGTCCGGCTCCTCAACCCCAATTTCTCAGCCATCTGCTATTCGAGTTACTCGATGAGTACACCAAAATGTGCATCGCAGGCGTGGCTATCTTATCGCGTGGTCCATGTGTGCAACGATCGAGTTTCTGTCAGCGCAAAAGAGAAATCGTCCCCTCGAGCTCAGCAATTGATCCCAGAGGCTAACCAGACATTCTAAAGGCTCCCATGGTGTTGGAAAGTGCAAAAAGAATCGACGAACTAGGGACTCGAACCCTAAACCTTCAGTGGTGTTTGAATTCGGTGGACCGAAAACTGGGAGATTGTTAGAGGATGCGGGAATAATATACAGGTGTGGGTTTGCTTGCCTGACGCGCTACCATTGCGCCAGCCCGCCGCTGGTTGGAACTCAGCTAAATTCAACAACTCATAAACATTACATTGTTCAACCGCCGATGGTGTGGCAGCTATGCTTTTGCGCCTAACGTCATATCTGGACAACACGCTCTCATGTGCTTTGGTTCTTGAAGGTGTTGGTATCATGGTGTTGGACTTGAGTGTCAACACGTGTGAGTAATATCCTACGTGCGACGAAGCTGGTACCCAACACGTTGGACGATGAAAAACACGCAACACGTGGCAACGGGCCTGGTTCATGATGATGTCCAAACTGCCCATACCAGCACCGTGTTGGCATTGTTAAACAATTTCAGCGTGTTGGACATATCGACTGTGTTGTACTGCGAAAATCTAGATCACATTGGAGATCCCTTGTCCCTTTCCCAATACGACATTGCAGGACTCTCACAGGCTACACTCTTCAGCTGTAGCCAACACGAATCGTTCTTGTGACCAGTTAACGAGAGATTCGTTAAAAAACATAAATTAGGTGCCTTGAATCGAGTTGCCACCAACTAGATATCATTTTCGTTATATCTGCAGCAACAGGGTGACCCTGTCTGCGAGGAGGACCACAGCAGCGATCGAATTGAATGTCATAGATATTGATGATTTTGAGCCACGTTTGAAAGCTACCAATACTCAATCATGTATAAATTGAAAAGATAAATAGGTGAGATGGAAGACGAGCACTATGTGCTGTTGAATATGTCGTATCATAAACATGCCGGCCGTGCAGTGCTAGCAAGTAATATTTCTGCCTTCGCATGAGTATGTAAGGTTCCCGTGCCGTTCACCTCGTCCTCCAATGTCACGATAGCCAAGCTATCATTAGGTGTACTTGCGGTGCAAAGATTCGAATCGATAGGCAGTGTGGACGATGTATGTCCACAGATCGTTCGAACCGCTGTGCCCTCTCCAACACTCGGGGAAAAGGCGGCATATTTATTCCTGGAATGACCACAGAAGCCCCGCTACTTTGACTCAGCCCCTCCATCAGTCACGGCCGAAGCCGTATCGGCCTGCTCTGGATGTGGTGGTCGCCGGAGAACCATGACCTGGACTCTTCAGGCAGCGCACCGGCTTGCGTTGGTTATGTTTGTAGATTCGATAACTCTGCAACCTCACTTCTTTGACGATTTCTTATCCTTCTTGCTCTTCTCTTTCTTGTCATCCTTTGCGGAATCTTCGGAGGCGGGTTCGGTGGCAGGCGTCGTGGTACCGCTTCGTCGGGCTTCTTTTGCTTCGAGGTTCTTTGCTAGTCGTTGAGAGAAATATTGTTCTAATGTGACACCCTTCGCTGCGGCGCGTTCTTCGTATTGCTTGCGCTTATCTTCGGGGAGACCATCCAAAGATTTGTCCTTCTTGCTCTTGCTCTTCTTGGTGGCCACTGCGTCGGAAGTGTCGTCGTCGGTGGTCGGAGACACTTTTGCCTTTTTCGCGGCACGGCGGGCCTTCTTTTCGTCGTCTGATGAAGACTCGGATGTAAATTTTGATCGCTTCTTCTCTTTCTTGTCCTTCTTTGCCTTCTTCTTTTCCGTCTTGTCCTCGTCCTCTTCATCACCAGCCTTCCTCTTCACACCCACAGTCGGACCAACAGCAGATGCAAGCGCAGCAACCTTGGGATCGACAACACCTATCGTTCCAGCGACACCCTCTCCCTGTACAAACCGTCCATACAGGCCACCCCTCTTGATTCCATGATCCTTGACGTTTGCCAGAATACTCCTCTTGCCAGTTCCAAAATCTTTCAAGCTGCTGTCGAACGCTTTCAACCACCATTGACCCTGAATGACATCTGCCTTGTTGATGCCAACACCTAGCACGTCGACTTTTTTGCTGACGAGGAGCGGTTTTCGGAGACCCTTGTTGTTGTCGTCGAGCGAGTGGCCGAGGCCGCGCCAGCCTTGTTTNTTGAGAAGTCCAGCGGCGTCCATGGTATACTGTCGTCCGGGGTCCGGTGGAACTTAAGAGTCTCGGGCGTCCAGAAAAGGTATGCTTATATGGTTGCGCGAGACTGACGACAGAGAAAAGCGTCGGGATTATTTTTCTGCCGCTCGCGATCGAGGGTTTCTGGCTTGACCGCCCGAGCCGCGGGCCGAGCCCTGCCTGGTCCGACCGAACGCGCTTTCCTTACGCGTGCTCTGCATGTGACGACCCTTTGAGATTCTTTCCACATCGACTCTCTGATCAGGCATCTGTCCAGATGTCGATGATACTCTCCAATCTGCTGCGACCGTACAGGCCTGCAAAATTCTTGAAAGTCTGATATAACATAGTAGCATGTATTCCGGTAAAAAGCGAGACTCCTTTCACATTTGAGGAAAACGACAAGAGTGACTTTGACACAGTCAAAATTGCCTGCGGTGTCTGATTCTCGTACTGATTCGAACAGTGCCAGGCCCACAGCTCTGATGTCCTTTTCTCCTTCTCGTCACCTTGATGAAGACGCAGCAGAAAAACAGACAAAATGGAGAGAACGTTATGCAAGCGATCCCGAATTTCGGGAGAGGACGAGAAAATGGCTTCGTGAACGCTGGAATTCCCTAGACGAGGAACAAAAGAAGAGAGCGAATGAAGTCAGACGAGTATCGGGGAATCAAGCCCGCAGAACCAATCCTCTGGTGAGGCTGAGGTCCACCCTCAACGTGTGGATCCTTAGAAACCTTGACAATCACATCAACTGGAGCACGCACTTTCCGATATCTCATCCGGAACAAGTCGGTCTTCGCTGCGAAGATTGTACTCGGGAGTCCTTTAGGGAAACAAAGATATGGGTATGTCCCCAGACGCACTTTACCCTTTTGTTGATCTCTGTTCTTGAGTCCTTGCCGAGCAAGACACTAATCACCTAGTGTAGTGGCACGACGTGAATGATCCCACAAAGCAGCTTTGCCAAATGTGTTTCGTCAAGCGATGGCCTGAAGGAATGCCTCACGATTTCGAATATCGCGTTGGCAAGAATGGCACGAAGCGGCTTTTGAGAAAGCTTAAATAAAAGTTGGGAAGGTAGTTGATGCGGAAAGAAGATCTCGAATCGTGTGTGTTGGCTCATTGGACTCGTACTTCCAGGGCATATCATACTTTGCAAGTCAGGCGAGAGACATCTCCTGTTCTGTATTCGCGAAGACAGGCTTCTGTTCTCTACATCAGACTGCATTAAACACGTACCGCTCTCTTTAACGGCTGGTGTCATTCTTGACATTTCTGTGCAACGGACAAGTTCTTTTCTAACATGGCATCGCCAGCCCATATTTCCCTCTCTTGCCATGCTTTCCTTCACCTTCCTTCGTGCAGAATCATCCCTGCCAGGTATTGCTGACCGATGCAGTCGTCACACCACAGCTCGCAGGAACTGTATAACTATGATTTCTTTACAATCAAAACACGTCAGTACATAGAATGCGTAGCGAAAGACTTGCGATCACTTACGGATCAGACTCCCAAGTCACGCTCCCATCCGTGTTCACCTTGATGAATTTGTAGCTGAAAGCTTGGCCTGCGGGAAGATTGATAGTGCCGGACCTGTTATCATCATATTAGCAATCTCGAGCAGATGATGCTTCATGCAGGCTGTCTTACCAGACAGGGTTGCTAGCAGTGTACCCAGCCGAAGACAAGGTGATTGCATTTGCAGCATTCCAAGATCCGAGTTGTGGAATCGAGCCTGCAAGTTTGATGGTTTGACCGTATTGTGTAGTCACTTTGTCAGTAAAGGTTACGGCGACTGCGGTGGGTGTACTGCAGCCACCAGCAGTTGTCGAGGTCTTGATCGTGGTCGGCGTGCCTGATGTAGAGCTCGAGCCACTACAGAGACCACTACCAGTGAGTTTTGCTGTAGGATAGAGGACTCTGGGTGAACCCGCATTAATGCTAATGGCAATGTTGCCGCTCGAGTCTGCAGTGTAGGAAGTACAAGACAAGATATCAGTGACAGATTGACCAGCCGTAAAGCCACTCGCCGAAGATGAAAGGGTGAATGAACTACTTCCTGAAGAACCCTTGTTTGTGAACACACCGACGACTTGAGAACCGGTCGTGCCCTTTCTCATGACAATCGTCGATGCATCAGAGTAGACACCATAGGCTTTATATGTAACGTATCCTGTATCTTGCTTGATGGCTTGTTTTCTGATCTTGTTGAGTGTGGCGATGAACGGATACAATTGCGAAGAAGTTGAGTAGCCAGACTGCCAAAGTGCTTCTCTGTTGTTCGGTACACCGGAGCCCGAGAAGTGCTGTTCCTGACCCTGGTAGATGATCGGTACACCGTCTGCCAGCATCGTGAAGGCTATGGCATTCTTCGCAAGTGCGTAGTCAGAAGTCAGCGAGGGGAAGCGTGCGACATCATGATTCTCCATGAATGAGCCTAGGAGTGTTGTATCTTTGCATGTTGACTTTAGAGTGCTAATGCCATTGTAGAGGTTACTGATACTGCCAGAGGTGGATTGGAAGGCTTGTGTGATCCAGTAGTACCTGCAAGAGGGTCAGTACTAAGCACTCAGGATAGACTAGCATTCGAAATCATACGATGGGAAGTTAAGCATGCCATCCAGGTAGTTCTGGTAGTCGCAGAAAGTGGTAGGGTTACCATCGTAGACCTCACCAACCGCATATACACCAGCAGCCTGTTCGAATGGAGGATAAAATGCCTTGTCTACAGACTTGGCAGAGTCGATTCGAAGACCATCAACTNNGAAAAGTATGAGTAGAGATTCAGGCTTTGGTTGCAAGAGTGACATACTGGTGTAGTTTGACACGAGCTGTTTGATCCAGGTGTTCCACATAGAAAGCACATTGGAGTCTTCAGTCCTCAAATCTGGCAGAGATACAGTGTTGTCGCCTGCCCAGCACNNTAGTAGATCCATTAGAACTTTCTCAATAATGTGTTCAAGTAGACGACATACTTGCTCAACACTGGTCTGGTTGTTGTAGTCGATCAAACAGAATGGATGATAGTATGACCGCTGGTTGAACGGGTTGTATATGGAGTAGTCGACGCAATTGCCACAGCCATCATATCCCATATGGTTTGTGACAATGTCAACCATCAAGTANCTATGCAGTGTAAGTTTTGTTATCAAGACCAAGTGTTGTGTTAAATCCGATCTCACCATGCCACGATTATGAAGAGCCTTGGAGAGCGACACTAGATCGGCAGCAGAGCCAAAGTTTGTGTTGACTTGGTAGATATCCTGAGCCCAGTATCCGTGGTAAGAGTCGCCATCCGGGCCTGAACTGCGTATGTTTCTCACCACAGGACTGATCCAGATCTGCAAAACAAATCAGAGTTGTTGTGTTTATGAATCAGGTTTATGAATACGAACCGCAGTGAAGCCCATGTTCTGGATATAATCCAACTGCTTGATGATGCCCTGGAACGTGCCGCCGCAGTACTTGTTGACATCACAAGAAGCAGTTGTCGACCCATCAGTCCTCGCAAAACGATCGGTAAAGACTTGATAAATTGATTGGCTTCTCCATTGTGCTGGGGTGAGGCACTGAGCCAATTCTGTCAAGTACAAGAAAGCGAACAACAGTTGAGACACGTAGTTGGCTACCATGTTTCCGGACCGTGATCTTGGTCTTTGGATCGCTGAATGGATTATAATATTGTTGGGAAATGGCGTGTGTTATGACCATACTCTTATATTGGTGGTCATACCCGCGGCGCAATGCTTTTGCAATGAACATGGGTAGATCTTGTCTCCAAAAGTGATGTATACTTTAATACCGTTGACCGGTGACACTAGCAGCTTGAAGCGACATTGATAGTTTCTTGTTCGTCGTAGATGGTCTCTCAACCTCATTGTTCAAAAGTGCCCACCTACGTTGCTCGGCTCCCAAAACAAGAAGTTGGACTTGGTCTCTGACCAGAAGACTATGTCAAGAAACAAGCTATGAGCGCGTAGTACATGCTGTGGTCACTCACCGGTAACACAGATGGCTTGCTTTGCCGATCGGTTCTTTAGGTACGGAGGCTCAGGCACAGAACGTCTCGCTTCAAGAAGAAGGCTGTCTAGTGTGAGACGGAAACGCCTCCATCATGCAACATTCGGCACGATTGCCATGTGGTATAAGGGGAAAGAAAAATATTTTGGGAACTGATTGGCAGGTCGTTGAACAACTGACTTTTTGTCCCCTCCTTTCCCCAGCTCTTAGTTGTCTCGTGCTTGGTCATGGTATATGGTGATGGAGTATAACGGCGGCAGCACAGACGTGACAGGTCGAATTGCTCGGTTGATATCCGTATAAAGCAGGTCGCGGACTTTAGCTCTTTGTCGAGGTTGTAGATCGTGCGTCGTTGGAGACCTTTAGAGTTTAGCGATATTTGATCTAGACATGTGAAATCCTCCTGCACAACACACTTCGGCGTTGTTCTCGACGATGAAGTTCGGCTGATTAACAAGGCTGATATGCTCGGCCACTTCCTTGCGAATACGCAGATCGCGAATATGCTCGGCGCACGATGGAATGCTATAAGCGAAAAGATCGCACCTTCCTCATAGAGCTCAGAGCTGGACCAACTGAATTAGATGCTTGTATCGTACTACGTCGAGTTACGCCATGACTCCTGAGCGAAATAAAGCTTACGCACGAGAGCCCGACTCGAGCTCCAGCCGTCGAATGGGCATGGAGATACTCGAATCCTGGCGAAGCAGGGAGGAGGAGAGGAGTCAGCGTGATATCGTCGCATGACACGCTTTTGGTGTCAGGGGGCGCCTTAGGATGACCTCCATGCCATGTGGTCTATATTGGATGGTCTGCACTGCATAAAAGCACCGCTGATTGGCAAAGTGCGTTGTTGATCACCATTTGAAGTGCGGGAAGAAAGGGCAGAGTCTGCGAGATGCACCTTCCCGAGGCTTCCGTGCGGGAGACGGGTGTGGGGTGTGGGGTTTGTGGCGGGCTCGCGTTTTCTCCCAGCCTCGGCACAAAACCTTGCTGCTTCATGTGCCAACAACCTCATCACATCTGACAAGCGAGCTCAGAAAGGCGCTGGTCTCCGCTTCATGTAATTTCCACTCCTCGGACGATGGTCGGAAGAGATCGACCTGATGACAGTCGCTACTTTCTCGCAACCTTACCGCAACACGCCACTGTGGATATGTATGCACAGACGGATAGCTTGAGCAGAAGCGAACCTGCTTTGAGAAGCTTCAACAGAATCTGAGTCTATTGTTTCCTGCCTGGCTGTTGCTATACTCTGCAGGAACGGTCCGATCATGCTGTTCCTGCAGAAGTTGGACTCCTCCATTCTGGACAGGCAGTCTTGGTGAAGATATATAAATCGTCCTTCGACCTGAACAAATTCATCATTAACAGCACTGCCTTCTTCACCATGCGTTTCCTTTCAACTCTGCCCGTACTCCTCGGAGCTGCTTTCGCCCTCCCCTCGCCCGAGAGCATCCAAGAGCGTGCAACTGGCTCCCTTTCTTCTTGGCTCTCGTCTGAGAACACTGTTGCTCTGCAAGGTGTTCTTGCCAACATTGGTGCCAGTGGCTCTAAGGCTTCTGGAGCTAGTGCTGGCGTTGTGGTCGCTTCTCCTTCGAAGTCAAACCCTGACNTGTGAGTAGCTTGTATTAATTGCCACAATATGATCACCCCTAACATCAATCAAGATTTCTATACCTGGACCCGTGACTCGGCCCTTGTGTTCAAGGCACTTGTAGATCAGTTTATTGCTGGTAACAAGTCTCTGGAGCCTCTTATTCAGCAGTACATCAGTGCTCAGGCCAAGCTGCAAACCGTCGGCAACCCCAGCGGTGGCCTTTGTTCCGGAGGTCTTGCTGAGCCCAAGTTCGAAGTCGACCTTACACCTTTTACTGGTGCTTGGGGTAGACCTCAGCGTGATGGCCCTGCTCTTCGTGCCACTGCCATGATCGCTTACTCTCGTTACCTTATTGTAAGTCGACAGACTACATCTCTATTGATATATGCTTATCCTCCCTACAGGNCCAACGGCAACACCACAACCGTCAACAACATCATCTGGCCTATTGTGCAAAACGATTTGTCTTATGTGACCCAATACTGGAACCAAACTGGCTTCGACCTGTGGGAGGAGATCAACAGTTCTTCCTTCTTCACCACTGCTGTTCAGTACCGTGCTCTTATCGAGGGCAACAGCCTCGCTACCCAGCTTGAAAAGTCGTGCCCCAACTGTGTCTCCCAAGCCCCTCTTGTTCTGTGCTTCCTTCAGTCTTATTGGACTGGCTCATATGCACTTTCCAACACTGGAGGTGGTAGATCTGGCAAAGATGCAAACTCGATCCTGACCAGCATTCACATCTTCGACCCTGCTGCTTCTTGCGATTCGACCACTTTCCAACCGTGCAGTGACAAGGCTCTTGCCAATCACAAGGTCGTCACTGACTCTTTCCGCTCCATTTACAACATCAACAAAGGCATTGCTCAGGGCTCTGGTGTCGCTGTTGGTAGATATCCCGAGGACTCTTACTACAACGGTAACCCTTGGTGAGTCTAGTTATTGAAGCAAAGCATGAATCAAGCTAACTTGATAGGTNACCTCAACACTTTTGCTGCCGCTGAACAGCTTTATGATGCTGTTTACCAGTGGAAGAAGATTGGCTCGATTTCGATCACTTCAATCTCTCTTCCTTTCTTCAAGGATGTCTACTCCTCTGCTGCTGTCGGCACCTATGCATCTTCGACTACCACTTTCACTTCCATTGTCAACGCCGTCCAGACCTACGCTGACAGCTACATGTCTATTGCTGTATGTTTTAGATGCTTCGTTGTGTATGCACCCTCACTGACCTGGTCTACAGNNCAAAAATACACCCCATCAAACGGTGCTCTCGCTGAGCAGTATAACCGTGCCGACGGCACTCNNCCCCTCTCAGCAGTCGACTTGACCTGGTCTTACGCCGCTTTCCTTACCGCCTACAACGCCCGCGCTAACGTCATTCCTGCCTCTTGGGGTGCCGCATCTGTAAGTTTGGTTACAGATGCAATATGTTACATGTCGACTGACAAACTTCACCAGGCCAAGCTACCCAACTCCTGCTCCAGCGGCTCTGCCACAGGCCCCTGTGCCGCAGCCACAAACACCAACTGGGGCAACCCCGGCTCTCCATCCACCGCAACACCTACCACGACCGGCGGCGGTTCCTGCGCAACCNCCTCTTCGATCGCTGTAACCTTCAACGAGCAAAAGACAACCGCTTACGGCGAGACCATCTACATTGTTGGCAGCATTCCCGCACTTGGAAACTGGAACACTGCAAATGCTGTTGCGCTATCTGCTTCTGGATACACCAGCTCCAACCCTCTGTGGAGTGTCTCTGTTAGCTTTGCTACTGGCACAAGCTTCAACTACAAGTATATCAAGAAGGCGCAGGACGGTAGCGTCACTTGGGAGAGTGATCCTAACCGCAGCTACACTGTTGGCGGAAACTGTGCTGGTACTGCCACCCAGAACGACAGCTGGAGATAGAAGACATCGCCCCCAGAGTGGTGGCAGGCTGAAACAGTGCTCGAATCGCAACTGCATCATCCATGGATCTTCCTCATTGCACAGTGCGACTGCATGTGTTCACCACCGAGTCGTCACAATATGCAAAACAGACGAACATGCAAATAGAGAAGACAGAAGACATGTAGAACAAGCTTTTTTTGCCAATGCATCAACATTTTCAACCTCATTATCAAAAATACCATTCAGGCTTACCCCCATAGTCCGCCTTTCCCCTTCACATTATTTGTACTTTCCAAAGCAGCCACCCGTGTAAACGAACAGTCACACATTGTAGATGGTTCTCAACCTCCAGCCGTCATCTCAAGGTTCAGCTTCTCTCTCTTCATGAGCACTCCGCTAACAAGAGCGACTGCACCTGCAACAATAGTCAAGATCCAGATATCCCTAAGCGTAGCAGCGATGGCTCCGAGGACCAAGCGCTGCAGCACCAGATCCCCACTAGCCAGAATGGCAGAATGGGCACCTCCAAGTGCAGCTCTGATCTCGGTGTCCGAGAAGCTATATGACGCAAGGGCGTTTTTGATGTTGTCAAACCCAAGATTCTGATACAAGCAACCGGCGATACTGAGACCGATGGACAGGGAGCCGATCTGAGCCACATTGATAAATCCTACTGCGTTTAAAGTGTCGATCTTGTCGGCAATGGCCACAGCGACCGAGTAGGCCACTTGCATGCTCATTCCTGCTCCGAAAGCCATCAAGACCTCGTAGCCGTATATGCTCGTCGTGGAGGTCTCCAGATGAACGGTATGCATCAAGGCGCCGCCAATGACTATCAAAACACCACTGACGATGTAGAATGGCTGGTAGCGACCGAGGACTGGTAAGAGGCCACCACTAAGCATCACTGCTGTTACAAAAACACAGATGTACGGAAGCAATCGTACGGCAGCTTTGATTGGAGAGTCGCCCTTGGTGAATTGGAAGAAGATTGGGATGTAGTAGACGCCGAGACCGAGTCCAGTTGACGATGCCGCGGTTCCAGTGTAGAGTAGAATCATAGTCCTGCTTTTGAGGAAGTGGACCGGGAACAGACGGTGCGACGGTGTGGTGGCGATACTCAAACCCTGTTGCACGATGAAGGCGATAAGAAAGACGGCAAACACAACCCAAAGTGCGATCGGACCAGCTTCGTTCCACTTCCACAGTGAACCGCTGAACGTGAGAGCAACCTGCAAGATAGCGAACATGCCAGCAAACAAGAAAGCGCCTAGCCAGTCAACTGTAGCGAGCTTTTGCATAGTACCAATGTCCGGCTTGGGGTTGTGAGTCGGCAGAAGGAAGAGGTAGACTGGAGAGATGAGACCGGCCAAGGGTAGGTTGATGTAGAAGGCCCATCTCCAAGTCGCAGAACTGACTGCAAAGCCTCCACCGATAACAGGACCCAGTATGCAGCCTGTTCCCCAGCACAAACCGATCAAGGCGTTGTAGATGGGTTGCTCTTTCTTGCTCGTAAAGCTCGTGATGTATGTCAACGCTCTATCGAACTGTGAGCACATGATGTCGATGAACAGAGTGTTAGACTTGGGAACTTACCCTAGGTACATACCAGCTCCACCCATACCAGCTATGACCCTACCAACGATCAGGGCGTTCATACTGGGAGCAGCTCCACAGAGAGCAGAGCCAATCTCGAATAGCAAGAGACTGCCGATAAACATCCACTTGATCTCGAATAGCGCGTAGAGGGCTCCAATCAGCAGAACGATTGATACGGATGCCATAGGGAAGCCAATGCCGACCCAGGAAAGCTTTTCGATGTCACCGAATGCTTCGAGAATTGGTCCTTGGACATCTGCCGCGATGGTCGTATCGAGACCNTTGAAAGGAATTGTCAGCGAATGTACAAAGGCATGGCGGAAGATGCTTGATCTTGTACCGTATAAAAGAGCGCCAGTGTAGATGCCAACGCAGACCAGATACCATTTCCAGTCGGGCATGCCTCTGTCAAACTTGACGTCTTGCTGATCTGAAATACTTGAGCATTGATCTTCGAGATCTCCGTGATGAGACGCCTCGGGCTTATTGGTTATCGTAGACATGATCAACGTAGTACTGATGAAACTCTGCTGAGTGGAATATGGAGATTTGATGAACTTGAGTTTCCCAGATGCTACGAATTTCTCATTGATTAAGTATTGATAGCCTCTACAGGCAGCCGCAATGTTGGATTCATAATCACAACGATATGTTAATCCGTTGGCTAGCACGGGATAACCATGCAAGCAAGCAAGATAGAACGCCGGCCGTAAGTTTGTGGTTGTGAGTGGTATAGACTTTTTCCCGGCATGATGTTTTCTCCGAGTCGGATGGAAGTCAGGTAAATCATGCATCAGTGAAGAGCAGCCATCGTCAAATTTTTCTTGTATAGGGTCATCATCATGAATGTGATGATCAGTCAACAAACGCTCGAAATGTTCAAAAATGTCCGTGCGGAGCTCGAGAGCAGTCTGCGAAAGGGCCGTTCGAACTCGATTCATGCGACTCTGATGAGTCAACGGCCGTAGTAGTCAACACGGGACAGCTTCTTGGATTTACCGGAGCGATACACGTGTCCATGTATGTAGGTGGACAAGGGAAGGATGGATGTGCTGGAAAATGGCAGGCCATGTGCGGGGACGCATTCCACCGACCGGGCCACGCGTCATGCCGAATGCTTCATCGCCCATTGGACCTTTGCAGTGACTTCTTCTTTCGCGAGAAATACCTCGAGATGACTCGGATCACGCCCTGCCGCTCGAGCCCAATGAGGTTGACAATGCGAGCTTTGCGGGTAACTGCGAGGGGGTGCAATGGTCTTATCTTGCCGGTGCCTTGACCTCTGACAGTTATCGAAGGTAGGTATATAAGGTCGGCTGCATGCTGGAGTAGCTTGGTACCACACGAATATAATCTCAGCAGCTCTCGACCACTACACTTGGAGTCACTTCTCTACCCATCCATAACATCCTTCGACAGTACCCTGACAACTAATCTATCAAAGACACCATTATCGATATGCTCTTCAATCCAGCAAAGGACATCCCTGACCTCTCAGGAAAAGTCATCGTTGTGACTGGCGGCAGCAGCGGTCTCGGCAAAGAGAGCGTGCACCAACTCGTCAAACACAATCCCGATAAAGTGTATCTCGCCGCCCGAACAAGCCAGCGAGGCAATGCCGCAATCGAAGAGATTGAAAAAGACGTCCCATCCGCAAGAGGAAAGATCCACTATCTCGAGGTCGACATGGCCTCTTTCGCGTCTGTCAACCGAGCCGCCGCTCGTATTGTTTCCGAAAACGACCGTCTGGACATTTTGATGAACAACTCTGGTATAGCAGATGCGCCTTCGAGTTCAACCACCGATGGCTACGAGATCCAATTCGGCACCAATTACATGGGACCCACACTGTTTACACAGCTTTTGCTACCTCTACTGCAAAAGACAGCAGAGCAACCCAACAGCGATGTTCGCATCATCAACCTCAGCTCCGAATTGTTCAAACAAGCTCCCAGTCAAGGCATCATGTTCGCAGACTTGAAGTCGTCAATGCAGAAAACCGGCTCCGTAACCAAATACGGGCAGTCCAAACTTGCAAATTCCCTTTTCACCAAGGTTTGCGCTGAAAGATATCCTGCCATCAAGTCTGTTGCTCTTCATCCTGGTATGGTCAACACTTCTGTCTGGGACAACACGTTCAATAGACCGTATGTGGGACGGGTGATGGGGATGGCTATGAGACCATTCCTGACCAATGTACATGATGGCGCAAAGAGGCAGCTGTGGGCAAGCACAGCAAAGAAGAGCGAGGTCAGGAGTGGTGCCTTTTACACAGCCAATGGCGGCGAGTATACCCAGGCGATACTCAAGAACGATGTACTCGCGAAAGAGTTGTGGGCGTGGACCGAAAAGGAGTTTGCAAAGCACGGGTTCTGAAAACGATCATTGTTGGTTGTGAGCTGGAGTTCCAATGCGGTTTCTTGTTGTGTTTCTTCTAACGAATAATGACATGTTGCCATTTCCTGGTCTGATTGCAGAACAAGATGCCAGAAAAGATGACTGTTCCAATGATCAAAGTGCAGAGGCTGTTGAGTTGGGGGAGTTGAGCATTTAAGCAACTGTTCATCTGCAGCTACGCCCCATTATCAATAGCATGTGGTTGTAGTTAAAGGATCGTATACACATTACTGACAACGGCGTCTAGTTGAAGGCAACTCTTCTCGACCAGTCTTCACCCATACGTTCTATATCGACGACTTCGACGTCTTTTCCAAGACCAACTAGATCCGAGGTTTCCCACCACTTGTCGCTTCTGTCCTCTCTCGCTTTGCCTCTTCGCGAAGCTTCGTCCTCGGTCTCTGTTTCGGTATCGATCAAGCCGCCAGCACCATCATCGCCGACTACGAGGATTGTTTGGCCGACCCAGCCTTTGAGCTGTTGGACATGTTCGCCATTGTGGCCGGACAGAGAGGGGTTGTCAGGTAGGTAGACCAGCGAGGGCGAAAGATGGCGTAAGATGTGGATGTAGCCTGTAGGAGTTGAGAAAGGCATGACTTGTGAAGGCTTGTCTACCAGAGACAGCGACTTTTGCCAGAGAGAGTCAAACAACGTCTTCGGAGACGATGCAGGGTATGAGACGGATGCATATGAGGATGAGAGGGTGGTTGATGCGGATGTAGATGTTGGAAGGTCGGGGAGAGAAGATTGATCGGGAGCGTAGATCAGTATGAAGAGGTTCGTGAGTGCTGGGTCGATGTGGTCAGGGAGGTGAGAAAGGATGGACNNTGGGTCATGTTAGCAAGGAGTGTTGGGTTGAGGGGGTGCTGCACTCACAGCATGCTCGGTATAGTGTGTGGATTCGTAGCCCTGGTCTTCTCCGTTCAGGACGACAACGACTGATCTCTTAGGCTTGTTGGCTGCCGGATGCGACGAGGCAGGTCTTTGCGAACGCTTGGTTTCTGCTTCTTCGTTCCAGTGTTCGTTGTCGGAGAAGGCAGGATCGGCAGTTTCTTGCTGTCCGTCTGTAGCATTGGGACCAGAGAGACCGACGGCCGAGCGTAAACGTTGTCCAGCACTGTCGAAGAATTGCTGGGGTGAGGGAGTGCGGCCAGTCATGCGTGCTAAGAAGCCTTGATCCTGGGATCCATGGGGCTGATCATGGGCGTGTGGTATATCTTCGGGATAGTCCAGGGGATGGTCATATTTGTCGTCTTCATGATTGTCGTTATCATCATCGTCGTCGCCTTGTTGACGCTCGCTCCAGATCCAGGCGGCTAGACCAGCGGTCGCGATAGTCACCGTGACGACCAGAGGCAGCCAGTAGCCTAATGCTGATCTCCCAGGGCGGACCTGCCTTCGCCGGGCAGCATCATATCGATCCATTGCATCGAGAGTCAGATCAAACGGTCCAGTGTCACATGAAAGAGTCGCGCTCGCGTCAAAGTGGTATACACCTACCCCGCGTTTCTTGGCGCGTTCGAGGTGCGGGCGGCTTCGACAAGTTCGCCAAATTCTGTTTGCCATGCGTCACGCACCTAGAAACACGTTTGTTCGAGAGTTCAGCCGAGGAAGAAACACAGATAGGACATGCCACACGCCACCAACATGCCCTACGCCGGCTTCCAGGCCTTCATCCTGTGCGGGCCCGGCCTCTCACTCAACACCTTCACCTCGAATGTCGCAGACTACCCCAAGGCCCTCGTGCCCATCGCCAACCGCCCCATGGTGTGGTATCCTCTGGACTGGTGCTACCGCATGGGCGTCACCGACATCACCCTGATCACTCCTCCCGAAAGCGCTGCTCCTCTGGAATCTGCCCTCGCCCAAAACCCTCACCTCACCAGTCTCCCTGCTCCCAAGCCCGAACTGCTGTGTCCCAAAGACTTGACCCAGACCACTGGAACCGCCGAGATCTTCCGTGCCCCCGAAGTCCAGAAGGCCATCACCTCCGACTTTATCGTTCTGCCTTGTGACTTGATTTGCGACCTCGAGGGTTCTGCTTTGCTGCAGTCATGGATGGTGCTCGAGGCCGGTCTTGGAGGCGCTACTGGTGGTATGGTTGACGGCCAACCTGTACCCATGACTATGGGTGGTGAAAAGAGTGGCCGCAGAGGAGGTCTGGCTGTGTGGTACCCTACAAAAGGTCTCGAGGGCGTCAGCCAGAAGGGCGACGAGACCGACTTGGTCGCAACAACCNCCCTACCACGTCCCGCTGTCCCTGCTCCCGAGGGCCATCTCCGCCCACATGTCGAAAAGCTCGTCTTGAGTATCCCCACAAGTACCGTCAAGGACATCACAGAAGAACAAAAGAGCTTTCCTCTGCGCCATGCCCTACTGCGTCAGCACGGAAAGGTCAAGATCAAGACTTCACACAGAGATGCCCATGTCTACTTCCTGCCTTTCTGGGTCAAGGACATGATCAAGGAGAATGAGGCCTTCGATTCGTTATCCGAGGATGTTATTGGCTGGTGGGCGAAGGCTGGCTGGCAGCAGGGTCTGGCTGACAAGTTGAACCTGCGCAAAGTATTGAACGATGCACCCTCTACACAAGACGCCGACGACATGATGATGGCGAGCAGTATGCAACTCGACGAAGAGGTCGACTTGGCTGCCATGAGCACAACATCAATGACTCAGCCCACTTCATCTGCCTTCAAACGCTCGCCAGACACTTTCGCATCGCGCGTGCCTGGAAACCTCCAAACAGACAACGAGCCCCAAGATCCGTTAATAGTCCCTCCCATCTTGGCTTACGTCCAGCCTCCTCTTACTGACCCCACGAACCAACCCCTCATCCGTCGCGTTGACACTTCCTCCCTCCTCCTTAGCATCTCTCTTCGTCTCGCCAAACTACCCTCGGTCGCAGAAGCCACAGCCACTGGCATTGCACCATCACCCTTTGCACATGCCGCAAAGGTCGCGCATCCAGACATGATTCAACAACAAACACGAGTCAGCGAAGTCGATTCATTGGTAGCCGAGAACGTCACAATCGGCAGCAGAGTTAACATCAAAGAGTCTGTCATTGGTGTGGGTTGCAGCATTGGCAATGGCGCAAGATTGACGAGGTGTCTACTCATGGAAGGATGTGCTGTTGGTGAGAATGTTACACTCACCGGCTGTATCGTGGGCAAGAGGTGTAAAATCGAGGGAGGTGGTCCCAAGGACGAGGACAAGACTCGTCTGACGGATTGTGAGGTACAACCTGGCTATGTTGTCAAGTGGGGAAGTGAGTTTTCTGCCTTTTGCTCTTCTCTGCCTGATAGATTGCTGACTCCAGTATCACAGCCGNAAATCAAGAACGAAAAGTTCATGGTCTTCGAAGGTCTTGGTGAAGACGATGGAGATTTGGATATGGATGATGACGATATGGCATCCGGAGACGACGACGCTGGATTTGCATAAAAGCATCGACGGATGCAACTTGAATGAAACCGAACACGAACATTTCCTCTTTTCCGCTATTATAGATGTTGATGCCTCGATGCCTGGTCGGCCTCATAGCGGAAGCTTTCAGGGCGGAGCCGGCCAAGACGGCAACCACGAAGGCTGTGCCTTGGCGGCGCAGTTACTGCGCCTCCCACCAGTAGACCTCGCACTGCTTGTTCCAGTCTCAACGCTTCATTCGATCCATCGCTCCTTCTCTTCTGTATAACAACAATCAAAATGAAGGGCTGAGGATTGTTCGAATGCGGTGTGTAAGCCAGGCGGGAAGCTCTGCTGCGGAGAGCAGAGTGAGCAACAACCAAGATATAATGCCAACGTTGCAGCGTAGACCAAGACAAAGAACTACCTCAAAGTGAACAAACTCACTCCGTATATCCGTCTTATTACCTGAGTCTTCTAGTCAGCACCTGCTCTCAGCTGAATCACTACATCACAAGACCAAGCTCAAGCTCTTGGACCTTCTCCTACATAAGACCCTCCCTCTTCTAATTAATACAATCTCGCAATTCTTGCAACAACTTGGAACCAACCACCCATTCATCAACAATCACATATCATCATAACAGACGACATGCGCAATCTTCTAGGCAGCATCAAGCGCAAGGTTTCGACCAGCAGCGGAGGCGGCACCCAGCAAAACTCACGTGCCTATCCGACCATTCAAGATCCTTACGGCACACCCTCAAGAACAGGCACAATGAAGAGTCAATACTCTGCACCAGCTTCAACTCCAGCTCCCCTGGACCCAGGCGCCGCACCACCTGCCTACTCACCAGTCTCTAACGCTGCACCCGTCCCCTCAATCGCGATATCATCACCACAAGGCCAAACAACCGACGATCCTTATGCATTCCTGAGCACGTTCGACACAATCTTCCTAATCGATGACTCAGGCTCCATGGCAGGCAGCCGCTGGCGCGAAACCCAAGAAGCCCTTGAGTCCATCACGCCCATTTGTGTATCCCACGACGCAGACGGAATCGACATACTCTTCCTCAACTATCCGGAGAACCCTTACCACAAAAATGTCACCTCGCCAGCCACCGTCCGCGAAATCTTTTCTAGTGTGAGGCCCAGGGGCGGTACTCCGACTGGCCAACGTCTAGACAATATCCTTCGACCTTACATCCGACAGTGCGAGCAAAGAGGTCCCGAAGCAGTCAAGCCATTAAACCTGATTGTCATCACCGATGGCGAGCCCAGTGACGACGTGGAAGCTCCGCTTATCAGCTGTGCAAAGAAACTCGATAAAATGGATGCTCCCGCCTGGCAAATAGGTATCCAATTTTTCCAGGTCGGCAGAGATGAAGGTGCACGTGCACATTTGCGCGCCTTGGATGACGAATTGGCAGAAATCGCAGGCGTGGAGTTGAGGGATATGGTTGATACGGTGCCATTCAAGGGTGCCGATGGAGAACACTTGACTGCAGATGGAATCCTCAAAGTTGTGCTGGGAGCGGTGAACAGGAGGCTTGATAGGAAGAGAAGTAAGGATCTCTACCGCTAAACAGCCCGGACTGGAGAGGTTGGGGGAAATGAGCAGAGGACACGACTAGCCGAGAGCATACACACACACCGATACCCAGTCCTACGTGATGACTATTGTTGAGAAGCTTACAATAACAATCTTTCAATATCGGAAGCCGCTGTCAGGGGACCCTCAAGGTTGTGGAGCCGATATGAGTACTCTTGCATCGAACTTGTACACTTATCGAGGTGCAAGCCTCACTCTGTATGTTTATACTGACTGGCAGACTAGCAACCAGCAGGCTGACCAGCCTGATGAAGCGCTCGAAGCCATGCATTCCAGTCTCCAACTTAATGCAATCGATCCTGGTCTCGCAATGAGCGTCCAGGATGACCTTGATGTCGTCCACTTCACCAACTAGTTTATCAAGCCCTGGCAGCAACACGACCGCCACGTCAATCTTATTCTGCCAGAGACCACGACCTGAAATTGTCACCAACTCCAGCAGTGCGAGTATATCCGCCAAGAGTCCTTAGTCCTGACACACGATGGGGCCTCATTGCTATTCCATCCACTCAAAGGAAAAAAGAGAACCCCAACAATGCCGAAACCAAGACCAGGAAAACGGACGAATTGGTACAAATGGTGTATAGTACATTCACCAAGATGATCTCTGAGCTCCTTTATACCAACCTCACTGCTAGTACAAAAGACATCCAAAACTCGAAAGCTCTCATGTATTGAAAACGGCAATGGATCCTCCAACTAGACCCCTTTTTGAAAACAACCTCGTCTACCCGCTGCACTTTATACAGTACATTGTGTTTCCATACAGATGAAAAACTTGCAGTTCACAGAGATCTCCATCTCAGTAGATAAAGAATCTAAAACACACTTTGGGAAGCTCCTTCTACATGATCAACAAAACTCAAGAAAGGTCAAAAATTCAAGTCCTCTCATGTACACTTTTCCCTCTCATCCTTGTTCAATCTTCGTAGGTAAGAGCCCCCTGCTGTTCGCAAGGATAACAAATGATAGAGCTCAATGCTTCCCAAAAGAAAGAAAAAAACTTGACACCATCTCACCCCATCTGAAAGGTCAAGGCGATCTCTCCAATCAATCAATACAAAAACATTTTTTCCCTTCGAGAAACCCGTACTGGAGTTCCCCACATGCGTGTAGGGATGAGTGGTATGATTATCAGTAGCAGATACACTTACTAGTTTAAGCATTATTAAACCTTTATCCGCTGTTAAAATGTAACAGAAATCAAATCTTTCGTCCGTCGATGCTCTGACCGTTGAGAGCTCCTGCTGACACGCTGATGCGTCATTGGTCTCTCAAACGAGGTGGTCGAGCTTTCTACACATGACAAAGTGGTACACAAATAACTTTTCTTTTGAGCTCAATCCTAGGCTGATGGCTGGACACGCCGCTTGGATCTGATCTTGTGTCATATTCTCTACGAAACACATTGTCAAAGATATATTCTTGGTTCATCTAGAGACTGAGGGTGTATACAGATAACGCTGCTGATGCTACTGCTGCTGATGCTGTCGCTGCTGATGTTTAGACTGCTACCACTCAGCAATTGACCGGAGACTTCGCTGTCTCTCCCCACTCTTTCCTCCTCTCCCTGTCTTCTCATGATCCGAAGTTGATGAACCATGGATCTTTGCCATTGTACTCGGCGCCCGGATACTCGAATGGAATGTCTTCAGATCCGAAGACGGTCATGTTAGGAACTTCAACCTTGGCTGCACCCGTCTTCGACATCGTCATGAGAGTTTTCCAGTTGTGGCTTTGGACCTTGTTTTCCTTTTCGTCCTCCTTCTTGTCATTCTTCTTGCTTGTTGTCTCGCCTTCACTATCGGTCGAGGCGTCTTCTTTCTCGCTCTCCGTCTCTGCGTCGTCGTCGCTGAGGATCACAACCTCTGGCATCTTCGGCTTAGTATTCTGTTCATCCTCCAAGGGTCTCGAGAAGCGCACAGGCAGGATGACACCACATTCCCAGTTTTTGCATCCGAGTTTCCACTCCTTGTTCTTGCGGTCCCAGCTCAGCTTACCCCAAGCACTCTCGCTCAAGTTGGCACTTCCCACGTACCGCCACGCGATCTTTTGTCCCTTGTCGTTGACGCCTCTGGCATACAGAATCTTGTTGTGAGAAAGAACGCCAGCGCGTTTCGAGCGGTAGTCCCGGAAACATTGACGCGGAAAGGTAGGGCCCTTCCACCAGTCAGACTTGAGACAAATGGTTCCGGCGCTACCGGATTTGCTGTTTGTGACGGTGGCGTGCAGAGGGTAGTATACTCGGAAGAGATCCCGAATCCTTGTTGTTGAGATGGTGTCTTGAAAAGGTTTGGGCGCAGGTCCGGTGGTGGTTAAGGGCACGGCAGTTGCGTCTTCACCTCGAGCGGCATTGTGCATGATTGTGAGGAAGCCATCGTTCAGAGAGCCGATGGAAGAGGCTGCGTAGTCGACGTGAAGGTTAGATAAAGAGGGAAGAGAGGATTGAGGTGAGGAGTGTAGTTCGCGGACTGCTTTGCTTAGACCAACGTAGCCAGTCCGTTCCATGTCTTCGCCATAGTGAGCGGAAGCACCAACTGAATGGACAAAGGCAAGGTCTTTCGTGTTGCTAAAGTCGAAGTTCAGAACGCCTTTGAGGATATCGTCATCACAGCCCTTCTTTCTCAGAAANAAGAGTAATTCGCGGCCGAATCGCGGTAATGATTTAGCATCCTTGGTGACAGTCTGTTCGAGTCGAGGCAAGTCAATCAGAAAGACAGAGTTCTCCATGACACCCCCTTCACCCCAATCATAGGGGACCAGATTCGCCGAAGGGACGACTACTCTCAACTTGTGTGGATGAAACAACAGCATAAGCTTGGAATGCATGCAGTTGACATTACCTTCCATGGATGGGAAGACGAGTCGAAGAATCTTACCCAGATACTCAGTCTCTTGACGGTATTGCTGCTTTATGGCATCGTTTTCCGCCTGCATGACCATGATGACTTTGGTCTGTTGCAAGTCGAGCTTTGCCATGATCCAGTTTGTATCCCATTGAAATGCCGAGAGTAGGGCTGTTCGCAAGGTAGACTTTTCGAGCACTTCTTCGATCTTGATGTCGTTGGTGCTCCGAGACTGACCAAATGCCCATGTTCTCTTGACAGTGCCATGAGGAAACTGGAGTGATGGTGACCCTTCTGATTGTTCTTTCACTTTCTTGGCAGTTCGGGATGTGGGGGATGGAGATATGGATCTCTGTCTTTTGGTTGTTGTTGTTGCTTGTGTTGTATTGGTAACTGTCTCGGGGTTTGTGGGAAGTTTTGCTGCCATTCTTGCGAGACGTTCTGCTTCCATGGCACGGCGATCGAGACCAGGAATGCCCGTCATGATGGTGTGAGACTTCCGAGTGATGATGGATTGGCGTCAGAAGAAATGAACAGTTTTTAAGCGGATCGTATGGGATGTCCTCATAAACCAGTCTTTTTAGGTGAGTGTAGACAATGCAGATCCTGCTGAGAGTATCTTGATGATGGATGTAGTCGTAATTGGGGTGAAGCGAAGTAGAGACCAAAGGTGGATGAGGTTTGTTGTGCAAGCGTAAGCGGAGTTTGTTGTTGTCTCGGCTGCACTTGCCAAACACAGAAGCGACTGCCTGAGCGACCCTGCACTTTTGATCAGCTCCCTCAATTCGCGGCAAGAACGTGGAAGAACTGTAGAGCTTGACAAGAATCAAGCAACAAGGTCTTTGTGGGACTTTGACATCGGTTCTTGTGTCCAGGACCCGGGTGCGTTCCCATGAGAGGGCCATTGGTCTTGACTCAAATCAATGCCGAGAGCTGGTAGTCAAAGAAGTGAACTGCGATTGGGGATATATGTAATGCTTGTCAAATAGTGAGATGCGTGGGTGCTCATAGTGGTATCTATAACTAGTGGTACAAAGAAACAATTCAGCCCGACCAAAACATCAATACAAGGAGTTCTCCTTCAAGGATTTACTCAGGGTCATATTCCTAAAACAGACCCCAGCCTCTTTTCCTTCTGTCGCTTGAATCATCTCCTACACGGTCGCGATCAAGTCGAGATATGGGCTCTCTGCTTCCTCTGCCTGCCCTCTTCTCCCTGGCTTCCAGAGCCTTAAGAGCCTCCATCTCCTTGAGTACGTGTTCCAAAAGTTCTTTTCTATGCACAACATCCAGATGACGACGGACCTTTGGATCCTCGCGTGCGAACTGGTCGAGTTGTTGAGGTGTCAAGGACCGGAACTTTGAGTCAAGAGCGCGAGGGAACTGNATTGTGTTAGCAGAGGTCCATTTCAGACACGATCAGCTTGTTCTTACCTGGTAATAGAATTTGCTGAGTAATTCAGCATCAATGAAGAGATCGGCGGTAGTGGTAAGCTTATCTGCCACTGCGTCGAGGAAGATTTCGGGGCAGATGTATTTGTTGCTCTTGTTAGCGCAAGCCTTGCTCTTCACAGCTAGTAAACGCATGCGTAGGATGTCGGCGCGATCGCGGAGGAACACCGCCTCCCTTCCCTTTGCGAGAAGAGCAGCTGAGAAGCCGCCAGCACCTCCACTGCTGTTACCTTCGAGGTTGATATCACCCTTTCTGACCTTGTCAATGAAGGCCACAACATCCTTGAAGCGCTTCTTGCCTCCCATCTCCGCTTCGACAGTCTTGACGGCGTCTTCGCAGTCTCTGAGTTCGTCCTTGAGGACCTTTTGAACATTTTCGCGACCGCGCATCCATTCCGAGTCTTCAAGATCGATGCGATGTTTGTAGGGCTTGACACAAATTTCTAGCTCATCGCTAGTATCGTAAGCTAGATCGTGTAAAATTCCCTGAGCAGCTTGTGTGATTGCCGTCTGAGCGAAAGGATGAGCGTTAAAAGTGGATGATGAGATGAGCCGTTCAACATGTGCTTGCAGGCATTCAGCGGCGACAGTCGTGGCAAGACGTCCAATACCGAGTTTGGTGAGGGAAGCGGAGCTGGCGTCAAGTTTGAGACGCCAAAGTTGCTCGTTGGGGTCTGCTTTTGGTAGAGCGGAAAGAATCTCAACGAAGCCCTCACCTTCTTGGGCGGAGAGATCTTCCAGAGGCCTGTTCCAGTAGCGCGACGCGAGTAAGTTGAGAACTTGCTGATCGAGTTCGTGTTTCAGGATGTCACGCAACTGGTGGCGACCGAACGAGTCTGAAAAGCCCTTGAAAGAATGCTTGAAAGCGTCGAGACTCTCGGCCAAATACGACTCGGCTGAGAGGGGACGCTCGTTGTACTGCACTTTGAATTCGTAGGTGGCTTCTGTCAGCTCATGATGAATGGCTTCGGCAGTAGTGGCAAGCGATGCCGACATTGTTGATTCCAGGACGTGCATGAGCTTCTTACGGAGGTTTGTGGTGCCGACGGTGACCTCGCTGGAAGGACCAAAGCTCTCGGGGTGAGAAGAGAAGTATGCTTTTTCGTTGCGGGTAATGGCAGATGTGATGTTTGCATTACCACGGGAGAAGAGAGAATTAGAGTGCTGGGGTACGCGACAGACGACACCAACATAGCCGAGTCGCAGAGGATAGTTCTTATCAGTCAGCATAGCATGGCCTCTCTCAGCGTCTACAAGGTCCATCTTGGTTATGACACCAATGGTGCGCTCACCACGAGGGTCGACGCGACGGCTGGCACGCAGAGCGGTGGAGTTGGCAAGATCAACATCTGCGGCAGAGATGGCCAGAATGACGTTGGGTGCTTGAATGTACTTGTCGCACAGGGCAGCAATCTTCTCCTTAAGTTGAGTGGGCTGGTCGAAGCCAGTCACCTGGATGTAGCCGGGCAAGTCGATCAGTGAAAGGTCGGGGACGTTGGGCGAGTAGATGCGCAGCTGGATGGGGTCATCTGACACGCATTCCGTTTCGGGCACGGCCAGGTTAAGATCAGTCAGAGTCCTCTGAATCTGAGCAAAGTCGGTGACCTTGCCCAAGCCGAGAGCAGGGAACTCGCCGTACTCGGCATGTGCTCCGGGAGTGTTCACCAGAGTCAATTCGATGGGGCGACGAGTGACCATGTTGGAGCCTTTGGGAAGAAACTCGTGTCCGACAATGGCTTCCAGCACTGAACTCTTTCCTGACGACTGCGAACCGACGACAACAATCGAGGGCAGTGTGAGAGTCTCGGACTGGCCGACAGTCTGGAGCAGACTCCGGATCTCAATCATTTTGCGTGTCAGGAGCATCATCTGGTCATCGCGAGCAGCCACCTCTTCGGATCTGTCGTCTTCTTGGCCGGCGTCGAGGGCGAAAGCAGCAGCTGTGGCTGCACCGGCAGCAGCAGTCCCAACACGAGCCTCTTTGGGCTCCGGGCCATTCCCGCCAGGACCTCCATCTCCTCCAGGTCCAGACGATTCTTGTTGTGGGAAAAGCTCTTGCAAGTCCTTCTTGGTCTTCTCCCAGCCAGCCTTTGTTTGGGCGAAGATGCCGCCTGCGCCTTCGAAGATAGAGCGGGCTCCGGTTGTGGTTGCGTCCGAAGCTTTGGTGAAGAGATCGATCGCGTAGTTACCCGCCTCTNNGTATCGAGGTCAGCATTGTTTGTGATAGTGTTACAGAAGCGACTGACGAGCAGCTTGATATTGGATGTATGCCAGGCTTCCGACAGCGGTGGCACCTAGCAGGGCAGGCAGGCGGACAAGCTTGAACGCTAGCTTCGGTATGGCGCGGGCGAAGGATGCATGTCGGACTACAGCCGTGTTGGCGCCAGATGATATAGGTCGACTCCGAGGGATGCAGTTCCGTGTGATTAGACCGCCTGCGCGTTGTTGGGCTGTGTGATATGGCGACCTCAGGGCCAGGGGAGAGCTATGTCGAGCAAGCGTCGCATAGCGCGACGACAGCAGCCTCCCGCTCATAGTCACTGCATCTACCTGACGATTAGAATACCGAGAGTGGTTTGGACAAGTTCTCGTAGATGGTCAGCCTGGGTGATCGGTGACGTTGTTTCAGAGCCTTGAGACACAGCCACAGGCAGCCACAGTCCCTGTCTCACTTTGGTGGATTTGCTTGTTCCGTTTTGCCGTCCCTACCCACTCGGCACCTCGTCTCCTTGTCCTTCGCTCATGACGGCTCTTTGTCAAGACAATCATATCGAATATCGCTATGAACATCAATTCTGGATGAAGTCTACTACCCTCGTGTGATCTACGTTGTCTATAATGACTGGTGCAGGCGCGGCTCAGAACCGACGCCCTCCACGTCTCAACCATAAGAAGTCGCGTGCGGGCTGTCAGCGATGCAAGGCTCGCAGAGTCAAGGTGAGTTTGTTCCTTTTCCCATCTGTGAATTACCATCTCTGTAGACTGCACTCACTGCGCCTTAATGTCATGATAAACATGTCTGACGCGACATGCAGTNGCGATGAGGCCAAGCCCGACTGTGGAGGGTGCAACCGCCATCAGGTGCCCTGCGTCTATCTTCACACTGAAGCCTCCAGGACTGCAAGTGCTGATACGAGCGTGTCGCCTCGCGTGATACCACTGTCAGAGCAGTCCAAAGTCAAACCCGATGTCAGCCAAGTCCTAACTCCGCCAACCGTCAATGACCCCGTCACAACTGATGATATTCTGGACCTCCCGGAGTCACGTCAGCGCCGCCTACTCGAGTTGCGCCTATGGCATAATTATGTGACCGTCGTAGCCGTACCCTTCCACGCTGCTGCTCCCAAAACTTTTCTGATCGAGATCTGGAACAACCACATGCCTCACATCGCCATGCGTCACGACAATTTGCTCTACACCATCTATGCTTTCTCCGCTACCAGACTTTTGCGAGATGCTCCTGACGATATTGAACTGCTCACTGCTCAAAGAGTCTATTTCAGTCTAGCCTTGCGTGAGCAGCGCAAAGCCGTCATTCAACTCTACACTCAGGCCGAGGAAGCCGACTCTCTCTGCTTCACCTCCATCGTCATGACCATGAACGCTTTCGGCTCTCTCCAAGAACGCAATCGTCAGCCTTACAAACCACCAACCGATATGCTACGGCTGGGCATTGGCGCATGTGCCGTATACGAAGAGGCTCTCAAGAGTGCCCGCAAGTTTCCCTCTTCCAAGATTGTCAGCTTCATCGAAAACCAGCCCTTCTTCATCAGCATACCCAAAATGTTCGACGAAGAGCACCGCGGGCCATTTGTCAGCATTCTGGGGCCAAAGAACTCCCAGGGTGTCTATGAAGATTCTGAGCTCTGGAACCCCGAGGTCAGAGAGGCATACGAGTGCACCTTGAGTTACATTGGCACCATGTACACAGCCGTCTTGGATGGCGAATCACTTCATCAAATCTGCACGCGCATCGCTGCTTTCGCGCTGTATGTGCCCAAGAAGTTTGTGGATATGGTTGAAGAATTGCGACCAAGGGCCTTGGTCATCTTGGCGCATTTCTTCTCCATTGCTACCAAGGGCAGTGCTCATTGGTGGGTCGGTCAAACGCCCATGAGAGAGGTTCAGGGTTTGAGGAGGATCGTGCCTCAGGAATGGCAACGACACATGCGATGGCCGCTTGTCATGTCTGGTCTGGAGCCTGTTTGAGGCCGCATGCCATCTTTCACTCAACCCTTGACTGAGTCTGAATCACGACACGAATTCGTCGCACTTTATCCCGCCGCAACACGTTAACACTATCTCCTTCGAGAGACACACTCCGCCTACAGAGAGACATGACGACTATCATCTCTGGGAGCACGCTCAGCGAGGAGACCCCGCGCCACCTTCTCCGAGACTCACTGTATGTCTGATAGTGTCACGCGCAACCACAAGAATGCATGAACATCCGGGACAAGTGCCGCTGAGTGCCATTAACTTTTCTGGCATTCTCTGGAAACATGACTACTCTAGAAACAACCGTATGTTTCCATAGATCTCGAACCGATGCAAGAGAGCAATCGGAGACGTACCTAAGCATGTGAGGAGGAGTAACAAGGCACTGGTCAGATGTTCATCGCGCTCGCAAAAAGATGTGCAAAGTCAGGCTTTTTCATTGAGCACGGATATCAACAATTGTCGAATAGGACGCTTCAAGCCTTTTACTGTTTCTATTCTGACATCAAAGATATACCAATTCTCCATATAGATCTAATTAATCACAATGACAATCAGAACCCACAAAAGGAACCCCCCCCCCCCCCCCCCCCCCCCCCCCCCCCCCCCCCCATACCTTCAACCTAAAACCTCATCAGTGGCAAAATCATCCAAAGATGCCCGATGAAGTGCATCGAGATGTGAGTGCAAGTGTCAATGGCATAATTACCTAGTGATTGCAGCTTACCTCTGGTGAGATTTGCTGGGTCGTGGCAATGTGGTATAAGTCAGTGTATTCTGGTCATTCGCTTCAAGCATGATATCGTATTGTAAAGATGACTTATGTCGACAGGGACAGGTGGTTTGCCATCTGTAATCGTGCTTTTTAAGCGGTGTACAAATGTTCTTGTGGATTTTCGAGTTGGCTGGTCGAGGATAGTGATGCCTCAAGCACCTCTACTCTCTTGTTGTTTTCAAGCAAGTATGTTCCCCTTCGTGATCTAAATAGAAACAGTCTTGAACAAGAAACAGAAGTAATAGCATTTATACATTATACACACAATTAGTTTGGGGTACCTAGATACTCATCCCGGCCTCTCACCCACCATGCTTCGAGATGCATGTTTTAAGTTTCCTTGCCCCAGACAGGGAACTGCTTACCGATAGCGCTGTTGCAAGGATACTGCACAATATCCACACTGCTGACTCCAGAATTCTGTCCCGCATTGCTCGAAAGCACGGAACTACCATCTGGAGCATAGACATTGAATCTGAGGTCTCCCTGGCCTCCCCGTTGGCCCACATCACGCGTACTGTTGTCGTCTGTTAGCCGCTGATGTACTTGAAGAGATGTAGCGAATGTTGGGAAAAACTTACCAGGAAGATATGTGCCCACAGTGAGATAGTATGCCAAAGTCTGCGGCGTCTGTGTAGCAATCTGACTACTCCAGAATTGTGTGATGTCGGCATTCGCTCTTGTCCATCCACTGACTGCATTGTTGCCAATCCACACAAACTGGATGTCATCAGTGTAAGGGATGTTCAAGCTGTAGTATCCGGTTTGGGAAGCAAAGAGATAGAATGTGTGGTCGAGCACAAGGTTAGAGCCATCAACAGGGTAATAGCCATAGACGTTAATGTAGTTTCCGTAAGCATCGTTGGATTCGGCGATGTAGGTTGTATCGTCGGAGAAGTAGGGAGACACTTTCTTGTAGGTTTCGGGGATGAAGGAGGGGTAGCCATAAGTAGCTTGGCCGCCAGAGTACTTGTTGGCATAGGCTGCAAAGTTGATACCTTGATTGCCGCAGCTGGTGACAGGAGTGGGATAAACGATAGTCACAGTAGTCGTTGCGCCGGCAGCTTTGGGGGTGGAAGTGATGTAGCCAATCGAAGTAGCTGTACCAGAGTGTGTAGTGACAGTGGTGTAGGAGGCTTTGGCTGAAGAGGAGGTGCTAATGACCTGTCCTTTTGCGGCTGGGGTTTGCACGTATACCGTGGCCACAAGACCGGAAACTGCAGTTGTTGTCGTGGTGTATGTGCCAGTCCAAGCAGTGGTCACGGTAGTGAAGGAAACGGTTGCTGGAGCGGTGTTGACGGCAGCGACAGAGGATGTTGACGAGGTCGAAGTAGTCGATGCGATAGAAGAGGAGGATACCTTGGTCGAAGACGAGCTGACCGAAGCAGATGATGAGGATGACGATGACGATGAGCTCGAAATCGAAGACGAAATTGAGGTAGTCGATGAAACCGAAGAGGAGGATGTCTTGGAAGACGATACGGTCGAAGCAGACGATGAGGACGATGCTGACGAGGCCGAGCTCGAGGGAGGAGTAAGAATCGAGGAGAGAGCGACACTCAACGAAGATGATGAAACCACACTTGAGGAGCTCGATGAAACCGATGATGAGGTAGGAGCAACGCTGGACGACGATGACGATGATGAGACAACAGCAGGGCAGGTGGTGGCACCCGAGTTGATACTGTCTGCGACAGAAGTACGGTTGAAGTATGCATCAATGCTGCGAATCTTCAACACACTGTCAGATAGAGGTGGTCCCTGGGCCCAAGCATTTCCGTTCGACCTGTGAAACCCGTCAGCTTGATTGGGTTGTTACAAGAGTATTCTGGAGGCTTACCAGTTGTTCCAGATCCAGGATCCAGGTGTGCTTGGCACATTGTCTGTGATGGTCTGCACCAAAACTCCATCAATGTAGAACTTGCTGACACCAGGCAGCCAGTCAAGTCTATACTCATGCCATGCAGAGTTGGCGTCGGCAGGTGCAGCAACACTGTAAGTCGAGTAAGGAGAGCCATAGCCGGTTTGCTCGTTAGTAAGCCAGGCCTTGGAGATATCGGAGGTCAAGAATGCAAAGTCGACCTCTTGGGTGTCGTTGGCATAGAAGATGAAGCCGTGGGTGGTGCCTGGCACGTTAGAGATCTTGGCTACAGTGCGGACAGAAGCATAGAGGATATCGGCATAGTTTGTTGCAAGCTGAGCGGCAGAAATAGGACCNTGCTCGTTGTGTTAAAAGAAGCTAAGGGTAGTGGAGAATATCGAATTACCCGTGGTCTGTCCGCCAGGGACAGTAAGGGTCAAGGCAAGATCAGTAGGATCGAGGCCAATGTTGACAAGATCAAAGCGACGAGCAAGAGGGTTCAAGCCTTGATTCACAGTATAGGTGTTGGGAATCAGATCCTGAACTGTTCCATAAAGATCTTGAAGGAAGTCATGACCAAAGCGAGTGTTGAACGGTCCAGCGTCAGTGTTCCAATAGCAACCACTCTTTGAACCAGCAGATGAGCTAGTGTAAGCAGAAGCCGTCGAGCCAAGGGCCAAAAGATTGATGGCAGCTTTCTTCATAGCGGAGAAACAGTATTAAAGAGGGTATATGTTGTAAGAGAAAGACGCAAACGACCAAAAAGAAAACCTACGAGAACATGCAAAGAGTCCGCTATATACTCTACCGCAAGCGAAGCCACATGAAGTTCGTATAGAAAACAATACCGTCGTTGGCAATAGGGCTGACAGGCTAGTGTTCGATGTTGGGGTCAAGCGCTTATTCTGGAATATGAATCAAGGCCTCGACCAGACACAATGTCTTGTATATCGATATATCGTTATCCTAACGGCATGGAAGCGATAAAGCTGCTGGAGAGAATGACAGAAGTGCCGGTGGGAAGGGCTTTCCAGCCGTTGGATACTCGGCCGTTGTGTAATGCGGTCGGCAACTGCTTGTCCGCATGCGAAGACTTTGCAGCCAGTTTACCTTCCAAAGCGCAAGCATGGTTCAAGCCTTGCGATATATGCGGTGAGCTGTCTCTCCCTGTTATTCTTCTCGTGGTATGTATCAGATTCAAGGCGTAGATGGCGTTCGTGGAGGGCATTGAGTATAATTCATACCAGTAGATCTCCAGACACGAGCGCACCTCAAATCTCATCCTAGTGGACAAGAGGAATGGACCAACTCATAGCATGCTACAGGTTCCGAGCAGTGTGGATAGTCGACCGACCGACATGATGTTACTCGAGTAGAGAGAGCGAATCAAGTGCCGAACGGCATGTATGTGGCCCAAGCGTTTTGGCCCGTTGCGATGGTCGTGAAGCCGGTGGGCTCCTCCTTGACAATGCTCAGAACACCCTACGGATCAACAGAACTGCCTCTGCCAGTGAGGGACGTGAACTGCCAGCATGCGAACAGGCGACAGGCGTGTACCACGTGGCTGCAGCTCAATCACTTTCCTCTTGACATCTCGTGCAAGCACAGTCAAACTTCCAATGCTCCTTGAGCTTCTCCCTCCTCTCGCTCCTCGTCATATGTTTCTCGTCACCTCCCAGATAACTTATGCACAGTGCCTCTCTCTCCACGACGTCTCTTTCCGCCCAGAATTTCCACATGCGACCCTCACGTCTTTTCCGTATGTTTGGCCCACAACTGTGGTTCCAGTAACTCGCTGCCGTCCAGAGACCATAGCCCAGACACTCGCTGCCACCACTCGTATCCTCGTCCAAGTCCTGCGACCAAATGTTGAAGACGTTGTGTGATGATTTTGCTGCCAGTATGCGGAGGTTGGATGCGGTGATGTGGTCGAGGAGAGAAAGAGGTGCGCAAGCTAAGAGGTGGTGATAACTGGTGATTTGGAACTTGAGGTCTGCTGGCGAGATGTACGGCATGGTTTCGGATTCGAGGATCAGCACATCAGACCACAGAGACGGCGAGTTTGCGACTGTGAGAAAGGCAGGCAGTTGGTAGGCTATTACGCCGCGTATTGGTGGTGTCGCAAGGATCTGTGCCAGGAGTCGTCGCTCTGGTTTTGAGGGCTTGGTCGATGTTCGTGCGGCACGGATCTTTGTCGCTATCTCTTCTGCCATTGCCCATGCTGTGTCTATCTCTTGTGTCGTCGGTCGAGGTAGGAGGTGTTCTGGGTCCTCATCTGCATCTGAAGTGTTCGATTGTCCCGTCTTTCCGAGTCCTTCGATAGCGATTGATGCTGCTTCATCGTTCACTACGTCCATCTTCCATGCTGTCTGACATTCCTCGCTGCAGAACGCAAGTCCAGCTTTTGCGTCACGAATGCGCCAATTCCGACCTCTGTCATAGAGAAAGCATTGTGCGCAAACTTCTTTCCAGTACTCGCGATAGATGACACTAGCCGCGATCTCTGCCGTCTCGAAGAGAAGTGTGCCCTTGGGAATGAATTGTGTCGCGTAGACTCCTCGTCCACATTCTGCTGTCTCGCGGACGGCAAATATGGATGAAGCGTGGAGGGATGCTGGTGCTGACATCTCTTCTGACAAGATTGAATCCCTGGGATGATTTTTGTGAAACCTTGCCGACTCAAGCTCTAGACCCTGATGGCGGGAAGAAAATTAATAAGAAAAAGGAGAAATATTCGTCGCCCTGTCGATCTGCCGTGAAAACAACAAGGCCTACATCTTCCACATCTGGTTTTGGGTTTCTTCTCGGGCTCCTTACAGATCTGTGCTGGTGGTTATCACTGAACATAGATGGCATGACGAACAGAAACATTACAGGGAACATGTACAGGTTTGTAGACCTCTTGTAGATGGAGCGAATGCATAAATTCATACTAGCTTATTACTAGGTCCTCGATCATTATTGTTTTTCATGACATCTTCTTTAGTCCTGACCTGCGCCAGGAGTGTCGGCAATCTTGAAGACATACTTGACAGCTGAAGCCTTACCAGACTTCAAGTTGGCAAGACCTTGCTCGACACCATTGAGACCACCAGGGATCACCTCCTGAGGTTGAGGCTTGAACCAACCCTCATCAACACCCTTTGCGATGTAGCGGAAGAAGACTGAGCCAAAGTCCTTGTGTTCGTTGTGAACATCTCCGACCATGGTGATGGACTGCTTGACGTGCTTGGGGCAGTCAGAGAAGTCCTTGCCAGGAAGAACAAGGGTAATGTGACCATTCTCTGGCATGACCGCAGCAACGTTCTGGTATGAGCCCTGTTCCGAAACACCGTCGAAGCAGTGGTATAGCTCAGCGCCCTTGAGTGCCTCCTTGATGCCCTTCTGTACTGCCTCATTGCCGTCGCGGTAGTCAACGATGACGTCGCCCTTACTGGGGTCAAGAAGCTTCTCGACGTGTGATCTGGCGCGACCAGCGACGCCAATGATGGGGTGAATGTTTGAGCGAACGGCGAATTGAGTGGCGTAGTAGCCGATAGAGGATGAGGCTCCGTAGATGACTAGAGGAATGGGCTTCTCATCGTCCTTGCGAGGAGTCCAAGGTTGGGGCAGTCTCAGGCGGTCGTAGAGACCAAGGGCAGAGGTCAAGGCAGCGAGAGGCAGAGCGGCACCCTCCTGGAAAGAGACGTGCTCGGGAAGGTATGCGGTGGTGTGAGCCCAAGCAACAGCATACTCGGCGTAGGAGCCACCGGGAGCAAGCATCTGGTGGAAAGCAAAGACGCGGTCACCCTTCTTGAACTCGGAGACTCCCTGGCCGACCTCGTGGACTGTACCACAGATGTCGTCGCCTTGGTTCAGCTCGCCCTTCTTCGTCATATCGGGGTACTTCCTGTGAGTCTGTCAGAGATGCCTTCCAGTGTTTCGTTGGTTTCGAGCATACCAGTCCTTGGGGTTGCTACCAGAGTAGACAACTTTGATGACAACCTGACCCTTCTCGGCCTTGGGAACAGGCGAGTCAACGATCTCGACCTTGGGGCCGGCGCGGATGATGCCTTCCTTCATGTTGTGTTTGACGGTTGATGTGAATGTTCTGAGTTGACAGGATATGCAATTGGTTCTTGCAAGTGATCTGTACTGAGCGCGAAAGACTGAAGAGAACATATGGAATGTTATAAGGTAAACCAGAAGGTGAAATGAGAGCTCCACCTTCGACTTACAAATCCATGAGGCCCCGCTGCGTCATAATGCTCTCCAGTCTCTTTATTCATGAGCGGCTCCTTCTAGAACTACATCGGCAGTTCTGTTGGTGACAGACTCTTCAATGCAATGTATCTTTGAAGATCCTCTTTCTCGTCGGTTATGTGTCTCTTGGTGTACTATCTCCAGACGAAGATGTTTGGCGAAGCCTCTTGCAACAATGCTGTTCTCAAAACAGCTTGACAGCTTTCGGCGTTAACCGGATTTTTCGGCTGCAGCTTCATCCGAGAGCTTTCGTCGAGTTTTTGTATGGAGGACGACCCTGTGTATATTTGTAGATGCCCGTCATTCGACGACAACCCATCAAATTGATCCCTTCGTCCTTAGGAGCTAGAACATAATTTTGGTTGAATTGTGAGCTATGTCGCTGTCAAGCTCGTCAAGATAGGCTTACATTTTGAGGTCCTGTCAGTAACACAATTCGAGCTTCTTGACAAGAGTTGTAACTACACTGCCTCGCTTCTGGAACTGGGCATCGATCGTTCACGACAAACCGGTGATGCGGCAGGAACACTTCCCTCGTTCCAAGAATAATTTTGTCAACCTTGTGAAGACTCTCACAACAGACGCAATTCAGGTTTCAGTCAGCAGCTCAGCACGTCAAGCAACGCTTTCAAGCAAGACCAGGAAATCGGACAGACTCGGCATCCAAAGTGGATGCTCTCTAGTTGGACGAGAAAACTACCCGATCGCGTCATCCGTATTGATGAATCCTTCGAAGACGTGCTTTCATCAATATCGCGACTCTCGACTTGGTCGAGGAGACGGACGCTGTCGCATTGGCTGGACGGCACGCTCCTATATCCTACTCCCAAGGCGGTTGCGACGACTCTTCTGATAGGTCAAAGATATGTCGAATCGACCTGCTGGCCTATCTGCGGTCAAACCGATTCAACACCATCGAACATTTCTCGAAGAGAGGAGAAGATATCCGGGACCCACATAATCAGACGCTCTTGGTCAAGATCGGCATACCACGGTAGCATCCGAGGCGAGATTTACAAGCTTTTCTCGGCAGGCTAAGCTCTTTCGCGTAATATCCACCAATCCTTTTGCTCGTTCAAGGCTATATCAACGCGAACACGAGCAAAACTTGTCTACATGTCAAAATCGTGGCACAGACTATGATCATGTAATAAGATGCGCTTTTGATCGACAGACTGCAGCACGCCATATCTGCCCTATCAGACGTGCTATTCCAATGGCAAAAATCAACGTGCTGTCTGCGTGGCACGAATGAGTCTTGATGAGCACGAACAGACGTCTTATGACTCTATATAGGATCAAGCCCCTACCCGAGGCACTTCAAACCTTTTTGGAAACTCACCCTCCATACTCCAACATTCTTCCGATGGCAGGCTCGTTGTTCAGGCGTGCCGTTGCATGCGTGAAGGGCGAGAGTAACCATACTGCACGAACCCCGGATGGTTTTGCTGAATCGACCACACTGGATGAGAAGACAGCAGCTGGACTTACTGGCACTGGAAAGATCGAACCCACATCAAAGACCTACGGACTCGAAGTTGAAGATGAAGAGGTCAAATCTGGATCCGCTTCTAACACTGAGAGCGACGACTTCGCTGATGATGACGAGGCCGTTCGTGATATTCCGCCGGCCGTTCGACGTATCGTGTCCATGACGGACAACCCGGAAGAACTCACACTTACCTTCCGTTACTTTGTGCTGGCCATATTGTTCATCGTCCCTGGTGCTTTCCTATCTCAAATGTCATACTTCAGAACGACGTCAGCAGCATATTCGGTCTTCTTCGTTCAGATTGCATCAAACTACGTCGGAATGTGGCTTGCAAAGATTCTACCAAACAAGAAAGTGTTAGGCATTAACTTGAATCCTGGCCCATGGAGCACAAAGGAGCACGTACTGGTCACACTATCAGCAGCTTCAGGAGCGACTTACAACCTTGCCTACGCACCAGTATCAATCGCTGAGCTGTACTTCGGTGAGCCGATGAACCCAGCTGTCGCGATCTTCTTCATGTGGAGTGTTGTTGTCACTGGCTACTCTTTCGCTGCTATCTCGCGTCAATTCCTGCTTTACGATCCCCAATACCCGTGGTTCCAGGCTTTGTGTCAGACTGCTCTGTTCGAGTCGCAGAAGAAGGAAAGGAACAATCCGACCCCTGTATCCAAGAGACAAATGAGGATCTTTTTCGCTGTCTTCTTCGCGGTAGCTGCTTGGCAATTTTTACCGGAGTATGTCTTCCCTATGACTGGAAGTCTTGCTTTCCTTTGCTGGGTCGCGCCCAGAAACCCTGTGGCCAATTTTATCGGCTCCGGATTTGGAGGCATGGGCTTCCTCAACCTTAGTCTGGACTGGTCAAACCTCAGCACAAATGGTAACCTCTTCTTGTTACCATGGTGGACCCAGGTCATTATGTTCTTGGCCTTCGCTTTCAACTGTTGGATTCTGCTTCCTGCTGCCAAATGGGGAAACCTTTCTGAGTTCAAGCCGGGTCTCATGTCGACAAGCGTCTTGCAGGGAAACGGCACCAAATACCCCCTGACCAAACTCGTCACTCCTCAAGGCACGTTCAACGAGACCGCCTACGAAGAATACGGTCCCCTGTATCTTGGAGCGCAAATGCTCTGGGGTATCTTCTTCTCTTATGCTGCGTTCTTGTCCGCTTGGGTCTGGGCTGCTCTTTTCGGCTGGTCATCTTTCAAACAAGCAATCTCGAAGTTCAAGAAGAGAAACAGTGAAGGCAAAGACAAGGGCATCAACCACCAGTACGATGACCAATTGAACGTTTTGATGCGCTCTTATAGGGAGGTGCCGCTCTATTGGTATGCGGCTCTTTTCGCCTGCTCGTTCGTCTCGATCATCACCATGGCTGCAGCTGGAAAGATCTATATCCCGGTCTGGACCTACATCGTCGCTCTGATTACTGGAGCCGTGGTAGTGACTCCCCTGGGCTGGCTGTACGCCGTATCGAACTACCAACTTCCTATTGGGTAAGTCTGATGCCCTCAGTACTCATTTCTTCATATTCTAACGTCAACGCCGACAGAANCCTTCAACGAGTTGATGTACGGCGTGATGGTGAATGCCATTAGTGGCCATAAGAACCCAACAGGCGCCACGATTTACAGTTCTATCGCTGGAGATGCCTGGTATAGGGCCCAATACATGTTGCAGGACCAGAAAATCGTGAGCAGTTGCCGCCCTACGTCTTAGGGATGAAAATGAGGCTAATTCCAGTTTAGGNGACATTACATGCACATCCCTCCTAGAGCAACGTTTTTCAGTCAGATATTCGGCTGCACCATTGGTGTCCCCATCAACTACGGCGTCGTCAAATGGGTTCTGTCCTCCAAACGCGACATCCTGCTTGGACTGGAAAAGGACCCCACACACCAGTGGACAGCCCAACATCTCTCCTCTTCCCTCTCAACATCCGTCGAGTACGTCCTCATCGGCCCTACAAAAATGTTCCAGCAATCCTCCTTCAAACCCCTTCCCTACGGCTTCATTGTCGGCGCCGCCGCCNCCTTCCTCATGTACGCCCTCCACAAGTTCTTCCCAAACTCGAAGCTCAAGTTCCATCTATGGAACACGACGATTTTCTTTTCGTGCGTGTCAAACTTTTACGGCAATGTCTCTACTGGCTATACCTCTGCCTTCATCGGTGGCTTTGTGGTCATGTTTTGGGCATTCAGGTATAGGAATGCGTTGTGGGCGAGATACAACTATCTCATGGGAGCGGCGTTTGATGCGGGATATAACTTGAACTTGCTGTTGGTGTTTTTGTTCTTTGGCAGTGGCAAGATTGTTAATATGCCGTATTGGTGGGGCAATAATGCGCAGAGTAGTGAGAGGTGTTTTGCTCTTGATTAAGAGGTTGGATGAGCAAGAACAGAGATAGAAAGATAGAAGTTTGTTCAGTATATGACGATGAATGTTCAAATAATGATCTTATATGTCAGGAGCCACTGCTAGCTTGATTTAATAATGTGGGGTTTTGATCGAGTACAACTCAAAATCAATGTCCATCTGTCATAGATGGATGTTTGCGAGCTGTGTCAATACACGAAATCGACTCAAATATCGTGGTGTCCCTTTGAGACGCTTGATTGTATGTTCTCTTGATGAAACATCTGTTCCTCAAGATGGGGCCCGGGATCTACCCGCTAGACTCGCGCCTACCACACGCAAATGCAGGGAATGAATAAGCTGTCAACATGCAACGTTTGTTACTAATGAATGCGCGTCCCAGAGAGAGAGAGCGCTTGTCTGATTTGGTCTCAATGGACGAGCTCTGTTCTCTCAACTTTGTTGTACGTTTCTACAACTACATGTTGGCAGACTATAGTACGTGGAAACTGCTTCCACTTCCTCGACTAGTAACCACGATAGCTCGGCGGGAATTTGTTCTTTCAAGATTACCTCTTATTCCATTTTACTTATGAGCAGTCGGGCTGGTCTGTCGCGAGTTGGTGAATCTTTTGAGGTAGAGAGAGATGCGTGCGAAAAGTTTGTATTGATCATGCTATATCTTCATTGAGAGAATGTGACATAAGCTTTGGTAATATCCTCGACCAGTCCTAGGAGACGGGTGGAATTGTATGCCCGCCTAGCCAAGCCTACCCTATGATCTTCTTGCCAATCAATTGTGTATCGTGGCCGTCAAGCCAGGAAGGATTTCAAGGTCCTTGGACTTGTAGAAGTACTTGCCCTCCTTGATCTCTGGCGTCTCAGTCTTCCTCTGCTGCTGTGTCTGTCGGAGTTTGACCCACTCTTGCATAGTCAGATGTTGGTTGAGATTGGTGAACGCATTGGAAGTCAGACCCAATCGATCAAGAACAGGGCTTTTGATGGGGTCCAGGACGACATGGTTGTTTGGTCGTGCAAAGTACAGTACACCCAGTCGATCGATATGAGCCTGATCACTCGGAGGTGCGCGAACACGGTGAACGCTGCTCTTGACATAGCCTGCCGTCAGTGCAGTCAAGGCATCACAAGTGTTGATCGTGATGGTTGCATCCTGAGGCTTGACCCACTTCCACTGGCCTTCGTTGTTCAAGATCTGCAATGCTGCAACCGGTTGGCGGAACAGAAGGGTCACAGAGCCCAAGTCGGTGTGACCTGGTGTGTAGAGCTCTCCCACCTGGGCATTCTCTTCTGCGCTACGAGCGGCATAGTGCATATAACGTAGATGATCCTCGCCGAAGTCATCGTAGACATGGTCCTTGATGAAGAACTCCTCGTCAATTTCGAGCAGAAGAGCAAAGAGCTTCAACAACTTGACCACAACTTCTGAGTGACACTTACGACTGAATGTCTCGATATCCTTGATGTGGTCTTGAAGTACAGCAGGTTGCTGGCGTTCATGATGTCCGTCAAACTTGGGAATGTTGTAAACTTGGATATTGTCGGTGATGCCAAGGGCGAGGGACCGAAGGCCGGCAGGGCGATATCCGTTATATTCGCCGGCTTCGAGGTCTTTGATGTTGTGGTACTTGAGCTTCTCTTCCAGAGGAAGGTCGTAGAACTCGCGTCCCAGAGCAAACTGACGGTCGACTTCTTCTTGGCTGATGTTGAAGTTCTTCACGTAGAAGAAACCTNNGATTGGTGTCAGTGGAAGAATAGTTTGATCGATTGAGAAATACATACCGACATGGCGAACAGCGTGCTCAAGTTGCTTGACAAGCTCTTGCTTGCCACCAGGCTTCTCGAATTGGCTCAGATCGAGGGTGATGAGCTCGGCCCAGTCCACTATTCAACTGTTAGGAAGAATCAAAATTAGTGAGAAAGCGAACGTGCGGTCTTCCTTGGTCACGGGGACCTGTTCGTATGGACTCAATGTCTTTTCGGGCATGGTGACTGACAAACTGATCTCGAAGACGTAAATGCTTGCTTTGCCTCTCTATCACTCTCTGAGCTGGTAGCTATCGACTTTTATGGTCGTCTTCCGCGACCTCGGGCGACCCCTCATCCCGCACACCATATATCGAGTCATGTGTTGCTGACTGGCAGGCTCCACACTGTTATGATGTTATCAGTGAATTGTATGGAGTTCGGAGATTGTTGCACGAGAAGTGCCAGGGTGGCCAATTGGAAGTTTCGATTTGGTTGTGGAAGGAACGAGGGGTTCATCACGCAAAGCGGGGATGAAGTTGCGCGACCATCTTGCAGATCAACCCAGCATCTCAACAACACATTGGTTTGCTCTACAGTACTGGCCGCTTCATGCTGCGTGAACAAGAAATCTGTCACGACGCTTCATTGTCTTTGTTGCCGAGCCCTTGTCTCTAGTCGTGCACTCAAGCTTTCACGAGCTATGTCCAAATACCATTGACAGTGATCAAAACCAAGTCCACTTGAGACACCCATCAAGTTGTGCCGGTGTTCCAGCTTGGCCTGTCAAGAACTCGAAGGATGCGGAGTTGATTGTAAGCATCGGCGGATTCTCCGATAGCGCAGCTTGTCGCAAAGATACATCTCAGGCTCCTGACATCTCACCATCGCCATATCTGCAGGTTATGGTGTGCCAGAAAAGCGGATCCAGTGCGTGATGGCTTAGCCCAGTCCTGGTAGTCACAGCGGGCTGGTCTTTCTCAATAACTCAGCTATATATGTTACTCGCGGCTGTCATGTGGTACTTCATCACTACTACTTGACTTATATTCACTACGATGGGAGACGTAAAAACTATTACCAACCATGATGGTGACACAGCGAAGAAAGACATGACTTCGATAGACATTTCCAGCGACAGAAGCCAGCCTGCTAGCAGTAGCGACCTGGAAAAGCAATATACCCCAATTCGACGCTTCTTTCGCTCAGTCCAAAGGTATGTCTGGGACGACCCAGACAAGCCGAAACATGAGAAGAAGTTCTTGCTCAAACTCGACTTCTTTCTACTTACCTATGCATGTCTGGGGTACTTTTGCAAGAATCTGGACCAGCAGAACATCAGCAACGCATATGTGTTTGGAATGAAAGAGGCACTGCATATGAATGGCAACGAGCTCACGTACATGAGCAATGTCTTTACTGCTGGATATGTCATCAGTCAACTCCCAGCCGTCATTCTCGTCACAAAGTTGCGGCCATCCCACGTCATCCCGACCCTCGAATGTCTTTGGGCAATTTTCACCTTCTGTTCTGCTGCAGTAACATCAGTACCTCAGTTGTACGGCCTACGCTTCCTAATCGGCTTCTGTGAAGGAGCCTTCTTTCCTTGTATCATCTATTTGATAGGTCAGTGCCTCCAGGACCAAGTCCTGCACCGAAAGGCTGCTAATACATGATTTACAGGCTCATGGTACACCAAGCATGAGCGAGCAAAGAGAACGACACTCTTCTATTGCACAGCGTCTCTAGCGCATATGTTTTCTGGTTATCTACAAGCAGCAGCCTACGACAATCTCGACGGCAAGCTAGGTCACGCTGGATGGCAATGGTGAGAAGACGAGCAAGTCGAAAGCAAAGAAGTCAGTAGCTGATCATGTACCCAGGNNCTCTTCATTATCTGCGGCATCATCAGTCTACCCGTGGGAGTTATCGGATATTTCTTCAATCCCGACTTCCCGGAAAATACCAAAGCCTTCTATCTGACGAAAGAAGAAGCCGCCTACGCCAGACAAAGACTGATCTTGGATAGCTATACCCCTCTCGGGTCGCAGTCGTCCAAGTGGGACAAGAAAAAGCTCTTCCGTATCGCTACGACATGGCAATTCTGGGTCCTGTCTTTTGGCTACTTCTTCGTATAATCCAGTCATCCATCTCAACAGCCATTCTATTCGCTGTGGCTCAAAGCTGAAGGCCACAGTGTGTATCAAATCAACGTTTGGCCAACAGGTCAATCAGCAATCGGCGCAGTCACTCAGATCATCGCGGGCATGCTCTCAGACTCACCTCTACTCGGAGGTAAGAGATGGCAAACAATAGCAGCACTTCAAGGAGCATCTTTCTTCGGTACACTGATCCTGGCTATCTGGAATGTACCCATTGGCCTCAAGTACTTTGCCATGTACATCAGTTTCTGCTCTGCCGGGGTGCCTGGACTTTTCTACTCCTGGTTCCCCGACTTGATGCCGCATGATCATGAAATGCGGGGGTTCTTGACCGCTTTCTCGAACATGTTTTCCTATGTCAATCAGATCTGGTTTCAGGATGCCGTTTGGAGGACCGAGGAAGCTCCGAAGTTTCGGCCGGGCTTCATCGCTGCTGCATCGTTTAGTGTTGCTCTGATACTGACAGCTTGTCTGATACGAGTCTTAGAGCAAAGGGATGTGAAGAGAGCACACCAATCGAAGGATATACAAGAAGGCAGTAGAGTGGGTGACGAAGTTGTTCCGGGAATTCAGGCTGATTCTGTACACATAGCATGATCACATATGATATGATACAGCCCAATCCGAGCAGAGGATAGACGTGCAGCAAGACAATGAGATAGGCAAAATAGATATATTACAGCTTTGAGGCACCATTACCCACATCTTTCGACTGCATAAGCCCAAGAGCTGTATGAACGGAGTTCCAATCAACTCAATTTAAATAGAAAGGGTTGCTACGAAATGTTACCTTGTGTCTCTGTTCACTGCTCGAGCTGCGAAAACGGGGCCAATTCACAGGAGTCTCCAGATTACCTGAGAACCTATTCGCGGGTTCACCTTTGTGTTGGTGTCCATAGAGATTCTGCAGGCAACATGGTTACCATAGTCATCAAGATGAGCTGTGTACGAAGGCCAGAAAAGCTCAGTATGTGAACGGCGGCTTTTCAAAAGAATAATGTAGCAGGCAATGCCTTGTAGTTACTCGTCGGCACGTTATGAGTGATTCTCTGGTGCGCTGACCTGACGTTCCATCTTGCGCTTGAGCTGCTGACGAGTGACGAATGATATCTGGTCGTTCAGTTCGGCGAGAGCGAGGTTGTCCTCGGCCTCTAGCATCTGATAAAGACAGACGCCCTGTCAGCTGTTGTCGCCAGCTGTGCATACAGAAATGCTGGCTTGGGAATGCCGATATTGTGAACATAGCGCACGTGATGCGGCACATACTCCTTGGTAGAGAGATTGGCAGTGGAAGATTAGTGATGACTATCGAAGTAGGCAATGGGGACACTCATCAACCAAGTGAAGGCGTGTCAATGTCGAGTAGGTTGTGAATGAGCACTGACAGATAAGAAAGTATACTATGAAAAGAACATTTGATTCATATTAGAGAAGTTGGTATCAAGTACTAGTTTGCGACACATGAAAAGCTTCTACAACGAAAGTCATAACTCGTCGGGGGGTCCGAGTGAAAAACATCAAAGGTACTCTAGAAGTTGGCAAAGGCGGCACCGATGGCACCGAAGAGAGCAGCGCCACCAACAGCACCAGTTGCGAAGGCATTGGCAGCACCAGTGGAGCTGGCAGCACCGGTGGTAGCACTCTTCTGGGCAGGGTTTGTCGAGCTGGGGGTGGCCTGGCCAGAAGTGAAAGGTACGTTCGTTGCCTTGGTAGTGACACCAGCGAATGCTTGAGAAGTGCTTGATGACGAGGCAGTCTCAGTAGCGTTGTGTGCAACAGTGTTGTTGGGGTTAAGGACTCTGTCAATGACGTGGATGACACCGCCGCTGAACAAGATATCGGGGGTGACGACTTTGGCGCTGTTGACATAGTAGCTGCCATTGATGTTTTGAACAGTGAGGTTGCCTCCAATAAATGTGGGAACAGAAGTGCTACCGTTCATGATGTCGGCGCTGTAGAGAACACTGTTGTTCACGACGTGGTAGCCCAGAACCGAGACAAGCTCAGAAGCGGAGGCGTTAGCCAAGGCAGAGCCGACAGCTTGGAATGCGTCGTTGTTCGGGGCGAAGATTGTGACGTCGTGGAGGCTACTCAGAGTGGACGTCAAGTTGAGCTCCTGAGCTGCGCCAGCGAGTGCTGTCAAGTTCGCGTTGGTAAGGGTAGAGGTGAGGTTTCCTGGGATTGTAAGAGTGCCATCGACGATGTGAATGACACCACCGGTGAAGTTGAGGTTCCCAGATGTGACCGAGACGTTATTTTTGAGGCCGCTAAAGAAGGTGGCTGTGTTGTTGACCAGAAGGGCTTCAACAACCTGTCCACCAGTGACATTGGAGAAGGCAGGGTTGGTCAAGTGAGTGTGAGGGAAGGCAGATGTAACGTTGTTAAGCTCAGAAGACAGGATGGTGCCATTCAGAGTGTGGTAGCTGATCAATGCCTGGACAAGCTCAGAGGTGACAGCAACACCGGAACTGTTCAAACGAGACAGGGCTTCGTTGCTAGGGGCAAGGAGGGTGATGTTTCTCATGCTGCCGACACTGCTCAGCAAATTGAATTGCTGGAGCAGGGTCCAGAACGAGTTGAGCTGCTGGTTCGCGAGAGGGACAGTGCCGTTTGTTGACATGGTAATGTTTCCACCAGTGGTGAGGTTACCACCTTCTGTGGTGTTCTGTGCCGAAGCAACAGATGCTGCAAGAGCGATGGGAGCAATCTTTTGGAAACGCATATTGAAAGATGGCAGCTGGGAGAACGAAGCTGTAGAATAGAATGAGAAGAACAATGGCTGGATCGGACAACCTACTTGAGGGCAGAAGAGGGGCTTATATCTACTTTTCCTTGATCGAGAGCTCGACTTGGCTGAGTTGGCTAGTTCTTGGCTGCCCGCGGATCATGCAGCTCGTATAGCAGCCGTTGCGCGTGACAAACCTTCGCGGGATTGGCGGGATCGGTGGCAAGGTTAGAACCGACGGGGTTGCCACGCAGGATGGTCTAAAGTTCGTTGCTAGCATGAGGATGCAGCGGCCCAGTTCTCTATGGACCCTGACAGAAGTGGTCTTCACAGCTTCCAGACTTCTTGGATATATCCGTTCTGCACGCACGTTCAGAAGCTACCTCGTATCGATGCCGTGCTGTAGAGTAAAAACAACGAACTGCGAGCCAAGTCTGCCCAGGACGGTTTGGAACTTGTCTCGAAGGTCCAAGAGACCGGGAGAATTCATGTTACTTCATCATCATGCAGTCCGTAGAGCAGAAAGACGGAGCGAACCCCACAAAAGGCTAAATCTGAATGTTGCGGGGGAGCTGCTTCTCGATTGGACGATCTGAAATATGCTTTCGACATAAAGATCGGATGGAAAGCAGCAAAAGTCTTTTTGTGGTATGGATGAGGCTGTGGGACGCGTAAGCCGGCTTGTCCGCTTCGAGTCGATATACAGCCTCAATTGATATGGAAGGCCGACACATGGCGAGCTCAAGCTGAGTGCCTCGATTTTGTTCTTGGAAACAGTGGATGCTCAGGTGTGGTGGAGGGAATTCCTGCCAAGCGAGAAGGCTGCATGATGAAGTCATGATCTGGCTCCTTCAGGAATCAGGAAACGTGATTCGTGAAGGAGAGATGAACGTGAGAGATCGAGCACTTCGTATTCGCAGGTCCAGACGATAAAACGCGGAATGTTGGCAAAGAAGACCAACCAAACTAAAGCACGGCGTTTTTCTGCCGATGTACAGTGTGAAGTGCTATCGTATCGCTTCAGAAATCGCAACTCCACTGTCCAGCTTCTTGCTTTCGGCAGTGACTTTCGTGAAGGTATCTCTCAGGATGGAACAATAACGTCTACCGAACTCATGAGCATTCCTTCAAGTGCTCTGGCGTATTCGGGGTCGCAGCCGCTACCACCAATGACCTTTGCAAGACCGACACCTCTGATACCCTCGAATAGCTTCAAAGTGCTGTCGTCCCCATAGCCGTAGGCTGGTTGAAAGTATTCAATTTCCAACTCTTCAGCACCAGAAAATGCCTGCTTGAGCTGCTCTGCGCTGAATCTGGCATCCACATCGAGTCTCAAGTAGATATACCACCTCTTGATTTTCCACCTGCCCGGACCTTCTGTGATTGGTTGTCGAGGGCTCATGAGGTATGGCAGTGCAGTAAGCAGCGATGGGTGTGACGCGAATTGATTGGCACCGTAGAGGATGCTTGCCGCTTCATCGTGAATCTGCCGACATGTTCGCAACAGTGCTGGACATAGATCGAGTGGTGGTAAGATGTAGTCTGAGCATAGCCCCCGTGTCGCAATGCGACGCGACTGCNNTCTCACATGAGCAGGAGCTGTGAGTAAAAGCGCATAGATGGTATTGCGCAGTTCAGCCGGCAGCGTGAGAAAGGCAGGAGTGCGCTGTGCTGTGGTCGACTCGGAAGTCATCGTGTTCGCGAGCAGCAATGTGGAAAGACAGAGCCGACATTGAGACGACACAACGGCAGCTTGCCATGATTTAACATGGCTCTCTGCGGACAGATGGAATGCAACTTTGTTGGTACGTAGAGATAAGAAGCAATCTGTTTCGCGATTAGCTTTGGGCAACGTGCTGTGTTCTACGCGGTATGCTTGATACTATGGCAAGCAGCGACAACAACCCATGATGTCTCCATTGCGACCGACCTCAGGCCATCTTCTTCCCTTCATATCTCATAGTCGCAATTTGCGGCAAAAAGTCGTTTGCCGGAGGCTAGATATCCGACATCTGATCCATCCAGACAGATTTGTGGGCAATGTCGCCAGCTGTTGTGAGGTGCTACAGAAACATGTTGCATGGGCACATGCCAGAGATGACAGCCAGAGCGAGGCCGGATGCTTGACACATCTGGTTTTAGGATATAGGTAGGTGTTTTGCAACTAATGGTTCTGATATTGGTTTGAACCATGGTATAGATTTGCTGTTTTGCAGTTCACGTAGCGAGCTGTGACGGAGGTAGGTGAGATCAGGAGCAGGGCATCGCGCAGTGTGAGATGAGGGCTCAAGACAGGTCTCTCAGTCGCCCAACACAGGGGTTTCAAGAAGTGAGTGGTCGTCGAAGCCGTCGAGATGGAAAGCTTGCTGTGTTGTTTCATGTGGTTCACTCTTTCCGTTTCCTCTCGCCTTCCTTCCTCAACGCGACCACACCAGAAGAAACGTGCGTGCATTGCCCTATCATCTCTGACCGTGCTAACAAACTTAGCGCAATGGCCCCGACGGAATGCGATCAGCAGGAGCAGGATGCGGCTGCCCTGATTCTTCTTCAAATGGCAGACCCAAACTGGGAGTCGCCCNAGCTCTGAGGAACCTGAGCAAGACGAGGAAATCAAGGACAAGAAACCCGAGCAGAAAATCAAGGGCGAGGAAGCTGAGCCGGAAGCTCAAGCTGTCGCACTCGAAACAGTGATCAAGCCCAAACCCNNTCTACTTCCAAGACTCCTGCCTTGGTCGTCGGCTCCTCCAGTGCTTCGCAGTCCAGCCCAGCCCCGAGCACTCCCTCTTCTGCATCGTCTTTCTCGGTCAAAGGCGCCTCCTTTGCAGAAATCGACGCACACCAACAGACAATTCAGCAGACTCGCGCCGCCTTGACACCCACGCAACGAGCCGCTCTCAACCTCAAGGAGTACTCTCACTACGACCTCGCCGGCAACAAGATCGGCACCCTGTGGCAGACTAGAGCCGAACAACGTACATTCCGCCAAACCCAGAGAAGAAGAGGTGCAAAGACTGTTCGTGCTGGTACTACCAACGGAATGAAGCTCAACAGACGTTGTTAAGCTGTCGTCTTGATGTCCGAGATGTCTTGTTAACAAAGAACCCCTTTTTCTTTGTTAACGTACCGAAGCACTCGTTTTTTCCTTTACCCATCTTCTTTAATCACATTGTCGAGTCACAAAATTCACTTCAACTGTCAAAACACAAAAAATGTCCCTATACAGTACACATTGGAGCAGAGTCTCGCACGGAAGTGCACCCTTCAAGCAAATCAAATTTAGACGACGAGCAACACCTCAACATGCACGTTTCCTGACTGTCGACACCAAAAACATCGCAGCAGTGGTCGAAGAATAAAGCAGAAGCACAAAGAACCTCAACACAAAGAGACATCCGCTCGAGTCCAACAATGGCTTTGTCTTGACGCGTAGCGAATAGTGGTAAGCTCTCTATCATATTGCATTTTCACACAACACCGCCCGCAAGAACATCCGCACGCGTAGTAGCAACACGCTCTGGATACCATGGCGCCGCTCCGCCAGCTTTTCTACTTAATGGCCCTTTCTCTTCGTCTCAATTCTCTTTTTGACACTAGACAATAACACACTTACTCTAGGCGACATGTCTTCAGGAACTGGTCAACACCAGGACAAGAACGAGCACATTGACCCAAACGAGGAGTTCGACATGGCTGACTTGACTCTTGACTCTCCATCTAACACAACTAACTTCGACGCCATTGACGACAGCACCATTCAACAATCACCGCTCGGCATCGATTTTGAACGTGGCCTCGACATGAACGATCTTTTCCTTCCACCAGGAACCGCAGTCAAATACACTTTGCCGTACGGTTGTCTTCCTCAATCCCCCCTTCAACAGACATACTCGGACCCTACCGTCTACCCTACTCCTAGCTCGATCCGCCCTGCAGCAAAGCCAGAAGCCTCATCACCCAAGACCCCTACGAAGCCCAGCAAGAAAGCTCGCAAGTCCAAGGCCAACAAGAACAACAACAACAACAACAACAAAGAGAAGAAGGAGTTCCCTTGTACCTACGATGGCTGCAAGCGCTTTTCCACTTGCCAGTCCAATCTCGATGAACACATTCTCACGCACACAAAAGCCAGGGATTATCCTTGCGAATACAGAAGCGAGAAGGGTATCCTCTGCAACAAGAGCTTCGCCCGTCCCTGGGGTTTGAGTCGCCACTACAGCGAAGTCCACAAATGTGATATCCGCGTCTTGAAGAAGACCTCTGTGAGAGGTGTCACTGGCGACGGCAGTCCAAAAAAGACTTACAAGAAGACTGGCTTGAGTGACCAGAAGCCTCTTCCTGCTGGTCTCCCTCCAACTCTCCTGGCTGAGGACACTTCTTCTGCTCACGAAAAATGCATACCTCTTCCCATCAGTATCCGCATCGACATCAACAACTTTGGCTTTGAGGGACCTTACTGGTGTGCTTTTTGCTCAACTTGGTTCGGCGAAGGCAACGAAATACTGGAGCACAATCACATTGTGCATGGATTTCCTGCAAGCTCCTACTGCTCTTGCAAGCTGTGCAGCGCTGAACACTTCACCGTGGACGACACGGTCGACACTCACCCAACCTTCGAAAACCCCTGGGAAGACGGTCTCGAAGACATGGATGTTGGGCTTGAAGACCAGGACATGAACATCGACCCAAGACTCCAGGGCCTCGGCATCAACAACCCCAGCCACGACTTGGACATGCTGAGCACCTGTTCCTACACCATCCAAAACTTCTCCAACTCGGCTGCCTCGCCTACCTCACCTGCTCCTCTTGTCACCCTCTCTCCAACCTCTTCAGTCTCTTCTGCTTGCTTCTCAGACCAAAATTCAGGCATCCTTACTCCAACACAGTCTCTCCCTGACATTGACACCGAGATGATTACCCCAATTCCTGACGACACTGTTACGTACACTACAGATGGCTTTCCCATCCACGACTACCCTTCTCTGTCGTCAGCCGCCTTTTATGCTGCCCTTGATGTGGACGACAGCAACATGAGTGCCGAACAACGCGCCGCTTTCCGATTTCTTCGTGGTTTCGGAGGGATTTAGAGACTTTGCTTCACATCCTTACACGACGCTCACATGAAATCATCATGGGTTTTGTCTTCTTTCTTTTGTTTTCTTCTGCAGGGCTTTGAGTTCTGGAGGGCGTTTTTGGGGGTTTGTGGTTTGAACAGATGATTGTTTCAGCATTGCCATGATCAGGGGGGTCCAAAGAAAGTAAAAAGGCATCAAGACAATCAATGGGCAACGGCATAAAGACATACAAAGCATGAATTATCCACAAAGCATGGATCTTATCCACGAAACAGTATAGATTTACATGATAGCACATACATACCTACAGTATCGATATAAACATTTTCCCGCATCGGCATTTGACACTCAATGTATTCTGAGCTGCAATAACAAGGAGAATAATTACATATCGACAAAGGCGGAAATATACTCTCCACTTTGTTATGATTGTGTCCATCAAGATGATTGCTGTACGAGATGTTCCTTTATACTGGTTTCTCGTGTATAAAAGCCTCTACCTCACATCCCAGCATGATAAAAGTCTACTTGGAAGAAGAAGACGAAGAAGAAGAAGAAGCGAACAAAAAAACGCCATCGCTAAATATGATAAACCCTTCCCTGTCCTGATCCCTCTCCCCCGTACCAAAAATAACAACTCACGTCTCATGCTACCAATTCCCCCCCGAGCCCCTAAAGTTTACTCCTCACCCCCTCTAATCTAAACCTCACATCCTTGAGCACTTTGCTAACCGGCCTCCACTCCTCAAACTCATTCACCAGATTCTGGACTTCGTCTGTCATATCCCCTTTGACGACTTCTTCTTCGAGAATGCCCCTCAATGCCCAAGGTAANAAGTAAGGATTGGCATTGCTGCCACTAGCCGGGACTTCAAAGTCTGCAAACGTGGGAGGAATGCCAGAGATGGATGATGCAGAAACACTACCTCTGCGCAGGGAATTGGCAGCACTGACCGAGGAGGGAGGGCCAGCTCGGGAAGAACGAAGGGAAGTTGCGTCAGGGGTGGGGGACGCCGTGGTGGGTAGGTCGGTGGTTTCGAGGCAGAAGCGGAGGGCGAGGCTGTAGACTGCTGGGTCGTCATAGATGCGGGAGTGGCCTTCGCCGCCATAGAGAGAGCCTGCTAGAGGGAGGGAGAGTTCGCGGATGAGACCGTGGTCTGAGACGCCCAGGTTGCGGAGTTTCAGGGCGAAGGCGACGAGGTGCGAGAGGAAGTCTGGTGCGTGCAGACGGCCGTCGACGAAGACGGCACGGTAGACGTAGGGATGTGTGAGGGTTGTGAAGGTAGAAGACTATGAACAAGAATTAGCACGAGGATGGAAGAGCGGAGACATATCGAAACATACCTCGAGAGAAACTAGCTGATCGTCGATACTACCACAATATGTTATCCTCACACCATGCCTTAACACACCGTCGAGAGCAGCTTTGTATTCGGCACTGACTCGACTGTCCTGTCTGCTAAACTCGAACAACTCGGCCGCAGCGCCTGCACCTAGCCATCTGCTTTTATAGTCTGCAAAAGGTCCCAGGTTGACACCGGCCATGGCGCATATGCCGATCTTGGCATGAGGCGAAAGGCAACCTAGTTGAAGGAGTTTGTGGACCAGCATTATTGCGACTGGGACACCTTGAGAGTGACAGGCGACGAGGATGAGATCGGCCTGGCGAAGGTGAGACAGCCAGTTTAGCATAAGTTTCCACAGAGTAGCGACACGATCGGCAATGAAGCCCTCACCTTCGAGAGCTACTGTCTCGATCTCGCAAGGTGTATCTGGCTGATTTGTTTGGACCCAGTCACGAATTGCTGTCGAGGCATAGTTGGCGAAGCGAATCGAGGTTCCTGTAGGTTGGCCGAGCACCTTTTGGATCAGCGGTGCAGGGAAATAGCCGTGCACACCAATGGCGATGGCGTTCTTGATCTTTGATGGAGTGGGTGTGATGGAAACGTGCTTGGGAGCGGTGGGTACATCGATGAGACGCAGAGTAGAGGCGACATACGTGGTGAGACGTTCGCGGTATGAAGGGATATATTCAGGAGAGTAGCTTTCGTCGAAGCTGGGTATAACGAGATTAGGATGCGCTTGAGGCTTTGGTGTTCTGGCATCGATCGTATTCTTAGTCGTATCGGGTACTTTGATGGCGGCATCTTTCAGGGCAATCTGAGGCTGGCTAGTTGAGGAGAGTGATGTGGAACTGCTGTTGTTGTTGGTCGGAAGATTGAGTTTGGTCGGCTTTGCTTTTTGCTGGCGCTGCTCGTTGAACTGAGCAGCTTCGGGATGAGACTGCGAGGGCGTGTCTGCAACGGCAAGTTCTCCAATCTGTCGCGGTGTGCCGTTGGGAGTTTCGCTCTCGTCCTTCCCTTGAGTTCGCGACCAGAAAGCCCAGCCCGATGACTTGTTCTGGGGCGCCTCTTCTCCTTGCCTAATCTCGGGCGCTGCTGGCTTTTTGGTTGGTGTCTCGGTTGGTTGCGTAGCTTGCTCTTCGATGGTTGCAGGTCGGTCAGGCGATGCATCCTTGGATGGGGTTGTGGCTGTCTCCTGCTCTGCCTGCTGCTGGTTCTGAGCATTACTCCATAGACCAAACCAACTGCGCGACGATGCAGTGGTACCCACACTACGGATAGAGTGCATGGTATCGTTGATGTTGATAGGCTCGACATTTAGGCTCGCTTCTTGAGTGGGCTTTTGTTCTGGCGTCGAAGGTAATGGGGTGCTCGAGGCTTCTTTGCGATCGTCCTGAGCTTTCAACATCCTAGTGTGATCAGTGTAGCCATCAGGACGTGACCACCATCCTCCAAACCAGCCCGAGGCAGCATCTTGTGTCGGCTCTGGCGGTAGAGGAGCTTCAGGTGCGGTTTGTGGTGTCTCCTGACTGATTGCATCGGCTGGAAGAGGCTTCAGGTCTGTCGATGAAGACGTGGTGGCAGCAACTCTGACTTTTGCATCATCATCCGTCTTTACTGGAGCCTCGTCGACACTCTCGTCTAGCTTTGGATCCTTGTTGTCGGTGTTGTCATCTTCTTGTTCCTTGATGGGAGCTTTCTTAAAGTCGACACTAGTTTTCCTGATGTTGTCGGAGAAAAAGGCAGGCTTGTCGGTCTTGACGTTGCTGCCTGTGGCATTGATGGACTCTGAGGAGATTGTTGGGATTGACTTGGAACTGCGTCGCAATGAAGGATGAACGAAGCGACCTCCAGATTTGGGACTGTCTGCCAGCGACTCGTTGGTCGCGCCTCCACTGACAGAGATGCTTTCATGGGTGGCTTGAGCGACAGGATTGGCCTTTGAGCGCCATGAGGCACCCTTGTACCAGCTGCCTCGCTTGTCAGCTGTGGAGGTGGACGTGGATGTTGTTGGAGAGTCCGAAGCACTAGGTGGCTGTTTCGCATCCGATAGGACTTTGTCGGTGTCGGACTGCTGCTGAGAGCTGCCCTGAGTGGTTGATAGTGGTGGGACTTTGTGCGGTAGAGTGTTGTCAGACTGGGTACTGTCAGGGTCGTCCTGGGGTGGAGACTGCTTGTTCTTTTTTCGCCGTGGACCCATGGCGACGGCGAGCGTGTGAATGGAATCAAAATGAGGAAAGAGCAAAGGGAAGCGACATCAAGACAGCGAGCAAGTCGTCTCGCACTAGATTCCCAGCCATGTCAACTGACAATGCCAACATCTGACAGTAACGATCGTCATTGGCAGAATCCCGAGTCGCGCCCGTGGCTGGCAGGCGGTGACTGACTCGCATCACGGAGTTTCCATCTTCTCCGCCCGCTAGCGGCGAAAGATTCCAGCCCGCGCCTGCCAAACGAGACTTTTTCTTGTTCTGTCACGCTCTTTCCCTATTGCGCTGACTGCTGTAGAAATCAAGCAGCAATGGCGATTGAGAAGAAGGTGCGTATTTCTGCCTGCACTACTGTCATGCTGTCTGGCTAACATATTCCTCTCAGCACGGCAAAGGCCGTTTGGACAAATACTACTACCTCGCCAAAGAGAAGGGCTACCGCTCGCGTGCCGCCTTCAAGCTCGTCCAGCTCAACAAGAAGTACGGTTTCCTGCAAAAGTCAAGATGTCTGATCGATTTGTGCGCTGCCCCCGGTGGTTGGCTGCAGGTCGCCGCAGAGACCATGCCCATCAAGTCACTCATCGTTGGTGTTGATCTGGCTCCCATCAAGCCCGTTCCCAAGACAATCACTTTCCAGGGAGATATCACCACCGACAAGACTCGCGCCATCATCCGTGGACATCTCAAGACCTGGAAGGCCGACACTGTCATTCACGATGGTGCTCCCAACGTTGGTACTGCCTGGGTACAGGATGCTTTCAGTCAGAACGAGCTGGTCTTGCACTCTCTGCGTCTCGCATGCGACTTCCTCGGTCCCGGTGGAAACTTTGTCACCAAGGTCTTCCGTTCCAAGGACAGCGCAAAGCTCGAGTGGACTTTCAAGCAACTCTTCGACAAGGTCGAGCAGACCAAGCCCCCATCCTCGCGTAACGTCTCGGCCGAAACCTTCTACGTCTGCCGTGGCTACAAGGCTCCCAAGAACCTCGATCCCCGTTTCCTCGACCCCCAGTACGCTTTTGCCGAAGTCAAGGATGCCGTCCCCAACAACGAGGCCAAGGTCTTCAACCCTGAAGTCAAGAAGAGAAAGAGAGAGGGTTATGACGAGGGCGACTGGACCCAATACCACGAAGTCCCCGTCAGCGAGTTCATCCAGACAACCGATCCCATCGCTATTCTTGGTGGCATGAACAAGCTTACCTTCAACCAAGCTGGGAATGGCGACATTGCTCTGGCTACCATCGACAAACTCCCTGAGACGACCGAAGAGGTCCGAATCTGCTGTAACGATCTGAAAGTCCTCGGAAAGAAGGAGTTCCGCCTGCTCTTGAAATGGCGTCTTCAAGTCCGCGAGCGCTTCGGCTTCAGCACAAAGTCCACCGATCACAAGAAGGCCACCGAGGCCGNNAGAAGGAGGCCAAAGCAGCGGAAGACGATGAGGAAGCCGCCGAAGTCGAAAAGCATGGACGAGGAGATGAAGCTACAGGAAGAGTTGCAAAAGATGAAGGACATGCAGAGCAAGGACAAGAGAAAGCTGCGCCGCAAGGAGAACGAGAAGAAGCAGAAAGAGATTGTCCGTCTGCAGATGAACATGACTACACCCATGGAAATCGGTATGGAACAGGCTGGTCCCAACGGTGAGGACGCCATGTTCCAGCTCAAAGCTGTCGACAAGGCTGGTCTTACTGGAAAGCTGCAAAAGGGCAAGATGCAAGTCGTGCCTGTGACTGAGAAGAAAGATGACGAGTTCGATCTCGAATACACCGATGACGAGCTGGGTGATGGTCTCGAAGGCGAGCTCGACGTGATGTACAACCAATACCAAGAGAAGCGTGAAGCAAGAGACGCCAAAATCCGTGCCAAGAAGGCTAGAAAGGAACGCAACGAAGATGGCGAGTTTGAGGGCTTCTCAAATGACGAGGAAGCTGACAGCGATGACGATGCCCCTGCCATCGAATACGACAGCGACTCTGACGAAGACGAGGAACCCGGACAACTCATCACTGACCTCGACAATTCTGCCGCCCCTGCAAATGGTCTTACAAAACGTGCGGCCAACTTCTTCGACCAGGATCTCTTCAAGGATATTGACGGACTTGACGGATTAGAAGATGAGGAGCCAGTCAAGGACCTCGATAGCGGTATCGAAATGGACTCTTCCTCCGCCTCGCCACCCCTCAAGGCCGAGAAGCCCGCAGCCAAAAAGGTCGAGAAACCTGTCAAGGAAAAGAAAGAGAAGGTCAAGAAGTCAAAGGTCCCCACACCCGCCGAACTCGCCGCCGAAGAAGCAGCATACGAGACGGACGATTCCTCAGATGGCGGCTTCGAAATCGTCAAGAACACACAGTCACAATGGGACAAGGACGAAGACGCCATTCCCCTTAAGAACGGACGTCCCAACATCGACATCATCACCGCCGAAGCAATGACGCTCGCCCACCAACTTGCTACTGGCCAAAAGACAAAACACGACCTCTTGGACGACAACTTCAACAAGTACTCGCTGCGCGACGTCGACGGCCTACCCGAATGGTTCCTCGACGACGAAGGCAAAAATTCCAAACCCCACCGCCCCATCACCAAAGAAGCCGCCGCCGCAATCAAGGAAAAGATGCGCGCCTTCAACGCCCGCCCCATCAAGAAGGTCCGCGAAGCAAAGGCTCGAAAGCAACTCCACGCAGCCCAGAAACTTGAAAAGCTCAAGCGCAAATCTGCATTGCTTGCCGAGAGCGAGGATGTGTCTGAAAAGGACAAGGCAAACAACATTTCCAAGATTATGGCTAGAGCAGGCAAGTCGAAGAAGAGAAAGCCCGTGCAAGTTGTTGTGGCAGGTAAGGGTAAGCATCGCGGTGCTGGTAGACCTGGCGGTGTCAAGGGTAAATACAAGATGGTGGATGCACGTCTGAAGAAGGATGTCAGAGCTGAGAAGAGACTGAAGAAGAAGATGGGTAAGAAGTAGAGATTTCTTTGTTAACCATGGCTAGGATCAGGTTTAGGTTAGGATCTTGTTTTTTTTTGCATTTGCAAATGTATTGGGCAAATATGGAGTTCCTTCATTTGTTTTGATGACAATCCTTGTATCCATCTTCTCCTACACGGGGCTCTGCTGTGCATTGTGCAAACAGTGTCGGTTTTGTCATAACACACAATCATGCTTAGCAGAAAGCAGCCTCCCAGCCGTGCACATATCGCTTGGCTTGCAAGGTCTAGTGTCGGTGTAAGAATGCTCAATGCTTAACACACAAGCGACCTACCATCAACAGGACTCTGTGGGTTCACTGACTCAAGTAACAAAAGTCTCCCCAACCAAGAGCATATCAAGTCTCAAAGAGCTGTCGTGATACAAATATCTTATTCTTGGTGATGCGTTGTTCTGCTGAGATGACCAGGGCAGAATGGGAGAACAGCATTATGTGACTGATACTGCACATGGCTGCATTACTGACATTCTACTGTGAGATTTTGATAGTGCGCTTGTCGTCTCGTCCCCGTAGCTTGTTGCCTTTGGACGATATGTGGTTTACTTGAGACACGACTAATGCTTTGTAACATCCAGGCTGGGGAACAAGACTTTCCTTCCACATACAAATTTTATCTTCACAGACGTTTTTTCGGCCACACTCTGGAGAGATGCAGCATGGACAAAGGACCATCGAAGATCACAGTGTGATTCAGATTCGAAGACGTGTCCAAGGAGAGTAACCGTCAGACTCGAAGATCCGGAAGAGTCAAGGGGTGTATTCATGGCTCCGAGTTGTGAGTGTAATAAACGTTTTGTGGTTGAATTCGGTGCTGCATGCACACAGCAGAGAGTTTGCTCAGGTCGCCTGGCTAAACGATTGTTTCGACCTCCGAAGTCCTAGCTCGTCCTCTCCACAACCTACGAAAACCTTTGGTCTGGGCTTCAAGTCGTCCATCACTTCCAACCAACCTTTGTACTTCTCGCGCATTGCTTGCCAGGTCTCTTCCCACCAAACTCTTCTCTCTTCTCGCCATGCCTTTTCACGGTCTTTTACACTTTCCATTCCCGCGACACGACATGAGTCAAGCACTCTATCGGTTCCTCGTTGACGGCCTTCCCAGTCAAGTTCCTTGCTCTTCTCAAATTCTGCCCATGAGGCTCGCTCGTCGCCAACGACGATATTCATGATCATCACATCTTCGTCTTTCGGCGCAATAGTCCAGGACTCTCCCATAGGCGAGAAAAGCGGAGGACCCTTCGTCGGTCGCTTGAGCTTCACTCTAAGGATCATGACACCAGTCCGTATCCGTTCGGCGTTGGCGACCATGATCAGCCAGTCCATGAGTTTTGCGAGTAAATCTCCATCGGGTTCCTCAATTGCGAGACCCATTCTCCGGACGAGATGAACCCTATCTCCGATGCCTTTGATGAACAAACTCACGAACTTGCATGCCGAGGCGGTTAGGCTGGTGACAAGTATATCTTGCACAAACTCGTTGTTGCTCAAAAATACATCGAAGCCTTCATTCGAGATTTGATGGCAGGTGTTCAGTAGAGGGTGGTCGCGTGCTGTTATGGCCAGAATATCCGGATATCTCATCTTCTGGGCGGCTGGTGAGGGTCTTAAACAAAAGTCGTGAATGTAGTATGCTGGTCCACAGCGGGCAAGCTTGTGACGAGTTGGACCGAGGCCGAGGAAAACATAGCTGTATATGTGATCTCGTATCTCCACGGGTAGAGACAGAAAAAGTGAGCTGTTCATGCTTGATGCGCTGCAAAGTAGATGTCAGGAGAAGCAGAAAAAGGTCGATGCACAATGTTAACTGGAGTAGAGCTGTTCATATATCAGCTGTAACCAATTGACTTCCTTCCTACCGAGAACTCAAATCATCTTATCGCCAGTCAGGTGCCTTGTAACACTTGTCTTACATTGACGGATGGAGCAATTCATCGACCGGCTGTCAGATAGAGACAAGTGCAACGGTCCGATATCGATACATGGGGAAAGGTCGCACGCAAAAGAACACAGCTTGGCCAACACTTTGGGCGAAGGATTGGTCAAACGTTCAGCCAATCCCAGACGGTGAGACCCAAAAGGCAACGGCAAGTCGAGAACGGACATCCAAAAAGCACTATTTGACAGCGAATCATAGGCTGAAGAAAAGTGGTGGAAAAGCGCTTGACAAAAAGTATAACGCTTATACGTAGCGATGAGCAAAGGTCATGATGTCGAGCCACTCACAAGAGAACAAAACAAAAAGCTGTTCTGAGTTAGGAAAAAGAGTGTTCTCATGACGCGAAGTCAAAAGACGGAGTTCTTTCCTTGGCCTGACTGTGCTGAATTCTTCAGTACGGTCTGTCAAATTCTCCACTCAACGCGTCAACCTGACAAACGCGTCTTCTTCCAGATCTCCTGTCGGTTCGCCGCCGTCGAGCATCTCCCGCTTGCCATCAACTATACCAAACAACTAAATCACTTTCTTCTCCACCATCAAACCTACAGAAGATCTCCTCTCCATATTTGCCGGAATTATTCCAAACTCAACAGACACCACACATCAAGCACAATGGCCGAACAAACTCCTCGCATCAACGCCTCATACCTAGAGAACTTCACTCATCGCACAGTCCGCATCCTGGGCAAGGTCACACAACTCAGAGGCGAAGAAGCCACCATAGATGCTGGCGGTCAGATTAATGTCCATCTCAATAGAGTATGTCCTCACTTTTTCCTCCGTCCCCTTCAAACTCTTGGCAATTCTGGTTACTTGTTTCATCCTTTAACAATATATTTTCGCGTTCTGTTTATTGCATCTCAGCACAATACTCAGCTCTCCTTACTGTACTGTCAGCCTTTGCTGACCGCAGATCCAGGAGTCACATCTGACTGTCAACCACGCTGTCGAGATCATTGGCAAGGTGCAAGCAGACCTAAGTGTCCGCGTCCTGACTAGCACAGACTTTGGCGAAAACATCGGTATGTACATCTCTCTCATTCTTCATCTCTTCTGCGATCTGAGGTCATCCAGACCAAAGATCATGTTTCTCGCACACCCACCTTGTACTCCCCATACACATTTTATCCTTACAACATCCTCTCCCTCATACGTTCCTCTTCCAAACATCCTCTCCCTCATACATATATCTTCTCAAGCATGGACACTTGTTCATCCACATACCTATTCTCACTCATCATAAGACGAGCGAAAGAACCAAGGAGAAGTACACTTAAGTTAATCAACTCTCCGCACAGACTTTTCCCTTGCAGATGCAGTGGTCGACGCAACACACCGCCACAACGAGATCTTCTATTCGAAAGAGTAATGCTGCTTGGGTCTTACGACAAACACTTTTTTACTCTTCTCGTCCGAGCTTGAAAGAGTCAAACGAAAGTTTCGAACAGAGATGGCTGGAGCTGGACAGATAAACCTGACACGAGAAAGAGGATGGTTATCCAAAAGTGCAAAGCTCGGCCATTCTGTACAGAAGAGGAAATTCGAGCTTCTCGTAAGAGAGACTGTAACGTAACCCAGCGTATATTCGTTCAGCTCTGTATTGGTGTCAGCATCTCCATACCCGATGAATGACGAGAACAAAGTCCACCTTTCAACATTGGCTATTATGCATCACCTCCTTTGTGAACTTCGTACGCACATACAAAACTATCACCAGATCACAATGCATGTCAGCAACGTAGAGGACACTGTTTTGGATTTGTGATTTATTTATCAATGGCATAGTCCTTCTTTACTAACTTGAATTCCATGTTGAAGAAGATAGCAACATTCCTGGATGCTGCCCAACTTATGCGCTAGAAGCCTCGATATGCTCGGTCGAGGAAACAGTTGCTCAAGGTCTTCGGTCACCAGTTCCAGCGACTCAATAGCGCCTTGAGATGACTACTACATCGCAGTCTCTGTCGTTTTCAAGCACTCATATCGTCGTCGTTTCTCTAGTTCCTTGGGAGGTCGAGCTCTACCAACCAGGGTAGTTGCTGCATCTCTGTCTCTGCTCCTTCGATAGCAGCATTGACAAANAGTGTTTGCATACCTCTCTGCAGGGTTGGAGCAGTATGACGATATCCAGGCTGAACCAATTCTCTCAGCTTTGCCTTTTTGAGCTTCTTCTCTGCAGCCGAGTCGAATTTGCCCGGCCTTAGAGTAACGAGATTCTCGATGAGTTCCGAATTGTCGTTGTCGATGTCTGTGAAGTGTGATGGAAGCTCGCTGCACTCGGTGCCTCGCCAGGTGACTTTTTTNGCACCCCAGGATTCGTGTATGTGTCCGAAGCAATGCATAAGCGGACGAGCTTTGGCTATTGCGCCAAAGAGATCACTACATCCAGCGCGTTGTTTATTGTATGTGTAATCCAGTACTCCCTTTGGAGGACCATGAGTGATTGCAATATCAATCTCCTTGCCGATTTTCCAATCATGACCTTCAACAGGATCGTAGCAGTAACCCCAACCACCAGTTTTGGAGGGTGTATATGGACTTGCATACACTCTCAGTGAACATCCATCGCCGAGTTCAATGTCGTGAGTTCCCTCATCTAAGAATATGATCCCAGCTTCGCGTTGATCTTCCAGTAGAGCTCTGACTTCGCCAAAATCGCCGTATGCTTGCTTTACCGCTTTGTCTTTTTGAGGTGGCTGTAGTTTTGCTTCGATCAGCTTTTGCGCAAAAACTGATGTGTCGAGGGTGAAGTCGTGGTTACCGGCTATCACAAGCTTTAGCGGTGCAGAGAGGGATCTGAGGAGGGATATGGCTTGTTTGTATTCGTCGAGTTTGGATTCTTGGGTGAGATCGCCACAGTGGATGATGAGGTCGACGGGCTCGAGGTTGCTGGTTGTGAGGTTGGCGCCGTGGGTGTCGGAGATGACGAGGATGCGGGTGGGTGGCTGAGAGGTCATGACGAATTTTTGCGTGGAGTGGATCAGAAGGACGGGAATCAGAGGTAGATAGATGTAAGAGAAAAGAAAAGAGCAGATAGGCAAGTTTCTCTTGTACCTGACCCTTCTTCGCTGAAAAACGAATCAGCCACATGGCCGAGCAACAATGAGTTTGTTCTGTTCTGGTTGGCACCGCTCACCGCACTCATCTTTATACATGTTGGAATTTGCTGACGAGATGAGGATAATCATGAAGTAGAGGTTGAAAAAGGTCTGCGTGGTTGTGACTATGAGATATGTGTACAACCTGTCTATCTCTCTATAAATCAAACAGAAAGATCGGGTCATGATGTGTACACGCCAATTCTAGGCGGAAGGTCTTCCTCGTCCGAGTCATTATCCCATTGCTCCTCTAATTCGTGTATAAATTTCTTGATCGCATCTGCTTGAGGCGTGGTTTCCCTGGCTATTTCTGTTCGGGGCGCGACTCTTTCGATGGCTTCTGTTAGCACATTCGTTGATCGAGGTGGGACTTCTGTGGCTTTTGGCGTTGATGCGAGAGCGTGCGAGCATGGCTTGGGTGTGGCCATTGTGACGATCTCTGCTGGTTCAGCCTTCGCTTCGTCAGTCGCCTTCGTTGACTTTGACATGGCTTCTCTGACAGCCGCTGGCGGGGCGCGAGGAGCAGCTATGGCCCCAACGCTTCCCCAATCCACATAGACCGGTTTGGGCACAATTGCCTTGGCCACACTCGTGCATGAGTAGTCGCAATTTAAAGTCCAGGTGACGGCTCGAGAGCAAAACACAGGACGCGTGATGTAGCTCCGTGTCGACTTTCCCTTGAACCATGTTCTTGACAATGTTGTCAACAGAAGGCAACTGTCCAACTAACTTCAAAAGCAAGTCTTGTGCTTCTTGCTCTGATATATGCTTAGTTGCAAATCTAGGGTCTGACAAAAGTAAATCCCGGTAGAGTTCGGCATCTTTGTCGTTAACGTATTGTAAGAGGAGACGTTTCTTTCTGTATTCATGGTGCCCCGTGTGAGATATAACGCGTAAGCATGCGGGGGTGCATCCAATCTTGTCGATTTGCTGGATGTGAGTCTCTCCCCATGACACATGGCGATCATGTATGGACCGTACTAGGTGCTGCTCGAGAGGCTTATCGCAGGATGCTTTCAGAATGCCAGAGGTAGGGGACTTTTTTCGGCAGACGAAACGAGCAGAGGCAGATTCGGGGGCAAAGGCGCGCCAGCGAACCCTTGTATGTGCTTCTGTCCAAATCCATGGTGACTTTTCGTGCCTAGTATTACACGTGTCCGACACAACAGCCTCAGCTGTGTGTTGCAGACCGTGTCGAGCCAGACGCGCAGTTCGTGAGTCGAGAGTCCACCAAGGAAAGTTTCACTCCGGCTGAACAGGTACGAGTATTGAATCAGAGGATGCATCGTGTAGTGCGGAGGCTCAGATTTCAGGCGGGTGCCGGAATGTCGTCCAGATAGCGGTTCGAGTCGGGCGCACAGAGTCTTGAAGCAGTTGCTGAACATTTTCGCTGGGAGAGTAGGACGATAAGCTGAAGGTCAATTCTGCTGAAGGTGATATTTGTGGTCGTGACTCAGCATCCATGACTGGCATTCACCGGAAGAGCGCCAGGTTGAGTCCTTTTGAGTTTGTTGCAGTTTCAATCTTGAAGTCGTGGTTGCGGGAGTTGTACACACGGTGCCACACTTTGCACTCGATTCCAATCAGCGTCTCCAGCGACCAGAATCTGTCTATGCTCAAGAGATCCAGGCATAGCAGAATACGAATTAGGCGTCGCAACATTCGCATCGCGACTCCCACAACATGACATCAGCCGCTCGCGGAAAACCTACCATAGTTCAAACTTGTCCAGTCTCCAAACTTCGAATTGTTGGACGTCCTCGAGAGTTGCCAGTGTCACGAGATTCAACCATTCGAGGTTGCCTTCTTCGTCCGGCATCTGTATCGCCTTGTCGAGTTTGAAGATGATATCGCCAATACCACAATACCTGATGTTGACATTCAAACATCTCCAATACAATGGCTCAGTTCGAGTCCCATCAATGAGTCCAGCAATCTCGGTCTCTGCAAGAATACTAGCGGTATGCGCGTTCGCTAAGATTCTGACCGCGCGTAACTTGACGAAGAAAGGTGCGAGGAGGGTCATCACTTCACCGGCATCCTTGTCCAGTGCGAAGCCGACTTGTTCGAGATTTGGACATTTGCTGACAAGATCACCAATCTGGTTTCCCGAAAGTGGCCATTGGTCAGGCAAAAGCAATCTTGTCAGACTTTGACCGTGATTTGTGGTTAAGGCTCGGAGATACGCTCTACAAACGGTGGAAGCTTGCTTCTCCTCGAAGGACGTGGGAGTAGGTGTTGATGTAGAGGTGGCAGGCGTCGTACCCGTGGTCAAAGGCGAGTTCACATCCCACTTGATGTCGCGGTCGTTTCTGTTGTTTCCAATCACGTACAGCTCCTGCAGACCAGAGAACATAGATAGGATCTTGGCGTGTTCGATAGCGGGCTCGCTAATACGGTGCGTTTTGTAATTCTTGAAGAGATCAGGACCCGGGATGGTTTTCCACGTTTCGTCTACCCAGATAGAACTGGGGCGGCCGTAAACTCCTCCAAAGACATCAAGGAAGTCTGCACTCTCAACGCAGCCAGGTTCGAAGATCTCTTTCATGTCGCCAGTGTTGGGACCGTAGAAGTTCTGGAGACCAATGTGTTTGATCTTCAACTTGTACTTTGCCTCCAAGCATTGGCCAAAAATACTCCTGAAGCTGATACTGGGCTCCGCCTCTTTCCGCATACGAGGACTCCAGTGGATGCGCAAGTCTTCCAGCTGCTTGGCATGGAAGATCAAACCAGAGATATCGTCCGGATAGCAAAGAGGATCAATATCGCTTACGCGTAGACGGCGCAGGTTCGGCATGGGCGGTATAACGACTATCGGGCGAGGCGACCGAACTTGAGGAAAGCGTAGAGTTAGCGAGACAAGGGTCGGTCGAGCAGCCAGTCCTTGGTAAATCGACTTGGTCGGCTTGGAGTCGAGATACCATGTAAGAGACTTGAGGTGTGTCATCCTGTCCATTGCGGCACGGAGTGCGATACCAAGCATGATTGTACTATCCGGTATCTTTCCCCTGCTATACTCATCAATGCCTGGTTCCGACCAAGCTCCTGTCACCGTGAACTCTTTCACCAACGGAGCCGAGTTGCCCGAGGCGAGACCACTGAGGCCCATGACGAAGGGGCTACCACTTCCATATCCTTCTGGTCGTCCATCGACATAGCGCGTTTCGGGGTAGGAGCGGAGCGTGACACGTTGGTACAGTACTGGTAGCGTCATGTAGTACATCAATCGAGAGGTTCGCGTCATGCGCGCGATGTCGCCAACATCTTCGACCNNTACCAGCCAGCGTTATTAGTCTGGATTGGCTGTACTCGTGTCGGGCGTACGGCTTACAAAAGATACTATATGAGCAATCAAGCTGAGCGGGAGTATCTGCGCTCTGGTGCTAGCACCGCTAGGTGCATTCAATGGCACTGGAGAGGCATACAGCACATGAGGAGGAATCTCCTGGCTCATGTCCAGCCCCCTAGTCGCCTTCATATCAACTGTCGAAATGTGTACGCAAGGCTGACATGATAGAGACGAAGAACCGGTCGTTTTTACATACAATCATAAAGTCTGCCAAGCACGCATCATCGTCAAGCTCACCGGAGCTTAATGATAGGGCTCGAATTAAACGTCCGACTTTTCTTCTCTACGGATGAACCTGGCTCCGAGGACTGCGCGTTTGACCTGCAAAATCGTCTTGGTTTGGTATGCCCTGAACCTCCCTGATGTAAAAACCTTGTCCAGACCCTGTTTCTTCCGGCACAATGAGCATCCGGACATGTTTATGACAAGTTTCGCGCGGCCTCGGTCGTAGTTTCAGGGTCCCTGTCCGACATCACGAATTGCGGGCTGATCAGACACCGACACCGAGGCAGAAGCCCGTCACCGGTGCTGCCCAGACCGCCGACCCGATTCACCAAGTAGCTGCCTATCCGCCGTGCAGAGTAGAGACAAAGACGATTTGGTCTCTTGGTTGAAGCTCATATTGATCCTCACCCTCGAGTTCCCAGTCTGCATCATTGATCAAGACGAGAATACCTGGACGANNCTTGGCACAGGTGTTAGTCAGTGCACGTAGAGGGGTGTGTTGAAAGACAAGAACATACACAGATTCGTCAAGAAGGAAGAGTTCTCTTTTCTGATCCGTCATGAGGTTTTCGCATAAATGTTTGATCAGAAAGGCGATATTGGCTGGTTTGCCATCTTGATCTTGTGCTGGCAACGAGACTTTGTGGTTTCTTTGGTTGGAGAAGAGCAGTTCCAGCCCGCCANNCTGTAGTCCTGTCAATTACAAGATCGAGCGCATATATTCGTGTGCGCCGTACGTGAATTCAACATCAATCTTGATTGCCTCTGCCATATCGATGAAGCCTATGTGCGAGGGTTGGTGTTCAATACTAGAAACAGTGCTGCGAGACCAAGGTGGCAGTCGCGCGTCGAAGCAAGCGAAACTTTTTGCGACTTCCGTTGAAACAAAAAATAATGCTTGTCATCACCAACAACAACATCAACCACACTCTCTTCACGTATTCATACACCATCTAAGACACTTGGAGCAGCCGATATATAGGGCACCGGAAGAACTAAATACCCAGCGAAAACTTTGACTGTGGTACAACATTTCCAGAACCATGGCTGCCGCCCATCTAGAGTACATCGCCGCAGGAGGCAACAGGCATCCATGCGCCGCAGATTGGACCGAGGAACTGCTTGCATATGGAAGTGGGCATAATATCGCCATCTGGAGACCGGAGTCCAACAGTCACCAGGGCGTTGAGACGCTACTTGCAGCCCATACCGACATCGTGAATGCAGTCAAGTTGTTCAGAGATCCAACCTCAGCAAAGCGAGTTTTGATCAGTGGCTCTGCCGACAAGACTGTATGCATCTGGATCGAGAAAACTGATGGGAAATTTGAGTTGGTCAAGCGCTTGACGGAACATACTGCTTCTGTCAATGTCGTTGGTGTTTTGCCCGAGTTCAGTGTTTTTGCTACCGGAGCCGCCGATGCAACTCTGAAAATCTGGAAACTGCGTGCAACCGAGACAGAGGTCGAGGTTGACCTTGTCCAGAGCATCATACTTGCGCCTCGCTACTTCCCTCTAGCGATTGCAATGGCCAAACTCCAGAGTGGTCAACTCGTGATTGCAGTTGGCGGCACTATGGCAAACATTCAAGTTTATATGCAAAACAAGGACACTTTCACACTCGCAGCCAAGCTCACCGGACATGAAGCCTGGGTGCGAGCATTGGACTTTACTCGCGAGAGCTCTAAGCCCGACAGCGACTTCTTGCTCGCTTCCGCAAGTCAAGACAAGTATATCCGTCTCTGGCGCTTCCACGCTGGTGAGGAGCTTCCTGAAGTAGCAGCTGCAGCAAGCGACCCAGCTATGACCGTGTTCGGCCGCTCGCTGTCTAACAAGGCCCACTGGATCGGAGAGGGAGACTCAAAACACTCAATCACATTTGAAGCCCTGTTGATTGGACATGAGGATTGGATCTACACAGCTCGCTGGTTTACAAAATCTGCACAAGACGCAGCGCCACAACTTCTCACTGCATCAGCAGACAACTCGCTTGCCATGTGGGAGCGTGACGCTGATGGCTTCTGGACCTGTGCGACCAGACTGGGCGAGATCAGTGCGCAGAAGGGATCAACCACTGCGACAGGAAGCACAGGTGGTTTCTGGATCGGACTGTGGTCCCCTTCTGGCAACACAGTGGTCAGTCTGGGAAGGACAGGAAGTTGGCGCGCATGGTCTTACAATACTGCTGAAGACCGTTGGTTGCGCGAGCTTGGAATCTCTGGCCATGTGCGTGCGGTCAAGGATATCGCATGGTCAAACGATGGCACCCAACTCATGTCCACCAGTTCAGACCAGACCACCCGCCTCTTTGCTCAATGGAAGCGAGACGACGCAACCACATGGCACGAAATGGCGCGTCCCCAAATCCACGGCTACGATCTAAACTGTCTATCCGCCATCGGCGCAACCCAATTCATCTCAGGCGCAGACGAGAAACTCCTCCGCGTGTTCAACAAGCCCAAAGCAGTTGCCCACCTGCTCGCCAAACTTGGTGGTACTGCAGAAGACGCAGCAGACGCAGACCTCCCGGACGCAGCAAACATACCCGTCCTCGGTCTCAGCAACAAAGCCATCAATGCCCTCACCCCCGAAGAAGAAGCCACCGCCGAACCCTCGGAAGAAACCACCATCACAAAATCAACATTGGATCTCTCACACCCGCCGTTTGAAGACCATCTAGCCCGCCACACTCTCTTCCCCGAGCTCGAGAAACTGTACGGACACGGTTATGAGATTTCCTGCGTGGCTGCTAGCAATGATGGCAGTTTGATAGCTACAGCTTGCCGTGCTAGTTCAATCGATCACGCGGTAATCAGACTCTACGAAACAAAAGAGTGGAGAGAAGTCAAACCGCCATTGAGCGCCCACTCTCTAACTGTTACCTCACTCGCTTTCTCTGCAGACGACAAGTATCTCCTCAGTGTGGGCCGCGATCGCCAATGGGCACTATTCGCCCGCTCTTCAGCCACCAACACCTACTCCCTCGCAACCGCAAACCCCAAAGGCCACAGTAGAATGATACTATCTTGTTCATGGGCTGGACGCTCCGCAAGCCACATCTTCGCCACCGGCGGCAGAGACAAGAATGTAAAGATTTGGGCTGTGGATGCTTCCTCAGAGACCGTGAACGCGGACCTCAAACTCGCCATCCCTACCTCTGCACCTGCCACTTCTGTCGCTTTTTACACTGGCGATGGTGCTGGTTCTGGGACTGTCATCTTGGCTGCGGGAACTGAAGATGGCAGTGTTACGGTGTTTACCATCAGCATGCATGATTGGGCTGTCAAGAATACTTGCAAGATTGGAGAGTATATGCAACCTTCCGGTGCTATCAATGCACTGAGATGGCGACCCCAAGTGCAAGGAGAAGAAACAAAAGCACAATTGGCCGTTGCAAGCGAGGATCTCAGTGTCAGATTGTTCGGCTTTGAAAGATTGATTGGTTAGATGGGGGGAGGGGGAAAAAAGCGCCTTGAGGAGAAGCACCATAGAATCTTCGACAATGATTGTATTCTTGTCCACACCTTCAAATTGCACATCATTGACTTGCAAGAGATTCTATACATGAGCAAAGATTCTATGATCGGATAACCACTCAAGAATTGGGAGGAAGCTATTTTGAAAAAGACGCCGTGAGAATTCGTCCGGAAACGAGAGCTAGTAATACAAGAATGTTGTTTTTGAGTAATAATGCATGTAAGAAGAGGGGGTATCAAGAGCAGAAGAGTAAGCTAAACGGCAACAAAAGAGAAAGAAGAAGAAGAAGAAGTAAAAGGACAAGAAGAATGCGCAAAGACCGTCAGAGCGTCCCGTAACATACAAGTCGTACCTTCATAACCATGCGTAAAAGCCATTCGTAAACATTGCATAGTAATCTCGTCGCAGAAAAGAGGTTGTAGACAGCGGCGAGAAGAACATAGAACAGATATGCCTAGGTCTGTGTGTTGTTGACGTGTTCCCAGTCTGTGTCAGCTGCCACATCGACAAGGCCGTTGAACCATTTGCAGTCCATGACATCGGCGATGGTCCATCTCAGGTCCGGATCGGTGTTCAAGCAACCATAAAGCAAGTCACAGATGTCCTCGGAGTCGATCTGACCGGCAAGAGATGACATGACGAGATCCTTGTTCCAGTCACCACCTTCAATAAGCTCTACCAGTTTGAACTGAATGGTATGCTGGAATGGACGTTTGCCAGTGACCATGGTGTAAACACAAACGCCGAACGCCCAGACATCTGCCGAGTAGTCCTTGCGGGTGGAGCCGCCAAGTAGTTCAGGGGCCAGGTATTCGAGGGTGCCAGCAGGTTCTTTGTTGTCGTCCGAGTCGAGTGATCGGATGCTGTCGGTCATGCCAGATGCATCGCCGTCGACAAAACTGGCGAGACCAAAGTCACATAGCTTCAGATTGCCACAGTCGTCTTGGGGAGTTATCTGAACGAGACAGTTCTCGAGCTTGACATCGCGATGAACTAGTCTCACGTCGGCGTGCATGTATCTTAGTGCCGCAGCAAGTTGGTGCGAATATGTCTTTGCAAGATCCGGTTTCAACCCCATCTGACCGTTGTTGCGAAGCTCACTGATGAGATCGTATAGAGAGCCACTCTCGACCAGATCCATGATGCAGAAAGTCGCAAAATCGGTGATGAAGCTCGTGTGGAGTTGCAAGATATGAGGATGGTTCAGATAGCGCCAGATGCCGATCTCGTATTCGACAGCTTGTTGAGCCTTGTCGTTCTCAGCCTCACTGACATTGGCGACAGTCCTGCGTACAATCTTGACGGCACGCTTCGTTCTGCGACCATTGTCGTCCATGCCAATGACCTCCTTGACAACGCTGAAGCCTCCTGAACCAATCTGACGACCGACGACATACTCATTGTTGATACCGATGGACTGTCCCTCGTCATCCGGTTTGGGCTCGGCTGACTCGGAGTTGCTACCCCAGCCACTAAGAAAGCGAGCAGCTGGCGACATACCAGTGGACGAGCCTGACATTCTGCTGGATCTGCGACTAGTGTTACGCAAGCTCGCCGTGCGCGACAATGTGGGCTTACGCGACATCATCGGCCAGGGCTCGCTGCCCATGCTGGGACTAACGGCGGGAGAAGGAGTCATGACAGCAGAGCCATTGAAGTAGGAGCCCGCAGGTGTGTCGGGGCTTCTCAGCTGCTCACTCAGCAACGAACCCGTGGAGGCCGACGTCAAAGAGGGCAGTTGTGTGGCATCGTGCGAGTCGATGGTCTCGAGGCGTGGTGCAACCTCACTCCTCCTCGTGCGTCGTCTAACAGGTTCTCCGGTGAAAGGGTTGATTCTGACAGAATCTTCGGGCGCAGCCGGAGCAGAGGCAGTATCGTCCGACATGAGCGAGTCGCGAGTGCTGCGCCGACGCGGTTGAGGTGGCCTGGAGGACAAGGGCTGGTCGAGCGAGTGCAGGCGACCGTCGTCGAGAGTCGCAAACTCTTTGAAGCTCACGGACGAGCCTCTGGTACGGGTCGAAGGTTGGCTATTGTTTGCATCGGGAGCGGCCGGATTGTTGAGCAGCTCGGACTCTGAAAATTGAGAAGAGGCGACATGGTCAGCGTCCGAGGAAGCAGCGAAGGGGAAGTCTTGAGATGAGTTCGCATGCTTGGTGTCGAGGCGGAGTTTTCGAAAGTCGTGGGAAGGAGCAGGTGTGGCCATTGCCTTGCGGAAGGCAGCCAACGGAGGGGGACTTTTGCGCCGACTTTGGGAAGCTACAGCGTTTGAATATCTAGATCTTGATCTTGAAATGTCTTTGGACGCAGTGACGATTTTGCGTGTAGATGGTGGTAGACAGACACGGACAGCAGTCAGGTCAGGCTACGAAGTCAGAAGATATTTACACGGGGCTTTCCCAGCGACGTCGGCCGGTAAGGGTAAAAAGAGATGGCTAGAAGGTGGAATGGTTTGAAGGATTAGAGTTACGGCTAATGCGGGAGTCATGTCCTCCCCGCATTCTTGTTACGTAGGAGTGTAGCTGGCATTCTGATTGGCCCGACCGAGGAGCGTCATCGAGCGCGACTGTTGTTGGAGAGGCTGATCCATGTCGGACGTTTGTGTTGTTTCAAGGAAGAGCGACGTCAAGACGGTGTAGCAAAAGAGAAACAAGTCATGTGTCAGGTGTGATGGGCCGCCGTCGTTGGAGTCGGTCAGCAGCCAAGATGGAAGTCGGTAAGCAGCCAAGCATACGAGTCGAGCGAGATGAAGCCTGCCAACGGTGGTGTCAACAACAGATGATGGGATTGGAAAAGAACGTGACGGTGCGCGAAGACAGGGACAGGGGAAGCTCTTAAGAGTGCAATGATAAGGTGGCTATCAGTGTAGGAGTATTGTACATGCCGGATTGGGCAGTCAAGGGTCTGGAAGTCAAGACGTCCGAGCTCAAGTCGGCTTGCTTGTGCTTGTGCTTGGTGCCTCTGCATCACGTCGTTGTTCGCATGTCACCGGTGCCATCCAGCAGCTGTCCATTCCCAATCCACCAGATAATCAGATCCATTTTGTCATCGTATCGCACATCCAACCTCTCGACTGTTGTCCTCGAACCAGCCGCATGTTATAGCGTTACGCGCCCCAGCGACCCCTTCAAACGAGCAGTCTCGTCGCCGTCCCCGTCCCCGTCCGCGTAGCAGCAGGGCCATGGCCGCCCTCAAGAACTTTTGCGCAAACGTCTTCTACTGCTGCACCAGCCGTAACACGGTCGACTATGAGAATGTCCTGGCAGACAGCGAGCGCGAGGCAGTCACCGACTTGCTGAACTTCCTCGAGAACAGGCAAGAGACCGACTTCTTCACCGGCGGTCCTCTCAATGCCCTCAGCACTCTAGTCTACTCACACAACATCGACCTGCAACGAAGCGCCAGCTTGACTTTTGCCGAGATCACCGAGCGAGGTGCGTTGGACTTTATGAGCTCCTCCATCGTCATGCATACTAACGCTACCTGTCGCANNGATGTGCGCGCTGTGGATAAGAACACGCTCGAGCCCATCCTCTTCCTTCTCGAGAGCAGCGACATTGAAGTTCAACGAGCTGCCAGTGCCGCCCTGGGAAACCTTGCCGTAGATGGTATCTGAACCACATCCATGCACTTTTCCCAGAACTAACTCAGACTCGCAGCTCACAACAAGATCCTGATCGTCCAGCTAGGAGGTCTTCAGCCGCTGATCAGACAAATGAACTCGAGCAACGTCGAAGTGCAGTGCAATGCCGTTGGTTGCATCACGAACCTAGCTACCCACGAAGACAACAAGGCAAAGATTGCTCGCTCTGGTGCTCTGGCTCCCTTGACAAGGCTAGCAAAGTCCAAGGATATGCGTGTCCAACGGAATGCCACCGGCGCTCTGCTGAACATGACTCACTCAGGTACGGTCCATGCACGAACGATCCAGGACACTGTCTAACTCTTGACAGATGACAACAGACAACAGCTCGTCAACGCTGGCGCAATCCCTGTCCTCGTCCATCTCCTGACCTCGCCTGATACCGACGTTCAATACTACTGCACAACCGCTCTCAGTAACATCGCCGTGGATGCCTCGAACCGCAAGCGCCTCGCACAGACAGAAACCCGTCTTGTTCAGTCATTGGTCAACCTCATGGACGGCCATGCTCCAAAGGTGCAATGTCAAGCTGCTCTTGCGCTGCGTAACCTCGCCTCGGATGAGAAATACCAGCTCGAGATTGTGCGCAATGGTGGTCTCGGTCCTCTTCTCCGTCTCCTGCAGTCGGCTTTCCTCCCCCTCATCCTCTCCGCCGTCGCCTGTATCCGTAACATCTCGATTCACCCCATGAACGAGTCTCCCATCATTGATGCTGGCTTCCTCAAGCCCCTGGTACATCTCCTTGGGAGCACTGACAATGAAGAGATTCAATGTCACGCTATTTCCACCCTGCGCAACCTTGCCGCATCGTCGGACCGCAACAAGCAACTCGTCCTGGAAGCCGGTGCTGTTCAAAAGTGCAAGGAGCTTGTCTTGGAGGTTCCGGTCAATGTCCAGAGCGAGATGACGGCTGCTATTGCTGTTCTCGCTTTAAGCGACGAGCTGAAGCCTCATCTGTTGAGCCTTGGTGTCTTTGATGTTTTAATCCCCCTGACCGAGAGCGAGAGCATCGAGGTACAGGGCAACAGTGCTGCTGCTCTGGGCAACTTGTCAAGCAAAGGTAAGAGTTCGGAAAATTCGGCTCCTCAATCGCCTGCTGACGCCTACTCAGTCGGAGACTACTCCATCTTCATGACCAACTGGAACTCTCCTTCTGGAGGTATCCACGGCTACCTGTCTCGTTTCCTCGCATCTGGAGATCCAACCTTCCAACATATCGCCATCTGGACTCTGCTACAACTTCTTGAGAGTAACGACACTCGTCTCGTCGGCACCATTAACTCTGCCGAGGATGTCATGCAGATGGTCCAAGACATTTCGGAGAGACAGGTCGAGAGTGACACCGAGGATGGCAGCGAAGATGGCGAAGCCGAGGTGGTCGGACTCGCTCGCCGTTGCCTTGAGATTTCCAGCGGTGACGGCAACAAGAAAGCCCTTTCTGAGGGATGAGGCTTCTCGACTGCAACGACAAGATGACTCGGACACATGCATGGGCGTCAGGGCTTTCTTTCTTCTTTTTCCTTGTTCATTTTTGATATACCAATTCGCACTCGCGCGCCGCCTTGAGTTGGCAAACAAGTATGATATCCTGGAGCAAAGCATTCGGATGGGCCTCCTCTTTTCCTTCTTCATTTTCGCCTTTTTCTTCTTCACATAGCTTTAGTAATGATTAGCGTAGTCTCCCTTTTGGTATTGGAATCAATGAAACACAAAAATGAATAGATTGTACATTTTCTTCCGATGGCTGGAATCGATCAAAGTTGACTTTGGACACAGTCCATCTTTTAGGTTGCGGTATGTTAATTCTCACAGCCACGGCACGACGTGACTATCGTGGACACTTTGCTAGTCGAATACTCAAATCTGAATATGTTTGGCCCTTGCTAGATCCATGTATAGAGCAATAAGTCATGTTTCGAGCTCGAGAATAGTCATTTTTCCCGTCGAGAGTAATACCCTGTCCAAAGCTGATGAGGTCATCCGAACAAAGGCCGGCGCAACTTTCGTGCAACCAGAATCGTTCACGTCTTGCAATCAACAACCACGACATCTGAAAACCCACCACACCCATCACAATGGCAGTCCCTAATTTCGCACTGCCTGGCGACTCACTCGCACCCACGTCAACACACACGCCCAGCACGGGTTCGCACGTCTTCAGCTCTACAATCCACGCCAGTCTGGCAGGCCCCGTCACCAGCGCCGCACCCTCCAAAAAGACACCTTCGCCCTCAATCAGCGTATCCGCGACATCGACTTCATACACCGCCGCCCTCCCTTCCGTCAACGACATCATCCTCGGCCGCATCACACGCACAAATCCCCGCCAAGCCACCCTCGACATCCTCGCCCTAGGCCCGACCGGCACCCAAGTGCTCCGCGAACCCTTTTCCGCCATAATCCGCCAACAAGACATTCGCGCCACCGAAATCGACAAAGTCAAGATGAGCGAGAGTTTCAGAGTCGGCGATATTGTCAGGGGCGTGGTTATCAGTCTGGGAGACGAGAGGAGTTATTTTGCGAGTACGGCCAAGAATGAGTTTGGGGTTGTGTTGGCGGTTAGTGAGNGGGGAGAGCAGATGGTGCCCGTCAGTTGGAGGGAGATGAGGGAGGTGAATGGTGGAAAGACCGAGTTGAGGAAGGTTGCTAAGCCGGTCTGAGCGTGAGAGGGATTGGGTGTCCTCGAACACGCCAAGAGATGGTCAAGTTGCTCATGGAAGCAAGAGCATGGTTTCGACGAGGCCTGGCTCACATCCAAACCAAAGGACGTTGACGGGCGCCCAGCCAGGGATGCTGCAGACTTAGCACGACCTACAACCGCAAGTCGCCCAAAGTCAAGGGCTGGCTCGGTCGTCAAGAGACCTAGGTGCAGCGGGTTCTACAGCAGAAGACTACCGCAACCCAAGCACATCGAGTCAGCCAACGATTGCCTGAACCTCAATATTTTCAAGAGATCGCCCTTTCGATGGGTGTTACATAACCACGCAAAGCAAAATCCATGCGTCTTTTTTCAAAAGCTGATCAACCGAACTTCATTCTACTAGAAGCCATCTCGTGCACCAGAGAAAGTCAGCGATATTCAATCGCTGCCCCCCAGAACATGGACTAAATGCTTTGAACCCCTGAGAACACATACCTCTAGCCCAAACCCACCGTCCATCCTTCTCACTCCCCCTCTACAACCGCCCCCTCAGCACCAGCACTCTGCGCCCTCTTCAACTGTCCCTTTTCTGCATCCTTAGCCTCCAACTTCCTATTCGCCTTTGAACTTCCCTCAAGCCCATCCAAAAGCGCTTTGTTCGTGCCTGGAATCTTCATCTCAAACGTTTCTCTAATCACCGCGTACTCGTAGTAGCCGAGTCTGGCTATGGGTTCCGTTTTGCTAATGTCTATTTTGCCGTTTGTGAGGACCGTGTCGGAGATGTGGACGGCGAGGACGCGGCCGAAGATTATGTCGACCTTTTTTGATTGTGTTAGACGCGTTTCGCCTTCATCTCAGTGGAAGAAAAAAAAGGAAATCTCGGGTGGGGATGAGGATGGAGATAGGGTAGGAAAGGTGCTTACAGTTCCCATGGGCGGATTTCCGGGTAATTCGATGACTCTGTCGAATGCACATTCAAACCTCACTGGACTCTGCTTTACCAATGCCACTGGAATGTTTCTCGCTTCCTCTTTTTCCAGCTTTGCATGTGTGAATTCATCTTCAGAAGGGTCTAGCTGTTGGGCTGTGATGTTTACTTCTTCGCGAAGAGCATAAGTGGCGAGATTCCAGGCGAAGAAACCTNNTTGGGTTGCGTTTTGTCAGTTTGTTATTCTCTCTGTTTTGCTTTGCTTGCCTTTTTTATTTGTTAAGTTTTGGGGGGGGGGGGGGGTGGGGGGGAGGGGGATTTGGAGGGTAAGGATTCTTCCCTTACCAGTGCTTTCGGCATTCTCGACCGTGTCTTTGCGTTTTCCGTCTGGGGTGCGGTTGGAAGAGAACATCACGTACGGTGGATCGAAAGTGAGGTTTGTAAATTGGGAGTAGGGGGCTAGATTGTCTGTTCCTTGGAGCGAGCGGGTGGATATCCAGCCGATTGGGCGGGGCACTACGCAGGCCTTGGGGTCTTGGTCAGAGGGAGTTCTACTTTTGACCAAGAGGTGGTAGGGCAGGAATGAGGTGTACGGATATGATGGGAAAGCAGTGAGGTAGAGAGAGAGAATTTGTGTGTTTTGATTGTATATGAGGATGTGCTATTTCCAGGAGCGAAGTTGTGGCAGTCTCATACTACCCTTTCACTGATCGAGGCACACTTATGCAACATGTACTATAAGTGCGATACGGGAAATGCTGGTAGAGAAGACATATTTGCTTACTTTGAATGGATCGTAAGGTAATCCATGATCAGAACCAGTTTCGTAGAAAACCATATTTTATGGTGTTAGGAAGCAAGAAGAGAATAGTAATGCTTCGGATGGTCTGTATAAGCGTAGTTCAGTAGTATCTCTGAACTTTGTTGTAGTTGTTGTAAAAGTATTGCGAGGTCGGAGGGGGGAAAGGTCGTCATGAGATAAGCCGAGTTGCCGAAGCATACCGAAGCATTAACCGAGAAAATAAAATGGTCAAAATGATCTTGTTATATAGTCGTCCCTTCAACCAATGCGACGAGACTGGGATGAAGCAGTCCTTGGTCAGAAAATCAACTGCAAATGTTGCATGGCAACAAGAGACATGGAGCTCATATGCAATTTCCATCTTCCCTTTCGGTAGGGACGGTAAGCTATACAGGAATGTATGTCTCCACAAAAAATACACATTTCATCAGTTGTGACATGAATGTTGTAAAGTTAAGAACCGAGCATTCTTCCAAAGATAGTTGAACAACAAATGGTAAAGTAAGGTGGTCTCACATACTACCACTCGACTTTCTTTGTCTCTCCCGCCTTGGAAATCTTTTCACTTTGTCCCTTTGTCTACCCGAGCAGGATCGCAAAGAGACAATGGAAATTGTTTTCAAGTTCGAAGAGATGTTTTCGGATTGTTTGAGAGCTGAAAATCAAGTATGGTCAACTCTGAGAGTGGGCAGTCCAGGCGAAAAGTTCATAATGCGATTGTCCTTCACGACCAAACTCAAGTCGTCCGATACAGCAGAGTAAGTCTCAATTGCCCCTCATATCCTCTGAGAGAAACCACGAGTCACCAGAGGGATGTCCAACCCCACTGATCCCATGCCAACATACTGGCACAATGACAGTGCATATTCCCGTAAGCCAGACATAAAGCAAGAGATCGAGGGTGCTGCGCGTGCACAAGCACCTCCCGGAGCCGATGGAGCCTGGATCACGTAAGTCGTATACCTGTACCTGGCTTATGTAAAGCTGAAATTATTCATAGGANATGGTTGGCATACGAGTAGGTCGGATCACTTGAACCATGGAACAGTTGATTATGCACGAGGTGAGAGCAAGGAGCGTAGACACATCTATCCTTGATAGCATTACCCACCTCGCATGTCAAATAGATTGTTGTTAGAAGCGAGGAGACACAAGGTGGGATATGAGGTATATTGATCTTCGAGATTTAAATCTATAGATATTATGTTTTCCGTCTAAATAAGCATGCTGCATAAGATATCTGAATGAGTATACTTCCACAAGACAATTTCTTCTGTTTTTCGTGTTGAATGACTCAAGATCGTATAGATTCTACTATTGGATAAGAAAACCTGCGGTCATCTCAGAATGAGACAGCAATTCAAGTTACAAAGCCAGATGTCTGAGATGCCACGTTATGATTGCGAGATGGCTTACCAGCTGATTCTCTTGTGTAGCTCACCAGTGCCTATCGAAAACCTCGCATGGCAGAGACACCAACATGCTACCTATAGACAATAGCCAGCAGAAAACTTCTGATATAATGCCTTGCTTCTTCCTCTCCCCTGACAAGATCAACACATACAATACAGCACAGTGAGTCCCAACCCGTCCTCTAGACCTCTTACCCAAAACATGAGAAACCACAAAAAGCAGAAACAGAACAGGGATATTCACTTTACCGTCTGCTGGAAAAAGCAGAACGCCTACTCCTCCAAACCGCAACAAAAACGTGAGATCGAGATTGCTGTGCGCCAACAGGCACCGCCTGGAGCTTATCATGCAACAATTAGGCAAGTATATCTCCTCCTCGGTTTGATTAGGCTGACGATGTCACCAGGAGCGGCTGGCATATGAGTATGTCTGATGGTAGGATTCATGCGACTGTGAATTACAAGATTGATCTTTCTGATGGAGGGACGAAGACAGAGATCAGACATATTCGTCCTTGATGGCTGTGCCGATTAGGAATTTGTGATCTTCTGTCTTTTGGATTGGAGATAGAGCAGGACCGATTGATGAGATGATGCACAGTTCCAAAAAGATACAAAGGGTTATTGCTGTTGGAATCAATACCCATGTGACAAGAGTGATCTAGAGTTCTGTGGCTATCTCTATAAGCAGTAGACTATACTAAAGACGTTCCAGCGACTTCTTGTACGCCTTCTCATACTGATTATCACCAAGACCTACTCTTATCATGCCTTCCTGGAAAGTCGTGGCCACATGTGCTCCTCCAGGCCCGATGACGCGACTATGATGTGTTGCTCGTCCCCCACCTGCTCTTGTCGTCCATACTTCCTGACAGAACCAACGTTTGCCCGACTGATCCTGCAGCATGATGTGCGAAGCAGGGCTGTGGAAAACTACGGTGTGGCTCAAACTTGCCATATGTGTGAATTTGTCGCCAATCTCAAAATGGCGTCCTACTATGAAGAGCGAGTTGCGATCAGATGCATATAGATGCGCGCAAGCGTGAATGTTTGGATCCGGTGGCAGATCGCCGATCGCGCGGTAGAAGAAGAGTTGACGACGGTCGAATGGTGAGAGTGAAGTGTTGTAGGGTGTCATATCCACCTTGCGAGACTCAAGCCCAGGGAATGCGTCATTCCTGCCTGTGAGTTTCCTACGAGAATTGTACNNTTGGACGAAATGAGCTGATGAACCACTGATCAATGAGTGAACATAACCTACCCAAGGCACGTCCATGCCCGAAACTTCCTCCCAGTCTTCTGGCTTTTTGCCAGAGAGAGAAATGCCATACTTTTGATCTAGTTCAATCCTCTCTTGGACATCAAAATGACTTTCCTCGGGCAATTTGAATGAACAGGTGCAGGTAAAGCATATTCCATCGCCTTCGGCTTGGGTGACGTTTACCAAGCGAGTACAATACGACCGCCCGTTCCGGATGGTCTGAACTCGGTAGATGAACGGTATCGAAGAATCGCCAGCCAGGACAAAGAAACCGGTAACATTCTGGGCATTGAAGTCAGAATGATCTTGGGATTACTTCGCCTCAACGACGCTTGGTATCTTAGAACTCACATGTATTACAAAGCCGGCCTCGACAGTGTTTGCCGCTGCCCAGACAGCCTGGGCATAGACATGGCCACCATACGCTCTACCAGAGCCATTAGGAGAAAAAGGTAGGGCGGTGCTGCGGTAGGTGGTTTCGTCCACCTTTTCCAGTTTGATCAATTGTTCGAATGGTATGTAGCCATTGCCATGCCGAGGGGCTTTCATATCAAACAGCTTGAGCAGGAGAGCGGAGGATCAGGACACAAGGTCATGGATTAGTCGCTTGGCGAACGGAATCGGCGTTATGAAGGGGCGAGAGAATGCATGTGATGATGTAGAAATTCTGAAGGTGAAGCACCTTGAGCCGAGGTGGAGTTGGAAGTGGGGGATCACCATGTGGAGAGAGAGACTCGGTGGCACCTCGGTCGGTTGTTCCCCAGAAGCTGGGTCTGAGAATCCAGAGGGGCAGAGAAGAGGCTGGCCGAGCATGGCACCGGTGTTCGAAGAGCATTCACATTATGAGAATTGTGATGACGGTCGGCAAGAAGAAGCGGCGTCAGGAGATTCGCTCTGGTGAATCTTAGGACGAGGATGAGCAAGTTATGGCTGTAAGCACAGCAGCAAAACGAGATTAAACGAGTTTTGAGATCAAAATCTGTCTGATTTGTGGGATTTGAGTTTCCTTTGAATTCTCCAAAGCGGCTCGGCCACGTGCTTCAGTGACGCCGTTGAACAAAGGAGCTGGTCAAATAGCGTGTCGAGAACTTTTTCTTGAACAAAGAAGGACGTCGTCGACTTCTAGCTTGAGGGTCACAAGACGAGTCCTTTGAGTTGTCATAGTTACGTGACTCGTATGCGAGTGTATAGAAGTGGAACAGAATGTCCGAGAGGGTGTTGACCGCTTACCTCTTCAGGAACTTGTCTGTATAAGAATAACCACCGTTATCTTTGAGCGCAACAATTCGTGCTTGCTGATCGACCAGGATATGAGGACCACTGTTGTGATCTTGTCGTGATAGTCACTCACGAGATGCAACAGTAAGGGCTATGCATACACATTGAGCCTGCAATTCGTATATCAAGATACGATTCTCGTGGACATGACGGTCAATGACTGGTCCAATAGCTCACCGCCTTGAACCTAGGATCGTGAGATGGCATGCCGACAGAGCTTACCGACTCGGCATGCCGAACAAGATTGCAGAGTCGGATGTGAACTCAGTTTCAATGGTTCAGTCGAATAATAAGGCCGACATACCACCGTGGCTGCCATCCACAAGAGTCCTGGGGCCCCGATATCTCCACTCAAGCTCTCCACAATGGGACCATCTGTCGTTGTGGGAGCTGTAAGCGTCTTGGTATTCTCAATTTTTCGCATGGTCTGATTTGTTCCAACTTCTTGGCCCGGCTAGCAACGCGGTGGCGGAGCCGAACCAACTGCAGGGCGTTGCCAAATATGAGAATGAATTGGGGCGTTGGCCGGAAAGTGATCCAGCAATTAATTCGTGCTACATTATTTAGAGGCCTGCGAATCAGAGTGCATTGCATGCTGATCGACGTGCTGTGGTGAATTGGAGTGCTTGAAGATCTCTGAAGCGGATTTGGGGAAGCGTTCGCGTCGTTCTCCAACTTCCAATATTCGCAGAAGAAGCGATCGACTATAGTGGACTGGATTAATTTCGCAATATGGAGACATGAGGAGAGGGTTTAGCACGGCCCGCATCGCCGACATACAAGTGCAGGTCCGTGATCCAGGTCGTGGGCCTTCGTGTCAGCCGGTGCCTCTCAAGATGTGATTATAATTGCCACATTGCTTTGCCGTTCAGGATAACGCCACGTTGGCGAGAGCCAAGAAGAAGAATGCATCCGCAATGAGCCTAGAGTGGATCTCGCATGGCGATACCGTGCGGCAAAGAGTGACAAGTGTTGTAAAGCATGTCACGCCGAGACGGATGTGCTGTAAAAGCGTCGGCCGAACGAGGTCGTGATCGAGTACGACCTGCTTAGCCGCGCTTATAGAGATATTCCAGAATCCTTGAAGTCGTTATCGGCGGCTAACCCATGGGTGTGTACGTGACTACCTCTATGTTGAGACATGTTTAGCGAGTGCAACTTCGCAACGTGCAAGGACAGAGGCACGGCGTAGTGTGAAATTAGCCCTGTGCCTGAGCTGGGGGCCTGCACGGAGGACGAACTCAGATTATCGGCACTGGCCGAGGGGATTGAGGTGTGACCGGGCGAGGGCCACGGCTGAGACTTTCTCTCTACCTTCTTTNCCAACGACACTCGCTGTTCGCAAATTCGAGAAAGAGCTGGACATGGTGCCTCGATCCCTCGAGGATGCAATGGTCGTCAAGTTGCGATTGGTCATCTCCGAGCCGTGAATATACAACCTGGCAAGTATTCGCGCATCCNNCAAGACAGCTCGTCTGTGAGCCAGAAAANNTGCCATGNNAGTGGTGGTCCAAGAAATACCAAGGAGCGTTCGCGACATCTGGGGCTCTGGGCAAAACGCGCGGGTGTTGGCGACACGCCCCATGCACGAGACAATTCGCATCGCATCAAAGCAAGGTCGACCTAGAACCGATTCGGGATGCCGCGTGACTGATGATTCGCTCGAAGACAATGGAGAGAGCACTAGTGTCGTTGCCATTCTGTGGGAAGTGTGGGGATGCATGGAATGAATAGTTCACCTGGACAACTGCCCAGTATTGCACCTGCTCCCACCGTCTGTTGTATATAGAGTCGTTGTTTCCTCACCTCGTGCTCATCTTTTCTTATCCTTCATCAGTCAACAAGCATTTGTCTTTCTTTGACCCTCCGAGGTCCTCTCCCAATTTCATTGCATCACAAAGAAACACTCTCACTCTATCACAATGGCTCCAGTCACAGTGGAGCGCATTGAGGCGCCTGTCACCGTCAGGGCTTACCTAATGTGTGCCTTTGCTGCCTTTGCTGGTATTCTGTTCGGTTACGACTCTGGATACATCAACGGAATCATGGGTACTCAAGTGTTTAAGCAAAAATTCGGAAGTTTCACTGGTGTTACGGACTCGACTGCCAATGGCTACAGCGTCGCTAGTGGCACCCAATCGCTCATTGTTTCCATTCTCTCTGCCGGTACCTTCTTCGGTGCTATCTTCTCTGGTGCTCTCGCAGATTGGATCGGTCGCCGCACGACCATCATCGCCGGATGTGGTGTCTTCACTGTCGGTGTCATCCTCCAGGTCGCCTCTACTACCGTACCTCTGATCGTCGTCGGACGTCTGATCGCTGGTGTTGGAGTTGGTTTCGTCTCGGCCATCAACATTCTGGTAAGTTCACTACCACCTTGAGCCACTATCTTGAACGCACGCTGACAAAGAACGCAGTACATGTCAGAGGTCGCTCCTCGCAAGGTCCGCGGTGCCATTGTGGTAAGTTTCTTACTCTCTTGAGCCACCATCTTGAGCCCAAGCTGACAATGAATGCAGTCATGCTACCAATTTGCTATCACCATCGGTCTCATGCTCGCTTCGATCGTCACCTACGCCTGCCGCAACTACACCAACACTGGCGCCTACAGGATCCCGATTGCCATTCAGTTCGCCTGGGCCTTGATACTCGCCACCGGTCTCTTCCTCCTCCCCGAGTCTCCTCGTTACTACGTCAAGAAGCAGCAGCTTGACAGAGCCGCCAAGGCTCTCGGCCGTGTTCGTGGTCAGCCCTCTGATAGTGCCTACATTGTCGATGAGCTTGCAGAGATCCAGGCCAACTTCGAGTATGAGATGTCGGTCGGCGAAGTCAGCTGGCTGGGCATGTTCACTGGTGGTATCTCCAACCGCAACTCCAATATTCGCAAGGTTTTCATCGGTGTCGTCCTCCAGATGATGCAGCAATGGACCGGTGTGAACTTCATCTTCTACTTCTCGACCTCCTTCTTCACCTCGATTGGTATCGAGAATGCCTTCCTTATCTCCATGATCACCACCATTGTCAACGTCTGCTCCACTCCTCTGTCTTTCTGGACCATTGAGCGCTTCGGTCGTCGCCCTCTCCTGATCTACGGTGCCATCGGCATGTGTGTCTGCGAGTGGATTGTTGGTATCACTGGTACCGCTGATGCAGGCTCTCGCGCATCTCAGATCGTTCTCATCCTGTTCACCTGTATCTACATCTGCTTCTTCGCCCAGACCTGGGGTCCTACGGCTTGGGTCTCGATCGGAGAGATTTTCCCTCTCCCCATTCGTTCCAAGGGTGTTGCCATCTCGACTTCTTCTAACTGGTTTTGGAACTGCGTGATCGCTGTGATCACTCCTTATCTCGTTGGAGAAGATGAGGCCAACCTGGGTCCCAAGGTCTTCTTCCTTTGGGGTTCTACTTGCGCCATCTGCATTCTTTTCGCATACTTCTTCGTGCCCGAGACCAAGGGACTTTCGCTCGAGCAAGTCGACAAGATGATGTCCGAGGTCTCCGCTAGACAATCAGCTGGCTGGGTTCCTCATGACACTTTCGCCCAGGAGATGGGCAAGGATTCTGCTGCCATCGAGGAGGTCGTCCACGAGTCCAAGGTCTAAAGGGTCTTTTCCTGAGCACCTAGAATTGTCATTATGTTTTTGTTCCTATATTGTCTTATAAGCTTGGTGAAGCATTCCGCGATAAGTGTTTTTAATGGAAGCATTATTATACCTTGATACAACTTAGACTCTCTATGATGATATTTTCGTTGTGACAGACTTCATTCGCTTCTTAATCATGTTCCAGTCTTCGTAGTCACCAGTCATACGCTTCTGCTTGACAATCTGGCTAGACTCACCTCGTTTGGTGCAACGCATCCGAGGCAATGAACCAGCCACGCCCGATTTTCTATCACCGTCGGGAGCCTTTCGGTCTGGACGTAGTCAGAGATGGCTTTGCGGAGACTTGAGACGCTCGAACTTGAACGAAGAGATCAAGCTGGAGCATAGATTCTCGGGTATGCTTGACTGGGGAATGTTCTATGCTGCAAATTTATTTTACGACCCGGTTTCCAATCAACGTGTGGTGTTCGGCTGGATACTGGAAGAAGATCTCGGTGACGAGTTGCGTGAAGCACAGGGATGGAGTGGTTTCATTTCTGTGCCACGTTCACTGAGCATGCACACCATCAAGAGCGGCGATACTGGTTGTAGGTACATCCTAGAGAAAGTGCCTGGGTTTGCGTGTCAGAGTGATGGAAATTGTGGTTTGGACGTCTCCACTATATGCTGCCAACCACATTCGCAGCTGCAGAATTTACGCTCTGAGAAAGCTGCATCTATTGATACTCTGACCATATTCTCGAGTCTCGAAGATGCCAATAGGGTTGTTGAAGGTCTTCAGCTCTCAGGCCTGCATAGTCTTGAGCTCAACATGACTCTGTCTTTTGATTTCCGTCCTGAGTTACTTGGTATAGACATCTTCCACAGTCCAGGTAAGCATTCGATACCTACCCACCTCTTAATCATGTTCCGCTAAAACATCGCACAGATCACAAGTCTTTTACACGCATCCAATTTGAGCCCTCGCACTCACTCATCGCCATTAATCGCTCCCACCTCGCGCCGTCCAGGTACAACAGCCTCGATGAACGCACTCAAAGATTGCTCATCATGCTATTCTCTCCATCAAAGATGCAGCCACCAATATAGTCAAGCCCGAAGATCTGGATGTGAGGATCCTTTATGACGTTAGTGCTTTGGAGGTCCTTGTCAATTGCCGTACTGTGGTGACTACGAGAGTATATCCTGAGGAGGGAAAATGTTTCGCCGTTTGTGGTCAAAGAGGGTGCGAGAGAGGGTGTGAAGGTCAAGCGGGTTGAGGTCTGGGAGTCAGGCTCTAGTGGGCTTGTTTAGAGAGTCTATAGATGTGCTGTGAGGTCAAATATATTACAGGTAGATCTCTTTCGACGAAACGGGCCGATAGTGTCGAACCATCGCGTCACCATCAATGATAGTCTTGCCACTGAGTGTACTGTAAGACCCAAGTGCAGAACAGAAGCACTAGTCCGGTGAACACTATTCAAAACTCCCGCCTGAGTGTTTGACTCGACCCTTTCCGAGGGACACCTCAATGCCTACAGACATCAATTGTATCTCAAGCTTCCTGCAGGCTCCTCCGTGAATCTGATTACTCTCCAATCAATTTGGTCCAATCATGATAGCCTTACATAGTTGATGGATACAGCAAAATGCTGTGATGCGTCGCGATAAAGTTGCATATCACAAATGCGAGCAGTGGTATCAAGATGGCGCCAGCAACGAGATGCAGCTTGAGCTTGGGAGTATGGTGATCTGGTCTGGCAAGTCGACATGGGCGTTTCTCGATTGCGCTAGGATCATCCGCAAATAACACACAACCTTCGGGTTCGAGCGGTCCTGGATGTGGAAGAAAGTCTGCTGGTTTGAGCCAATGCGCCGTCTTTTCTTGCCACCACAAGGTCTTGGGATTACGCATTGTCTGCAGCGGACTGCAATGTCCACCTAGTCTGCAGTCGGCGTCGAACAGTCTGGAATCTGCGGGTCGAGCCCAAGCCAAGTCAGTAGTCAACATGAACCGGGTGAGGTTCCTCTTCGCAGGGTCACAGACCTCGCTCTTGAGTCGCTCAAGATCCCGCACGTTTGCCAATAGTAGATGCTGACCTGCCGGGATGGTATCCCACGACGTACAAGAGGACCTTGTGTGGTCGCGAAGGATGCGGATTGGCTGTGGCATACCTCTGCCAAAGAGAATGGTTACATTTGACTCTCCGAACAGCTGCCACCAGATAGGTCGGGAGTGGAACAGGTCTGTCGGAAGCTCGCGTTCCCAAAACTCGAACCGTTTTTCTTGTATGTCCGCATAGCTCCAACCTCTAAGGCCTTTCTTCAATGAAATCTCACAGAAGCTCTGATTGGCTTGCTTTTGTTTCTTTCTTTGCTCAAGCTGTTCGAGAAACTCCTTCACAATGTCTGGATATTTCTTCGGTCCACCCATTCCAAAGTGTACTTCAAGGTCCTTTGCTGCCTTGATGGCTTCATAGGCCGCATTGCCTCCATCGGATGACCTGATTGCACGCGGTATCCTAGGAGCTGCCAACTTGGAGTTGTCTTGCAAATGAGTCGCTGTCATTTGTATGACAATGCTCAGCTCCGAGAAAAGAAACGCGGTACAACTTTCGTCATCGTAGAGCAAGGCAGGGGCTTTTGCTGCACGCTTCAAGAGTTCGTCCAGGGAAAGGGTCGAGCCTTCGATCTGAGCTTGTTCGCCTTTCTTGAATTTCCAGCTAGTACCCATAGTGAGATTAAAGTGACCTTTTGCGCTCATACCTGCGCTGAGTGGACCTTCTTCCTTGAGAGTCAGATGATTTCCCGTACGAGGGACCTTGCATGTATTCACTCTGGCATCGCGGAATTCTGCTGTACCCATGACAACTTCTGAGAACTTGCTGTAACCTAAGAACGCTCGATAATTACAAGGGTCTGATATATTGATAGTCCCAGGATCTGGTGTTTGGAGCTTGAATGATCTTGTAACGTGCTGCAGAGCGTTCTCGATAGTATCGTAATGCCACTGGATTGAGGCGCCAGAAAGCTCCTCTGGGACAAGGACGTGTGTCTCACTCGCAAAAGCGCGTCTATCTCCGAGCCAAAGGGGAAATCGGATACCGGCAAAGGTAGCCATGATTTCAAAAGGCAATTCGAGTCCTCGCATGCTCTCGGGTCGATCTTTTGCAGAAGACGTGAATCCGTAAGCTAAGACGCTCTGAGCAAACAATTGGGTCCAACATTGTCCTGGGCCATCGGATGGTCGAGGCGACTGCTCTCGGTCCCAGAGGCTCATTCGGAAGACTCCCTCTATCATTTCGCCTGTCTCTCTTCTGTGAGGCTGAAAATTGATGTAGCTGACCGTCAGCATTCCCTCATGCGGTACTCTGAGAGTTGCCGTTAACCAAGCAAGCTGCTTGACAATCATGTTGATATAGGTAGCTGACCCTGTGATGTCCACGACTGCATACTCTTTTTCGACTTCCTTGTTCGCCGGGAACAACTGGATTTGTGTCAGATGTGCTGGATTGACATTTAGCATAGGTCTTGTACACACAGGGTCAAATCCCCTGTCCCAAGCCGTAGCTATACAGGTTTTGACAGCTTCAAGCAAGTCCTTGCTTGTGTCCCAGATTGCGCAGCTAGCCAAAAGATCAGCGTGTGCGTGTTTGAAGTCACCGCTCAATGTGAAAAGACGGTCTATGTCGTCCGCAGATAGGTCCTCGGTGCCAACAAGTTGGAGCAGTTCCCACTCGACCACGCATGTGATCGTTGAATCTCCTTGCTTCCCGGCTAGTTGTTTTCCAAGAACTCCCTCCAGTAATACATGAACTGGAGGTAGGAGCAGTTCCTCCAGCTTACCGAGCATGTCTTCGAATCCTGATCCATGGCAGAGAATCTGTTCCACTTCGGTCAAGTCTGTCAAAGTAGTGTCTGAAGGTTCTTCAGTCTCCACATCCACCTCTTCAAGATCCATGGTTGGTATCTCTTCCAATTGCGCTATGTCCGAAACAGTGTTTGCCACACTGGTAGCAGAGAAGCGATCTTTGAGTAAGCGCATCAGACGTCCATCGGAAACAGAAGTGAATTTAACCTGGTCAGCTTCAAGCAAGCTCTCCTGGTCGCAGATCATTTCTGTAACATTCGTGGCGATGCGCGATCTGCACCGATGGAACAAGGATCGCAATGCCTGCGTGAGGGGGGTTTGTGATTGTTTCTTTAGAGCTCTTGCGAGGACCCCTAGAGCCACGGTTATATTCCATTGCAGCATATGCCGTTTCAGGCGCAGAACGGCACTTGCGCAAACAGAGTGAAGCCGTTTGTCAGACACCAGCACCTGCGCAACCATCTTTGCAGCAGAAACCCGTATATCCAGATCACCCGTCTGTGATGTGCCGACCAAAGTATCCGAACTCAAGCTCGCTCGATCATCGATGTCTGACTCGAAGTGATGTAGTCTGGACAGATCTAGATCAAGAGAAGCTGCTGCTGCAGTGACTCTGTTCATGGTCGCAGGTACAACTGAGAGTAATTGCTTGGTATACGCGGAGGCTGCAAGAGCCGCATAGCCCTGCCAATCACTGTCTTTGTGCGAATCGGCATAGTCGGCAATACCTTTGATCACCAGACAGGGCAATGTATTCATCAAACCTGATGCTTCCATCTCGAGACAAAGAGCGTTTAGCTCTCTGATAAGATGATCGCGCGCAATCGCGTCCTTCAAGACATGATTGCTAGTAGCTATCAAGCCATAGTGAACCTCTGGACCGTGTTCATGGCGTTCTGGTCTTTGGACCAGTCTCGACATATCACAATAAGAGCAGCTTTGTCCGAGCTGAGCATGTTGGTAGTGTGCCTGGAAGAGTAGATCGTGATCCTGTCCAGGACATTCATACCGCTTCCTCATCCGAGGGTGCGTCTCTAAGATTCTTGAGATGTCTTGGCTGAAGTCTGAATCTCTGAGTTCATGTTCCGAGCGGAGTCTCATAACGGCCTGCAACAATGCCGATGGTGGTCGGTTCAGTGATCCCATGCGCTGGAAAGTGCCATCAGATAGTTGCTTTCCCATGTCAATTTGAACCACGCCTCCGTGTACCCCTACAGGACTGCTGACAACAACATCACCAAGACGAATGTCGTGGGATCCAGAAGGTAATCCAGCCCCGATACCAACCAGAAGACAGAACTTGATACCGGAGAAGGACCAGATCATATCTCGTGCTGTGACCGCGGCCGAAACAGCACCAAACATTCCCATGGGTAGAGTAGCTAGAACGACATCATGTCCACTCATAGAGCCCAAAGTGTAATTGGCTTGGTCTCGCTCGGCTACTGGAAGCATGTCGTGTTTTTCATCAAGGAAGACTTGCATCGCCACATGTTCCACTGGCAAAGGACAGATTATACCGATCTGGTAGTCTTCGTGTCGCTTGTGCATGTTGTATGAGGAGGTGGTTTGCGTTCGATGCCCGTGTTACGAGAAAATGTCCAAACAGGCTGTGCGACAATAAAGTCGACGACACTAAACGAACAAAAATCGAATCGAAGGACACGGCCTGCACTACCGGGGCGGCAGGCCAGACATAACTGATTGCCGGTGGGCGGCAGGTGTACTCAATCAACAAGTCATTGCTGGAGCCACTTGATGCAGAGGGCCTAATGCAAGTGCGAAATGGATTCTGATTGGCCGTACAGAGTGTCGTCCGAGACGATCCATCGTTGTGTTAGCATTTCCGTCAATGCGGCTGCATACTCGAAGGTTACAGCGAATCAAAGATGCAAGTCGTCTGGCCGGAAGTGGGCAGTATGCAAGCCACGCGCTATCTCATGTATTGTGCGCTGACACACTCCAGTATCGGTCAGGACCCCTATGCTGAAGAACAGATACAGCGAATGCTTCGATCAGTGTGATTAGGTCGAGCAATCTTCGTAAACGAAAATGCAGTTTGATCTTTCTGGAATCTTTGCCACAGCCGCTCATAGGTTTGTGATACGGCCAGCCGGCAATCGAGGCGATTCGCGAACCATTGAGACGAAGCAGTGTGCTTCATATCTATACGGCTGCGATATCCGATTGGATTCTTGATGTCGATTCTGCTTTTGTGGAGAGTCTATCAAGATGGCAGGTATGCGTTGACCGTTAGAGCTTGGCAGTGGATTGCGGTGGTGGTGACGTTGGAAAAGGGCACGGACTGGTTGATCGGCAGCGTGTCGCGAGCAGCTCTCCAGCTCTGGCCGAGGACGGCGGGCCTGGTGTCCTGCCTTGTCTCGCGCGTCCTTTGCTGCACAAGTCGCTCCCTGTTCTTGCCTGTGTACTCCCGTCCCACACTCGCGCCATATACCCAGCCATGTCGCTTTTCGGAGAGTCACCACCGCCGACGCCTGCTGCACGCCAGAACAAGTCGTCGCTGTTTGACGACGACGATCAACCTGCCGCTCGCAGCACCTCGGCCAGCTCGGGTCTGTTTCCTGAGACCAACGACGCAGACGACGGCCAATCGCCCTGGGACTTTCCTGCTCCTAAGAAGGGCAACAGCACCCGCCAGCGAGGAGACTTGATCAAGACCCTGCTGCCGCCCAGCGATGTGCCTGAATCCTATGTCAACCTCTTTGATGCCTTGCTGTCGCAGAGTACCGCTCAAGGCGGTGTCACCCTTCGCCAAATCAAGAACCTGTTGTCAGGAAGTAGCATCGGACAACCCGAGCAGTCCAAGATTCTCGAGCTCATCAGCGCAACCGCCGCCGACGACTCACGTGTGCTAGGTCGCGGCGAGGTCAATGTTGTTCTGGCCCTGATTGGACTGGCACAGGAGGGCGAAGAGCTTGGTCTGGATGCAGTCGACGAGCGTAGAAGACAGTTGCCAGTGCCGAACCTACCCTCTCTCACCGCCCCTCCCAAGCAAGAGCAGAAGCCTTCCCGAACCCCCACCGGTCCTCCTACCCAAGCAGACTCGGGTGCCACACAGCCTCAAAACATCGAAACTCCTGGCTTTGGCTTTGGCGACGACCCATGGGGGAGTCCCTCCTTGCACAAGAACCATCACCACGAACCTGCCGCTGCTCCTNCATACNGCTCAGGCTGCCGCTCCTCGTACCCCAACGGCAGCGTCAATGGTCGCGCAGAACCTCCCCACGTCCGAACGACAAGCAACTTCACCACCACTTCCGTTGCCGACAAGTCTGACTCGCCGACTACTGAGCCTTCCTCGTTCGAACCATCTCGACCCACAACAGCTGAGAGTGGATGGGGTGGCTACTCTGCTTCTAACGATGGCTTCAATGCTGCCCCCGGCAACGAAGGCTTCGGCGAACCACAGTCCGACAACAATCAAATCTCGAGCACCGTGAGGAGACCACTTGGCGTGTCAAGACCTAGTGGTGCAACAGGCCCTGAAGAACTCGTTACTGTCAACGTACTCGAAGGCAAAGAAGGCATGTTTCTGTTCCAGCATCGCAACTACGAGGTGTCCAGCATCAGGAGGAACAGTCGTGTCATTCGTCGCTACAGCGATTTTGTTTGGTTGCTGGACTGCCTGCACAAGAAGTTCCCATTCAGACAGCTTCCTCTATTACCACCCAAGCGTGTAGCCAGTAAGTTGAAGTCAATCCGTGCGAGGTGATGAAGCTGACAAGAATNNGCAGTCAATGGCAAGCACATAGCGGCAGACAATCTTTTTATTGAGAAGCGAAGGAGAGGACTGGCACGCTTCACCAACGCACTCGTGCGCCACCCTGTCCTAAGTCAAGACCAGCTAGTGATCATGTTCTTGACTGTACCTACGGTAGACGTTCGGCCCCTGCCCTATGTGATGATCGACCAAAACTAACTATCAATCAGGNAACTCGCCGTATGGCGAAAGCAGGCTTCTATCTCTGTGCAAGAAGAATTTACCGACAAGCCTCTCCCTCCAGGTCTCGAAGACTCGCTGCCCCAGAATCTCTCCGACCTGTTCGAGACAGTACGAAGTGGAGTGCGCCGCTCTACCGAGGTTTATATCAACATGTGTGGCATGGTCGAGCGACTTATAAAGCGCAACGAAGGCATCGCGAGCGAATATGTCCGACTCTCCATGGCCCTCGGAAGTCTGGCCGAGTGCTCCGCCGACACCTACGCAATGGACACCAATGAGGTCGAGCTGTTGAACGGTGGTCTCAATGGCACAGCCAAACACCTCTCCACCAATCAGAGTCTTCTCGAAGATGAGGCAAGAGCTTGGGATTTGGGCGTTTTGGAAGATCTCAAGCGGCAGCGCGATGCTTTGGTCAGCATGCGGGACATGTTCGATCGTCGTGATCGCTATGCACGCGATAACATTCCCCAATTGGAACGTCGCATTGCCTCGAATGAGAGCAAGCTGGCTGGTATTCGTGCACGACACGAGTCGCAAATCAAGCCTGGCGAAGCCGAGAAGGTCGAGAGCGCAATTGTCAAGGTACGCCCTTCTCCTTTCAACTGATGATTTAGCCTTACTGACGAGAGCAGGNACAAGCAATCAATAGTCGACCAGCACGCCCGCGGCGTCTTCATCAAGGAGTGTGTCCGTGACGAGATCGTCCACTTCCAGTCCTCTCAGTATCATGTCAGCAGAATGCACCAAGAGTGGTCACAAGAGCGTGTCAAGTATGCCGAGTTGGGCTCAGAGAACTGGAGATCATTGAGCGAGGAGCTTGAAGCAATGCCGCTCGGCGATTAAGAGGAGTCCGACAAGCTCCTGTAATTGTATATCCCTCTACTGTAATATTTGCTTCATCATTGTTCGACATAAAGACTCGTCACTCGGATTGTCTCTCAATTGCAGCTGCTCCTTCCTCATATGTGTTTGCTAAGTAGAATTGCTCGACTTTCACATGGCCTCAACGTGTTGCAGCCTAACTCTCATTGTCGTGTCATACTTGTTGAGCGGATTCATTCTTCTCTTGGAATCTTGATGCCACTCGTTTCTGCACGAGACAACACCTTTCGTTGATCTCAGCTCCACTTTCCTAGCTTCCATACAACGGGTCTCTACAACCATCAGTGTTCGTCGCCGTCTTCAGACTTGACCCGGATAACGACAACTCATTGATCCAAGCAACAGATCGTTGACCTCCATACTCACATCAAAATGCCCGTCGTAAAGAAGGGCAAGAGAGCCTCCGCAGGCGATGATGAGGTCGTCTCTCCACCCCCAGCAAAAAGACCAAGTCGACCAAGGCCTGTAAGTCCACAATCTTTCCATATTCTAGCATCACCGTCATCTGCCCATCATGGTATAACCGTTGGCCTCCTTGGCGGAAGGATGGCGATCTGAGCGTTTTCTTATCTTATCGACGTCTCGGCTTCGGATCAGGGCTTTGGGCGTCGGCGTCGGCGGCGTCATTCACTATTGGGTGTCGCTGCCTTTGCTGTTGATCAACTTTCCTTTATCATCATCTGTCGCACAGTCAACATCGTTGTCCATTCCCAGCATACTGTCCTTCGTTCCCGCTGGAACACACATCACTCGCTCCGACTGAGATAGAACCGGCTGACACGATACAACCATGCCTCCAGCATACACGGCCTCCCAAAAAGCGGCCATCCAGAGCTTCGTCGACTTTACAAACACAGACCGCACAACCGCAGGGAAGGTCTTGCGTCAACATGGATGGAACGTACAAGTGGCAACAAACGCGTAGGTCAAAAGAATTTCATTGCATACTCTGGGGTCCGGGGTCGCAAGAGGGAGAAGTCTACAAGTTTTCGCGTACATCACTAAGGTCGTCGTCGGTTCGATGATGAGATGTCTCGGCACTGAGGTGTACGAATGGGGTTTCACACAGCGAATACTCGAGCGCGACACACGACTGACTCAGTGCTCCCCTCGAACTACTCCCTCCTATGCGCGCGCTCAACTCTCTAAAGATGTCGGACCCCATGGACATTGACGATAAGCACGTGCTCGCTGCTAACATGCCCAGCTACTTCCAGTCTGGTTCTACCGGCGGGGGCAGCACTGCCAGCAAGGGCACACTCAACAAGTTCTTCGACAAGTACCGCGAGGATGTGGCCAACGAACCTGACGAGGTGAACATTGAAGGCACCATGCAACTTCTCACCGACATCGAAGTTAGCCCTGACGACGTCGGTGCTCTCATCTTCTCGGAAATGGTCAAGTCGCCCTCACTTGGAAAGCTCACGCGCACCGAGTTTGTCGACAGCCTTGCAGGTCTTGGGTAAGCTTTATGAAGTTTGCACAGAACATGCAATGCCTGACAGATATCATACAGTGTCAACGACGTCAACAAGATGCGCGACATGGTCCAGCAGAGACGCGCCAGCCTTGCCGAGGCCTCGTTCCGTCCCACGTTCAAGTCAATCTACAAGCACACATTCATTCTCGCCCGTCAACCTGGCCAAAAGGCAGTCGCACTCGAAAACGCCACAGAGTACTGGCGCCTGCTCCTGACCAGCCCTTCGCTCGAGTGGTCATCGCCCAACACACCCTGGCTCGACTGGTGGATCGAGTTCCTCACGGAAAAGTACAAGAAGAGTGTGAACAAGGACATGTGGGATCAGACACTCGTTTTCGCCGAGAAGACTCTTGCAGACGAGCAACTCTCTTTCTGGAGCGAAGATTCTGCCTGGCCCGGCGTGATTGACGAGTTTGTCGAGTACGTCAAGACAGACAAGCGGCAGGGTCAAGGTGTTGGCGATGCTATGGAGGTTGAGTGAAGGACGCGATGACGAGAGGTAGTGCACCGAGCACAAAGTATACATTGACGACATTACTGCCGAGGCACGCGACACACGGAGGATACGAGGAGATTCGGGAACAGAAGACAGTCGCGGCTTCGGGCGGGTGACGAGGGATAGCTTCGAGGCAGAGAGAAGCAAGAGAATTGATTGCAAGCATGGCATAACGGCAGCATTAGAGGCAGACAGTCAAAACATATCACGAAGACGAATTCACCACACACGTCACAGGGTCATGAGGTGAAACATGTGAAATTGGACGGCTTCTCACGGAGAAGGAAGCGCCGAGATTGATTTGGCTTGTTGACGGTCGGGCCTGAGTGTGGGGGGGCAGACCGGCGCTGACGGGATCCGAGGGTGATCATTTTTTGTTTCCTGTCGCTCCTTCCCATTGTAACACGCGACCGGCAGACTGCAACTTCCCAATGGCCGACAGCAAGATGGAGCCCTTTCCTCCATTGAGCCCTCCCAAAGCAGGACTCGACACACATGGCGGCCCTCCGGTCACAATGAGCAAGCCCCGGCCCCGGCGCAAGTCTAGCAGTCTTGGAGGAGAGCCGAGAGGTGACACGGGAGCTTCTGCACTTGCTACCTTGTCCTTGCTGCCGCAGGTATGATCTCTCCAGCTCGACGCCCGCCAATGCACTGACACGCCTGGCCAGCGCACATCTACACCGACACAAGACAAGGCTACGAGGACATCCAAGCGCCGCAAAGCTCGCAGTCTCCTCAAGCGCTATGTCCGTGTCTCCCTCCGACACACTTGGCTGAACCCCTTGATCCTCATGCTCCTGGTTCTGGGTCTCTACGCTGTCAATCCCTCCACCTCGAATCCCTTCTACTACTGCATCTTCCTCGCCTACCCGCTCGACACCCCTGCTGGAGAGCCAGTCCAGTATGGCAAAGGCCAGGCCGATTTCGCCTTTGTCGCTTTCTACACCATCGTCCTCAGCTTTACCCGCGAGTTCCTCATGCAACGCATGATCCGCCCTCTGGCTATTCGTCTGGGCGTTCAAAGAAAGGCAAAGCAGGCCAGATTCATGGAGCAATTCTACACGGCCATGTACTTTGCCATTTTCGGGCCCTTTGGCCTCTACGTTATGCGCCGCTCGCCAGTCTGGTACTTTAACACGGATGCCATGTTTGAAGGCTTCNCCCACCGCAGCCACGAAGCCATCTTCAAGGCTTACTATCTGCTGCAAGCGAGTTACTGGTCTCAGCAGGCCATTGTCCTGTTGCTCATGCTCGAGAAGCCGAGAAAGGATTTCAAAGAGTTGGTTTTGCATCACATTGTCACCGTGGCTTTGATCTGGTTGAGCTACCGCTTCCACTTTACCTACATGGGCATTGCCGTCTACATCACCATGGACATTTCCGATTTCTTCCTCGCCGTAAGTTTTGCCGTCCTGAGTTGAAGCATGACCATTTTACTAAGCAAATTGCAGACCTCCAAAGTCCTCAACTACCTCGATTCACCCATCACCGGCCCATACTTTGGCCTCTTCATCGGCGTCTGGTTCTACTTCCGCCACTACCTAAACTTCTACATCCTCTGGGCAACCCTGACCACCTTCCGCACAATCGGCCCTTACGAACTCAACTGGGAGACCCAACAGTACAAATGCTGGATCTCACAGATTATTACCTTTTCTCTGCTTTTCGCCTTGCAAGCCGTCAACATGTTCTGGTTTGTCCTGATCTTGAGGATCGCATACAGATTTATCAGAAGCTCTGTTGCCAAGGATGAGAGAAGCGACGATGAAGAAGATGAGGAGGAGATTATTGAAGAGCAAGAGAAGGACAAGATCAGACAAGTTATTCCTAGTGTTGAGTTGAATGGCGAGACACTTGTGGGAGCTACTGGTAGAGATTCTACCCCTGAAGGCTTGAAACGCAGGGCATAGTCTTGTTCCTGGTCATTGCATCATTCATTGCACATAAAAGTCCATAATCATTTGATGGACGGTTTCTGCATCAAATTTTACATGCCACTACTTAAAACGAAAGGCATCCCGGCATTGTTCAACATATACTTTACAAACGAAAAGCAAAATAAGCATATCATCATATTCCTCATTCGTCGCTCCTACTTTCTCTATACCACAAACACGACGACCTCCAGATCCTCCAAAGTTTAGAAGTGTGTATCTTTGAAGGCAAGTAGAATCACGCTCACTCCTATAAGTCTTGTACGAAGTGACTCTTCGTCTTCCCTAGATTTTGCTTTGCTAGAAGCACAAAGTTCATTTACCAAATGGCCATTTTGATTTACGCTCACAGACCCTACTTTCTTTTAGGAGTTTGAGGAGTCTTGATGTCTGATTTTTATTGCCTTAGTCACCTGTACGTTGGTCTGATCTTGAGCAATACTGAAGCACTCGTTCACTCTGATTACAACGTCTGGTCTTGGTCTAGGAAGGCGAACCAACACCAGTCTCTCACACGCGCTTGAATGGCTACGAATGACCAGTTCCAGTAGCTCGCATGCCCATTTATACCACACACTTGTGTATATTCCATGACAATCGATGTTGTGGTCAAGGGGACAAGCCAGTCTTTCATCAAAATTCGAATTCTTTCATGTTATTATAGCCTGTTATAGATGGCTGTGAAGACCCTGTTGTACGGTTTGCCGCCCCTTCGTCCTCCCAACCCCTGCTCCGATACCGTCATTCTTCCAAGCCCACTTGATCCCAAGCCGTCAACACCAACACCTTGACAAGCTGGATCCACTGTTTGCTGTCCACCTCTTCCGTCGTGCCGTCCTGGTCTATACACTCCTCCCCAGATCGATCCTTATCAATGTCATGGATTCCAGAGTCAACCATCGCATCACATGTGGCATTCTGGTCCATTGGAGCTCCTGGAGTTTGTGACGATGAAGATGCCACTTCACTGCTCCCGACACCACCAACGCCAAGACAAAAACTCGAAACGCCGACTTCTGTCCAGAACCGAGTATGTGAGCCAAGCTCACGTCCAGTCTGAAAGTCAGGGATACTAGGTCGTCTGCCCAATACTCGTTTGCTGTTATTCGACAAGGAGGTGGCCACAGGGTGAGTTGCGCAGCACGTTGAAAGGCGAGAAGGTATGAATTCCTTGATCGGCGGATTCCGTTGCCAGCATGCAGATTGTAGGTCAAAGGTTGCTGGGTCAATATTTTTNGTGGCGAGTCTAGAGGAAAACCCCTCTGACGGACAGGGCGACGTTCTGGGAATGTTCGAAGTAGCGACGGCGGTGATCATGCAATCGCCTCTCCAGAGCGATCTTCTTTCATCAGTGTGGAGTAAATGTCGACATGTACCCAAATGTCCTTCCTCAGTATCAGAGATCGCTGACATCACGACTGTGCCAACAAGATGGTGCCGAATCGAGTGCAGATAAGCATAGGCTGCCACGATGGCCGCAGTGCCCGCTGCATGTGCTGGCATCGTTGTTAAATGCGACGATGGTCCTGTAGTCTTGTTGGAGGAATAAGGATGGGATGGCGAGGTCAGACGTGGAGATAAAAGTCCGTTCAATACAAGGCAGGGGCCTTCACCTTCGTCAAAAACACTGACCACAGAAGGAAACGTCGGTGAGCCTAATGCGACACTTTTGGTATGCCTTGAAGACAGGAATGAGGATATCACAGCGGCAACTGGTGCCGTGGTCGCGTAACCATCCCAACCCTTTCTTCCAGTCGAAGTCTGGATTGGCGACTTGGAGGCAGCTGAGAAGTCATGTAAGAATTCGATCAGCCGATCAGTCTGCGCATCGATGGCATCCTCGATGGTTTTCTTCCAATTCGTAGGCGGCTTGTTTGGTGCAAGGCTTTCTTGTTTGGTCTGGTTCGATGTTGTCTCATGTCGCAGCGGCTGTCTGACTGTAGGATAGATGTAGGCCTCTTCATTAGGCGGTGTCGGAGGTACAGCCACATGTCTTGGTCGCCTTGCCGTATCTGATTTCTTTGCAAATCTGACCATAATGAATCAGGGTGGATGTGAAGCGCGAATACAATTCGAGTTGTACTTGAAATGGCAAAGTTGAAAGTCTGATGCGTGAGATATTGATGACGAAGACGATTCTGAGGACCGCAAAGCCAACACTCGGAGAAAAGATTCGAAGAAAGGAGAAGGATACCAACGTCTCTAAAAACAGAACGGTGTCGAGCCTGCCTGTGCCTGTGCCTCTTAGGTTACACGGGTGGAGGGTTTCGGCAGACAACTGACAAGCCACCTGGAGATGATTCCGAAACTCAGGCGGTGGGTTTGCCCGGATCCGCGTGTGGTGCTTGTTTACGTTGAAGTCATTTCGTGGTCACTACGCCGATATATGCTTTGATATAGGCGATGATATATGTGATGGTCGAACCACACGAAAATTGCGCGACTCAAGGCGGGCGCGCACAGTGTCGAAATATCAACGTCTCAGATTGTTGTGGCGACGATCAAGATCCGTATAACCCCTCAACAGCTTAGCCATGATAAATAGAAAAGCGGGCGGCTTCGCTATTTGTACGGCGGTGACATTTCGAGTCGCCATGTCAGCGAGTCACGTCATCGTCAACATGCATTTATCACAGTGTCTCGACCAATGATCTGAAGGCAGACAGACAGGTCTAGACTCTGCATAAGGCTTACAAGTGGTATGGAGGATGGATGGTGTTTTGATTGTATGATGTCAGATCGGGTAATAATTGACTGCACTGCGGCACTTGAGCACACTGCCGTGTTGGCTTGTCCGGGGAAACGCGTGAGAACGGTAGTCTTAGACGGGAACCGGATCGATTCGGGGACTGTCCGCTCATCCAACACCTGGCGTTTGACGGTGAGTGGTAGCATGATCTCAAGACGGATGTTGTTGATGATTCTGATTGGTGGGAATTTATAAACGCGCAGAGCGAGCACTTGCGAATTTACTAGTGATACCAGATTCAGGGACCAGACGCGTCCTAATCGTGACATGCACTGGCCAGCGTAGCCCAGAACTGACCGCAAGTCGCGTGAGAAGCGATGCTCGTATGGTAAGAACACCTATCGGATGTGAGGAAGCGGTCATAAGCAGCTTCGCACAGGTGACAAGCCCTGTCGATCGAAACGCCCGGTGTTCTGATGGATAGCGCTCGGCGCAGAGTCCGAAGTTTTGTTTTCGGTCTCACGAGGCCTCTGGGCGTGGCGCGATACATTCGGAATTGCTGCCGTTGAACGTTATATGGCTATTCATTGCTTGTGCAGCCATAAGCATGAATCCAGATGTTCCAAGATGGCTGAGAGGCATCGGGAGAGTGCGTTGCCTTGGATGCTGAATCTGGTGCAGCTTCCAAATCGCCAGCTGTTAGACAGCATGCTACGCGGAAGTGATTGGACTTGAGCAGTCATACAGTTATACCCGGAAGTTTGGCAATGCTTAGGGCATGGAAGCGTCAGGAGCATTGTTCAGGCAGCGGCCTGGACGAGGTTGTCGGGAGAAGGATCGATCGAAGCCTTTGCCATTTCGGTAGTGGTTTGGCCTTTGGTCTCTGCGAATTTGGAACTGCGCTTGAAGCTAGGCGAGGGATTGTAGAAGTCATCGATGATGGGATGAATCAGGACGGTCTGGTTGTGAATGGTGACGGTACTGTTGGTAGGAACGGTGACCCAGTTGTCACGTTCGAAGGTCAGAGGTTCACTGGCGACAAGAACAATATCGGCTCCTCGGTCACGGCGTTCCATGGTGTAGTCGGCCTTTTCGGCAGAAGGGCCATTTTGCTTCTTCCAGCTGGTGCCGGAGCTGAAGAACAGACTTGCAGCCTCATCGGTGGTACTGCTCACATAACGGGTGCATACAACACTCTTGCCGTCGGTCACGGCGAAGTTGAGCAGACTGCGCGTGTCGCCTTCTCGAACGTCTTCTGGGAGCTCGCGAATGTAGCCGTTGATGCGCTCGATGGTCTTGAGGATGGCCTTGCGCAAGACACTATGGCCGAAGCCAGCTGTTTGAGCTTCCTTGTTGTCCGGGTCATAGCCCAGTCTCTCCAGGCTGTCGAGGAACAGGGCAAAGCACCATTCGGAATCGGTGCTGCCTGTGACGCCTCCAAACCAGCGGTCGCCAACATCGCTGACCAGCTTGCGCTTGACACCAGAATTCCAGCTTCCGACTCCTCCATTGTGCATGAACATCAAGCAGCCGCGGCTGAAGGGATGGCAGTTGCTCTCGGCCAGGGCGCCTTCGGTGCTGGCGCGGACGTGGGCGAAGATGAGAGGCGAGACGGTCTTGCTGGCCAAGCGGGTGAGGTTGGTGCAGTTCCAGGCAGGGATGGTCGAGGTGAAGATGCACGGGTCGGGACCAAGCAGGGCGAGCAACGAGGGAGGGGTGTAGTAGCCGACACCGAAGCCATCGCCATTGTGAGGTCGGCGCGTGTCCAGACGGAGTCGCGAGTCGTAGGACTGGGTAAGGATGGAGTGGGCCGGGTCGAGGATCAAGGTCGAGAGGAGGATTGGCTCCTTGCCCTTGTAGACCTACAGCACGTCAGCGATCGTTGTTAAGGAAGTCGAGCTCGAACCTACCATGAACCGACACATGGAGAAGGTATGCTTGATGAAGAATGAGCTGTTGAGAGGTTTGTCGTTCCCTCGGTACTAATGATGGCTGCTGCCGGATGCGACGTGCAAAGCTATGTAGAAACAAAAGGTAGTCGCGTCTTCTACTTTCCTGCCATCGAGCAATTGCGCAATCCAGCTTGGACCACCAAACACTTTCACATGAAGCTCAAGAAGTCCAAAAACAAATCTCAAGAAACCTGCCCATGGGTATCACTGCCTAGTCTTCTCGAGAGCCTATCAGCAAAGTCCACGCCCGCATCTGATCTCCTGACAGTACGCATCAAAGATTTGTTCTAGTCTCGTGTTGAGGTCGTGTGTTCCGACAGGTCGCTGTATGCTGGCAGGGTGACACTAAATACGAGGAAGGAACGTCCCCGGCTCCCTCCTCATGGCGAAAATGTCCCCGATTCGGCGACATTTCACCATCACATTCATCTTTTGCTACACGATCCATTATCGCTTCTGATTGTTTCGGCTTGCAAAACTGCAATACTGCATTCCGTCCAGGTTTTAGTGCTCTACCATGCTTGCCAGGTGAGATCATCATGTCAACCAGAACCACTTCTGAATCCCCTACCGTCAAGCCATCCGCACTGGCTTGCACCGAATGTCGATCTAAGCATCTGAAGTGTGACGGAAAGCAACCCGTCTGCTCACGATGCGCCGCCTCTGATGTATCATGCAACTACACTCCTTCGAGGCGAGGCTGCAAGGGTATACCANAAAAGCGACGAAAACTCAATTCCGATCACCAAACACAACAATCGACACCCGACCCATTAGCTCAGTCACCAGCTCAAGCACCGACGATCGTTCATACTACATCTGACCCCCTAGCCTGGCAGAGCCATCTGTCGACTTATGCTGCGGACAATTCATCCATCGGTGTGGCCTTCGAGGCACCGCTAGTGAATACTGGACCAACAATTATGCTAAGCGATCAAATCACGGCCTCAGCATCGAACGCCGAACAACAACCCCAACAAAGGTCCAATCCAGGCTTGGACCACGTTGTAAACCTCTACTACACCAATTTCCATCCAGGACATCCTATTCTGCTCCCGCGTCATATGTACGGTCGAAATTATCCTCCTTGCCTTCAGTCTGTCGTTCAATTCATCGGGGCTCATTACTCGGCGTCTCACTCGAGCGACTCTCTTCGCGCTCACACAGCCGTTTCCCTCAGAGATGACTCGCAGCGATCAGCGTACATGGTACAAGCTCGGCTACTCTTCGCCATTGCCATACACGCTCGGGGCGAGCCGAACGAGGGACAGGCAATGCTCCAGAATGCTATAGATCTGGCCATCAGCCTTGGCATGAACACGAAAGATTTTGCTACTTTGCACGGCGATTCGTTGCCATGTCTCGAGGAGAGCTTTCGTCGCACATGGTGGGAGTTGTTTGTGGTGGAGGGCATCATGTCCGCAATTCACCGCAAACCAACCATGAAGACTAGGTCCGTTGCCTCCGAAGTTTTACTACCATGCGAGGATTCAACATATACAGACGGCGCCTGTTTTTCTGGCGGGTCATCATTGGCTCAATTTACCGACCGCCATTTTGCCGAAGAAGAAGTCAGTTTCTCATCGTCTTGCTATCGCATTGAGGCTGTTCAAATTTTGTCCAGGGTAATGTCAATTGCGAACGCTGAGGCCCATCCGGACGAGGTACAAGCAATCGACAATTCTCTTGCAGCCTGGTCGCATTATGTGCCACCAGAGAAACGTGATCTCATCTCAAACTCGGGAGAAGTGGACGAGCTACTTTTCCAGGCGCACATGCTCATTAACTGGGCTACCATCCTACTGCACATGCCTCGAAGCGAGCTTCTCTCGGTCCATCCGGCTACTGCAGATATATTCTGTGCCAAAGGCGACAAACAAATGCCATCTACAGACACAAAGCATGCCCATGCGAGCAAAGCCACAGACGCGTCCAAAGAGTTGTCCAACCTGGCCGCTCTCCGCTGCCCAGTACAAAAGCACACCCCTTTCTTCATATGCGCTCTCGTCATCGCGTCAGTCGTACAATTAGCTGCCTGCACTCTTCACAACTGCCGCTGCATGTACCAACACCGTGATCGAATTACATTGGTCGTCGGTTTGCTCAAGTCACTTAGCGTGAGCTGGGCATGTGCTGGATCGGTACTTATTAAGATTAAGAAGATCGCAGCAAAAGTGCTGAAATCTGAGCATTGCACTATGACTGTGGCTTCTAATCAGTGCGATAGCTGCACAGATAGTGGTCTAGGCAGTGAAGAGGTGCCCTGGTTGGAATTCTTCAATGATCCAACGGTTATGTCGTTCGAGCGATTTGCACCTGGACCGCTCTTCTTTGAGGAAAGTACCTGAAGTCGACAGGTTGGGTCAACGTCGACGATATACTGAGCCTTTTTACCCCTCGGAATCAGAGTCGAATTTGCGCTACAGACTGGCTGTGTCAGCAATGGCCGCGTTGGGTACTGTTTGTCTGCATCTGCCCCAGAACGTCAGCTTGGACGCATGCTTGTTGTAGTCCTTGACTCGATCTACGCCTCAGATGTCCGGCGATCCTGCATAGCTTGTCACTTGCGTGGTTTTAATCATATCTAACGCTGACAATGACATTACACCGAGGCCAATCAAGAGCACTGCTTTTACGCCTCTATCAATAGGTGGCATCTATACGCACAGAGACTGGCAAATTTCTGACTTCCGTGCTTCCATGACTCCCGCTCACCCCTTCGATCTATCCTCATATCATCGGATTATGAGCGATCAGGATCCTCCATTTTTCATTTCACCCGGAGATTATGACTCTGAGTATTGCACAGACCTATTCAATGTTGTCAGTCACTGCCTGATATCCAGCGTCTCAATCTACAGAGATCCGAGCCTGGTTCAACCCAAAGTCACCAGCAGTTCACATACATAGTATGACGCCGTGTTCCCAATCTAACAACAGTCCGATCATGGAATGGTTTCAAACTTAATCTTTTATCGGTCTGGCAGCTTTTGTATTGAGTTACCACAGCCCAGTCATCAAGCAGGCAAATGGTCCATCATCAAGCTCCCATCGGCCGACTATGAGCCTATACCAACCGCCTAACCCTATTAAGAACCAACTCTCGGTACAAACCACAAAGACGGATGAATCCAAGGCGGAACAGCATGGACTAGGGCTGCTGCTGTAATTAGCAGTGGCTCCTGGCATATCGAACTGTTCAAGCCACCGTACTGGGTCTCGCGGCAGTCGTAAGCCTCATCTTCCCTAGTGAACTCATGGAGACCTCGACGTGAGGACAGCTGCCGTGTCAGCAACCTCCTTTGTTTGGGTCAACGGCAAACGGTATGGATCGAGAACCTGAAGAACGCAGGGAAGAGCAAAACTTCTATGACGTTTGTAGTATTGATCTGATCAAAACATGTTAAGATCAAGACTGTGGGAATTCGAGCCCTTGGATAGAGCAATCAAGCCACGAAGAATATGGTATGGCTGGGAAGTTTTGAATACGAGCTGTCAACAGGACAGGGGTGGTGTCCTCGGAGGTCAGGGTTACAGCCGCTGTCGAAACTCTATTCCCAGCGACCCTCCGATTCGGCACCTTTGCACCGAACAACAGAAGCCGAGACCGATGTAATTCCAAACCATGAGACACGGCATAACTTACCACAAAGCATTGGCAAAGATGCAGCCGACAGCACAAATAAAACAATCGAATTCAAAGTTCAGCAAAGAAACAGGAAAAGGGCTAATCTCTCTTGACCAGGAAGTTGCGCCTGCAAGTCGAAACGATAGAGGGGCCAATATATCTCCACTCTTTCGCGAAGAATTAGAGATCTGACGATTTAGGTACCGAAAAGGGACTGAAAGCCGGCAAACGGGATGTCAACGATGTTTGCTGTGTATAACCGTTTGAGAAAAAACGGTCACCCATCAACCACGATATAGCCCTTTTGAGGGCTACGCCAAAATCACATACATGTTGCTGCCTTTGCAGTGTCGGTCATCATTATGAATAATATGGTCGATCTATTCGAAACTTTGCTGTCCGATCTATGGTGTGAATCTTGGGTTGATTTGGGCGAAATTGAGATTGAAACCCACAACAAGGCCCAGACGTCTTGCTATAAGGTCCGGGGACTATTTGAGCAGCCTGGAAAACCCGTTGTAGGCTCTCTGGAGGTTGCCGCGATCTATGCGACAAAAACGTCGCAATGATTCGTGTAGACCTCCTTCAAAGGACGGATCCAGATCCAAACGTGTTCGACAAACTGCCAGGTCTGGTGGTGATCGTCCCCGTTCTCGATGTCTCAACAGCTGGACATGCTGTCTTACGTGCGTTATGAGTTTTACTGACTAGATTGTAGCTCGTATACATATAGGTGATCGCCTTTGAAGTTCGAAGTAGGGAGCGAGTTTACCAACATTGCTCGTACGGCTGTCCTACCACCACTTGGACAATTGGCAGCCATGAGTCAAGTGCCTCAGTACTGGATAGAGCCAAGTAAGCTCGAAATTATGAGAGCGCTGAATGGCACTTTTCTCGCTCTTTCTTGTATCACAGTGGCTTTGCGTGTATATACGCGGACGAGGATTGTCAGATGCTGGGGTTGGGATGATTGGTTTATGCTTTTGACTTTGGTAAGCATTTTCACTACCGTGCTACGAGAAGAAGCATGCTAATCCTTGCGACAGGCGGTATTCATTGGCGAATGTACTGTGTGGTTGCTATTGGCAGATGTGGAGGCGAGACCTGCATCCCTTGCGAACCTGGAGACATATGCANGCGGTAAGTACCATTCTCCGATGAACATGAAATGATGAACAATACTGACATCGTCTATGTAGCTCATCTGCGCGGAACAAGCCCTCTACATCGCTGGTACCGTCTGCCTAAAGATATCCTTGGCCTTCTTCTTCCTGCGCTTCCTCATCGTCCGCTGGGCCCGCTACACCGTCTGGATCTCCGTCCTGATCTACTCCACCCTAGCCACCGCTGTACTTCTCCTCGTCACCTTCGAATGCGGCCTTCCGGGCAACTACGTCATCAAACAAGCAACTGGCAAATGCGTCTCTTTTCGCGTTCAAAGCAGCATCGGATACGCCCACGGCGCTGTCAACGCACTTACCGATTGGGTGTTCCCACTCCTGGCTATTCACTTTCTGATTCGTTGCACCAAAATGTCTTTGGCATCCAAGGTTTCTTGCTGTGCCATTTTGTTATTGGCCGTGGTCGGCAGTATTGCGTCCATTGTTCGCACAGTATATATCCCGGAGATCGGACCAGATGGCAACATCTACTCGAGGAGTATGGAGCCGTTGATCTGGACGATGATCGAAGGAGCTTTGGGGATTATCGCTGCTTCGCTGGCCACCTTGCGACCTCTTTTCCAGAGATTTGCGGGTAGGACGAGGGTCGCTTTGCAGAGTAGAAGTACTGGATCTCGCTCGACCTGCAAAATCGGCAGCTCGTTTGGCAGCACACTCAATTGCTTTGGCTCTTCCGCGCGACCTGAGCTTGCCGAGTCGCCCCAGGATTCCATGGCCGAAAAGTGTGATACCATGGATCTGGAATCGGGGAATCATCCAAAGACAACCACGGTACCACTGCACTTGGGTGTGCTGAGCAGTGTAGCCACAGAGACGGGGATGATGACGAATATGGACATGACAGGAACGATTATACGGGGCATCGAGAGCGTGCCCTGAGACTTGAGCTTTGCGATGGCATTTCAATCATGACTTTTACGACTAGACCACAATTATGAACTTTTCAATCTTCATCTGACCGATGAACTGTAGCAGACGGACGTCAACGGGTGCGGGAATTGAGACTCGACGCATAATTCTCATGTTCCTACTCTGACTTCACAGTTGCCGAACGAATTGCTCGAGCATGATGATGCTTCCCGAGTTATGCCATATGTTGCTGTGTTCCAGCGTATCAAAAACATTTATCTTCGTGGCATCACTCAAGCTTGCCTACATATCTTGTAATCTTGTGCTCATTATCAAACCATCGACCTCGCGCTTTTTCACGACGATGTCAAAGATCACACAGAAAGTGACGACGATTTGGTGATGAAGTGACTCATGCGTCCAACAATCCAACTCCTCTCAGCCTATGCCTCTTGCAGACTAACTGATAGGAGTTTCTGGAACAGACAGCGTATTGTACTGTAAAACTTCAGTTGCTGGGCTCTTTATAGTATACCGTCGATATTCAAGAGTGGTATATCCAGAGGAGGCCAACGGTAAGAGTGACATGCAGCAGCGGCAGCAGCAGCTACCATCACAAGGAGGAGACTGAGAATGGAAAGAACAAAGAAGGGAAGAACCCGACACAACAACAAGGACCTTCCGGCGAGCATTTCACTCGCAGTGGATCCACAATCGCCATCGATGAAGAAAGCGGCCAACATTGGACCTTGGAATTCACTGCATCCCCTACAAGGACGGTGACGCTTATTCTCATGTCCATCTTTTCCCTTGAGGGCTACGTGACTCTCTGCTTGCATTTTCTGACAGTCTTGATTGGAGATGCAGAGGACTCACTCTGGTACCACAGACCCAGTGCCCATTAGCTCTTTACGTTGGCGCAAGCGGATTGAAGGATCCGGCTGTTATGGTGGAGCTACGTGTGTTTTTTGACCCGAGACAGAGGGATCGTGGTCAGAACGGAACAGCACCAGCGTATATTTGTGGTCCGATGGTTGAAGGATGATTGTTAACATTGGGTTTACAGTAACACCGGTACAGTTACTACTTGGTCTGCTCAGAAGCTAGTGTTGTTTGTCATTGCTACTTGAGAAGTAATGAATGATTCACCTGCCTTGATCCTAATTTTCTCCTTTGCCGATTTGACAAAGTTGCTCGTGGAGTGAAGGGAATGAGGAGGAACGAGGATAACACACTGTAGTGCTTTCCTGCAGGTCTCCAGCCACGATGTTGGTGCGCTCTAATGGCCCATGGCAGGCCGTTGTGGCTGACCAATGTGAACTTTGCACCAGGGCAAAGCTGCTCCTTCTTGGTAATGTGCCAATGATTTTCGAAACCCGCTGCACCGATGACAGCGAGCAGGCGCTTCTTCCCATGGGAATATTGACCGGGATAAGAATGGCCGTTGAAGTAGATTGTGTCGAAAACAGGGAGCAGCTGCTTCTTTCGATCGAATGGCAACATCTGCGAGCGAAATGCGTGCGTTCCGTGGTGGAAATGATATGGGCGTATGCTGTGCTTGTCGCATGCATGCTGTGGAGGCTTCATCTAAACAGCTTTCTACCGCCGTTTCTCACAGCAGCAGATTCTCTACCTTCCAGACTGATGCCAGTAAAGCCGACAGCACCTCCAGATCTGTCGTGCTTGTATCTTCGGAGTGCTTCACGCAGATGGTCAGGTAGCAGCGGACCTCTATCGCGCTCACTGACCCTTGGTTCGCCCTCCCCATCTTTGCCGAAAGCTTGCTCGTTCTTGTCGCCTGTGGGTAGTGTTTCGGCAGCAGCGAGCCACTCCTTCTGGACCTCTCTTGCGCGATCGACAATCTCTCCGACAAAGATTTTGGTGTATGAGTTTATGGTGGTGACGACGCTGGCGGGCACGGATTGCGACAGGGTTTGGTTGGCGAGTCGACGGACGACCTCCTTTTTCAGATGTATGCGATTCCAGGTTTCGTAGATTTCGGCATGAGCGGGGTGGATGTGTGTGCTAAACATGGCCTTGCGCTCTTTCTCTGCGTCCATGGCGGCTTTTGTGAGTTTGCCGCCTTCGAGGGTGTTGACGTCGTCGCCGCCGTCTTCGTCGTCTTCACTGTTGGCGTCATCCCCAGGACCATCGTCGTTGTTGCCAGGTTGGGTTGAGGAGGCCTTGCGACCGGCGTCGCCGTCGATGAGGCTAGCCGTGTCGGCGCGGTTCTTTGGCGGACGACCGACCTTACCGACCTTCTTGGTCTTGTTGGCGCGGTCTTTCTTGTTGGTAGTGGTGCTGGTGCGGCCGCTCACGACGCTGTTGATCTCATCGTCAATGTCGAGACTATCGCTGCGGCGAGAGACGGGCGAGTAGGCGGCTTGCGAGGCTTGCGTGTCGGGACTATATTCACGTGCTGGACGGTCTGGCGGTGGGAAGGAAGTCTGGCGCAGAGGGTGGGTGGAGCTGCTTGCATTCGAGGGCTTGCGACGCTTGTATGACNNGGGGGCTGGCCGGGGATGGTGATGGACGGGCGCTTCTTGGGAAGGGCGAGCTGCGGGCCAGTCGGGGGCGGCGAGGTCGCAGCGCCGGGAGGACTGCTCGCCATGCTGCAGGTGTCGAGAGAAGAAGGTTGGTAGAGGGTGTCCACGGGTGTCCAAGAGATGGATGCTTCATGCGTTGCGTCGAATGGGGAAGGCGCTTGGACGACTTTCAACCCACCTTGATGCAGTCGACCATCTATTCGAGCGCTGACATGTAACGCTCATCATCCGATTGGTACATCACCATGCGAGTGAACGAGTGATGCTTTATAATCTGTCGTGTCCGTCTTGGATACAACACTCACTTCACCCTTGACATTACCACTTCCCCGTCCATCGCAACCTACAGCCATCAGATATCACTTCCATCTGCATCGCCCCTCAGACATTCAACAGTATGACCGACCGGAGTGCCCCAAGACCAGCTATCTCCATCCCTGACGGCGGCTTCTTCAGTGCTTTCGCCGAGGCTACAGTCCAAGCCTCACCTGCTGCTGTATACAAGGCTCTGGTTGACACTTCGCTCATCGGCCAATGGAACAATTTTGTATCGGCTGTGGCCATCAACAAGCGTCCTGAAGCCGATTCGCGATCAAATGATACTCTGATGAGGAAGGATATGGTCATGACTTTCACCGTGCACATGACTCCCTCCATGACCACTTCCAGCAAAGAGCTGGTCACCCAAGTCGACGACTGTCCATCTGGCTCTGAGAAAGGCAGAATCACTCGTATCCGATGGATCATGGCCAACAAAGAAAACTTCACTCGTTTGTTGAGCAGTCTCTCTATTGATCGTGGTAGTACTGACATGTCTTTCCAGCCANAATTCTTCTTGGCGGCAGAAAGGGTAAACGAGATCGAAGACCTAGGAGACGGAACCTGCATCTATAGGTCATGGGAGACATTTGGGGGTCTCGCTGCTCGCGTGGTAAAGTGGAAGTTTGGAGATTCTCTACAAAAGAATTTCGAGCATTGGGTCGAGGGACTGCAGAAATATGTCGAAGAAAAAGAGAAACTGGTAAAAGAAAGGGATAATGCTGTTGAACTGCCAGTTTGATGCTCACTCTAGCATTCAGCTTCAATGTCGATCCGAATCTTTTCGCTTTCCATCCTCTCGCTCTCTTGAACAAGCAGCAAAAGTCCTTCTTCAGCATCCATATCAAGCTCCATCCGTGATCTGGAAACAACAAACTCTGTCCATTTCTCCATCACATCAACAGTTTTCACTTTCTCCTTGATATCGAAAGCACAGCTCCCCAGTCTCTCAGATCGTCCAACCTTTTTCTGTTTTCCAAGTGCAGGGGCAAATGTTATGCCCAGTCCAATGGGTCCCGAGGCCATATCTGTTCGGCTTGTGACTGTACCTCGTGTTTGATTCTCCAGTTTGCTTGCGTCTTTGAGATTCCGAAACTCTGCCGACCAGATCATGATAGCCATGACCATCAACAGCCCCAGCAGAATCAAGACAGCAACTGTGAATTCCTTGGGTGGACCCAATATCTCAGCATCCGAGTTCGGTGAAGGGCTTAAACTCGAGGTTCCACTGAATGATGGTGTCGCGACGGTTGTTTTGACTGATGAGTAGGTCTCGCTGACAATTGCTGATGACGACGACGGTAAACTCGATGATGCAGCATAGTGTGACAAGATTGCAGTCTGGTGAGATGAATCGGAGGTGAAAGTTGTTGATGATAGAGGTTCATAATGGAACAAAATGGTGGAAGTTGCTGTTGGTAAGGGCGCGTAGTGAAACGGGATGCTTGATGTTGTTCTTGAGTCTGTTTGTTGCCTAGAAATCCTGGTCGAGGATGATAATACGCGAGTGTGGGAAGACATGGTATTGGGGCGGTAATGCATCGTCGGAAACATGATCAGAGATGCAGTTTCAAGAAAGCTTCTCCGTGTAAGATGTCTGGTAGTCATTCGAACTAATTATGTAACTACATGTCCTCAGATATTGTCTCGCTCGTATAGATTGTTCTAACGATAAACAAGACATTGTTCACATCATACAATTGTATGCCTCTCATAAGCATTATATTCAAGAAATACTTGTCTGGTCTCTTCACCCATATAAGCAAGCTCTTGGCCCAATATGCTTACTTCCAACATCCAGCACAGTGTTTAGTGATGGGTCCAAGATGCAATGTCTCGATCTGAATGGTATGTCTATGCAGTCCGTGCACTCTGCTATAAAAGAGTCGCGTTGAGACATGCTTCACTCGCTTTGTTCTGAGCCATATAGAACCATGGATGTGATCAACTTTGCCTTACAGACAAGTGTATCTCAAGTATCGTTTTGTCTTCTGCTCTTGGACAGGTTTCATCCCCTCTGCTCGTAGATGCTTCAAGAGAAGAGCATGGCTCGGCCGATTTCGGGGCGAAACTCAATCGCGATGTCCGAAGATACCTTCCTATTCAAACGTTGCTGACGACTGGACTTTCACTTTCCTACAGCTTTCCTCTCGTGTGAGCGTCGTCTGCTTCTCTCATGATTTCGAGAGAGTCCTGCGAGACCTAGTACGAATCAAATTCTGAGTCGATGTCTGCCTAAATCGACGTGCTTGCCTGCCAAGACGTCCACGATCCCGAGCCTCCAATCCTTCCATTACATCTCTGTTTCTCGACTCCCCAAGCCAGAACCTTTGACTACAATCCAGTGTCTCTTGATAACAATCACCGAAGACTGGTATGGTTTCTGTTTCTCGGCAGCCGCGATGGATGAAGCCCTTCATTGAGGAACCTGCCATCAACGACGATGTTCAGCCAAAGAAGCGGAGTCTACCATGGGTGGCAATCATCCTCTTCATCCTTGCAGTTACCGCCTTTGTAATACAGGCTATTGTCAGACTTCAATCACCAACAATCCTGCTAGCCATTGCCGCTGTTCACCTTATACTGGTTAGACCGCGGACCGCCTCGATATTTCTGCTCGTGCTCTACACGACTCTGTTTGTCCTGCAAGTGTCGCTGCTCGCTGATCGATGGACTTTCCATGAGTTCAATCTGGTTGTTGCGCTTTATGTTAGCAACATCTGTATCTCACTTATCAGCATAGCCGTTGTTGTCAATTTGCCACTTCGAGATGCTTCTCTATTGCGCGATGGTATCAGCCAGCCATTCACTACGCCAACGTCAAGTTTGAGATCTCCTGAAGACGACTTGACCCTCTGGCAATGGATGACTGTATCATGGATGTCTTCGCTCATGTCCATCGGCAAGACCAGACAACTAAACGAGGACGATGTCTGGTTTCTTGGTTACGAGTTCCAGCATCGCCATCTACATGATGCTTTCCGCGAACTCCATGGGACCGTTGTCAGACGCTTGCTTCGCGCAAACTGGCATGACTTGGCCATACTCACGGCATTAGCAATCCTGGAACTGGCGGCCAACTACTCTGCACCAATACTATTGCAGCAGCTCCTCAAGGCCATGGGCAACTTGAGATACGAGACACAGCCGGCAATCACGTTTGCACTGCTCATTCTCGTCGTTAGGCTGGTCGCTGCGCAGAGTTCAGTGTTCAGTTTATGGTTTGGTAGACGTGCCTACGAACGGTCCAGGGGAGAAATGATTACAATGCTGTTCGAAAAGACGCTCAACAGAAAGATTGTCGCGACCGTAAGAGACGATGAGCCAAAGGAGAACGGCGAAGAGGGGAACGCGGAGAACAATCTTGACAATTCACCTAACGGAATTGGGGCAAGTGAGACGCAAGGACTCTTGAATGGCCACGACAGCAAGTCAGAGGAGAAACGGTCGTTCTTGTCCAAAGTCCTCAAGCCTTTCAGACGTAGCAAGAAAGCGAGGCCTATGACGGAAGACAACGCTCCTGCCTCAATGGGCAAGATCCTCAACTTGATGCGTGGTGATGTATATGAGGTAAGTAACTCATCCTCTAAGAGAAGCTGCATACTGACTTGTTTGTAGGTAAGTCAGAGGTTTTGGGAGTTTCAAAGACTGATCAACAAACCTCTCGGCATGATACTCTCCTTGTGCTTAGTATGGAACTTACTCGGCCCGTCGTGTCTGCTTGGAGTTGCTGTCGTACTTCTTGCTCAAGTCCTCAATACATTCTTTGCTCGCATTCTTATCGATAAAGAGAGACTTCGTCGCAAAGCTACGGATACTAAGCTCCAGCAAGTTTCAGCTTACGTTGAAGCAATTCGACACTTGAGATGGTATGGTTGGCACCCTGTATGGCTCGAAAGGATCTTGGAAGCTAGACAGGCGGAGCTCGACCTGAGAGTTGTTACTTATCTGTGGAACACCACAATCAGATTCGTCAACATTCTGGGTAGTGGACTGCTACCAGTCGCCGCATTCTATGGATTCACAGCTCTGGCCGGTCATGAATTGCGCATTGACATTGCTTTCCCAGCTCTGCAATTGTTCAACATGTTGCAAAGCGATCTGAAGGAGATCCCAGATCTGATTACGGTTCTCCTCAATGCATCGGTCGCCGTTGGCCGTATTGAGGCCTTCATGCAGGAACCGAACAAGACTGCGGACGACAGTTCGGCCTCCATATCTGACGGCGTTGTCGAGCTCAAGAATGCTACATTTGCATGGCCAGGTCTTTCGAAAGAAGTTCTCCGCGATCTTACAATCTCATTCCCACCAGGCCTCAACGTTGTTTTCGGTCAGGTCGCAGCTGGAAAGAGCGCACTGCTGCAGGCATTGCTTGGAGAGCTGGATCTACACCATGGTGAGCTGATCAAACCAGATGCTCCTATCGGCTACTGTGCTCAAACTCCATGGCTTCAAAGTATGAGCATTCGTGACAACATCTTGTTCTCAGCTCCTTACGACGACACAAGGTACAAGCAGACTCTCGAAGTATGTGCTCTTACTGCAGATCTCGCCAACTTTAAGCATGGAGATCTGTCAAATATTGGAGAGAATGGTATTGGTTTGTCTGGCGGGCAAAAGGCTAGAGTTGCTCTGGCTCGCGCAGTCTACAGCCGAGCTAAAATCCTTCTACTCGATGACCCGTTGAGTGCACTTGACCAGCAGACTGCGGAACAAATCGTCGCCAAGTGTTTCGGAGGGGAGCTGGTTCGGGGCCGCACGGTCGTGTTGGTCACTCATCGAACGGATCTGTGCAAGGGCATGGCCGAACAGCTCATCGAGATCACAGACGGCACTGCAGAGACTTTAAATGGCGATTCGCTACACTTGAGCCCGACCAACTCTCGGACAGCTCAAGGTCTCTTGGATGCCAAGATGGTCAAGGTTGATGAGGCACAAGAATCTGCCGCAGTGCCTGACAAATTTGAGGAAGAAGAACATCGAGAGCATGGTGGAGTCAAGGCAGGTGTATACTGGCAATACATCAAAGCTGGGCGTTTGCGATGGTGGTTCTTTGTCGTTCTTTCTGCTATCATCTTTCGATTGCTCATGGTAGCCGAGTCGTGGCTTCTCAAGGTAATGTTGATGGCTCCATTGACCGGTAATGATATACTGACATCTTCGAACAGGNAATGGGGTGAGGCTTATGGAGAAACCGAGCAAGTCTACAGCTTGCAAGTCGTTCACGCCGCACCTCATATCACATCTTCGAGCCCAGTCTCTCGCTTCTTCGCTCGCTTCCCTGATCCGGGCGTCAATGTTTATCCTTGGTTGATTGCGTTCTTTGTCTTGATTATTGCTGAGTGTCTTGGCTTTATGATTTCGCAGATTTTTATGCTTGTCATTACATACACTGCTGGTAAGAGGTCCACTATCTCATCTCGATGATGTTTGCTAACAACTTTCAAGNGCAAAAGCATGTTTAGAGACATCATGACGAAGGTCAGCCACACTACGTTCCACTATTACGACGTGGTACCGATAGGGCGTCTGATGAACAGACTCACATCTGACGTGGCTACGGTCGATGGAAACATCTCGAGCCAGTTCTTGGTTGTCGCCTGGCAGGCGATTGCATGGGTGACATCAATAGCTGTGATCGCAGGAGTCACACCACTGTTCCTTATCTTCTCTTTCGCACTGACCCTAGTATTCGTCTTCATCTTCATGCAGTTCCTACCTACCAGCCAAAGCTTGAGACGACTCGAGATGGTATCTCTGAGCCCGCTCATGTCGAATTTTGGCGCTTTGTTGAATGGTCTAACAACTGTTCGAGCGTTCTGCGCTCAGTCCCAGTTCCAGGATCGTGTGATTGCTGTCACAGATGCTTTCCAAGGAATGGACCACTTCTATTGGTAAGTTGTTGCAAACCTAGAATGTTGAAGCTTTATCTGACTTTCATCTCAGGNNTCTTTGCAGGCATGGCTGATGTACAGGTTTGACATCTTATCGGCATTCTCAACCTTCATCATGACTCTGCTGGCTATCAACTCTGGATTGTCACCAGGACTGACTGCATTTGTTCTAGCATCTGCCAGCAGGTTCGTGGTAGCAACTCATGCTTTGTGCAAACAATACGGCCAACTCCAATTGAACTTTGTTTCAGTGGAGCGTGTGGTCGAGCTGCTGCACCTTGAGCAAGAATCTGCTGGCGAGATTGAGCCTCCCGCGTACTGGCCATCATACGACGACGACATCGTCTTCGAGGACGTAACCATAAGATATGCTCCACACCTTGACCCCGCGTTGTCGAACGTATCCTTTACGCTGAAGGGAGGTTCCAACACAGCAGTCATCGGCCGCACGGGCTCAGGAAAAAGCACACTCGCACTTTCGCTTCTCGCAACCATGACACCAGAATTGGGACGCATTCTCATCGGTGGTATCGACATTGCCAAAGTCAACAAGCAAGCGCTGCGCAACCGCATCACTTTCCTCGCTCAAGATCCTGTCTTGTTCCCTGGCTCGCTGCGTCATAACCTCGACCCTACGAATCAGCATACAGATGAGGAATGCGAGACTGTCATTGCCCGTGTCTGTGGCACCTACAGTTGGACTCTGGACACGCAAATCGACACTGGCGGCAAGAACTTGTCCCAAGGCCAGCGACAACTAGTCGGATTAGCGCGCGCAGTACTCCGAAGAAGTGCCATTGTCATCATGGATGAAGCTACTGCTAGTATCGACAAGACCACTGCTTGGGAGATTCAGAGGGTGTTGAGGGAGGAGATGCAGCAGAGTACTGTGGTCACCATTGCGCATCGACCTTCTGCTGTCAGAGGCGCAAACTTTTGTCTCGCGTTGGGGAATGGTAGGGTCATTGATCAAGGCACGCCTGAGGAGGTCGACGTGGCGAGTAGTACTGTGCCTGATGCTATTTGGAAATAAGAGTAGATGGTTAAGAGGTATAAATGAAAAGATGTAGTGTTGCTTCACACCAAAGGTCTATCACTATTCTTGCATCTGCTTTCGTGGAATTATATGTCATTCTACTTGGCTGTCTCTTACAAGTCCCAAGGCAATTTGTCAAGTCCGTTCAACTACAAACATACACACTGTCTTTAATCATCACACAGAGGTCTCGGCCGAACATTCCAGGAGAAGTCATGATATATAGAAGGTTTTGGGCCAGTGGATCATGCTACAGCATCTCGAAGAAGCTCATGTCTCTACCCAGGTCAGTGTATCACAAAGCTACTCTCACCTCTTTCCCCAACTTGTGATGGCTTTCCGAGTCCTGAGATCTTCGTCTTGCAGCCTGGAGCTAAAGAGACGGATATCCAAGGGCCACAGACCTGATTGTTCACAGTGACTCAGCTCCGTGTGTCTGCTCAATGGTGTGCTCAGATCTACTTTGGCGACACTATTTGTCGTTACAATCGTTCCAGAAACGACCTTGCAGCATTGCACCGCCTGGATAGAGGACAGAAACGTGCCTAAATGGCTTATAAGCGAGTAAATTATGAAGACAGCATTCACACAAATTCCTACGTGATTGTGGAATAACAAGCATATATTGTCAGACATGTATTGTGGTGACTTCCATGCTTACCAACTGTCAAAATTGCCAAATCCGCCCGACTTTGCCTTTTTCTTTGGTGGTTCGGGTTCGTCCCATTCTCCCACGATTTCATCTTCTTCAGCTGGTGGTGCAGAGGAAGTTTTCAGATACTTGCCTACACCAGCAGAGCCATTGTCTTCAGTCTTTCCGTCTCCCCTGATGCGTTTGCCAGTCCAGGTGGTCTTGTCGTCTTCCGTGCCACCCTGACGTTGTATCTCCTCTTTGAGTCTCTGCGCATCCTCATTCTCGGTACGCTCCTTCTGGAACTCTTCGAACGGATCTACGAAGACGACAACATCTTCGAGGGTGCAGTCATCGATGGGACGGTTTCCTTCATCCGTCTTGACAGCTTCGAGGCGAGATAGTGTGTCGTTGCCTCCCACTACTCTGCCGAAGATGGTATGTTTCTTGTTTAGATGTGGCACGGCGCGATACGTGACGAAGAATTGTGACGAGTTTGTGTCTTTGCCTTTGTTGGCCATTGATAGGATACCTCGTGAGTCATGGACAAGCGAGTTTTCGGTTTCGTCTGCAAAGTTCTTGCCCCAGATGGACTGGCCTCCTCGACCTGTTCCTGTAGGATCACCACCTTGAATCATAAAGTTGCGGATGTTGCGGTGGAAGGGGATGTTCTTGTAGTAGCCCTTTTGTGCTAGACGGACAAAGTTCCAGACGGCTTTGGGGGCGAGGTCGGTGTGTAGTTCAACGTTAATGTCGCCGTGGTTGGTCTGAAGGCGAGCATAGCCCTTGTGCTTGACGCGCTTTGGCTTGAGCATGTAGTCTTCGTCTGACAGCAAGGCACGCTCGTTGCCAGTGTGGACAGAGATACCAGTACTTGTGAAGGAGGCGGCAGCCTTTCCCGTCGTGTACTGAGCGGCATTGTATGGTACAGGCTTGGAAGTTCCTGTGGCAGTATTTGACTTCTTCGCTTCGGCCATTGCTCTTTGTAATGAGTTTCCTTGTGCACCATTCTGTCTCTCTGCTCTTGCTTTTGCGACGGCCTCCTTGGCCTTGAGGATCTTTGCGGCGTTTCCGAGTGCGCTAGCATTGACATTGGCGCTTCTTTCGGCCTCTTGTTCGGGCGTCAGAGTGCTTGCGCCTTCTTGAATGTACTTGAAAGAGCTCAAGTCTCTCGATTCGACGTTCTGAGGATCCTGGAGTGTGATGATGTCTTTTCTGCTGAAATCCTGATCGCTGACCAGATCCTTCCAGTTCTTGGCCTTGATGTTGAGACGCTCGACGGTATCCCAAGCAAAGACATTTCCAGAGTTCTTCAGGGCGACAATGTGGGTGTTGTCGGTGAAGACCTTGTAGGTGACGGGGTCGACGTACTCGGCATCGTCGTTCTTTGCAAAGTTGAGCTTGATCAAGTCGGCTGATTTCAAGGGAGCGCCATCGACGGGGTTTGTGCCGTGCTTCTTGAGCCATGGGAGGATGTTTGTGAGGTCGAAGATGGTCCCGTCATTGGTGCAGACTGGGTGCTCGAAGGGTTGGAGCGACAAAGCGCAGAAGTTGTAGGGAAGTCGCTTGAAGGCGCCAGGAACGCTGCCTTTGTTCACGCCGGCGCCAGCGCTGGCAGAGAAGGCAGTGTCAGATGCCCACTCGCTGTGAGTGATCTGTGTCGCATTGTGTTAGCTGAGCGTCGACCAGGTCCTAGCGATGTGGACGGCGACATACGTACAGCTTATCGGTGCCTGCAGAACAAGTTAGCCATCGACTCGTGTCTTGTACTCGATGTGAGCTTACCCTTTCCCATGATGAATGCTGCTTTGTTTCGTGACGAAAGTCGAGTGCAACCAAAAGTCGCGACGATGACGGCGGGCTGCGAGTCGTTTTTACGCTAACCTATTCGGGTTGTTTGCGCCTGCCCGTCGACCTCGACCAATGCAAGTCTTCCTTGCTACGAGCAACACTTCCTGCTTTATCTCACACTGAACACACTCTGTGTCGAGTCATACGTATCCCTGGAAAGCGCTTGTTCTAGAGACTGAGCGGCGTGTCACAGACGCCTGCGTGCTTGCAGCAAGATCTAATCCGCTTGCGCCCTCTGCCACGCACCTCCTCTGCTCCTGATATATTACTTGACTTCTTGATCATGTCCTGGCACCGGTCATGAGCGTTCCTTCATGTCGCTTTCCAACATGGACTTGTCCACAAGGTTCGGTCAAGGGCAGTTGTCAGGTTCAGCGCCAATCGCCACGTCGGTCTTCCCAGCCTATAGTCTCCCCATTGGCAACCATGGCCTACGTGCAATTCCTGTTGTTGCTCCATGAAGCACGGCCTAGCTGAGTACATAAACCCAGCATACTTGCAGAGCTGGATTCCATCACTTCCCTAACCATCTACCATGATCCCAAGATACGTGCCCGCTCACATTCGCGAACGACACACTACTCACACAGCAATGGAGCCTCAGCCTCTCGAGTTCAGTGACCTTCACGTCTCCATAGACACTCACGGTGATATTCAGTCCAACCACGACTCGCACAACCACGATACCCACCAGCCTTCCGACCCTGCCATCAGAAGAGACACTCCCTCAGCCCCTAAAGCTGCGATGGTACCCTCTGTGAGCGTCTTCAATCATCGCACTGGTCCGTTTCTCCATCTCCTGGGGGTCTTGGAGTTCTGTTGTCCTCCAGGAGATCNNCCATGCAAGGGGGAGACCCTGAGCTCCGTGGGTATTTCAATCTCTGGCGCGCTCCAACACTCGGTCGTTACCCACCGCGCCGAGACCCTCAATCCTTCACACACTTCGGACCCTGTAACAAAACTTGTGCTGCGCGAAAACCATCAGACGGCTATCCTACGCNCTGGAAGGAACATCACGAACTTTCTCTCGTTCTCTGACCTTGCCGCGCGCTTCGGACTCCAACGCGGCACGACCATACATACGCTCAACGCTTCGGCGGACGATCTCGATGCTCTCAAGTTCATTGTGATGTTCGACAATGCCAGTCATCCCTGGCACCGCCATCACACTGTCTACGCGAAGGCCAATCTACATCTTCTCCCCGGCTACGACCTCCCTTACCCTGGCCAGGGTGCTGAACTGTCTGAAGACGATCAACAGCACTCCAGTGACATCTACTCAGACTCAGATCTCATAGACCTACGTAGTCGCGCAGGCTCAGCAGGCTCTTTGCGAGTTGAGCTGTCTTGTGCCTCGTCTGCCATACAGACTCCGCCTTCCTCCACGCAGTCAGACGGAATCTCTTCGCTTCCTGAGGCGACTCGAGTTAGCGAGATCCCACCTATCGCCTTGTTCACCCAAGTTCGTCCTCATCGTCAACCCTGGGGTCTCGAGTTCCTGGGCTGGTATGAGATTGAGGAAACAGAGTTCTTCGCTCCTGAGACTTGCGACCTGGCCAACATGTTGGAAGGCAGGAGTGGAAGATTACCCTCGAGGGCAGACTTGGAGTGTGAGTGGGCCAAGATCAGGCTAGCGAGGCACGAAGGAAGGGGAAGTGCACGTCTGGATGAGTTGTGATGACTCTCCTTGGACCCTCATGGTTTTCTCGTAAGTCTGTGCAATTTGATGGGTGTCTATTTTATGATCATGCTTGATGGAGGGGGTTGGTCAAGAAGGATCGTACTCATGATAAGGGGATTACGGCTTCCTTCTGTTGGTGGAGTTTTTGTTATGATGCGCATCGAAATGTCGATAGCAATCGTAGATTGGACGAATGTCTCAGTATCAAAGTTCTGATCCGAAAATGATGGAATCAGCATTGAGAAAAGTCAATGATTCAAATGTTCAAAATTGTACAGATATCGGTGGTCGGATCTTGCATAACACTTTGAACCGTAAGCTGAATCGTTCTTTCCTTCATGTTTCTCTCGTCGATCTGCTCGTTCAACATTTCCGCTCACGATGCTCTGAATGATTGAGGAAGGAGTCGTCGAGAGGGACTTTCAGATTTCGATCACAACATCCCATCCAGCCTTCTCCCTCTACCATCACTTCATCCCATCCATCACCGTCGCTATCATTTATCCAACTCTATACCAGCTGAGCGGCCTCCTCTATAACCTCATTCATCCTGCTTTACCTGTCCGAACTTCCACCATGGGTCTCTGGGTCCGTCACATCCTCTCGGCTCTACACCCGTGAGCTCTATTGATCATTCACAGGGTGGATTCTGCCTTGCCATTATCGCCGTATTCCTACCTCCGCTATCCATCGTCAAAAGAACAGGCTGCGACCATCATCTGTTCATCAACATCGTCCTGTGCTTGTTCGGCTGGACCCCCGGTATCTTCCACGCCTGGTACATCATCCTTCGTTTCCCAGACGGCAGACGAGCTGCAAAGATGAGAGAAGATGTCAGAAGAGGGCGTGCTCAAGTCGTCCAACAAGGATATGGGTTGCCAGCAATCGGAGCAGGCACCTACTACTTCCCTGCCCATCAGGAGACTCGGTATCGCTACTGGAGGCACGGTTCCGCCGAGATCTATGTTCAGTACCCGGATGGACACTTTTACAAGTACAAGGGACGTCACTGCTGGTCCAAAGGTGAATGTCCGGGACAGCCTGGACAACCACAGCCGCGTGTCTTGCTGGTGGAAAAGCAGGACCCTCTCAAGCAAGGTTACCAGTATCAACTCCAGCATCATACCAAGCACCATCCCAATCACCGCTCCAACTCTTGGGTGACTATCGAAGACGAAAAGCCAATAGCTGTCGAGGACACTCCACCAACACTGTACATTGAAGAAGCTGGGGCGGAGGAAGTTGAGAACACACTGGAGACTGAGCGGCTGGAACCAATACCAGAAACAGAGACACTACGCCTCAGCTGTTACTGAGCATCGTCACTCAGACAGCGATGTAGCGTTGCACTCTCGGCTGGCGTTGGTCGTTCCTCCGATATTCTACTTTATGACTTCATCCAAAACAACTTTGCATTTGCTCATGGGCAATGCTTTGACCTTCAGACTGACTGACTCGCTGGAAACTTTGCGGCTCTGTGACTCTACCGTTTCGACGTTAATACCTATTCAGTTCCCCATCTGGATTCTCGAGCTGAGGTGGTCTCGAATCTCGATGTCTTGAGAGGGGTCGAGTTGAAGGAAGCGTGGTCTGCAGTCATCTCGATATGCCTATTACTTCAAGCCAGAGATAGTATCCAACTCCTGTTCTCGCTCTTATCCATGCTGTGTCTGTAATGAATAGTGAGATCCTGTGGTTGTTTTGGGAAAGTGATCAAATGCTCTGGAGCGAGAAGCACTCGAAATTATCTTGGCACAAATAGACTTTCATCTCGGCTTCTAGCGCCGACGTCTTTTCAACGGCCATCACCTCTTTGGTTCTCTTGGTCCTCTTCCTCACCGGTGTCCATCTGCCATGTCTCAAGAATTGGCAGACATCCTTTGCAGCGTCAAATGTGAGATTTCTGAAGAGGTCTGTTGGAAAGCAACAGCCCAAGGCGGTCAATCTCGACGTGATAACGACTCTCGATGCCTGTTCGTAATGCTTCCCCTTTATCGGCACGGTCGTGAGGCATGCCGGGTCTCCTGGGATGCTCGTCTTCACCGTCGCCGTTGACACAGGGGTTCGTGTTGCTTTGTACCGAAAAGTCTGGCCTTGAGCCTTTCAATCACAACGGTCAGTAACAGCGTCTGCTCCAGTCAGTCGGCTTTGAGCCGTCATGAATATGACTACTGCATCAACTGCATGGCCCTAGGTAAAAGGAGCAGTTCCCGCATCTTCTTCCTACGCCTGACCGTCTCACGCTTTTTCGCGTTTCCATACCACCTGCACCCCCACATCTATAGACTTTCCTACAGCCGAAACAACATAGAGCTTGTCACTACTCACCACCACAGACCACGGCTGGCATATCACAATTGAGATGTATCTCGACGTGTCTCCACGGAGCGGGTCACCCGACAAAGGATTTCGAACATCTGCAACAACACCCGGCTCGCCCTCAAAGTACACAGACTACTTTCACCAACCACGACGACGAATCCATGTTGTCCGTATACTCTCCATCTCCCTAGCCATCGTACTCTGCTACATAGTCGCAACGCGCGGGCCCGAGTCACCAGCATGGGTACCAACTACCATTCACGACAAAGTAGCCTTTGGTGATCATACCGCTGCACAAGCCGTCAGTGGAGACGCACCCCCTCGTGGCTATGATGAGACAGGTAAGAGCAAGTGGAACGATGCCTCCGAAGAGCAAGATGACAGCAAACCGGACATCACGAAAGAGATGGAACACACCGTCGATCGCGCCGAGGGAGATCAGGAGGCCAAGTATGAGAAGCTCAAGGACTCGCAGACGGACAACAAAGAGCCTGACATGAAGGAAGGCTCTGACTACGTGCCAGCGACGAGCAGTGATGAAGAACCTGCTGTTGAACCATCACACCACACTCAATCTGTACCCTTTGTTGCTCACAACATCGGCAATGGTGAAAAGTACTCGTTCCGCGAAGCTCTGAGGGATGTCCTTCACATGATCCCGGATGAGATTTACACTCGTGACCTGCTTCGTCCACTCGAGGGTGGTGGTCAGGACCGTCTGAAAGAGCTCGGTGTCCGAGCCAGGGCTTTTCACAAATTCTTCACCGTATGGGAGGCACTTCACGTTGTTGCCGACTCGAAGCTGACCTATGTTCGCGACGATGTCATCAATTATTTGGAGACGGCCCCTAAGAAAGAACTCGCCGAAGTCTCGGATCTGGAGCGTGGAGACATCATCCGAGCATATGAGAGGTACAGAGCCTTCCTTGCGAAGCTGTCCAACATCTTGTTCCCCTACACCTCGCCTTACTTTGCTGATCACCTTACTCTTCACGCTCACTTCCGCAATGGTGGCCGCGGTATTGTGCTTTCTGGCAACGACAAGCAAGCTCGTTTTATTCTCACCGCCATCATGTCTTTCCGCAAGCTCGGATGCAATCTCCCTGTCGAAATCATGTATCTGGGTGAGAACGACCTCAACGATGATTGGAGAATGAAGCTCGAATCCATCCCAAGCGTCGTCACCCGCGACTTGAGTCAGATGGTGTCTGACGACGGATGGGAGCTCAAGGGCTGGGCGTCCAAAGCTTTCGCTCTACTCATGTCCAGTTTCCGCGAGGTCATCTACCTTGATGCTGACGCCTTGTTCTTCGTCAACCCGGCAGAGCTTTTCGAAGATCCTGGGTATGTCGAAACTGGCGCTCTGTTTTTCCGTGACAGGATCTATGCTCCTTCTTCTCGCAAACAGTGGCTCAAGGATATGCTTCCTAAGCCTATTTCCAAGAAGGCTCAGACCTCCCGCTACTGGACTGGTGAGAGTCGCGAGCAACAGGAATCTGGCTGTCTTGTCGTGGACAAGTGGCGTCACTTTGTCGCTATGCTGACTGTAACTCGCATGAACGGTCCTGACCGAGACGACAATTCAAAGACTGGTGCCAAGGGTGTCTACTCACTGTTCTATGGCGACAAGGAAACTTTCTGGCTGGGCTGGGAGCTTGCCGGTGACACCGACTATTGGTTCAACGAAGGCGCTGCCGGCAACATGGGTGTTGTATCCGAGCACAACTACTACAAACTCGTTGACGGCGAAGCCCGAATTCTCAAAGACTACCAACCACCATCCTCAGAACCGACTCACGAGCACAACACAGCTTCTACAGCAAACACCAACCTCGACGCCGAAACACAGGCCGAACACTCTCTCGTCACCCGCGACTCCGAAGTTCACGAATTGTACACGGTTTCCTCACCTCAACTCTTGCATCTCGACCTCAACCACCGACCTTTATGGTTCAACGGCTGGATCCTCGACGACAAGTACGAAGAAAACAAGCACGTCAATGTAAGCACTTGGGACGTGTATCTCAGCGAAATCAAGGAAACGCACGAGGCCGCAGAGTGGAGGATTGGCGGCCACAACATGGCGACGCTGAAAAGCAACAAGGCGTACGAGTTTACGGAAAAGGAAAAGGATGTGCTCAAGATGATTGTCGAGACTGCGAGGGAGAATGGGGCGTTGAAACCTGGACAATAAAGATGTATTTTTGGTGTTTGTATATACTGTAGATTGAAGTACGAGGTTTGTCCGTGTTCATATCCATCCATCGTGTTTTCCATCCTTACAATCCCAGGGGGTTACCGCCATTCTGCTCTTTACCGCCAAATTTCTCGTATCCGCCTTCGGTCTTTTTCGGCTGGTCTTGTTTTGTGAAGCCGGCCATTCTTTCGCCTGTTCCTCCTACCAAGTTTCCTGCCGGTGAGAGTACTTTTTCCACGCCTTTGCCTAGGGGGNNGTCGCCGATAAAAGACAAAAGCCCTGTTGACTCTTGTTAGCAAAGCCAAGAGTAAAGTAGAGGGATTGACATGAGCGTTGTACTCACCTTTNNTTGTTCTTTACTTCCCAAGTCCACATCATTGATATTGTCAGGCAAGTTTTCTCGCAGCGTTCTGTTAATCTGGTCGTCGTCTTCTTGTGGCGCTTGGACATGATCTTGCGGCATCTTTGTTCCTCAGCTTCTCAAGTTCCTTGAAGTGTTTTTTTTGTTATCTTGTCGGGTTGGGCAAGAGGTGTTGAGGTCAGGGGAATAAGGTTTGATATTGTCTCAGAATGCTTTCTGTTGGAGAGTAAAGAGCAGAGTTCTTTATACAACTGAGATTGTGGACCTTGAAGTGCACGCGCCAGAAATCAGAGAAAACGTCATGCGGGACACGAGACCCCCGCCACATTGCTGCAGAGTTTGGGGCTCGGGGAGGCACATGCACGACACTTTGACGAGGGATCGACAGAGCACTCCATAAAAGCTGTCATACTCGATATAAGAGACCCTCTGGCCAAGAAGACACGAGTATCTTGTCAAGATGTTCGAAAATGAAGAATTCTACAGCAGTGTTTCGAAGCAAGGATACATGCCACTCCATAAGCAACAGGCATCAAAGCAGATGTAGATTAGTGGTAGGACTCTTTTTGTCTTCTCAAGCAGAACAATATATCACCATTATCGTTTACCAGCATCAAGTTTCCACTAATGCACTTGCGCTGTGCTAATATTCTTGAACTGATGCCAAGCTTGGGAATATAGGACTGGACAAGGAGACACTGGGTCTGTGACGCATCGCTCGGAGCCACAATGTCCAGTCACTGCCATATCAACATATCTGTTGGTCGCGATGGATCTTTGCGTCTTGTCTAGCAAGTGAAAAACATGGCTGTGGTTCACAGACCTTTTTGTCTTCCTGGCTGGACGGTCGTATGACATCTAATAGCTCCAAAAGCAAATGCGACAGAAAGTCACCATACGTCCACTAATTATGCGAGTGTCGTCTTCTTCTACTGCAAATATGCTGCATTAGTGGTTCGAGATATCTTGCCGTGCTTTCCGGCTAGATTTATATCTTTCCATGCACAGTCCAACCAGAATCTCTCTTCTCGCATCATCGAATGGTACCAATATCTAAACATCAGAATGTATGGTTAGCATAGGAAGATGGAAAAGGGAAGAGGTTATGGTACTAGTCTTGCATCTTTTCTTCCGCGAGAAAACAACAAAGGAAAATTTCAATCTTCTATGATGTTCAGGAAGAATCAGATGATCAAAACTGATACTGCTTTGCAAGTCTTGAGGTAATCACACAAGACAAGGCATGCTGTTTTTAGCGGAATCGCATTAGACGTATTTGGCCGTAATTATACGTCTCCAGACGACCCAATGTAATCATCGTGAAACTACGGGGCCGGACTGTGGAAGCACCAGATCAGTGAATCGTTCAAATACGCCCTCATGTCTCGAGAAAAGCTAGCTATAGAGTATGCGTAGGATTTCCACAGGCGTATAGCCTGCTAGCGAAGGACAACAGATGCCGCCCTTGATTCACTAACCCGTTTTACTCCTTCTCGATACCCATGTGCCCTTTTGGATACTTAGATTGCTTTAGTGCGGCGTGATACATGTGCAAGGAGCTCCTCTTCTTCCGAAACTTTACCAAGCCTAAAGGTCAAGTATGTTGTGTGGATGGATCCCGGGCTATGCCGTGGTTGGATATCTATTGTTCAGCAGTGTCTAAGCCGTTTGTGTTATAGCGCATCATGTCGAAATAGACGGCTGTTACTCTCCACTGCCTACTATCTATGACATGCTCTCTCCATGTAGTCGATATCTAGACTATAATCTAATGTTCAGTCATCAATAGATCAAACAATCAACTACCGGAACCGGGAACGATGCAAATCAATTGCTCCGCATAATCGAAGAGCCTGACTGCTGAGAGATCTCACGTCAATATTTGACAATTGACTTGAGTGTATACAAACGTCTCTGGAAGGAGCGGAGATTTCTTCCCAGCGAGGATCCATCCAAGCAAGCCTATCGTGGGTACTTGCTTCAGTGTCAATCCGCGATATCTCAAAGTTTGTCGGATCTCTAGCATGACATACAATCGGGAAGGTTGACCTGCCCTCTTTCCTCTTCTCGCGGTCGAGACACTTAGACTTGATTGAAAAGTAGGAAAAAGTATCAGCATATCGCAACGATAGGCCACATGTCACTCGTAGTATCTGGCTAGTTTCTCGTGAAGCGTAATCGTTTCCGTCTCGTTCCATTCCTGGGTTCTGTATCATGCTAGTTCACCACGATGCATGGTCTTCTTCCAAGTTGCTCCATGCATCTTCCGAGAGAGACTACACACTCAACGCGCAGGTCAACTTTGCTCTGTTTGCACGAAGTCGACTGTCACAAAGAGGTATTACCTTCGCATAATCACCTGGATGATTGAGCTACATTGCCCGGTCCCGGGTTGTTTATCTCAAGTGTGTCTGCCTGGGAGAAAGGAGATCGCCAGCTCTATGGACTACACACATTGACAAGCAAGCAAAAGAGGCTGAAAAGAAGCATGAGAACAAATACTTGATTCGTAAAAGTACATGATACATGACAAAAGAAACCTCCGCACACTAATTAATTAAGGAAACCTTTGGGACATTAAATCATCTCTTCAATCTGGCTGATCCTCTCCTTGATGCCCAGTCCAAATCATGACTGCTGCTCGCTCTGCATCATGCTACTGCTGCCACCAGAAACTCTGCTGCTCTTCTTGGTGGTAGTGGTGGTCGACGACTTGCTGCCAGACGACTGGGCGATAGCACGCATCTGCGAAGCAGCCTCCTCCTCGAAGCGCTCGAGCTCGCGGCACTTGGACTCGTACTTGGAGTATACTTCATCGCGCTCGCGGTCGGCAGAAGCGCGGGCGGAAATGGCCTGCTCCTTTTGCTCGCGGGCCTCGCGCAGCATGACGCGCATGTTTTCGAGCTGGAACTCAAACTCGCTGGACTCGTCTTGAGTAAAGGTCTCGGTGAGTTCCTCGAATTCCTCGCGGGAGCGACGGAGCTCGTCGCGGAGACCTTCGCGCTCGGCGCCAGCCTCGTGGATCTCGGCTTGGAGGATGACGATGCGGCCCTTGAGTTCGACGAGCTGGTCGTTGAGGGTGGTATTTTTCTTTTGCCAGTCGAGGCGTTCGCGCTCGAGGCCCTTGACAGTGCCGTTGAGGGTGGTGATCTCGGCGCGGGTGTCGATGATGAGCTGTTCGGTCTTCTGGGCGGTCTCGTTGAGAAGGTTAACTTGACGCTTGTAGGCATCGACCTTGCCCTGGGCGGTGATGAGCTCGTTCTGGAGTTCGTCACGGGTGATGATGACGAGCTTGTGCTGCTCGCGGGAGTGCTCAAGAGCCTCGTGCTTCTCGTCTCTCTCAAGCTCGGCGGAGCGGAGGCGGTCTTCGAAGAGGGAGAGCTCGCGTCTGAGGCCGTCGAGGAGAGTGGTCTTCTCAAGAAGGAGAGTCTGAACCTCGTCATGTCTGGCGATGGTAGACTTGATCTCGCGGTTCTTGACATCGACGATGTGAGTAAGCTCATCACGCTCACCTTCAACGGTGCGAAGGGTGTCCTTGAGCTTGCTGATGTCACGGTTTGACTGGCTGAACTTCTCGGAAATGATGAGAAGCTCTGAGCCAGACTCTTCCTCTCTGCTGCGAGACTTGCGGAGCTCTTCCTTGAGACGGTTGATTTCATGAATCTTCTCGTCCTGGTCGAGCTCGTACTTTCTCAGACGCTCAGTAGAGATGAGAGCCTCCTTGCGGACAGTGTCAAGGCTGGTCTGGACCTCCTCGAGTCTGGTGCTGATCTCAGTACGCTCCTGAGTGACTCTCTGGAGTCCACGCTGGTATCTGTCAGAATCTTCTCTTGCACCATCGCGGTCGTCCTGCATGGCCTTGAACAGGGTCTCGTGAGACTGGTACTCGGCCTTGAGACGGTCGATCTGGGAACGGAAGGTCGACTGAAGTTCTTGCTGACCCAAAAGCTCGTTGCGAAGACGGTCAATGTGCTGATCGCGCTCAGAAAGCTTGTTCTTCTCGGCAGAGAGTCTGTTGATGGCGGTGGTAAGCTCGATAGAGATGGTGCGGACCTTCTCCTTGGCATCAACGAGTTCACCATCGTGTTTGTGGTTGTCTTGTTGCTTGGTCTCGAGCTCGTAGCTGAATTCTTCAATCTGCTCGCGGAGCTCCTCACGCTCGGCAGCAAAGTTGCGACGCTCAGCGGCCATCTGCGACCAGAGCTCCTTCAACGAGATGGCTTCCTTGGAAGCATTGGCGACCATGTCCAGGAAAGCAAAGAACTTGGCCTCGGCATGGCCAGTGTTCTCAATAGCCAACGAGTTGCGGAAAGATGAAGATGCCAACGAACCCCGACGACGCGATGCACTCGATGTTGAGCGACGCATAGCACGGTATGATGCCGATGAACCAGAAGCGGATCTGGAGGAGTGGTCTCCGCCAACGTTGGAGTACATGGACTGAGATCTGCTCAGTACAGCATCAACGGGAAGGGCGGCGCGGAGTTTGTCCATGCTGAAGCTGCTCTCGACGGGGGAGTCTTGCTTGACTTCGGCTTGAGGTTGTTCCATGGTGAAATGTGATGAATATGAAAGTGTAGATGATATAATCCTGGAGGAAGGAGCAAAACTGGACCGGTTATATACCTTGAGTCTGCGAGGAAGCTACATCAGTGCCCTTGTTTAAAAAAAGTCTCATTGACGTCGTTGCTCCCAGACTCCCAGAGTTGCTTGACAAATTCGACTAGATGAAGAAACGTAGATCTGCGGTGGGTCTTCCCTGCAATATCAGCTCCAAATCGTAAGCGTGAGAACTGATATGTAGATCTTGTCTCTCTGTAGAGTGTGTTGAATACCTCTAGTAGTTGACAACGTAGCTGAGGCTGGCGTACTCGTACGAACCACGTAGAAGTGACATAGTGACATCAGGGTCGGAGCTGTCTTGCTAGCTCCATGATCCCGAGCTTCTTCAAGATACAGAGAGAATGGTGAGCTCAGACCCTGCTTGACAGCAAAATCTCGCAGCTATTTCACTGCCTTGGAGCTATGATTGGCAATACTTGCTCTCAACGAGGTTCAAATTGAGCGTCAGGAGATTGTCGCCCATCAACATGGTGCCTGAGCACAGTATCGAGAAGCTGCATCGGCATGCACTTCCCCACGCTCCATGAACGTATTCTACGCATGCTCGAGCATCAGCCTATTCCGACAAGACCCAATTGAGCGATAGTGGGGTGTCTTGTAAAAGGTGCAGATCAGCATGAACCTCTTTGAGAAAATGTGGGGTAACGTGCAGGGGAAAGATTGGTAGATCGGGCCGTGCGGACCAGCCCGATCCTGTTTAGTGCTGATCAAAAGCAACGTGCCAATCTGCTGTATCCACCTGTTGACATCAGGTTGCAGGTATCCATCTGTAGTAGCTGCGCAATAGCGTGGTCGCCATCTCGCAACGTCTTCGATTTGTACTCTGCATGCATGCACGCTACGTTCCTGGTGATTTTGTAGATCATATTGAACGTTCGCATATGCGAATTGATCAAGTCGTGACTCGAGGTCAACCCGTTCAAAGCAGGATCGTCCAATGTCATTGTTTAACGGGGCTATCGCCTAGGTTGGCTCCGAATTTTGGGTGAACACGCTCGGTCTCCGTTCGTTTCCAATCCGAAGATGTTCGGCTCGATCCTCGTGGAACAAGCATAAGTTCCGCGCGGGTGTGATACCGGGTTCAAAACGTAGATCAATGTCTTCCACTCCTTCGTCATCCCGTCACTTTGGCTCGGTAATCTCCTTGGACGGCGATCATCGAGTAAAATGTTCTATTCACACCCCTGCCATACGAATGAGGGGTAAAGTAAAAGTCTTGGTGCAGGTTGTCTCTGGTAATGCAGGTGTGAGCTCAATCGAAAGAACGAGTGTTGCTGTTGGGAACAAAGAAAGCTGGCGCAAAAATCGATTGCGATGGATCCCTCCGGGGGATGCGGCCGTAATCATTTGCAAGCTCATCATGGGAGTCTCGTCAGCTATCCAGATGTCTTGATGCGTCAAGGCCGGTGGATCAAATGGTGACGATCATTCATACGCTGAGTTAGTTGCTGTTCTCTCAACGAGCCTCGTATGACATTGTTACATCGGAGGATTTCCTGACTCAGGCATGTTCATCCCACGATGGTGTATTTCGATCTGCAAGAAGTCCGTAGAAGTCATGGACGAAGTACGAAAGTCATCAGTGCAACAGGTGCGAACCATAGACTGGATCCGGCAAAGTCCAAATACAGCGATGACATAATAAGTGTCGTCTGCTGATAGTTGGGAACAGAGAGTGTGGGCGTTCTCTTGAGCGCATCTCATCGACCTCCTTTCTGCGTAAGCCAGTGATGCTTTGAGTATGCTTAGAGTATTTACAATGTTGGTCTGGTTGCCCAATCCGGAGTCTACTCGCTCAGAGCTCCGTACAAACAGATGGAATATTTTTAACCTGCACAGCTTAGTCTGCTGGTCCATGCGGACGTTACAGGGCCAGCACCTTGTACATGCTTGACAGGAGTTTCCGCTTGAAGACAGGCTATGTCTACGGCCCGCCTTAGATCCGCTGACCATGTGGCATGCAGCATGCTGCGGTGACATAAAGAACGGCGGTGATGAAGAACGAACTGAAAGAACTTGTCTCGTATGCAAGGCACAACTGTCTTCCGACGATTACATATCAGTCATATGTGAATCGGAAAATCGAGCATCATCCGTTGGCCACTTCATCATGAGGAGTCGTAAGGCATCGACACTCTTTGCAGTAGAATTCCTGCGGTGCCGATGTGCTCCAGGATTTGTCCGTGTCTGCAGTATCCCTGGTTCTCGTGGAAGCTTTCGGCAGAGAGGTGTCAGATCGGTGGTCATTGAGTGTCGCATGTGCCTCACAACACGTTTCTTTGAGAGTCTGCGAAGGAGCAAGCAGCATTGAAGTCCAATATCTGCTAAACAGACATGAAAAGCCGCGAGGATCGCGTTTTGACAAGAGTCGAGAGGCAGCCACGTGATAAGCCTTGTATCTCCGGATCAGATATCCTAATAGCTGCCGTGGAAAGTAAAATCGCTTTGTCGAGGTGAAACAAGACTCTTGTCAGGAGATGTCACCTAAGCTTCTTTCATGACATAGCCGTCGTGGGAAGTCTGGCATGACTCCATACCGCAGCCGCATCTTGATGGTCGCCGGCCATTGAACGATATGTATACGTGTCTAGAGAAAGCTTCATTCTTGCCTGAATAAATTCGAGAACTCTCACACGCGAAGCTGACGGCTTCCAGATGTGAGTGAGGCTGAATATGATGGAGATGTCGACGCGTTCGAGAAGCTGAATCCACAGCTGAAGTGTCTGGTGTTTCTGAAGCCCGTGCACACGACCAAGACTTTTGGCCACATCGAGAATCTGGATTATCGGAGCATAACAATGACAGCGGACTCGGTGACATCCATCTACGAGACTTTGACGGAAATTCGTTTTTAAAAGGCTCCCTATCAAGTCTATATCTCTTTAGGCGCGCTCTGAACCTATCCTTATAACTTTGGTGATGTTGTACATCCTTGAAAAGCTGTCAATTGAATGACAAGCAGAACTGGTTGCCTTCTCAAAAGTTGTGGATGATATTTCGAGATTGAGCCATATATCATTTCCTGGTCTATCTGAGATCATGATGCTCTAGATACAAGGCCTTATGGACTATAATACTTCGACGAGTATAGAATCTTGAGCTCGAATGCACCGATGCGGCCGCTACGTCGCTGTCAACCCATAAATTTCTCGTAAGGGAAGGCACCCTGTCACACAAATTGCCCGATATTTCCCCGCATTCCATCATCGAGTTTCCTGCGAAATCAGGAATATCTACGGTCATTCTGACATGAACTGTTCTCTCAGGACATGGAGATTGGAGTTGAAATGGTAATGTAGAAGGCCGGTGTCAATCACACACTGGAAGAGACGACGAGCGACTTCCTTGATCTATCGTTGTGCCCGCGCATATCGGATACTGCTGTAGCCTCTGCGTATCGAATTTCTGCGCAAGTTGCAACTCTATCCAGTAATTGCATTGCTGAACAACGAATTTTAGTCTTATGTCTTCCTAAACCTGCCTGGCTGTGAAACGCAATGCACGAGTGTTGGATATCTGTGTTTGACGCTTGCGATTATAGGTGCTTTGAGGATGATATGGACATTTTCACTGATTGATCCTCGCTGCGACGACTCTGTGAGCCTTACTTGCTGTTCTCTTATTTGTTTATGGTTTGGCCTTGGCCTAGCTGGTTGTGTCCCAATTCGACTCTCAAAGAAGCCACGGCATGCTTGCACTTCGTTCCGTGATTGATCACTTTCACACGCGCCGCCGAGCTTGAAACAGATAAACACGACCTGCAGCTACCCGAACTTCTCCTGTTTGCACCGCACTTGCCATTTCATTCCACCAGGCGGGTTTGATCTCCTTCCTGCCACCTTTACTTTTCTTCCAACTCACCGTGACACAGAGAGTCAAAACGCGATGCGTTCAACAACCTCAAGCGCCGATGGTGGCCGAACCCTGGACACTCTGCCAACTGAAGTCAAGAATGAGATCTTCTCCCATTTCCTCTTGGGCAAAAACGTCAGATATTCCACCAAGGGCAAACAACCTGGCTACAGGTACAAGTTCAACACTTCCCTCATGCTTGTCAACAAGAGACTCAACCAAGACGCGTCCGTGTATGTTCGAAGCCACAACGAGTTCGTCCTCATCCACATGAAATGGTTTGCCTTTGAGATCGACCAAGGCAGATTCCTCCCTTACGTCGCTGTCGGTAATGTGGCCAAGACCTTCAAATGTCCCACGGTGGAAGCCACGATCAAGCATCAGGGCACCAAATGCGGATGCACTCCTGGCTCGGACTGTTCTGTCAGGCACCAGCCAGTGCCAGAGAAGGTCACACGTGCTCTGTTGATGACCGAAGATCTGGACGTCTTCATCAGACATCTCAAGCTGGCCTACCACATCTGGCCAACCCTTCCCATCTATGTCCACTCAGCGCCCGGTGACAATCTTGTCGAGTGGTCAGCCAGTCCAGCCCAGACGCATATCGACCTTGTTTGGAAGATCAACAAGCCGTTCCGTCAGGACCTCACTCAGCTCGAGCTCCACGAGCGTCAAAACAGACTGTTGGATCCCATCTCCAAGCTTGTCAATCATGACCAGAATGTCAAGATACTTGGTGCCGAACCCGATCTTGTGTCCCGCACGGTCAAAGCCATGACTCCACGCCTACTCTCGCTCGATGCCGTCGGCTGGGACCTCTACCGCCTCATCAAGGCCGAGAAGCAGTACTTGGATCAGATACCCAACCATCAAACATCGAAGCAACTTGAACTGAACCACGCCTACCAGTATATCGCCAGCCTTGGATGGCTCTTTCCTGAAAACAACGAATCACCCTCGACAGCCTTCGTCTTCAAAGCTGACTCCCCCGGCTTCAGTGAAGAGGGCGTGGCCTTGGCGTACTGGTCCATGGAGAACGGACAACACGACCAACATACGTCCTGTTGGCAATATAACGTACAAATCCTGAGTCTTGACTGCACACTCACCATGGCAAAGACGGCTTTGGATATGAAGATGCTGAAATCTTGCAACTTCTTCATCAACTCCTGCAACATGATCTTGAACACAGGCTATTTCGCCTTTCCCGACGAGATCCAGTCGGCCGTGTGTCATTACGACTGCTTCCTGTCGCTTTGGCAATCGGGTCTACAGAAACGCCCTAGTGCGTACACTGATATCATGCTTACTCTGGATACCATCTTGTTGCAAGGCGCCGCCAATGGGTTTGAGGACGAGTATGTCCGCCAGGACAGGGACCGAGTTGCCCGCATTATTTCGGTAAGTCTTTCCTGCTTCGTCTATCGTCACCAACACATCCGCTGATTCAGTCGTGTAGNNAGAGAAGTCAAGATCTGTAACGACGACAGACACAACTTCCCCGGTCTTTATCGTCGCCAGCGTATCTGGAACACGCAGATTGACGTCCACCACCCTGAGGACTCCGATTCGATGTCACTGTCTCCTACTCTATCTGCTAGCCTGGTTGCCTCCATTACCCGTATGACCGACAAACGCATAATCGGTCAGGACTATTTGGACGAGGATGAGGATGAGGATGAAGACGAGGGTGACGATGAGGCTGAGCACAGCGATGACAGTGGTTCGGATGAGCTTGAGGGCAGCGATAAGGATGGCTCGGACGATGTCGAGGACAGCGACGAGAACGAAGACAGTGAGGATGATCACGCTTTCCTTGGTGTCTTTAACCCTCGTCATTCTCGCGGAGAGAGCACCTTTGCATTCCGCACAGAGGTGAGACCAGATGGAACGGGATACAACATCGTGCATACTCCAAACAGGGGTTGAATGGACGGATATGTTGCTGATCGATCTTTGGGTGGGGGATTTGAATATTGAAGAGTGTAGCTATGAGTTGGTAGGAAGGTAAAAAAGCAGTTCTATCCTAAATGTCACATAGAAGATAAAGGGTCACGATACATGTCTTCTCTGAAAGTGTTTTACATTGAACATAACAATAATCTCTATAAAGATCCCTTCTATCTTTCTGAAAAGCAATCAAAGATCTACCAAGGCACGACACCATTATCAGAAACCATGACCGCATGCACATCCTTCTTCTCCCCCAAACAACTCTTGACCAACTCCTTGGCACCATCCCTCGGATCCTTGAACCCAGAATTGCCATTCAGATTAGTAGCACAATACCCAGGATCCGCTGCCGAAACCACAAAACCCTCTTTCTCAAGACTCAACGCATATCCCAGCATAATCATATTCAATGCAGTCTTGGTGGAGCGATAGACGGGGTAGTTGTTTGCAGAGTAGAGAGTGTCAGGCTTGGAAGCAAGCTCAAGGGAGGCAAGGCCAGAAGAGGTAAAGGCAAGGCGTTTGGCACTGCCTTTGCGGAGAAGAGGGAGGAAAGCTTCGGTGACGACGGCGGCGCCAAAGACATTGGTTTCGTAGTGGGCGCGGTAGAGCTCGCGGAGACTGGGTCCGCTGCCATCGGTGGAGGCTTCTTGGGCTTGAGCAATGCCGGCGTTATTGAGGAGGATGTCGAGTTTGCCGTGCTTTTCCTCGACTTGCTTGACTGCTGCGTTGATGGACGAGTCGGAGTTGACGTCAATTTCCAGAGGTGAAAAGTCGGAAGCTGAGACCTTGATGGAGGTGTCGGCGACGAGGGTTTCAATGGCTTTGTTGGCCTTGTTGATGTCGCGGCTGCCAATCAGGACGTGGTGGTTGCCGTTAGCGGCGATCTGCTGGGCGGCGTAATAGCCCAGGCCTTGGTTTGCACCAGTGATGAGGATGAGAGTTTTGGAAGACATGATTCTTGGTTGGACTATGGAATTGATGGAAGAACAACGTCAATTGACCTTCTTGCACCTTTATATCATCTGGCCCGGACACAGTATGATGTTATAGCCGCGGGGTTTGTTTTCCGCCGTTATCTCCGCCAAGTCCGAGACGCATTGTTCATCAAGGTCCTTTGCGCTTCAGAGTGCCATCTCTTCGTCCAGCCTCGTGCCTTCCTTCAGTGACTTCATGACCCAAACTACAGTGACGATGCGAGGTGGACGGCTGCGGCTAGCTGTCTGGACCCTGAGCTCTCTCGCCTGTTCCTCTCCCAAAACCACAACATGGGTGATCTTCTCGTCTTTTAACGAGCTGGATAGACGTGCTCCCGCAAACAAAATGATTCGTTTAGCAGCCTCGAGAATGGTATCGTCGCCAGCAACGTACACACGCAAGCCACGAAACATGCAACCCGGTCCCTCCAAGACATCATCATCATCAAATAGCTCATCCATGATTTCGTCAGCGTTATAATCGTCGTCCTCAAATTTGGGCATGTTGGAAAGCAAGTTGTCGAGTTCTTCAATGTCAATGTCCCGAGAGAAGCTGTCGCCGTATTCATCAGTGTTACCCTTGAAGCTATCCTTGTCTTCTTTCTTGCTGAAGAGAACGTGTCGAGGCTCGATAGGAAGCAATACATTGGGTCTTCCAACATCAGCTTCAGCTTGCTTGATGCATTCAAGCAGCCAGTGCGGTTTAAAGATGTTGCGAGCACCAGCTTTCTTGATTGAAGCGACACGAACGGGATTGCCTTCGGCGATACATATAGTCTCGGCATTAGTATGAGTTGCAACAATGTTGCCTCCATTGGCCTTGACGAGTTGCTCCAGCTCTGCTTTCGTCTTGTTCAACGGTTTGGCAGCACCGGTGATGATGTAGAAGCTCATTCCATTGAAGAGGGCGGTCTCAGGTCCGGCATACGGCGTTTTGATCTGTTCATCAGCACCAATGACAGTCAGCTCCTTCTTGCGGGCACGTTTGGCACGTTTCTTTCGTGCATCGTCGACCTTGAATTCTTTCTCCTTCTTCTCATGCTCTGCACGAGACTTTAGTGCATAGAATGTCTCCAGGGTAAGAGCAGATTTCCAGTCTTTGTCTTTTCGGATTGCAGTGAAGCGCGGAAATCGTAAGGTGCATTCTGTGCGGTATCGCTTCTCGCCCATGATCACAGAGGCTGCTTTGATCTGCAGCACTATGGACTCACTGGGCTTGATCCAAACGTCAGGCATTTCGTGTTGTAGGCCAGCACCACCGAGTTCGATCCAGTCAGTTGGAGGATTGTTTCTGTCCCAGTCGTTCCACTTGTTGTCTGTCATGTGTCTGATCTCCGCATAGTCCTGAGCAGTCATTCCACCACCAACTTTGCAGAACGACCACATCAGCTCGGGATTGGGACTGCCCGGTGCATGGGGAGGTGCCAGACCACAGAGAAAGCTAGACAGATTGCCTCCACGGTGACCAGAGCCATAGTAGCCTCCAATAACGACGCAATCTAACGACTCACCAAACTCAGTCATGTACTCAGGTTTCACCTTCATCCAGTCGTTGTTGCGTTCGTTGAGACGATATGCTGAGCGTGGGTTCTTCATGACGAGACCTTCGGAAGCCTCTGCTACGACTTTGCGAAGCATCGGCTCGACTTCAGCAGCGGTAGTAGCCTCGCGATATCCGTGTATCTCGAGTCTGCGGTATACATCCTTGACAGCAGAATCGAGCGCCTTCCTTCGATCACGGAGAGAATATTTGGTAAGAACCTCGTCGTTCAAGTAGAGGCAATCAAAGACGCGAAACAGAGGGCGGTGTTCCAGCGAGTTTGGATCTTCCTTGTGTGCTTTCGCGTGAGTCTTCAGAGAACCAAAGCCAACGATTCTGTCCATTCTCATGTTCCACGAGATCATCTCACCGTCAAGAATGATACTGCGCACGTTGTCATCAAATGCATCCTTGAGATGGCGCGTAAGTGCCGACTGCTCTTCATTAAAACCCTTGCCATAGAGATCTGTGTAGTCTTTGGCTTTGCGTGACCAATAGTTGAAACGATAGTTTCCCGGCATTTTNTCGTCGTAGACCATGTGCAGCTGCATCCTCTCACCGTCCAGCTTCTCCTCGATCCAGAACACAGGGTCTTCTTCGCTGCATTGCATATTCGTGACCATTTTCTCCACTGTGTGCGACTGAAATTGCGCGAGCTGGGGTTGAAAACACTGCATGATCTTGATGCCCTTGTCGTTCCCGTCCAGTCTGAGTTCGGGATCAACCAGCTCCCAACAGACACGTCTCAGACTTGAAGAAACATTGAATAGGTTCTCGGCGTCTTTATGCCATGCATCGAACAAGGTCTTTTCGGTGGCGCCTACCTTCATTTGACGAAGGATGATGCGAATCAACCACATCATTTCCTCACGATCCATGTTGCTGTAGAACTTGCGGAAGATTGGTAGTTGTTCTTCTTCTTTATGTTTCGAGGACAATTCATCAAGCATGTCGTTGACTTGTTCAATGGTGAGATTGCTAGGACCGGTACGGCCTTCACGATCAGTCAGGGTCTCATAACACCTGCCAGCAAAATCGCCAGCCATCTGACTGGTAGACTTGACACCAGGTAACTTCCAGTGAAGCAGATTGTAGCCAGCCTCGCTATTCTTGTCGATTTGCAGAGTCTTGAGCATCAGCTTCGCGATGGTAGCTTCCTTCAAGCCGTACATTGGACGTTCACGGTCCTTCTCGGGTACGATTAGACGAAAGAGAGGAAAGATGTCATTGCCGACTTCGGTACGCCATCGGTTGATGAACCTTTCGATAATGGATTTGCGAGTTTCGTTAACATTTTGCTTGTGTGTACCGCGCCTTCTTGCAAGAGCAGGACCCCCGCGGCGTCTTTTGTTGTCATTGAGGGGATTGAAGAGGTCAAGATAGAGGTCGCGAAAAGGAAAAGTCGTTGAGTGATTGTGAGGACGATTCGGATACTTTTCATCAAGTTGTTCTTCTGTCATAATTTGAGGCCGCTGAGTCGCTTGATAAGTGTCATCTCCATCTCCATCGTCGTCGAAATCATCTCGCTCGTGCATGTCGACGTCTGAGGTAGGCATTTTGTGCTGTTGATGCGAAGCAAGTTGAGTGCTCCGCTCTGTTGTTTTGTAGCGACAGTGAGATGCAGCATCAAGGCAGCAGCAAGATTGAGCAGTGCTGGGAGGCGCGACGTGGTTGACGCGCAATCATGTGGTGTGGTTTGAGTGGTTGGTGGGAGGAGGATGATCTGTTAGGCGGGCAGATGCAGCACAGCCCGATTACGAATGACCAGGGCAAGGACCTTTGGACGTGCCTTCCCTTAACAAAGAAAAGTCCACACATCGCACCTACCCCTGCTCGACCGATGATATTCGTCAAAGAGACGCTCCTTCGCATGGCCAATGGGGAGCCCTAGGCAACCTCAACCGCTACGTTCGAGTCCGAATGGCGGCTCTCAAGCCTCGCGAGACGCTGCCCTCTCAGGCGCCAACCTGGCCTTCATCAAATCTCTACCACCGCACGAGGCTCTGAAATATCTCAACAAGCGCTCTCCACCGCCTGTGCCGACCGAGAGACAACAGCAACATGTTCGCACCACCTCCAATAATCCCGTCGCGCGCCATGACGGTCCCGCCAGCAGCCGCACATCGCCGGATCACCTGAGGCTACCCAAGAGACCACCGCACAAGACGACGCCCTCTGCATCGAGCCTAACCGCTACTATCGCTGCCGCTCGCTCCGCTGTCACTGTCAACAATGCGCCCGCTCAACTGCCGACCAAACCGCCTGTCCGCGTCGCCGGGAACCTGCCTGCTCCCGTCGCACCCAAGGGAAAGTCACCCGACAAGCTGGACCTGACTCCCATTCCGCCGACAACTTCGCTGGTCGAATTGTTCGAGCGCAAGGAGACTCCGCCACCGCCTGCCATCAAATCTCCGAAACCGCTGCGCAAGACGCTTCTGTTGCGCAATCAGACTCTTGAGCCCATCACCACCCGTCTTGAAGCTCAGACTTACAATGAGAGTTCCGGCGACGAGGCATATGAATCTGCCAGGGACCACCTGTCGCCAGACCAGCCATACAAGCCTGCTCTGCCGCTAGCTCACCGCCTTGTCCAGCGTGTCGACAGCAAAGTCCAAGAGCCCATAGAACCCTCGATCCGTGTACAGCCACCTTCGCGCACCATATCCGAGAGGAACAAAACTCGCTCCCCACCACGCCGCTCGCCTTCTCCCGACCCTTCGCATCTATCGACCTCTACCACCAAGCCAGTTCCCATCATCCGAAACTACAGCCCCAACCACCTGACTCACCCTGGGAATCCGTCAATCGCTGCTGCATATCACCAGCTACATCCCCGTCGCATGACTCCACTCAAGTCTGGTGATTCTTTAGCCAACGCCATTGTCGCTTCGAGTCTTGCCTCGTCCCGAGCTCCCTCGCCGAGCAAGATTCCTCCCTCACTGCCAGGCCGATGCACGTCTCACTCCAAACTCTTCACCCGTACTCCCAGCCCCAAGAAAGGCATGCGCCACACGATGCGCAAGCCTGCTTCCGAATCCGAGAGCGACGTGGACGAGGATCCGTACTCCAAGCACAAGAAAAAGCGGTGGGTAAAGAAACACCCCAACAAACATCACGAAGGCGACAGAAAACGCTGGCGAGATGCCGTCACTCAAACTGAGCGAAAACGCTACGAAGGTCTCTGGGCAGCCAACAAAGGCATTTGCGTCGAGTACACTGCTTCAGAGCTAGCCGTACTTGCTGCACACCCCGAGTCCAAGGAGAGCGATAGGATCAGAGTTGAAGTCGGAGATCAGGTTGCAGACATCGTAACAAAAGACATTTGGCTGCGGAGTCGACTGCCTCCCCATGAGTTGGAGTTGATCTGGGACTTGGTTGACAACCAAAGATGCGGAAGGCTTCACCGGGACGAGTTTGTCATCGGGTTGTGGTTGATCGA